TCTTTTATATAAAGAGATACAAGCCAACCAAGAGGAGAGTGATATAACCAACACTCATCATTTTGACCCTATAAGTGATGATAACGAGGGCAGTGATACTTACGAGGACGTGGAGGATAAGGATAGTACTATCGAAGTGGTAGTTGATCAAGGTCAATCACAACGGAGGCAGCGGACTCAATCGGAGCTCGAGGTTGAAGAGCAGGAGGAGGATACGGATAGTGAGCCTGAGTTGCCTTATACACAACGGCATTCAGGGAGGGTTCGGAAGCGCTCAAGTAAGCTTGATAGTTATGAAATTGAGAGTGATAAACGCCGTAGAACTTAAAGCTATATAACGTATATTAGTTCCTCAAAGAATGAGATATTTCTATTAAGATTTGATGTTATTTAGCCTGTTTAAATGATTACTCCTGGTTATATTTATTTTCTATAATACTAAGCTGTAAACCAAATACTAAATAATACAGCTGAGAAATGTATATTTTATACAACTCTAGGGATTTCCCTGTTTGTCCTGTTTGTCGGCCCTCAAAATGTTTGGAGGGCCGCCCTCTGAGGGCAAGAAAATAACCTACCCGACCCGCGGGTAGGCGTCGCTTGCCCTCCGCCCGCAAAAGTGCGGGTCTGCGGGCGGCCCTCAGAGGGCCGCTCGCGGGCGGTTATGAGGTCTACCTGAGATAACCCAGTCAAGACCCAGTTATAACCTATTTAACCCAGTAAGAACCCAGTAAGAACCTATTTAACCCGGTAAGAACCCAGTAAACCTAGTAAAACCCTAGTCAAACCCCAATTCCCACCCCAGTTCTATTAATCCTTCTCAAAATATTTCTTCCTACCCTCCCTTCAAGTCGTATATACCAAGTAGATTAAGAGGTAGTAAGTAGTTTTAAATGTAAAGGTTTACTAGATATCTATCTATAGTTATATAAGCTCTAAAATTAAACAGAAGAAGAGAAATAAATAAATTCAAAAATTATTTTACTCTATAGATAAAAATATATATTATATTGATATATATTGAATATATATATCTACAACTTGGGGTATACTTTGTATTTTAAATAGAATGCTATCGTACGCTTGAGAAAACCAGCAGCTAACACATACCACCTTTCTATATGAAATAAAGCATTTGAAGAAGTAATTAATCTTGAACCAGATATATTGCTTTGAAGAACGAGGTAATTTCTTAAAATTTCCTTTCCCTTATTGGTAGAGAGTGTAGCATTTCGATGTAGAAACTATAACAGGGGAAAATGACAGTATATTATTTAAATATTTATACTATAATTTATGCAGAAACTGGGTCGAACTGGGGCTATACTGGGTTTTCTGGGGCCCCAGTCACTGGGTCTGGGTTGGGCCTGGGTTATGAGGTTTCGACCCAGACCCAGACTGGGTTGGGTTCTGGGTCGAGACCTTCGACCCAAACTGGGTCGTGCGGAAGTCTAACCACAAGCACTACTAGGTTCCTTTCCGATTAAACAGCCCCTACTACCACTACCAATCACCCCACCGCAGGAGCAAGAGAGGTATACTGGCTCTGGTTAGGGGGTGGATACCGAGGGAGATCAAAGGGACTAGATCCAGTAAGAAGAAGCGGATCTTAAAACCACTGAAGACAAACTAGAGAAGTAACTTTAGGCAGAGCTACTGGCTCCGAGAAGAGAGATAATCGGAGATATAGATACTAGCAATATACTCAGTGGTAGGCGTAGACGCCAAGTAAGGTAGGAAAAAGACTTCGCCTACGCGATAAGCACCACCTAAGAAGTGGAACCGCCGGCGCTACTCTATACTTTTACCGCTAGCTTATACGCTGAGAAACCAGATACTCGCCGCTACCGAGACGACCTCCTACTACCGCTAAAATACTAGAAGGATATAATAAACCACCTATTTTAGGAAGGTTTTCTCGCAGCGATAAGGAAGGAGATTAACTCCCTCTCTGAAAAGGGGACTTTTAAGGTTATTAAGAAACCAAGAGACCGAGGGAAGCAGATTCTCCCTCTTTTATAGGTGTTCTTATATAAATTTGACTAGGACGGGTACCTTTTAAAGCTTAAGGCCTATATCTGTGTACGCGGAGACCTTAAAACTATCTCTTACGAGGAAAAGAGAGCTACTACGCTAGCAGTAAGGACAGCGAGGATAATTTTTGCCTTAGTTACTGCCTTTGATCTTAACCTAAGACAGAGAGATACTGTCACCGCGTTCCTAAACAGTAAGTTAGACTAAGAGACGTATACGTATATACCTAAGGGATTTTAAAACCTAGGTAAATACTAGAAGTTACGTCGCGCGCTATACGGTCTACGGATTTTACCACGACTTTAGTAGTAAGAAGCAGTAAGCGTACTCCGTAAGCTAGGTCTACAGTAAGTGCTAGAAGACCTATACGTTTTTATAGGAAAAGGACTACTGGTTTTCTTCTATATAGATAATATCCTAATCGCCAGTTATACCAATACAAAGGCGTAGGTACAGCAATTAGAGCGAGATCTCGAAGCACACTAGGAACTAACCGATTATAGAGAAGCAATATAGTTCCTAAATATACGAATCATTCGAGACCGGTAACAAAAGAAGCTCTGGTTATATTAAGATAGCTATATAATAAGTATTGCTACCCGATATCACTTAACAGAAAGGGTACCAGTCTATACTCCACTGCCGGTTAAGGAATTGACCCCTTTTCAGGGGGTAGTAACGCTAAAGGAAATCCTACTATACCAGCAAAAGGTGGGCTCAGCAGGGTATACCACTATTATCACTAGGCCCGACGCTGCAAAGGCGACCGCGAAGCTCGCGCAATTTCTCACGAACCCCGGTCTACAGCACCAGTAAGCAGCTGATCGAGTTATTACCTACCTCTACTCTACCCGGAACCTAGCGATTGAGTACAGAACAGCCAATACTGGGACCGACTCGGTGCAGTTTGCAAGTGACGCTTCGTATAGAGACCACCCGGATAGAAAAAGCTCAGCTGGGTATATCTGTTAAGTATACGGCGGTCCAATTGACTGGAAAGTAAGCAAGTAACCTACAGTAACAACGTCAACCACAGAAGCAGAGCTACTCGGCCTATCGGAGGCAGGAAAGCAGCTCTAATAGTGGCGCCGATTGCTTTAAAACCTCGCCTTTACTCCGTTATACTACCTAATAATCGACTGTAATAACGAGAGGACTATCAGCTTATTGATAAGCGAGGACACAGCTTTTGAAACGAAGCTTCGATATATCGATATTCACCACTATTGGCTCCGCTAGGAAGTCTAACAGGGTCGAATACAGGTGCGCTGGGTGCCTACAGCAAGTATAGTTGCTGATGGCCTCACTAAATTGCTCACTCGGCAAAAGTATAAGAGCTTCGTGCGACTGCTCAACATGGTTGATATAGGCCATCTTATAGACTAGGAATTACAAGATGATACAGCGATCTCAGCAAGTATACTGGGACCGCTGAGGGGGTGTGTCGGCGCAGATACACCAGGATACCGGAGGATTTATTAATCCTAAGTATACAGTAATATTTCTTATGTAATCAGGACAGTATAAATTGCCAGGAAGTCAATACAGCAATACGGAGAGTTGAAGACCATTGATTGGACCCATACATTTCCACCATACGGAGTAGTCGGACATGTTGTTGTAGCCCGAAAATCAAGGCAGTAAGTTTATTCTGCCTGAGGTATCAGGCGACACGGCATTAAGGCCACAGCCAATCACCGTCAAGCTGTCACCCCCATTGAAGACCCTCCCATCTCCATCCCAAATTAGCCGGGAGCTGTTCAAGGTTTGTTTTCCACAGAAAACAGCCAGTTGCAGTGAGCAATGGCCCCAGATAACTCTTCTGCACCGGGGGGTTCCTCCTCGACTACCCTGGTCCCCGACGAGAAACCATCCGCCTCTCCCGTCAATATCCTCCCCTCGCTGGTATCCCGGATCTACTCCATTGCGCACCCAGCACTCCTTTTGGCATTGGGCGCTACTCGCTTTGAAGCATTGGTGGCTGATCCTACCAAGGAGCTTCTTTACACCCTACCATGGCTCACCCTTATACAAATTCTCTACGTGATTGTTTGTCTTCCGCCCGCCGGGTCGACACCGTCAGCAGAGACGAGCGCGTCCGCCCCGGCTGATGGCAAATCAAGCCCTCGGCCATCTGTCCCTAGTGGCGCCGCGCGCCATGGAAAGCATGGAAAGCGGAAGCAGCACGCTAACAGTTGGGCGCTCATCTGGTCCCGGTTACTGGTACGCCATACTTTTCTAATTGGGAGGAAACTGCAAGTCATTGATACTGACACGAGTTTTTAGCCAGCCCTCCTTTCGCTCGCTCTGACCTTCGCCGTGGCCACTCCCATTTTGACAATCCTTCTGGTTCTTTTCGGTGCCCCCCTCACAACGCACAATTCCGAGACCGTCCTGTGTGCGGCCCACATGGCCGTTCTATCCGCAACGGCCCTAATCTACGTCCACGGGCTAGATCGCGCCGTGTGGAACGAGGTTTGGGGCATTGCCCGTCCCGCTGATGCTGTCTGGGGCAGTGCGCTCGGCACAGGCTTGGGGGCGTGGTTTGGCGCTATTCCTATTCCTCTTGACTGGTGAGTTATACATACTGTACCTCAAATGTTAAATACCTGGCTAACTTGTATACGAAGGGACCGACCTTGGCAGGCATTCCCAATCACGATTCTTGTTGGAGCCTACATCGGATATGCCGTTGGCTCCTTGCTTTCTCGGACCCCATTGGTTTACGGCAAGCGTGTCAGATTCACCTCGGAGGATTTGAGCGAGACCGAAAAGAAGACTAATTAGGGATTCTGTCGCGGAATCCCTCTATATCCGCGCCACACAGCATATCTTCAAAGATATATGTCGGGCTTCTATTGGCATAAAAGTTCTTACATGACTGCCGCCACTAGTTATAATTGGTTTTAGATATCCGAAGAATTAATTTCTTAATGTACACCCCTTTAATGGGAGCCTGTTGTTTTTCACAGATTGCTATGACCCTTGAAGCTGCCGTGCCGTCCTGCACCTTTGCTGAACTTTGTCGCGCCTGCTATGGCTTCCTGCGAAATCACCTTGCTCCCAGCATTGAACTCCTGGTACATCGCATCCTGGAATGAGGATGCCTCATACGCACTGTAGTAGCATGACTGGCGATCTGTGTTGAGACATAGCTCAGGGAACGTGATGAGCTGTCTTGCTATCCTAATAGCTTCATTCAATGATTATCCTTTAGGAACCACTCGGCTCGCCAGTCCCATAGCCAGCGCTTCCTGGGCGCTCACGGGCCGACCGGTCAATATCATATCCAAGGCACGACCAAGCCCGACAATGGCTTGCAGTCGGACAGTTCCTCCATCGATTAAAGGCACACCCCAGCGTCGACAAAAGACACCGAAGACTGTGTCTTCTTCAACCACACGCATATCTGCAAGTAGGCTCAACTCTAGGCCTCCTGCGACGGCATATCCAGAAATAGCACATATGACTGGCTTTTTTATAATGAGTCTAGAGGGACCCATTGGCCCCAAGTTGCGGCCATCGACAGGTTGAAGGTTGTCGCCGGGTGTATCGTTGTTTGCCTGTGCAACGCTGTGGAGGTCGGCTCCTGCGCAAAAACTACCGCCAGCACCTGTCAGGACACACACTTTTTGTTTCAGGTCATTCTCAAAGACAAGAATGGCTTCGTAAAGAGCCTTCGCAGTCGAAGGATCGACGGCGTTCTTCCTATTAGGGCGATTGATTGCAATCAATGAGATGCCAAGACACGAGGAAGTATCTGTTGTCACTCTGTCGTGTTCGGCCATATTCAATATCAAGCAAACTGTTCCTCAAAAAGCCGAAATCTTGCCGGTTAGGCGTTTTATAGACTCCTATGCCTCGGCTAAACCCCGCTATCGTAGCGTATGGTGAACACTAGGGACTTTAGTCCTATTGACTTCATTCGTCCACGTCTCCGCCTTGTTACTCTTAAACCGCTTCAATTGAGATGCCAGGAAGATTTCATAGACCTCGGGATGCATAGTGAGTTGATCATTTGTATAGATGCACAATCTTGGAATAATCAGCTGCTTATACATCCTCTATAATTATCAACGTTTCTGATATATTATCAGTATCCCTGGAGATGTTCTTTGACAGTATTTTTAAAATCTTCTAAGGTGTCTTTTCAGACGTCTTTTGGCATAGCTTTGGCCAGTTCATTCACAATGGAATGGGATTAGTATATGACTAGGTAGTGCGGGCCCATATGTTGTAGATGTCATATATGTAGATGAACTGTTGGATGGCCTCAAGTCCTTTGACTGGTGAGTAAACAGTCAGTCCGAGAAGGAGCCGTAGGAGCCCCAGAGGACGCCCGGACATAGGGACACGGAGAGCAGGTTGAAGAACATTGAAGACGGCCAGCCCAACCAGCGAGGAAGTCAAGTGAAGCGTTCTTTCGGGCTGAGATTCTGGAAAGGCTTACAGGCTAGCCCTAGGCGTGGCCATGGTGGGAACGTCCTTATCAAAGGTATATGACGGTTCGAAGCTTCGAGGACTTGCGCTCTGAAATATTGTTGAAGAGATGGGTTGTACTCAATATGATATGCTACCATCTATCTCACTGTGCAACTATCAATTCATATTACTTCTACCATTCTACTATTTCTGCTGGTGACAAGTTGGACCATTGACAGATTAGAGATGTATCGCAGAGTGCTTTTGCAGCCAAGGGGTCGATAGCATTCTTCCTATCGGGACGATTCATTGCAACCACCGACATGCCCGAATAAGAAGAATTTCTTGTTGTCACTCGATTTGTGTGAGGCCATATTTAAAAAAAAAAGGAACAGTAATTGAAAAAAAGACGAATTATGCTGGTTGAGCAATTTATAGGAATGCCTCGGCTAAACCCCACTTTCGACCTTCTCCAACCCATCAAGGTCACTTGGATCTACGCTGGCATAACGCCATGTCTTCGGCATGTATAATCTGTCATAAAAGAAAGGTATCGCATTGATCATCTATTGGCGCGCCCTCGAGTAATCTAATTCTCATAGGTGAGGTGTGACTTTGCGACACAAGACCCTTGTACCAACTGCAAAAAATCAGATGTGGAGTGCAGGTAAGTAGACCCGAAAAGAAGTCGAATAATCAAAATAATTGACTCCCTTCAGACCATATACAAGGAAGCGCAAGAGGTTCACAAACAGCCTATCGCCAGGGCGGAATGTGTCAATCTCTGCTCCTTTGAGTCAGACGCCGCGGAGCTCACAGATTTCTCCCGAGTCATTGGAGGCGCAAGTGGCTTCACAGCAGAATTCTTTGAGCGATCCTCATGAAGTGATTCCAGTTGAAACCAATGCGGTTGAAACCACTGCATCTGCGGTCGCCAATAATGGCGACCCGTTTATTAAAGAAGAGAGCTATCGTGGCCGCAGTGAATATCTCGGTGGCAGCGTGCCGTTCGATGAAAATATGGTCAAACCCGGTCGCGAAACTACATACACCAACCCTAAAGCATCAGCAACCGACTTGCAAATGCTTCGTGATCAAGGTGCCTATGAGTTACCTCCAGTATCAGTCCAAAAAGAGTTAATGGCTAGTTTTAACATGCACTGTGCACCCTGGACGCCGGTTGTGGATCCGAAATGGCTGGATGAGAGTGCGCCGCGATCAATGCTACTCCTCCAGGCTATCTTTCTCGCTGGAAGCAGAGTCTCCAAAGCTCATTTGGATTATGGGTCTAGTGAAGTTTTTTATCGACGCGCAAAATTACTTTTCTTTTTTGGCGGTTGTGACAACCCTTTGGTTTCTATTGTGGCCGCCTGCCTGTTGCATTGGTATAATCCAGTTGGGCCTGAGGATGTTTCTACCGATACAAGTGGCTTTTGGATTCGAACAGCTGGCGCAATGGCTTTTCAGATCGGGCTGCACAAGGAACCCGCGCCGAATTCTCGAGATCGGGGGCTCCGGAGAAGGCTGTGGTGGTCTCTTGTGGTATGTATCTCCTTGGAATATCAACACAGAAAATATTATGCGCTAACATAGTAACTTAGGTGCGAGACAATATAATTTCTGTTGGTGTTGGTCGACCACGAACCATCAATCTACGTGACAGCGACGTGCTTCCACCATCACTTAATGATTTCCCCGTGAACAACTTCAAATCTCAATTATTCCTAGCCTATTGCACGATATCCCGGCTACTGGGAGATACGGTCGAGTCCCATTTACGACAAGAAATTTCTCGGCAAAGGCAGGTCGATCTCGAGAACGCCGTCTACCGATGGGCAAAACAAGTCATTCCAAGATTACGATCATCTGTCGCAGCTCAAGACGATGCGGCTATTTGCAACCTAGAAGTTCAACAGCTGCTAGTCATGTATTTTGTGGTGCTCACTATTCTTCATCGCTCACCTACTCCAGGTAGCGTACCACCCGCAGCATCTCTGGTCGCGTCTTCGTTTATTGCCGGGATTTACGAGGAATTCTTGCTTCGCGATGAGCTTCGATATCTCGGCCCTGTCTTTGCATTCTATCCACTATGCGCTGGACTGTCACTTCTTTCTAGCTGCCGCTATACCCACCTGCAGAGTATTGCCGAACATGAATTAACAGTCATGAAGCTCTCCCTTCAAAAGCTATCTGAAAGGTGGCTCTCAGCGGTCGGACCGCTGCGTGCGCTAAACAAATTGACCGAAAAAGTCCGAGAGTTAGGTCCATTTGGGGGTTCGTCACCTACTTTCGACCCGGACGCAGCCTCTTTCTTCGAGGGGTTCGACACAAAACTTTGCAAACAATGGCAAGCTATTGGACACTCCTTGGAGTCTGCAAGTGGGAACACGGGCATCTCGCCTACTTGCACTATGGCGGACATTCAAGACCCTAGTGATGGCCTTCGGTCCCTTGACGCTCTGCCTGGACAGCAGGTGGATACTTATGACTTTGCGTCTCTTGATGTTAGCTTGGATCCATTCAGCAATAATTGGGAAGGCGCTGGATTTGACTGGAGTGGCTCCTGGCTACTCAATGTATAAACACAACAAAGCTTGGGAATTGGCACTATACAAAATATGGTCCTGTCTTGTTTCCTTTTTATATACAAGTGATCCTTTCCCATTTTTTTTTTTTCAAAATATCACCTATAGCCTGTTGCATCGGCTAGAGTACATGTCGTCTATAGCTTACTTCTATTGTCCTTTTGCACCTCAAGATCATAATACTGCCTGAAGTGATCCAGGCATCCGGGATTCGCAACGGTGCTGCTGATAGTCTTGGGAAGCTGGCCAGACGAAATGACCTGCTTTATCAATGTCTCGATCTTTTTACCGTTCACCGTCATCGGAATCTCTTTGACCCCGATTACGAATCGAGGAACATGCTTACTGCTCAAGCCTTTGCGAATTGCATCTTTGAGCTCCAAAGCAAGTTGGCCCGTGAACAGCTTTCCAGACTGCATAACAACGAACAAAAATACAACCTCATCAGAGTCATGGGGTCGTCGCCGCCCGACACACAGGGTGGCTGAGATGACTGAGTTAAAAGGTGCCGATTCGGTGATCGAGTATATGTCCGACGACCCGAAACGAATACCCTGTGGATTCAGGACCCCATCGCTGTTGGTTTTCCAATTAGCACGCACTTCCTTCAACTTGCACTAGAGGGAAATACAACTTACCTTCTTCCATGAATCTGCCAACCTTTCGTTTGCGGGTTATAACTCGCCCAATCGTGTTGAGCCCAACAATTTTCAAATTTCTCGAAATATGCGCTCTTGTATTTCGATCCATCTTCATCGCCCCAGAAAAAGACCGGCATTGATGGGAATGGTTTGCGACAGACAAATTCGCCATTCCTCCCGGTAGTCCTGATAGAGTCTCCCGTCACAGGATCGGCAACATCCACATCATGTCCAAGCATAGGAAGCTGGATCTCTCCAGGATATAATGGACCTGCAGGATCAGTTCCAATCCAAGAAGTCGCCAAGTCCGTTGCGCCTGTTACACTGGTGAGATGGACACTCGAGGGGAATGTGCGATAGAACCAGTGATATTGGTCCTCGCCTAGATGAGAGCCACCCGTCTGCACCATTCTGAGGGACGATAGGTCGAACTCGTTTTTTGGGATGCAGCCAGTCATCTCGAGCTCCTGCAGATAGCGAGGCGAGCAGCCCCAGTATGAGACTTTATGGTACTCTGCGACCTTTGCCAGTCCTTTGGCACTGGGCCACAACGGTGATCCGTCGTACAGAATCAGGGTAGGACCTACGGAGAGGTGACCGACCATGATATTCCACAACACCCATGAAGTACTGCTGTACTGGAAAACAACATCGTCGGATGTCAAAGAATTGTGCAGTACAGATGTCTTCTTGTGCTGCAGAATAACGCCATGGCTGTGCACCAGGCACTTTGGCTGGCCGGTGGTGCCGCTGGTGTATAGGATATAGAGTGGATGAGAAAAGGACACTCGTTTGAACTCTAGCTTGTCCTCACGCTGTGAATTTGACAAGAAGTGATCGAGACTGGGGAATGACGGCTCATGGGTGCCAGTGATAGGAATTAAAAACACCTGTGGTTTTGACTGCAATGCCCTCACGATTTTTTGGATCTTAACGATGTTCGATCGCATTTTCCCTTTGTAGGTGGACTCGCCATCTGCAAAAAGAATTCGTGGAGTGACCTGTTGTAACCTTGACACGCACCCCTAGTATTTCCAATCAGTCTCTGTTGTCAACATCAATTCCAATTCCTTCGGAAAATACCTCTTCACCCAAATCCGGTGCAATACTGGTCCAAATCGCGCCAATACTCGCAGTCGCCAGGAACAGACCGACTGACCAGACGCTGTTCGAGATGATAGCAGCAACTCGATCTCCTTCTTTCACACCGAGCTGCAGCAAAGCACTCCTTGCCTTTCTGACATTCTCCCTCAATAATCCCCATGTCCACACCTCCCCACCTAGATCCTGGCCTTCTCGAACCCCAACAAGAGCTGTCTTGTTCAAGTCCCGACCAGACACAACATTCTCTGCATAGTTGACAGTTGCTCCGGTGAAGAATTTGGGCACCTTATCCATTGGCGTGCTAGGATCAAATGCGGATGTTATTGTCGGAGGCAATGGTGGAATAATTCCCGTGTAGCCATGAAGATCTGTCCAGAAATCTTGTAGATTATCAACGGACCATTGGTGCAGATCGTGAGAGGAACAGAGCTGCTGATTGAATTTTTTGTTGATATGCGCACGATAGATGTTCATGGGTATTTGGTCTTGGGGAATTGTAGGTTCCCAGATGGGACGAAGTCTAAGAGCGTCGCTCTTCGTAGGATTCGTCATTTTTGTTTTTCTACTACCAATTGCTGGATTTGAAGGTATAGAATTAGGATTTATAAAGTTATTTCTAGTGGCTGATAGAGGCCACAATTCCATTCTCCATAATCATTAGTAGTCTTTCGGCAATCGGCACTCGGACAGCCTCATTCGGGTAAGTCTGATGCATCCCTAAGCACCCCCACGATACTGTTGGATTTTCGGTGACTTCGGCAGAAATCGGTGGAAATCGGTGATGCATTTCATAAAGTTGAGGCTACTCAGCTGAAGCAACGGCCAAATCCTCGCACAAAGCTGAAGGATTATAAGACAAAAGAATATTCAGTCACTTTTGCAACCTTGGCCACAGACTTCACTTTAGTCTAGGTGATATTCCCATTCATAGGACACATAGGTCTAGGTTATATTCCCATTCATAAGAATGTGTCCTATGTTGTCGAGAGAAGTCCAGCTCAGGCGGTTGCTCGGTGACGGCGAGTCACAAATGGCGATTTTTATCTAGTGCTTTTTGCGACAGTCCCGTTTTCTCGAGATATAGCGGGACGGCATAGTAAGAACCGCAAAAGTTTTATTCTCTTCTTTTTTTGGAGGGGTCTTTATATGGGATTTCCCAAAGGTTCGGTTCTGGTGTGATGAATGGCATGCCGTTTTTAAATTGCTGTCTTTGAGATAGGAGAGGTTGCGAGACCGCAAGTCCGTATATGATTGAGGTGCTATGAGTTCAAAACATAAGCGGGGAACCGTGGATAGGTGTTTTAGGTCATCTTTATCAAATCGTGCACGAGGCGGAGAAGCGAAAAAGATGTATCCCACGCTATGTCCTCTTTAGTAAGGCTAAGGGCAGGCGATGTTTAAGTCAAGCAAGAGGAAGAAAGAAAGAATTTGTAGATCGAGACGTTTGATGTGCAATTATCAGCTAAAATAAATTAGGATAAAGCTTCGAAGGTTCCTCTATATGACATCTGCCATCACCGTCTACATGCTACATAGTCGGACTCTGTTTGAGGCGAAACTCTTGTTTAGTCCGAACCAGATTATTCACGATGACAAGCGCCCAACAAAAGATTTAGAAATTAAGTATCTTTTGTATGATTCACCCAGACACCTAGTTACATCATATATAATAGTTAGAGCATATAAAAAGATGGGTGTAACTAAGGGAAGTCTATTTCAAAGATCGGACCTGGGCCGTAATGTTAATCTCTAACAGCATAATGCTATCAATAGTATTTAGGTTGCCAACCTTGGAATATCCAAAGGCCCTTTGCGGCTCAATGGTGGAATACAAAGTGTTGTCATGATATTTACATGTATACACTGATCTGAGAACGGGAAAGATAAATACAGGTACCCGAGTATCGCAAAGATCAGCCAACCTTGGAAGATTGCACGCGATATATGGCATAAATATGCATGCATACCTTGCTCAAAGTTTCGAGCCTGCTTTTTGCAAGGACCGGTGACCGGAAGCACGGTTCGCCGGCAGATCGATTCCCCAGGCAATGCGACAGTCCCATTGCAGATGCTCCTCACCTCCAGAGGTAGCACTAGCAGCGCCACTGACGGTAACAATGTCATGGAAAACCTGATCTCCCACACCACCCTCAGCACTGAAGATCCAGCGACGAGCAATCTCTATTGTCACAGGTTCATTATCACGTTCAGCATCAAGGGCCAGAAGAGCACCGGACAGAATCCAGGCCAGAGTAAACATGAAGCGACGGCCATCGGCGACAGTCGAAGCTGGATCTTGGGTCGTGAAACGAGCACCCAAAGTTGACCACGCAGCTGTGAGGGCGTACCGCAGATCTGCGCTCTGAATCAAAGCTAAGGCACGGTCAAGCCATGCTCTGAATATTTTCAGGTTGTTCTTTTTGATGAGGAAGCGGACGAACTCGCTGGCTAGCACGTTGGTAGTACCCTCCCAGATAGAATTTACTGCATTATTGCGCATAATCCGAGAGATGTTGAACTCAGGCTCGTCAGCCTCATCCATATATCCGACTCCACCCATCGATTCCTGACATTCTTGAATTCCGGCAGTGGCCATCTTACTGATAACAGCCTTTGCTGTAGCAGTCAAGGTACGGAAAACCACATCAGCTTCCTTACCGGGTTGAGGTAGGTGCGCGAGCTTATTGGATGACGATTTTTGATCCTCAACTACCCCAAACAAAGCAACAGTGAACCATCCAAGGCCCATTGCACCCCGGTGTTTTACTTCCAAGTCCGCGAGAAGTCGCAAATGCATTGGGATCAACCAGAGCGGTTCGCCGACAGTAGTTCTTGCTTTTGCAAAGCTCTTTGTGATACTAATAGCTCGGCGCCATCCAGCCAGCGAGCCAATAAAGGTATGAAGCCGGGTGACGTTGAGAAGAGGCGCGATAGTGGGTATACCCTGGTCTAGCTCTCCAAGAAGATGCGCGCGCATGTCTTTTAGTTCCAATTCTGCGGTCGGCAATTCTTTCGTACCGAGTTTGTTCTTCAGCCGGTGAATCCTAACACCATTAGATACAACCTTAGTGACGCCGTCGGCTCCCACCACAGTCCGTCGCAAGGGCGCGAGAAACGTGCTCAGCTTTCCGGATGGTGTTTTCGCGAGTAGAAGAGCGATGTTTGCATCTGTTGCTGAGGAGAAGAATTTGAATCCGCTGATGAGGTAGTCGCCTTCGCCTAGGGGGTCAGTGCCCGAGGTAGTTAGCGGCGAGTATGTAGCCCATGTTTCGGTATTTTGGACGTCGCTGCCACCGGCTCTCTCAGTCATCCATTGGCCCGAGGTCCAGTGATCATCCTTTTCGGAGACCAGCCCTTGGAACGCAGCATGGAAAGGGTGCGTAGGTGGTAATTTGTTTATTCTTGATGAGAGAATAAAAGCAGCACCATCGGTCATGCTAATTGGACAGGAGTAAAGTCCAGAAGAGGGGGAGTACAAATAGGTCCTAGATTTATGGCATGAGTGATAGCGTGGAAATAGGGATAAAGAAATACCCACAGCGCATACTGAACCGTTCTCCTATCAACTCCCAGGCGGCGGTCATAGCCCGCCGAGACAATCCTAATCAGATGTTAGATTATGCACGTCATCTCGAAGGCGATTCGTAGAGGATACCTGTTCCGAGCACCCCATTTACCTAGTTGCTTCCAGCCTTCCGTTGTCACTAATCGATCATAATCATATCGTTTACCCCAGACATTATGGCTCTTGACGTATGGCACATTGCGCTCAGCATCAGCGCTCCATTCACGAACCTGCTCGGAAATAGCCTCGGCTCCGAACTGGGTGAGATGCGGTTGTACAGATTGCAATGTAGTAGTTGATAGATACCCTGAATAATGGTTAGGAAGTATTATAACTACATTCAAATGAGAAACTCACATGCCAGAGTCCGTTGAAGACTGGGATCCGATGTGTAGGTATTCTCTAACGGGCCAGGGTCAGTAATGTAGCCACTATCGGCTGTCGCGGGCTGTGAGGCCATTCTGTAAATATCAGAAGTGATCAATGGTAGAAACAAACAGAAAGCTAAGAATGAAATTGATAGAAGCCGTTGAATAATGCGGGGGAGATGAACCTCGGCCGTCGGTTGTCTCGTGAAAAGCTCCAGGGTCTGTCATATTTACCCGCAAAATCGCCGACTGGCTGTTCGTGCCACCTTATTCATCCTGCACGATGTCATCTATCCTTTACCGTTTCTAATAGATGACCTGGTAATAAAGTAGTGGCGGCAAGCGAACAACTAAGTGATAATTGTTAAAATATCATGACAGGCCTGGACTTGTTGAGACTATTCTGGCCATAACAATCCTTCCCAAGGATACGTAGCGTGTCGTGAGAGAGTCTGATTTTGTATTTGATATTGCTTTTGCGAACAGCTGAAAACTCTTACATCTCGTGCAGCGTGTTGTATCCCGTTTCAACCAAGCTGCGCGGCCCTCGGGCATCAGAGCAGACATGCCAGTAGAACAATCCACCCAGTTTCGACGAGGTAACAAATTCCGCCTTCTGTTTTACCGTCTCTGGGGTATCATATGTGACAAAACCACCATCAGCTCCAACACAGAATGACGCACCAATATTCCTGTCGTAGTACTCTTGTGTCCCCGGTCGCGGCAGATCGCGATAGTCAAAAACACCATCCTCGCCACCTTGTCCAGTATACCGTTGACCAGGGCCGTTGCTACCCAAGAAGGATCGCCCATAAACTGGAACACCCAAAATGATCTTCCTAGGGGACACTCCTTGCCCTACGACGTAAGAAACCGCTGAATCACCAGATATACCCGAGCCATGAAGCTGAGCCTGATGGCCCGTCTGGGATTCCCATGGTCCAGCGAAATCGTAGGTCATAAGGTTTATCATGTCAAGATACTTTTGTGCCGCAGCAAGATCAATGTTTTGCAATGCCCACTGGCCAGCAGGGAGAGCGGTAGTAAGGACGTATCGCGGAGCGGGTAGGACTTCCCGCAGACGGGCGAGAAGACGAACATAATCCTTCCCTTGCTTGGAATCAGAAGGATGTTCCCAGTCGACTACATAGCGTATATAATAAGTTATCTGCTTTTGCGTTGTCAGAATCAAAAAGGATAACGCGGCCTTACTATCGATCCCATCAATTCCAAATTGATCCACCAATTCCCGTGCAGTGCGAACGAAAGTGTCCACCCGAGAGCGGCTGTTGGCTACAGCGGCGAAGTTCTCACTGCCTTTTCCCCCACCACCAACAGAGAGAATGACTCTCATCTTAGAGTACTGTTGCTTCAATTGGACAAAGGCTCTAAGACAACCTTCTGCCCCATCAACGGGCATTTGGGTATCAGCCCACTCATCACTCAGCTATATCGCAGGGTCAGCAAATATTCCCACATCGGACGACGTGCATGCTTATCCTTAGAACTCACATAGACAGTGCCATCATCTTTCACCCTGCAAGAAACCAATTTCAGATTAGCGCGTCAGCCATCTATACGGACTCCGGTCTTTTGAACGGCGGTGATTGGCTGTGTTTACCAGGCAAAAGCGTAGAACACGTGAGAGATAAATCCCAGGCGCAAAGATGAGGGAGGCTCCTTGCGATAGATTCTCCAATTTGGATAGTAGGCCGCATTTGTGTACAAAGGCACTTCGTATGAAGCGTGGGACTCGGCAGCGGGGTCACGCTCCGCGCCCAGTCGACGGAAGAGCCTAGAAGCTGAAAACATTGTCAAGACGTCAAGATCAGTGTGAGAGCTCGAGCATTGAAGAGAAAACAGAACTTGAGCCGAAGGAAATCCCCCAAAAGATGATCAACAAAGAGAAAAAAAAGAAGAGAAAGAGTGAATTGAAAGTTGGAAAGTGCCCAAAGCAATGCTGTGTTTCCTTTTTTGGAAAACGTCACGTGGTACCTCGCCTCGTTCTTTTTTAGCCTCTTTACACTTGAACTAATTGGGTAGAGTGTATGATCAGGAGGTTTGCAGATGTGAATCTGAGATGACTTCACTAAGCTCTTTGGGGGTGGACGGTCAACAATTGAATACGACAACAAGATGCGGGGAATGCGGGCTAAGCGTATGCACACCAGATTTTTCAAGGCACAGAAAGTACGTTGTCCGCAATGACTGATGTTTGCATGGTCAGATGCGGGGGTTGCTCGGTTGCCTGCAGAGCTCAGTCATGAACTGTTCTGTAGGTCCAAGACACACCGGACCTTCTCGGACGATCTCCGCGTGAAGCTGGGCATCTAACCATCTCGGATGCAATAGGAAAATCCTTTTCAGAGAAACTTTCCAGCTAAGGTACAAGTGTGGATCGTCCTGCAGGAGCAATGCACCCCATGTTCGAAAGGATGCAAAACCGCGCCAGATCGTCGCAAAACAATATTATTGTGGGCGATCATGACTTGGGAAAATTGGAATCAATCCAGCGTCACGCGCGTGTTCGGCGCCCAGGTGATAATGAATTGGGGAGCTAAAGATGAAACTAAGGAGAGGGGCGGTGTTTTACTGATGTTTGCTTTTTCTACTTGACCGAATCGCTTACAAGGGTATGTGATTCGCTCAAAGAGCTACTATTATGAGGCTGGGGAACTATAGCCCTGGAAGGTAGGGATGGGTGTCGCCCCCCGGCTTTCGGGGTTGATCTTTACCGAATCTCGGGAGTCTGGAATGCTTACGAAGTACTCTGCGGGGATACCGTTTGACCATGTCGTGTCTTCTCAAATCATATTGAAGATGGAAATGGAAAGCATGAGAAAAGAAAACAAGATCTTATTTTCAACGGCTGAATTCGCTCATTGCAACAGTCCTAAAATAACCAAGCACAGAAAGTTGCGAAATTCGGAGTCTAACAAGTGCCGTTCAACCCGCCTGAAGCCCCTTGTATTATTGGTCGCTACTTTGACTTTGTTCTGATAGCCTTACTTCGGCTTCTTCCCTGACAAAAGGACTGTAACTACGAATCATATTGCTGAAGATAGATGAGCGCATGACCCCCGTAGTGTCAATCTAGATCCCTATTAATGCTAAGGCGGCTGTGCCTTGATGAAAAGATCGCCTGTGTTAGCAAAGAAACAAGGAACCCTAGATTTACAGCTATCAGGAATGTTTCCAAAGAATATCCAAAAAAATATTAACGTGGTAGATATTTCAAAGTATATAGACCCTTAGAATACCTATTACATTTTGTGTATTCGGTATCTTCATACAAGACTAGAGCTTAACAGCTTTGTTCAGTTCAGCCCATTTCTTCTCCCCCTCAGAGCCAGGCTGCGGTGGCACCAGACCATTGATCTTCCACAAGTCCCTCGAGACTTCTGCGACCCAATATTCCCATTCCATTTTCTTTGGCTCGAATACTGGGTTGAGGATCCCATCAACACCAGCCAAAAATATCTGTTTGGCTTCGTCGTTCTTCATGGCACGGGCAACGTGATGGATTGTTATTGATGCAAAGTTGGGGTGAGGTTCGCCACCGACGAATGCAGTACCGGGAATGTCCTCGGTGAAGTGGACTTGGACATAGAATGCAGGTAGGCCGATGGAGACGTACAACCTAGTGATTGCCTTGGCAAGTTGTTCTTTTTCAGGAGCCGTAAGGGTGTTTGGACTGTGTTTGATGTACCAGGCAGGCATCTTCAAGGAAGTAGTGCAAATAATTCAAATTTACTTCAAGGTGAATCCTAAATGGATATTGTTGATTAGATTTTCCTGGATTGGATCCTGCTCATTCTTATACTACACTGAATACCATAAGATCCCAGATCAACTTCAGGGATTAGTGATATCAAAAATTGTCACGCTATCGTCTATATGCATGATCACAATTTTCCTCCGTCTTACATCGCCTTGATATCCTGGGGAGATAGCGTAATCAAAAATCTCGAATAAGGTAGCGCGGGTGCAAATGTGAGACTAACCTTGTTTTGTGATCATTTCATCAACCGCGAACCCCGATTTTGATTACAATATCATGCAACTTTCCGATCTCGATAGCTTCACAGTAGTAGCACCAGCTATTGCTCGGGTTGTATATTTGATCGGGGTAACACTCAAAATATGATGACATAGGGTTGAAGCTTTTTTTAGAACTAGGCCGTCTATGACGTGGGTCAACTCCATTATTGTGATTACCCGAATCTATCAACCATACCTACTTTGTACATTGCTGAACACTTGCAAAAAAATTAGATAGCATATTACAAATCAAACAAAATATATAAAACTTAGCTGAGCGCAGTATAGATTGCTTTTCCCCTAGCATTCGAACAATCAACAAGATGTCCAATAAATTGATATTTATCACCGGAGCCACTGGCTTCATTGGCAGCGCCACTGCAGTGGAAGCTCTTAAGGCAGGATATCGATTGCGAATTGGTCTTCGCAAGCCATCTGAACAATTACAAACTCTGCTGTCCGAGTATAGTGACCAAGTTGAATTTGTGATCATTCCAGACCTCACTGATGAGACTGCATTCGACGACAAGCTGAACGGCGTGGACTATGTCCTTCATCTTGCATCTCCTCTTCCCCATGGAACCGACAAGCAAACCTACTTTCCCCCAGCTGTGAAAGGTACTACTGCTTTATTGAAAGCAGCAACAAAGGTGCCAACCATCAAGAAAGTCGTGATTACCTCGTCTATTGCGGCTCTTATTCCAATATCTGGCATCCCTACCGGTGGTGTGTTGAAAGGTAGCTTATATCCTATCATTTTATCTCCTAGCAAGAATTACGCTGACACATCTCCTAGAGGACAACGATTGGGACTTTTCGGTTGATGAAAACAGAGATTTCGAGGACCCTCAAAACCCGGCTGTAACAGCATTGCGACTGTATATGGCCTCGAAACTTCTTGCAAACAACGCAACTTGGGAGTTTTGGGCAACAGTCAAGCCGCAGTATGCATTGGTGACACTTCATCCTGGCTTTGTGTACGGGCAAAATCTTGTTCAGAATTCTGCGGACGGAATCCAAAGAGGATCCAACGGTAATCTGTGGAATCTTATTATGAAGGGAATCCCTCCTGTGAATACTGCAGGAGTGCATATTCAAGATGTGGCAGAAGCGCACATTAAAGCACTGGATCCCAAGGTCGGGGATGGCTCGAAGTATCTACTGGTCGGGCCAAAGACGACAGGCCCCGAGATTGCACGCATTGTGCAAGAGCTATATCCAGATGCTGGAGCAATGATCTCTGAGAACTCGGAGGTTGACTCGGTCCCATTTGATACGACCAAGGCGGAGACAGAGCTTGGGATTCAATGGCGCTCCGTCGAGGCGATGGTGCGGGATGTGATGGACCAGCAGCTGGGGTTCCTATAAGGCCTTCGAAGCACGAGTTTCTGCCTCAATACCAACAGTTTGAAAAGTCGTTATATCCTCAATGTCGAATACAGCAATAGGATTGGATGTGGGGGTTTGATTTTCCATATTTCCTCGGTTTCTATCTCCCAAGTCCCCCTCCAGTGTATAATCGCATATTTTCCAAGAGAAGAATAGTACGAGACTCGAGAATATTGATTTATCGATTAAAATTCCGTTTCCAATGTAAACCGTAAATATTTACCTAGTATGGCTTGTCCACAGGTTGAATTCCTGGATATAAAAATGCAAACGAGCCAAACATCGTGTCGCCACCTGATTTCTAAGGCGACCGCTGGAGAACAACCTGGACAGCTCCGCAACCTTCAACAATCAAGACTTTTCCTTCGGGTCCCCTTCTTCATACCAATTTGTATCGAGTTTTACTGGGAATCTGTGATTACTGCTTCCTCTGCAAACCTTGCAATTTTATCCACAAAGAGGTGGTGGGAATAGTCAGTCGAATACACGCACCTGACTCGCGACCACAACCGATCATCTCCTTGCCCTCAAACACTTCGTCAGAGCTTCACAAAGCCATGGCTGCCGACACTCAAAGCGCAGCTGCGCAAATATTATCCGCCGAGCCGACGCGCGATCCCAGCTACAATGACTTTTCTTTCACACCCTTTCTACGCAAGAGCTTCGGCTTCGGACTCGCCAGCGATGTACCTGTCTGCAAAGCCTATAGTGAAGGGCACTGCCCATTAGGACCGGCTTGCCCAGATCGCCATCCCACCCCGTCCCGTGTGACAACCTCAACTACCACAGCATCCGGAATGGCACCATCTACGACACACGGCTCGCTGGTTTGCAAACATTTCCTCAAGGGCCTATGCAAGAAGGGACTGAAATGCGAATACCTCCACGAATATAACCTTCGACGAATGCCAGAATGCCAGTCATTTTCACGATCCGGATACTGCACCAACGGCGACGATTGCCTTTACCAGCATGTCCGCGAGGAGGCACGCCTACCACCTTGCGAGCACTACGACCGCGGATATTGCGAATTGGGACCACTATGTGCAAAGCGACACGTCCGCCGGCGTTTATGTGTATTCTACCTGGCCGGATTCTGCCCTGATGGAAAAGCGTGTGCCGATGCTCATCCTCGCTGGACGGAAAACCTACCACGGCCTACAATGCGCACTGAAAAGACCGAGGAAGAACTTGAGCATGAACGAGTTCTCATCCGTGAAGAACAAGAACGGGAAAAGGAACGGGAACGAGAATGGCGAAATGAACGTGGTCGGGGTGGTGGATTTGGGCGTGGCCGATTCCGCGGGCGTGGAAGGGGTTAGCTGGTTTCTTATCGCAAGGGTTTTTTTTTGGCGACATTGCATGGCATGGAGTGAGGTGTGGCTTCGGCAAGGGTCCACGGACTCCTTGGTTTTGTTTCGTTTATGGTTCTTGCGCTAGTCCCGCGATACCCCCCCCCCCCCCCCCCCCCCCCATTGAATTAGACGCAAAAATATTCACCTTTTTTTCCCCTCTTCACTTGAGCAGGGAGAAATCCCTGTTCCATTCTTGCTGTATCATGTCTGCCGTCTGCTACACTGGCTTTGCCTGGCAATAATGGACCCATAGTGCTGTGAAACTAACTCCTTTCGTATCGATATTGTGCCATCTGCCCAGGTGAGACATTAGGCTGATGTGAGATTAATCACAGATCTCATCTTATCTCAAGGCATTCGGGCCCTCCCAAGCTTCCAAGGGCTATGTTACAATAGAAACATATTTAGCATAATTCCAATTACATCATGACACCGTTACATGAACAGCGTATATTCTTTTAATTCCGCCATTGACTAAAAGCAATGGCCTTCTACAGTAGAATCTCAACAATCACTTTATAAATTGGTTTCGTAACTCCAGGGGTGACCCCCTTCTTAGCCCAAATTTTCATTTGTCAGTTCTCTGTAAGAATCACTAAGGACGGAGCTATATCTGAGTGGGGCCACTTCAGCCAATCATATTACATACTTGCTCTGTCATCGATGACTGATAGCTTTGCGAAAGCTTTGTTGAGCTCGCTAATCATAGAGGTACATGATAAAACATATTAATTAATATGGTGGATAATGTACCTAGGACATTCCCCTCAGCGGGGTGTCAACTATTATAATTAGCTGTCCTCCCGCCGTGTCTTTCTCCCTCCATCTCTCCTTTCCCTCTACCACATTCACCCTATACTCTCCCAAACCGTCATCATGGCTCCCAAGGTTGCAATCGTCTACGTATGTCTTCCAACGGCAATGTATTCCTCCATCTCACTAATTGTCCGAACAGTACTCCATGTACGGCCACATCCAGGCCTTGGCCGAGGCCGAGAAGAAGGGCATTGAGTCCGCTGGTGGTGAGGCCGAGATCTTCCAGTCAGTCACACCATCATTCTTACATCTCGCGTCATTTGATTAACATCTATGTCACTAGGATCGCTGAGACCCTCAGCGAGGAAGTCCTGACCAAGATGTACGCTCCTGCCAAGGCCAGCTACCCCATTGCTGAGCCCTCTGACCTCCTTGCCTTCGACGCCGTTCTGTTCGGTATCCCCACCCGTTACGGTAACTTCCCCGCTCAGTGGAAGACCTTCTGGGACAAGTCCGGTGGCATTTGGGCCACTGGTGGCTTCTGGGGCAAGTACGCCGGTCTCTTCATCTCCACCGGTACCCAGGGTGGTGGTCAGGAGTCCACTGCTCTTGCCTCCATGAGCACCCTCACTCACCACGGCTTCATCTACGTTCCTCTGGGCTACAAGACCGTCTTCGCCCAGCTGAGCAACTTGGACGAGATCCACGGTGGTAGCCCCTGGGGTGCTGGTACCTTCGCTGTAAGTTAACACGATACACTCCAATCTGTTTTCTCCCTTGCTGACCATCCCATCTACAGGGTGCCGACGGTTCCCGCAAGCCCTCCGCCCTTGAGATCGAGATTGCCACCGCTCAGGGCAAGGCTTTCTACGAGACCGTTTCCAAGGTCCAGTGACTGCATGGTAGTACCGAGTCGAAGCCGGAAAGTTCGACTCCTGCTGCTGGGGCGGCCGCTCAAAAGACCGAGCAGCCTTCCAAGGCGCAGCAGGGTTCTCAGGAGCCTGCCAAAAAGGAAAAGAGCAATGAGGGGCCATGCGGTTTGCCCAAGAACTGTACCATTCTTTGATTGGACCATGCATGTCTCTCCTTGCTTTCTGTAATTTTTGGCTGTTCTTTCTGGGGCGTTCTCTTTGGCGTTTCGAATTATTATGACTATACGGACATACCATTTCTTTTTCAACGGATAACTACCTCTACCTAATGGGGGAAGTTTTCGGGATATTTCTCAATTGCTTCTATAAGACCCCGTAGTGACATGTAGTAGTAGATGTTCAACTCTATATACCCACCTATGTTGTATTGATCCTTCGCCTTTTATGGCTATGGAGTATGCTTCTGGGCAGATTTCCGCCTAATTTGCCAAGATTGTTCTAAATTCGTTTCTGATATATAATAATGTATCCCTTTCAAAGTCTCTATGTATGTGTATTCAGTTCGGCACTTGAAGCTTTCCGTTCCCCTTTTAGTGCTCGAAAACCTAAATGAAGAACTGCGTCGCAAATCTTGCTATATTCGTATTTTGCATTGGGCTCGATTTACGACGATCTCCTTACTGCCGGATATGGTTTCCCCTGACTTGGATCGGTGTGATCGCGGGGTGCATTGACTTCAGGCAATGAAGCCTTCATAGACAGATCAGTATATATGTGTAAATATTCACTTCAGGGAAGATAGAATAAAGCCGGCAGATAACATTATCTTGTACACAACATGCCTATGTAGTCTACACCCCCCCCCCCCCTCTTATAGCTACACGCCGTGCAGGGGTCCAAAAAATGGTGTTGTTCAAGTGTAAAACGCACTCTATCACAACAGCTATAATGAAGCTACAACTACTTTTCTTTAGATCGTGACGCTCTTTAGTGTTATTTGGACATGCTGTCGACTGCATACTCATTCTGTCTGGCGGATATAGAATCGACACTCTGCTCCTTTACCCCTGTGTCGGCTTTTGAAAACGCTTAGCTCTACCCTATCTCTGTACAAATTTATTATTGTATGTATAATTTCCCAGATTTAGGTGCACAGGCCTGTCCCTAGCGACCAATACAGTGGTTACCTAGTCAGTTGCAAAGACTCAACATGAGATGCTGCTCTTGGAAAGAATACTTATCGTATGAATAGGGCTAAATTTGCCTACGAGTACCAGTAAATATGTTTTTTACAAGTTTATAGCCGGGTACTGCAAGATTTAAGAGCTAATCCTCAGATGCCTGTTCATCCCCAGTAAGAAATTGAGGCGCACATCGGATTAGCACCCTTGGACAGTAGAATTGTCTATATGCTGAGCTAGGTATACACGCAGGATATCCTTATATAGGGATCTTATGATATAGTACATTTGACAAAAAGCCCAATTCTCACTCTCAATTCAATGTCAAGAGAACAGCAGACGAGTCCGGCACATTGACAGTGACAACGCCATCCTGGAAATCAGCCCTTTCATCCTGCGCATTGATGATGACTGGATTTCCTTCCTGCAGATCATAGTCGTACGAAACGCCTGCGAAAGTGATGTCATCTAAGGAATCGCTCCCTGGGGCAGTGAGCCGCTCAACCTTAGCTCCAGTAACCTCACTCGGCACTTGGAAGCTGTAGGTTTTACCTGGACGAGGGTTTCCTGTGTGATTAAAGGCCTGGAGGTTAAGTACAACAAGCTTTGCCGGCTTGTCCCCGTTGTAGATTGCATATGCAGACTCGGTATCGCTCTTCAGGGGGATATTTGCGATCCGAGTGTCGTTCGAGGAACCAATAGCAGAGGCAACCATGATGTGACCATAATATGGTGCTCTGGTGGTTGGGCCCTGGTGCCTTCCTTGGGTGGGTTGCCATGCGCCGTAGCGGTAATCAAGGCCTTGGTGGAAGTGGAGACGCGCGATGTTCTGCGTTCTTCGTGTTAGAATTCTTGGTATATATGGGAAATGGGAAATATATGCGTACATTTTCTGCAGCCCAGAGGGAGAAGTCGACCACCCACAATGCGGAACCGAACACGTCTGATTGTCCATTGAGTCCTTGGACGCCGATTGAGTTGGTTTCTGAAAGGGTATATGGATGACCAAGGTGTGAGAGGTTCTGGGCACGTTGAACATGCGTTTTGAGGGCCTCAACAACGTTCGTGTGGTTCATGAGAACCTCTATTATTGTCATTAGCGCTGGTCAATCGGCCGAAGAAGTAAATCAGCTTACCTTGTAGATCACCAGCAAATTCCGGTACCATGGGCATATTCAGACCCATGTAACTTTTGAAGATTAGTACTTTGAAATCGCAATCATGGAAGAGCAAAGGCTTACTGATGGAAACCGAGTTCCTTGATCAGGCCGTTCTTGTCGTATGCATCAATATCGAAGAGCGTCTCTGCGGTCGTGTGAGGATCAACAAAGTCAAGCATAGGACCCTTTGTGATCTCGTCTGGGAATAGATCCATAAGAGGATCAATGTCAAGACCGTCAAGCAATATGAAGCTGGGCGCCATGAGCCCCGGGAAGGAGCCACCACAAGCCTTGTGAACTGCATCCCTGACAGAAGCAGTTTTGGTATTCCATTCATTGACATAATCCTGCATTGTGTAGTTGGTAGATCTGTACATGATAGGAGAGATATTGAACTCATTGCCCAGTTCAAGGAGATGCAAATTGGGACCAATTGTCTTGCACGCTAGAGCAGTTGAAGCCTCAAGATGGGTGATATTAGACTCATTCATATTCAAGCCATGAATATATTGGATGTTGCCTAAAGTTTGATATGACTCAAAATATCCGGGACCATAAGTAACCCGTTGTGGTTGGTCGTAAATCGGCCTTTGAAAGTTGAACGAAGGTCATGCACCCCTCAAATACTTGAAGCCATAAAACCTAAAACAAGATTGAAATTCCCGAAGTTCCGAGGTCTAAAACACTGTTGAATTAGCGGAATTTTCATGGAGCCTCGAATCCCGACCTCTCCGACCTTTCTCCGACCTACTGGGCACACGTAATTGTAAAGGAAGGAAGAACTTGGCACGTCCATTTCACCCTGATAGGTTACCAATTAATAACCATGCTGTGTGGACTGCGCCTCCCGCACGAAGAACCCGTTCACTTTCGGCACTTGCGAGGCCTGTAAAGCCGGCCCACTTGCGTTCAGACGAACGATGGTAGGACGTCATGGCGTAGTAGGGTCTGCCTCCAGGGCTACATACCTCGGCAGGATCATTAATCTTCTCTGGACTATCCTTTCGAGTTTTTCCATCTCCTCCGCCAACTTTTCGGTCATGAACAGCCAGACCCCGAAAGGAAGCGTACCAAAGAAATCTTCGAACCACCCTTCTTTTCCTGCCCATTTCCCTATTGATAGTGGGGCCACATTTATTGGGTTTACTATTCTGCAACCCGCCGAGCCTTGTGTCTACGATACCATCTCTATATAGTTGCGGAGTATATCCAACCCTCAATTTTTGGTACTACAATGTCAAGGAATATCTCAGAAAACCCCAATTGGATAGTTTGTAAATTCGGTTTATTGTTTTGATCGGATTTTTTTCTCGCTTGAATAACAACAACGGATTATCGCCCTTGCTGCTTGCCGCTTGCTCCTATGAATACGACTTCAGCTCTAGCGGTGGACATCCGTAAAAATATTCCAGACCTATCAATCATGCCTACTGGATGAGGACTTCCTAGGAACTCTCGGACCTTTTGTGCTACTATATTGTGATTGGCGAGATAATATAGATCCTAGGAGCTTAAGTGCTGGTACCTATTCGCGAGAGCTGGAGACTGCTAATGCTGAGAGCCAAAGTATATAAAGGAAACACTGATCCCTCCTAGAGTGAACAAATCCAAGTTTCAAGTATTTCTCCTCAAGACTGCTTATAAGTTTAAGCAACCGTCGGTATTCTGGGTCTGTCTCTTTCCAGCCCCTACGAAGACTTAAAGGACTCAGGTTTCAAACCCCCTTTTGGGGGTGGGAATTGATGCCTGAGTGCCTTATCTAGCACCGCTTTTTACACCGCTCTATACAGTGTATGGTAAATTTACTAAATTTATTAATACCACAGCTGTCAAAAAATGAAGCTTTTCATCTCCATGCAAATGGACGTATCTCCATATTTTTGGACGATCTGCAAGTGTCCAAAATGAAGCTTTTCATCTCTATACAAATGGACGTCTCTGGATATTTTTGGAAGATTTGCAAGAGTGAACAATGGAATCGTCCAGAAATATGGAGATACGTCCATTTGCATGGAGATGAAAAGCTTCATTTTTTGACACTTGTAACCCACAAGAGAATAACCTTGGGTACTACCTACATACTATGATTACTACGAGCTTCTGCAATACCTAAAAAAAGTCAGGCATTCAGGCATCAAATCATCCCAAAAGAGGGTTTGAACCCTGAGTCCTATAAGTCTTCGTACACATGACAGAGACCCGCGCGAGGCTACCGCCCGAAGCTGCCCAGGTGCTACCCAAAACGCGTAGTCACATGGGAATTCATCGTGGATTCTTAACCCAACACCAAACTCTACCACCAGGATTTTCATACCTTCAAAACCCCCATTTCGGCAAAAAGGAATTTTCATCATTCTGGCATTAAGATCACGATATATCCCTGACAGTACCACAACTGGTCAAGTTCCGTGTACCTCATCTTCCGATGGTGAGTCGCTATCGCCTGGTTTAGACTCTTACTAAGACACTCTAAGGAGACCCAATCTTTCAAAATAGAAGCTTTAGATAAAGACTCAAGTTTCTTCGGCCCCAATGACAACAAAGTGATCTACATAGCGTATGCAGAAAGACCACAAAGAGTCTACTGGCAAAATAGTTCAGTCTCGATTTCGAAAATCGACGATCAAGGTCAAATGGAAGGGAAACCAACATTTCTTGAAAAAAGTTCTGGAAAATTTGATATGATTCCAGGCGTGGCTCTGTACATCACTTCGGGGAAGGTCAAAGTCTTGGAGACCTAACTATATAATACTTTGGTTAAGTCACATCCGCGCATGGGATTCAGGAAAATCTCAATGGCATGGTCAGGCTAGGGCCATCATCGACCATACATGAACAACCAGTAAGTCTCCTCTTCGCTTTATACGTTGACAACACATATTCTGATGAACAGAGTTCTCACCATTCTTGCCAAAGTGGTGGATTTCATGGCTTCCTCAGAAACATACACTCTCACCACAAGGATTGAAGAGTGGCATAAGCTTCATGACCTGCTCGAATACTGGAACAGCTCTGTAAAGGATAAGGGTTTCATGGATCCTGTCTCAGTACTCGACGAGGGGGATAAGGTATTAATGTATTTCACACAATTTAGTTTGAAGGAGCGTTTGTGGTCAGTTTTCGGTTCGTGGCCAGTGAAAGTATTGCTGACGACGCATAGCCTCCTCCTGGCAAATGTTCCACCTTGCTCAAATACTCTTCTTGATCCCCAGTTCTTCGCGGGACTCCAATTGCTTGTTTGCTTTCCGTAAGATAGAGGTCAGTGTGAAGGTGCGCGTCACACCTCCAGCATGACCTAATCAGCACACAGGCAAAACTACTCTACCACGCACGCCAAATATGTGGCATTGCCCGAAGTAGACCGGATGGAAGTTGCCGTGTCAATCATGTTCAGCCCATCTATTATGGTATACTACCTCGAAACCGAGGCTTTATTTATTATGTTACTAATCTCCCTTGACTATAGCCGGGTGTTGTTTCAACGGGGAAGATGAGAGAAAGGCCACGGTTACACTATTAGAAGATATTGGAAATGGGCGTAGCTAGGCGACATTATATAGAGTCAGGATTCATATGCCGTATGGAGCTGATCGCCAATACCCCTACCCAAACTCCAAGATGCGCAGTAACAAAATCTGTCGCGAGGAGCTTGAATATCGAGAGATGGAATTATGACCAACTCAAAAGCCACACACTAAAAAAATAATCCGAGAACCTTTTGGAGAATCATGTTTGATTACTATCTTTATATCAAAAAATTGACCGACTCACAATGTAGGCTCGACTGTAAAGACATTTTGTACCTGCACACAATTTTTTCGCAGGTTGATAATAGGTATCATAGGAAAGCCTCACTCGGCAGAGGAAATATGTTACGTACAGTGACCTAGGTAGTCCCTCATATATGACTATTTATATATCTCTCTGCATAGGGACTAGATTTTGAATTTTTATAGGTCTTGCAGTTATTGCTATCACTAATTACAAAATCGTCATGCAACCCATTACCTGTAATAGTAATAAAATCAAGTCCAAACTGTGACTTCAGATGATGGCTTTCTTTGCCTGTGTCTTTGTTGGGTACGGCAAGGTCAACAGAGAGAAGTGGCCTATGGATCTTGATGGTTAAAATGGTGGGAAACCCAAGTTGTGAAAGGCTAGGATCAATCCACTGCACCTAGTAACTATCGGAGGTATTTTGCATTAGCAACGAACTGCTATCTCCGTATGACCAATATTAACATTATGTCTTTAGGGGATTGATAGAATCACACCCCCTTTGGTCTTTACTAACAGCATGTAAAAAATCGGTCGTTATAAATGGAGAGGCCGGTTTGCATATCTTGCAGCTAATTATCACAAGGGGCAAATAACTATGAGAAAAGTACATCTGACAAGACTTCAAAAAAGACTTTGAAAAAGACTTGAAGTCTTCCAAAAAGGATATGAGAGGGCCGCTTATGCGGCCCGCTACTCTTGTAGTATGCATGCAAATAATGGAATACAACAGGGACAGATACTTCACTCAGCATGATAGCAGACTCTGTATTCCATATGCAGAAGCAAGAATCCAAAAATTTTACAATAACAAAATCACGTTAATTTACAAGTCTGTCTATTGGCTGTCAAATCCGTCCTCACGCTTACGGCGAAGATGATCATAAAGCAACCCGTTGTGTGTTCGTGACTGTTTTCTTTCCTCAAGTACGCTCAAGTCAGGCAAACATTTTGTGTTTCTCTTTGTCTCTGACCAAGTCTCCAAGCAAGAACGTCGCATTTTCTAACATCGCTCCCTGTACTTTCAGATACTCTCTATGGTCACTTTCTGCTCATATGCGAGCTTAAGGCCGACAAGCATCGATAAGAATTAGCTAGCGATCTCGGTTATTTCTATTGATTACATATTTAAGTGAGCGAGGATAGGTACATAATAAATCAGAAATTTTTTAACATCTAGAAGTTACAAAATAAAAACGCTTCCAAAAGAAAACAGAACAAAGCTACGCAGGTGACAAATGTGCATGTGGTATCACTAACTAGCCAATTTTCCTCTGCATTAAACAATATTTGTTCGCTCAAGCTCACTACTTAATAGGACAGTCCCAAAGATTAATAGCTAATAGATATTTTGTGTAATTATTCATAACTTATCACTACGCAGAACCTGCGAGCTTAGGGTCTTGCATGTGTAGTGATATATATATTTTGTAGTACTACATTGATGCGTGTGGCTCTGTATCCGTGGTAACAACTTTACAGCTTTACCGGCGCCTCACCGAAAACTCCACAGTCACCCGCAAATCGTTTTGTCAGCGAGGTACCATACCGCCCGCCAACTGTGACGTGACCAGGGAAGCTTCGGGACAAGCTGCTCATTCTCACTTGCATGTGTCTTCTTCTTCCACTTATATTTCCCAGAAAGTGAAGCCACTGACTCTCACTTTTTCTCTTCAATAGTGCTCTAGACTTTCCTCAGGGCCAAGATGGCCTCCATTCTTCTGCGATTCGAGAGTCGGAACGGCCAATTTCGACTCACAGTCAGCCCGCAGGAACTCTTCCCATCACTACAAAAAAAGGTATGTGTCGCCCTTGACCAGAAGAGAAAGGTGGCAGAATGAGAGTCACAAGGTAATCTGACAACTGGTATTAGATTCTAGAACACCTCCCGTTAGATGTCGAACCTTCGTCCATCACCCTCTCAAATAAACCGATCGGCACAGGTGGCGAGGAGAGACTACTAGAAGGTCTCCAAGGGGTTTCGCTTCAAAAAGTTGGCCTCAAGTAAGCGTCAAATTTTGTGATGGCCTCTACATAATGAATTACTCACGCGCCGCTGACTTGAAGGCATGGCGATAAGCTCTTTATTGGATATCGGGAACAGGCGCAACAGAATGGACTCTCGAACGGCAACATACCTACTACTTCAGAACACCGACTCAATGGAGCGTCAATCCCGAAACAACAGACAGTCCCGATTCGTGCACTGCCAAGTGCCCCCGCACCAATGAAGAACCCGTGGGACCTGGTGCAGCAGTCACCGCTGGACAATTTGCTTGACAAGAAAGACGGAAAAATCAAGCGTGGTATGGACTACAAGATGTGCAGACATGGTCCCCGAGGAATGTGTGATTACTGCATGCCACTCGAGCCTTACGATGCGAACAACATGAAAGAGAAGAAGATTAAACATCTTTCTTTCCACTCATACCTACGGAAAATCAATGCCGCGACCAACAAGCCCGAAATGGGAACCTCGTTCATGCCTCCGCTTAACGAACCATATTACCGAGTGCGAAGTGACTGCCCATCGGGGCATGCGCCTTGGCCAGAGGGCATTTGCACCAAATGTCAACCAAGCGCAATCAGTCTGCAACCCCAGGAATTCCGCATGGTAGACCATGTGGAGTTCTCGTCCCCCGATCTAATCAATTCCCTCCTTGACTTCTGGCGAAAGTCAGGTGCTCAGCGACTGGGATTCTTGTATGGAACATATGAGGAATACACCGAAGTACCACTAGGTGTAAAGGCTGTCGTGGAGGCAATCTACGAACCCCCGCAAACGGGTGAAGTCGATGGTGTAACCCTTCATGACTGGCACAACGAAAAGGAAGTGGACGAAGTAGCCCGTCTCTGTGGATTGCAGAAGGTTGGTGTCATCTTTACTGACTTGATTGATGGCGGCCGCGGGGATGGCTCGGTGGTTTGCAAGCGGCACATCGACTCGTACTTCTTGTCTTCACTCGAAATTGCCTTCGCTGCACGACTCCAGGCACAAAACCCCAAGTCAACGAAATGGAGCCGGACAGGACAGTTCGGCTCAGATTTCGTAACGTGTGTGCTTAGCGGAGACGAGAAAGGTGCGATCTCTATCAGCTCGTACCAAGCATCTGTGTCCGCAGTTGAGATGGTTCGAGGAGAAATCATCGAACCCTCGGCGGACCCGAGCGTGATGTTGGTGCAATCAGAGTATGACGAAGATGCCGGAAGCAGGACACGATACATCCCCGAAGTCTTCTATCGCCGAATTAATGAATACGGTGCAAGTGTACAGGAGAGCGCCGAACCGAGTTTCCCAGTCGATTTCCTACTAGTCACCCTCACCCACGGATTCCCAACCGAGTCATCCCCGTTATTCACCGACAGTCGATTCCCCATTGAGAACCGTGAAGTCGTCGGCGAGAGCCAAGAGCTTCGACACGTTGCGCAGAAACTTATGTCCCATGGTGATCCCGATAAAGCTATCCAAGGAGTTTCTGATTTCCACATCCTGTGCTTCTTGCATGGAGTCGGCACATTTAGCAAGGTCGGTGTTCTAATATTGCATCTTTTAAGTGTACGTGGCGCTAACTCACATTATCGAGCAGGATGAGGAATCCCTTCTCTGCCGCGTCGCCAGAACGAAGTCCCCCGTCGAGGGCATGCAGCTTGTGAATACCCCAGGATGGGCCACATTGATGACAATTCTTCAAGAGAGTGGTGAGCGCCCCCCCAAGCGCCCCTGGCCCACACCGGCCGAGCCTTCTCGCCCGGATTCCCAAGCCCGAAAACGTCGCAACCCCTCACCCTCCACCCTACCCCGGTCCATATCTCCAAGTCCTGAGAGTGACCAGCTTGCTAAGAGGTTTAAGGGAGCTAGTTTAGAGTGACGGGTTTCGTCTTTACACCGCTCGATTTTCATCGCACACCCCCTGGACCCTTCGCCCCGGGTTTCCCAACATGTTGCCCTAAAGGATACGAGGGGGGCATTAGTGACTGTTCATCGCCCCTTTTCCCCCGAGACATTGTCGATTCCCGGAACCGAAATGGAGATTTGATGATGCGGGAATGGAAGTTGGAAGGGCCTTGGGACCATCGGCTAGTTATAGCAGGTTAATACTCTGCCCGGTATCACTGCATTTTCGATGAATATATCACTCGAAATCCAGTTCGCGTCTCACGCGTCTCACAGTCCTAGATTTTGCTGTAATTATGAAGTAGATAATTCACTGATGCTGCCGAGGTCTCGTCTCAGGGGCTTGGCCTGTTCACCATGCTTTTTGAATAACAGAGATATGAGACAGAAGATTGGATTAATGTGCGCAGATAAATGCTACAGATGGATGCTACTAAGTAATGAGCGTACATATAACTACTCCGTAAGTGTAGTAGAGTGACGTCAGGCGTGAATCTCTCATAGCACGTGAACGACAGCATTTTTCCTCATTAACTTCACGGGTATGTTTCTCATAGTACACAATTACAACAATTTCCTTGCCCTTCCCAATATTGCACTGCCCATAAACGCCCGAGTAAAGATGCAAAACTCCCAGATAATAACACAAGTCAACGGTGATGGTCACCCTCGTTGCTAATGTGCCTGACTTTCTTGGACAAGCTCCTTCAAATGTCTTTCCAATAACTCCCGTCCCTGTCCAGTACTCCATACTTCATGTGGAGCATCCTCAGCAATATCCCAGGACAAGAGGTTGTCTGTGATATGAGAAAGATCCTCCTGTCGCTCTTCCCACTGAGGATTCTTTCGAACCTCTTGCCCAGAGCTCACAACGACAACAGGAGCATGACCCATCTGGACATGTCGAGCAGATTTGATCTCGGCGGAAGTCATAGTAACAGCCACGAGGTTTTCCTGCAGCTTTGCCTTGATATATTTACCAGTCTGATAAGCCGAGCGGCCGATAACGCGGTCCTCGCGAGAACGGCCGCGTAAAAGGGCGCCCGCAAGCCGATCCAGCCCCAGTGGAGAAATGATACCACGAAGCCAGAGCAAGAACCCACGGCCGGGACGGCCAAGGTCTCTCAAGTATGCCTCGTGCAGGGGGTCGATCATAAAGATGCCGCGAACTTCAAGAAGATTGCGACTGGCAAAAAGTCTCGAATGAAGACTTCCAACTCCAGCTGAAACGAGTATCCATGGACCAGTTTCGCCTGCAAAGGCCAATGCCTCTGCTAGGGCATCCGCTGACATGCCCGCAGAATGGGGCGAGGGTGCGTTGTCAGACCATCCGAATCCTGGTCGGTCCCAATAACAATATCTGTCAATACCGCCACGGCCGTATACATCGTCGATGAAGGGTTGCAGTGTATGCTCGACTGGCCCATCGCCACCCTCCAGAAGGATCGTTGGTGCATTTCCGTCTGCAGTTTTGTTCCCGACACAAGCGAGATGAACTTGATAGGTATTGCCATGCACCGAGTACCGCTTACCTGGAGCTTCGAGCCCAGCATCGAAAGCACGCAAGATCAGAGTCGCCGTGAACAGGATGGTGGCGACCCCCATGGCAGCCATTAGAATCGTTTCCGTGAGAACAGCACTCCACTCCAGCAGGGAGCGTCGAGTCTCTTCTCGACCAGTAAGTCGCTCTTCTTCCTCCCGCTTGCCCCAAGCAACCGCTTGATTCTGGATGGCATGGTAGATGGATATCAGAGCTACCCAGACAACAGAAGCAATACCCACCCAGCCCTCTTCAAGACGGATCCGCGGGACAGCGAGGATAATACACATGTCCAATACAAGAAGAACGGCAAGCGTAATGGCCCATATGGTCATGGGCTTTGATGGTACTGCGAAGAACAAGAGTCCAACAACGAGGTATCCTGTCGCCAAGGTGGTATATGAAAAGGCGAAGAACCCTGACCCCCGCGAGTGGATCATCGGTGGATTGACAAATATGGAGACCAGCAGGAATATCCACCATATGAAGCTGATTCCAAATGCGATGACCGAGACGCCGCGCAACGCGCGCACGCTCCATAGATTGTATGGCGATACCTAATTCTATCGTTAGCTATATCTTGTCTTGTGCTATTTAGTATGTTTTGTGTGTTTGACTCACTGCGGGATCGTCTGGGTCGAGGAAGCCATGATTATTTTCTGCACCAAGCAGTCTTGAACGCTCGGTGGGTTCCTCATGCTGATCTTGAGTGTGGGGTGGTCCCGTAGACCTAGGGTCGGTATTGCGACCCCGGAGTGACATCGTGAAGATTAATGTCGATCTTTGATTTAGCAGGTTTCATATAAATTCAAAGATAGGAATGAGCAATGTTTTATGTTTCAAAAAATCAAGGCGCAACCTGGGGGTTGATGGGTATGACATCATGCATTTTACTTGCAGATCTATATCTTGGATATTCAAGTCGCACCGTCATTTACTACTTTTCTGTATTATTTTTTTTTGCTTCGTCGCTAGAAGATACGAATGATATCAAAGCATTACCTTGAAAATTACACAAGAAAAAAGACTAAAATGAGATACGGCTTTAGAGATGGGTAACTAGTGGTGGACATATGTACATAACTTCCAAGTGACACATGATTGTTTCAAAGTATTCAACCATATCTAACATTGCCGGAGCCATCCCCAAACCAGTCATCCGCAGCCAAGGACTCATCAGGAGAAGCATAGTTTATGATTGTGCTTTTCGATGTTGTGTAGGCATTATAAGCCTCAATCCCATTCTCGCTTCCAACTCCACTCGCAGACTTTGAACCTCCCCATGGACTGCTAGGGTCATTTCGGTGATGGGTATTTACCCAAGTAATCCCTGCATCGATCTGCTCCGACACTCGGAAAGCCTGGGGAAGATCAAGCGTCCAGATACCGGCTCCCAACCCAAACTCGCTGTCATTTGCCAATGCGATTGCTTCTTCCTCGGTATCGAAACCAGCAACCACAATAACAGGGCCGAATGCCTCCTCGCACCAGATAGACGTCTTCAAAATACTGTTGCTTTTACTTCCGTCGCTGGATTGAAGTAGAGTTGGTTCGTAGAAGTATCCCTTCTCGAGGTTGAATCCGTCAAGCGGGCTTTGCGAAACCATCCGCTTTCCACCAATGATGGCGATCGCATTTCCTCCGTCCATGGCACTGTTGACTAGGCGCTCCACATTTCGCAACTGCTTCTCGGAGATAAGTGGCCCCATTGTTGATTCCGGGTTGCTTGGAGCCCCAATTCGGCGTGTAATGCTCTCCATCTTGGCCCTGAGCTTGCTCAGTAGCTCGTCGATGATCGTCCTTTGCACTATAATCCTGGTACTAGCCACACATGTCTGTCCACTTGCGATGAAGCTTCCAAAGACGATTCCGTTGACTGCCGTGTCGATGTTGGCCTTCTCAAACACGATCAAGGGTGCCTTTCCACCCAACTCGGCAGTATATTTTGCTAGATTTCCTCCAACAATCTTTCCAATTGCCCTGCCAGCCTGGGTGCCACCAGTCACATCCACCTTTTTTACTAGGGGATGTTCAACCAGTGCTTTGCCGGTGATAGCCCCATAACCAGGTAAGACGCTGAACACGCCATCGGGAATTCCCGCCTCGCGTAGAATTTTGCCCAGCAACAGAGTTGTCAATGGAGTTAGCTCGCTAGGCTTAATTATAACACTGTTTCCAGCGGCAAGGGCTGGGGCAAGCTTCTTCACGGCGATCAACAGTGGGTGATTGAACGGGGTGATCTGAACGACTACTCCGAGAGGCACTCGGTCGACAAAGTTATGCAGTTTACCCATCGTTGGGAGGACAGATCGCTCCTCCACTCTTAGTAGTGAAGCATAGTATTTGAGCCATCTTGTCAAAGATGGGACCTGGGCCTTCATTTCCCGAATCACTCGACCCGTCTGTTTTGATTCTGTGGAGATGAGTAGTGGAAGGGCATCGGAGAGAAGCGCTGCACATTTGTCTAGCACGTCGGCACGGTGATGGCGACTCGCACGCGACCATACGCCGGACTTGTATGCTGCGTGGGCGGCGGAGATGGCGGTCTCGACATCGTCTGGCGAGGCTGCATGGCACCTGTCAATGGTTAGACTAACATAAAAAGCTTGTGACAATCAGCTTACTGCGCGAAGATCTCTCCAGTCGCTGGATCTTCGATGGGAATGCTGTAGAAGGGTCAATGGTGGTTCGACAATGTCAAGATAGCCGTTACCTACAGGTCCGCATTCCCATCTTGCTCTTTGCCAGCCAACCACAAGCGATATTCCATTTTGAGAGAAAATATTCAGGTACGTAAAAGGACCCCTCACAGAATCAGGGGCAGTGATGCTTTTATAGATTGCGCTTATCTGGCTTATCTTCGAGGGGGGTAAATGCCCAGATGAGGGGTCAACGACATTTGACCTTCCAATCTTCGTCGCTTCTACAGGTATTTCCCCCTCAGTGGTTTCCTGCCCTGTCAAAGCATGGATTGCATTGATCACGATCGCCAGACAGATGTATCGGGCGGCAACGGGGGCCATGTCGATCCCTTCTCCATCAAATTGAAATGTCGCGACCTGCACTATTTTCATCTTCCAACCCCCCCACCATGAATTTTGACTATAATACGCCCGTATATAAGGCTGTCAAAACACTTTCCCAGCCTGTCGGAATCCGACAAGAACATATCGCTGAAGAAGAAACTCTCCTCTACCTGAAACCCAAATATGACCACCGATCGCCCAATGAATATACCATCAAGAGATATTGGGACGACTCAACGGTTTTCACAGTCACTGGCCATAAATATGGTGACACCCCAGCTCGCGAATTTCGCGACTCCTCGGGACTCCCGATGTTCCAGTCTCGTGCCTCTATCCTAGCATGGAAAAGACCACTGCGGGTGCGATTACCCGGCAAGGAAGACGAAGAGCTTGTGGATTTCAGGGTCGACATGAAAAAAGTCTACAGACTCACATTCCGCAACTCAATGGAGCCGGACTCCAAAAGCGAGAGCGACAGAATGGCGACGGTCGAAGTGCGAGAGACGGGTTCTTTCGCATGGCAAGGATTCTCGGCCACTATTGGGGGCCAGAAAGTGGTTGACGTTCGTGAGAGCATGACAATGAACAAAACACTACCCAAAGCGACATCTCAAGGCGACGTGTCCTTGATGCCGCGACAAGTGCTTGAGATTCTGGTGGCTGAGGGATTTGACTTGTCGCTAGTGAGTGAATACATTTTGGTTGGTAAACAAAAGCTAACTACCCTATTCAGGCTGCACTAATTGCCGTGTACATGGCAGATACGAGATTCAGTACTGCACCTCCTCCCCGGTTCTAAGTGAATAAAATGACTGTTAGATATTGCAATTGGACTGGCTTCAATCCACATCTTTTATGCAATGCGGGATACAAAATGTTGTACAACAATTGTCTCTTTGTCAACTCTCAAATGTCAGATCTATATAACTAGCCCCTCTACCAGTTGTATCTGGTCATTCTTCTTCTCTCATGAATTGCATCTTTTACTTGACTGAGATGGGGGCTTAATTTTGAGATGGAGAAAAAAGAAAGCCATTCAAACTACCTCTGGTATTTTATGTGATTATCTATCCACATAATTCACGGATATCACTGAGGGAATTTTTTGTTTCAAGTCAATCCGAGAGTATAAGCAGTCGCCTTTTTCCTCACAACACAGAAAGCAACTGCACCACCTCCCTCGGTCATCAGCTGTCTAGGTATAATCGCAGTTTCTTCAAGTGCCATCATCCACTAGGCACACATTCTTTGGTCTATACTCTTCTTAGAGGAATGCCATTGCTTTCAACGTGATTTTTCTATATCGTTGGCTACAGCAAGGTCTTGCAGATAGCTCATGCTAGTCATCTAGCCCCTTATATACATAAATGTCGTCACCATATGGTATGGCCAATAGCATTTGTTCCAAATACACTCGTCTTGCTACAAATAAATGCAAAATGACTACACCGAGGGATTGCAAAGCATTGCCGGCCTATGGATGTACATATATAGGTGAATAGGCTTACCTGAAACGTGATGAGAAAAGGGTCCTAATTATATTATAACACGCCCGGCGGCTACGATGTTTGTTTGTCATCTATCAACCGCCATTCCTAGATGAATATCTGTTTGGCTGGTACATCTCACTTTGTTTACTATTTATCTACTTCACTGCCTCAGATATTTCTTTCTTTCTATCCAATCTCATTGAAACTCGTCAACCCCGACATCATCAGCCTTACCATCACAGACAATGACGGGCGATATCAATCCCAATCTCTCAGTAGCTGAGCAGGAGCAGCTCTTTGACCAGCTTTTAAGCAAAGTTCACCCCGATGAGCTATTGTGGAGGCAGCACTTTACCACGATCTCTACTTGCATTGGCTCTCGTCGCCCCGCTGGGGGTATCATCGCATGCAATGAGTTCCTCTCCAGTCCAGTGCCAGATGCAACCAAGGCTAAGCGACAGGCCTTGGCGCTAGACTGTGAGATGGTCGGCGTGGAGAGTGGACTTAAAGAGCTGGCATACTTGGCAGTGGTGGACATCCTTACCGGAGAAGTTCTCGTCAATGCTTTTGTGAGCCCAACGAGAGTTGTCCAAAAATGGAATACCCGATGGAGCGGGATTAGGTATACGGACATGAAGACCGCGGTGAAGAAGAGGGTTGCGATTAAAGGATGGAAAGCGGCTCGCTCAATGCTCTTTGAGCATATGGATAGCAAGACAATTCTTGCTGGTCACGCGCTACATAACGATCTTAATGTGCTCGGAATCTTACACCCAACTATTGTCGATACCGCGATTATGTCGGCAGATGAAGTTTATAGACCGTTGGGAAGGCCGTTCCGACGGACTTGGAGCCTGAAGTCATTGACAAATGATATACTTGGCTATGAAATCCAAGGGGAGAGGAGAGGGCATAGTGCTCTGGAAGACACTGTGGCTACGCGAGGTCTACTAATCCATTGCAACTGACACCCTCTGGATTTGGAAGCCTGGGCTAGTAAAGCCCGAAGCGATGAGCCGCCCAAGTGCGAGGAGGCTGAGGCGCCCGATTTCGGGGTTCACGAAGACCTACAGCAGTGCTAGCTAGATATCTGAGGATCTTCGGGAGATATAAAGAGGCGGTTCGGCACAAGACGGACTTTAGGACAACTGGCAATGAAAGGGGGGGTGGGCTTAGCCTTTCTTATGGCCTATCCCTCAACATCTTGATACTCATGAAATTAATGAAACATCAACTTCATCACAGAGAAGTCTCAAGACGTAAAAGGATTTCATGTAAAAGCTTAATCAATGTTATATGCATATGCATCAGTAAAGCTAGCTAATGAGATACACAATTCAGGAATTAAAAGTGCCTTCTTCTTCAAGAATCGAATTCGTTCGCTGCATTACCAAGTGGACTCCATTGTCAGTGGTGTGAGTAGATATCTTCCTGGTTTTCGACACACTTTCATCAAATCTTTTCCAGACGTCCAGGACCATCTCGATATGCTCAATCTCAAGTGGTCTTTTCTGGAAGCGTGCAATTGTCCGGGCGGTATGGACTGCATTTGCAATCTCTCTACCGTTCATCTTCACCAGCAGGAAGGCGTTTATGGCCTCATCAAGATCCACAGAAGTCTCTTCACTTGATATAGACGTCAAATTTTGCACCCACAGCCTTTCTCTCGTCCCAAGGCCTGGCGGGGTATATTCGAGTGCGAGATGGATGCGAGACTTCATCGCTTTGTCAAAGGACTTGATACGATTAGTGGTGAGGAAGACAATGCCGCTGAAGTACTCTAATTCTTTCAAAAAAAACTAAATCGCAAGGTATCAGTTTTGCTTTTTGGCGAATCGGGTGAGTTTCTTACTAGCTACAAGAGCATTTCGATGGGAAGTGTCGCCATGGTCCTCTCGAGCCTCGAGGAAAACATCCGCTTCATCCATTAGGACAACCGCACTCCAGGTTGTTGCATATCGCAGAACAAGTTTGAGACGAAATTCAAAAGACGCAGGTCTATTTCAGGTTAGCTCTTTCTGCCATGACTGGGCAATATTTTAATTATTGTCCGTACTTGTTCGATTTATTAAGCTCTCCCAGAGAGGTCATCATGAGCGCCCTTTTTGATCCCTCAGCGGCGGCAGTCTCGGCTGTTAACGTTTTGCCAGAACCAGGTAAGCCATGTAACAAAACAACTAGGCCCTTTCCTTTCTGCAAGCTTTGGTCGCGTGCGTCTTCTGGGTATGAGTGAGACGTTACTAAAGACTGAAGAACGAGCTTTTCGTGATCACCAATAATCAACGAATCCCAAGCATTCTCTTTCCATTTGACGTTCTCAATAGAGTCGATGAAAAAAAGGCCCCATTCTTTGCGACTTAAAGAAAATCCATACCCATACGGTGGACAGCATAGTGGATCCGGGGCCTTGTCCTGAACTCTGCATGCGTTTGAATGTTGGTGTTCCTGGAAGGTCTTCTGGTTCAATATGACCCTTCCAAGCTCGGTATAAGGAATCCAAACACCATCAAATTCGGCCATATCAGGATAAAAGTAGCTGTAGTCAGGCTCCTTAAGGAACTAGGCATGTCCATCATAGGACATAACAGCTACGTTCTGTAGTGCGAGGAACCTTTGACCGCGAAGTATGAGTCGATTTTCAAGATCCACCTGCTCCTGGACAAATCTGAGAGGAAAGCATGGGAGTTCAGTGATGGTAACCGGGTTTTCGGAGGCAAAGCATATTTTCTGGTATATTTTTAAAAACATGGGAACTTTCACCAGCGACAGTCCCATCATGGTCTGTGTAGAGACAGTGGACTTCCATATAAGGACCTAATTTGGTACTTGCTTCATATGCAGTCTTTTGGCACCTCAACAACCAAGGATGGCCCATGAACTCGGTGTATACCAGATCTCCTGGGCGGAAAATACACCAAGCGTTCCTGAATGCAATTTGATTCTTCCGTAGCATACCGAGAAGGCGCTCTCGCTCGGGTCCAATTTCATGTTTCATGAAGTCAAGCAACAGATTGAGATGCATACGCTCGTCAGCATCTTTCGTTGTTTGTCGGCGTTCGTCCAATTCTTCCCAGTAATGCAAAAGGATCTGGAATAGCCCCATGAGTTCAAAGGGAGAGGCAAAATCGGCTAGAACAGAGGGGTAAAAGGCAACCACTTCTCGGAAGACCTTCAAGAGTCGCCTGGAATTGATTTGCAGAGTATTTTTTTCGAGTTGGTTCTTGTTCCCCAGGAAGCGATTGACGACCAACGCATAAGGACTGTCCTTGTCGCTGAGTGCTAGCCGGGAAAATGGATTCGAAATGGTCTCAATAAATATATTCCCATCTTTTTTTAGGCTGTGACGATAGACTTTGAACTCGCACTTTTCTCCGGTCATGTCTTCAGTGGAATCCATATTGCTAGAATGAACTCGATGTGTCTGTTTTCCTGGGAGATATGGAGACTATTTATGGAAGTTATATCAATCTAGGTTGCGTTAGTACAAAAGTCTAACCAAACTACATAAGCTACTTACACCGGGCAAGTTGAGGCTCAAAAAAGCCCAAACAACAATTGAGCGGGGGGTACAAGTCTGACAGCTACAGGGAGGACCCCTATGTCACACCTGTCATGATGCGCAGTTTATGCCCCTCCTGGGCCTCCTACAGGACTAAGGCGGCCTAACGGCGACTGCGTGCGTGCGAGTAAGCCAATCGAAAAATGACATATGTCCAGTGTCTCCTATATCATTCGGAGGACACGTCATGGCTAGACTTGTGCTACAGTCATGAGTTACGCGGGCTTTTTTCCCCCAATGAACTCAAAAGCTTACCTGGGCCTTGATTAAAACCGGCGGTTCTGGATAGCACACTTCTCTTAATATCATAAATCGGCAGACTCATAAAAAGGGCACCTTGATTTTATTCGAGGATTGTGACTCTCCAAGTCACAGCTAGTGATCGATGGCGGCTATCACAACACCGAGCCCTTTGGCTCAGGCTATCGATGAATTCCTTGATGATATGAAGGCTCGTCAACGTAAGACCCCATTCTACAAAGAAATCTTGACCTCACGGTCTGTTTTAGCGCCCAATGAGAACCCACGGGAGGTCCACATCCGTACAAAAGAACTTGAGGGTTTTGTCAAAGAGCTTGAAGAACGGAGAGCTAAGTCGAAGACGCTGAGAACACTTAGGACCCTTGCACCTTTCGTAAATGGTATTGTTACTTTGATGGATGCTTGCTTCGCACTGATACAAGCAAGTCCTTTCGCGTTTATTGTAGCTTTATCGGTTGCTCGTTTCGTGCTAAAGGTGAGTGCTTCAATGATGGGATGGGAAAGAGTAGATACATTGATTTTAACTCTATTGCAGCTCGCAACCAACACCAACTCGGCGTTTGATCTCGTCACCGAGACGATGGGCAAAATTGGAACGTATCTTCAGTACTATGGCAAGTTTGCTGTTGCATATAAAACCTCTGATGAGGTACGCGAGTGTCTTGTTGCCTCATACAAGAACATCGTTAACTTCTGTGCAACGGCTTCAAACCTCCTGTATGAGCACGGTATGTTACTGCCATATTATTAAAACCCTACAAGATACAATATATTTCCCCTCCTCGGCAGTATCTTCAAATCCGGCTCTGCTCTACCGGCACAGATCTTCAAAAGAGCATAGAATATTTCTCTCTTTGGCACGAAAGTCACCATGTCGGTCGAAATCAAACCTGTCAGATGGACAAGCTCCTACGCCGGTTGCACCTGCTCTGCCTGTAGTGGTGCGTTGGAAAATCCCGAATGAGAATGGATGGAGGGTCTGGGACCCCGAACGCGATGGAAAATCCACAGATCTAAAGCTAGGGTTTGACTACATTCGAATGCTGCGTAGTGGATTTGGAGATGGTGAGAGGAAATTCGATGTCCCAATTAGGAGTGGACTCGACTGGACGCGAAAGGTATTCTTATCTTGCGCTTAGGGGAGTCTCTTTCGATGGATCAGACTATCTATCAACGCTTCTCTACCTATTGTCAGTGCCAAATTCAGCAAGTTACCTCATCAAGGCAAGTTAAATGCGTTGTTAAGACTCGAAGAATTCTCATAGGACAGCATTCAAGCGGTTCCCCTATTCTATTCTCTTCTAGGGTAAACCATAACCTTTGCATAAACCCGCATGCTTAGATTAAGAATCGCTATGCCAGGATATATATTTTATATTGATGTTCAAATAGTATTCATGGCGGGTGAGTATATAGCAAACTTTAGCCTAAAGCTTAGATGTAACCTCTATATCGCAGTGGCTTTAAAAGTAGCTTTTTTCTGATATCAAAAATAACTGATCTTACCCGGCTCTTCGCTCAACCCAACACCCTTTGGGGTTGTTGAACCCCTCAAGGGGTTAGGAGCGAAAGCGACCAGTTGGGGCCCTGTGAGAAGAACAGTAACCAGATATAAGTGGAAGCTAGGCTGTTTATACAGGCCGTTGTAGTTTAACAAAAAGACAGACACAATAAACCCAAGTCTAAGTTTCAAGACATATATCCCGCATCACTTCTGAAGGTTTTGCTTCTTACTCAGGAATCGACATCTTTGCACGGATGGCACCGAGGGAGATATCTAGTATTTTATAATGGATATTATTCTCGTGCTTTTTTTTTCATCTTCCTCTCGCCGCTATAGTTCTATTGTCCTTGTGGCAAGTTGAGATGAGTACTTATACTTCTACTTCATCTGCGAATTTCAGGTTGAGCCACTAAGACGAATCTAGGTACACAGAAACCATATTTAAAGCCTTATATGTGATTAAAATTGCTAGCATTGCCACATGACGGCCCTTTACAAGTCCTACGGCTTTGGCACGACATCTCAGGCCTGGAAGCCCTCCAGCTGGAAGGCCAGCAGAGATATTAGTCAGCAGTGAGTGACGACACAGCGCCCAATGTGAATGGACTCGACTATTTCTACCAAAAGCCATTTCACTTGGGGAAATTATTGGCAGTGCGTGGAAGAAAACGCACGTATCCCAGTCCTATTCATGCACCCCTCCTTTTGATCGACACAGCCGCGGTATCCACCTTGAGATGAGTGACCTCCATAAATCATTTGCCAAGTCAAAATTGGCCAAATTCCCACCCGAAGCACCAATGCCTGAGTCTATGAGCTATTCAGATGATGCCTGGGAGAATGGCTCCTCGAATTCATCGGTGTCGTCGACCGGGACGATGGTCCCGTCACCTACGCGACAGCTATTCGCCCGAACGGGCCGACGGTTCGTTTATTTCTCTAATATCTCTGAGTCTAATTTGGGATCAATTGACTATTTGAAGAAGCCGATTTTCTAGAATTAGGCTAATATGCGACCGTAGACAATCATCTCAAACTTCTTTGTTATGGACAGACTTCTTTGACCAGGAGCTCTTTCTTCCAGAAGAAGTGAATAATCTCCATATTGTGCACCATGCCTATTTGACACCGCCGACTGAGTCAGGTCCGCTTTTTGTCATGCACCATGGGGCCGGTTCATCCGGACTTTCTTTCGCGACTTGCGCAGAAGAGATCCGGAAGATCCTCCCAAAAGCGGGGATCTTGTCCCTGGATGCTCGGAGCCATGGCCGCACTGTCATGACCACATTGGACAGTAAGACCGACGACGAAGCTCCTTCGACAGCAGTGGCAGCCGAGTCTGAGTCATCAGGGGAGATTGAGCTCGACCTCAGTCTTGAGACTCTAAGCCGGGATCTAGTCCATGTGATCTACCAGACACAAACCAGGATGAGCTGGGAGAAGCTCCCTGATATAATTCTGGTTGGGCACAGTCTAGGCGGTGCGGTAATTACAGATGTTGCAAAGAAAGGAGAGCTGGGTCCGAAGCTGTTGGCATACGCGGTGCTCGACGTAGTTGAAGGTACGCTCTCTTTTTTGGTTTGTGTCTAACATACTAATGTGTATTGTTTGGCAGGGTCTGCAATGGATGCTCTCCAGAGCATGGAGAAATATTTATCAACTCGTCCAACCCGATTTCCCTCCTTGCTATCTGGAATTGAATGGCAGTATGTGTGCATCTCGACTCTCCTTTCCTTACATCATGACTGACGAATACCACAAGTACTCGTTCGCGCACAATCCGGAACACGACCTCCGCTCGTGCCTCTGTTCCATCACTCCTATATGAAGAAAGCGAGCCTAGTGACCCTTCCCGTCCTTGGGTGTGGCGCACCAGCCTCTCTGCAACGAAACCTTTCTGGGAAAACTGGTTTGTTGGCTTAAGTAGAAAGTTTCTCGACGCACGAGGTGGCAAGTTGCTACTACTTGCTGGGACTGATAGATTGGATAAAGAGTTGATGATCGGGCAGATGCAAGGTATGCGTTGCTAAAATTTCTCAGTCCGCCTTCCCTAATCTTTTACCTAATACTCACTTCAATATCATAGGAAAATATCAACTCCAGGTCTTCCCTGAAGCGGGTCATTTCGTCCACGAGGACCAGCCTGCGAAGACAGCGCAAATTCTGGCGGACTTTTACCGACGAAACGACCGGAGCGCATTGGTGCTCCCGCCTAAGGTGGCGGATATGCAAGCATCAGCGGCGATGAAGAAGGGAACAGGTGCCCCTGGTGGCCCAACGGGACACCTGAAATAGAATTGAATGGGTTTTCTCAGTGTTTGAATAAGATATGATATTTAATAAAGGGCCATCCATAGACGCAAATATGTTCCTCGAGCACATATGTGATCTACAAGGCTCTTTCGCTCATGTCATTCATTACGTCTATAATTTACTGGAATTAGCTACACGCGTCTACGGAAATAAAATAAGATGAGAAAACGTTTCATTTTGGAACTGGGTGAAAAGATCCTGTTTCGGGCTCAAGTCAAACCGGCCACACAGGGCAGCCAGTAGTCCAATCTTCAGTCCGAAGCTCCATACCACCCCGTTGCGACGACCATTAAAGCGAGAGAAAAAAAATGCATGAAAAGCAAAAAGCTGCCGGGCACAACAAAATGTTCGTGCCTCTCCATCGATAAACACTGAGAATCAGGTTTTCGAGATTCCGAACGCCACCGGGATTCCATCACACGGAATCATCATGCGCGGATCGTGAAAAGGGATGTGGTAATACAAGGAGTAAGGGTATTCCGAGAGAGAAAAAAAAAAGAGCGCATGACGCCAAGAACAACGGACCTAGGTGCCATTTTAAGGCAAATAGGCACCACCAGCAACCACCAAGTTCATATTAGTGAACTTGACCTTGTAGACAGGAGATTTCTTAGTTGGGAAAGCGCTGATTTGGTCAGCTGTGACAACAACATCCTTTCCCTTCTTTTTCTTGGTCTGGCTCGCGGAGGGGTTTGCGCCTGCATCCAGTCTGGTTCCATTTCCTGTCTCACCGATGACACGGCCACCCTGAGTGGTTTCCTGGGAACCAGCGACGTCCCAAACACGCACGGTACCATCAGCTCCGCCGGAAACCAGCACCGTGGACTCCACACTCCAGCTGACAGACCAGATCCCACCCTTGCCGTGACCACGCATGCGCTTCAACAGTCTACCAGGAGCCAGGTCCCACAAGATGATGCAACCCTGGTCATCAGCGGATGCCAGAAGTTTTCCATCGCGGCTGCACTCCATCGCGGTGATGCTGCCAGTGTGGCCTGTGAACATGCGGACAGCATTACCAGTCGAAACAGCCCACATGCGAACAGTGTGATCAGAGCTGGCGGTGAAAATGTATGCTGAGTTGGGATGGAAGCAGACAACATCCACATCATGGTCATGGCCGACGAAGATACGCTGCTGACGGATTTGGTCGCTCACCCACAAACGGGCAGTCCGGTCAGATCCACCAGAGACAAAGTAGTGACTGAAAGGCCCCCAACTTAGGTCCCAAACAGGGCGGTCGTGGCCCTTGTAGACCACCATACACTGCCAGCTATCAAGAGACCAAAGGCGAATTGTCTTGTCCATGGATGCTGAAAGCAGCCAGCGTGCATTGGTGGCAACTTTCTCATCCCCCGAAAGGCCCTCGCGAGCAGATGCGCAGGGCTGGAATGCGACAGCAGTGACGGGACCCGCATGGCCGATAAGGCGGCGCGAACTGGCAGGTGGCGAGTTATCAAGGTCGGGGTCAGCAGCTTGGATGTTCGTGCCATCAAGGCTCCAAATCCGGATATATGACTGCTGAAATCCCACAGCAACAACTTGGCTGTCATCTGAGAAGTCCATGCAAGTAACACTGTTCATTTGTTAGTAAATTTCCGTGTTAAAAGGAGGATTCCAATAAGCATACCCGTCATAAGTGTTGTGGAATGTGAACATGCACACACTAAGCCCAGGACCGACCCCACCTGTGCGAGCCTTGATCTCGAACCGATCGCGATGTTCCATAACCTTCTTCACCTCGATCTGGACGTCACGAGCAGTGGACTGAGGGAAAGGAAGATCTGCACGAGTAGGTGCTTCGTCGTCATCTTCATTTTTAATCATTTGGTCGAACTCTTGAATGAGGGTGTTACGGCCAGCGGCAGGAGGTTGTCTCGCATCTTCCTCAGCTAGTTCAGCCCGCACATCCTCCTCCAGAAATTGTTCCATGGGGAGCTTTCCAAGTTTCAAACGAGGAAGTGTGCCGGCCATGGCCGGGTTGTCACCAGTGTAAGCCGAGCCGGGGTGGTGACCCGGAATGCCTTCATCCTCAGCTGGGAAGGTCTGGTCCGCACTCATCTGGTTCAACATAGCAGCGAAACTAAACCGGTCATCCGCTGCTCGGTCCAAGGTTTTGACCGAGCAAAAGCTGCTGAGAATTGCGTTCATGACAGAACCTCCTTCTTTATCCTTGGTCTCCAGGAACTGGAGAAGATTGGTGTAAGCAGGGTTGCTTAACACAACGCGGTATTTGTTATTTCGATAAAGCTTAGCAACAGAGTTATCCTGCAGGTGCTCCGGTAGGCTGATGGGCTCGAAATGGCGGACATCATCGGTATGCTCAGGAAGGAACATGTTTTTGTTGGTGTCAAAGAATGACTTCGCATCCTGAGGATAGAAGGATGTGACCATGTTGAAAAAGGAATAGACAAACAGCGGCCATAGAACACGCCGAAGTTCAGGCTGTGAGATAATTAGCATTGAGGTATCAAGTTGCTCCTAAGGATGTTTGTCGCACCTTGTACAAATCAAGATTTTCTTCAACCCAATTTTTCAGTAAGTCTAGATGATGCATTAGTTGGTATGCTAAGTCGCATGGGTGGAACACTCAGCTCACCAAAGCCCTGTCGAGTCTTGGGCCGGGAATCCTCCCCCAGTTGGGGCAGCGGACGCCCATCAATCTCCTGGTTGGCAGACTCCATGCGCAACATTGCCTCTGTACGGCTGTAGCCCTTCTTGGCCAAATAATCAATGACCTAGAAAATATCACAGGTTAGAGTACAATTCAACGTGAACTTATTTGGACAAAAGGAAAAAAAAAGAAAACAAGACAAGATAATGAGATAAAAGCGTGTTAGGGGGGTCTGAGTGGGTAAACAGACGGCCTGTTCACGTGTGCGTGGCTCCCCAGAGGTGAGGCTTTGCAAAGGCTTCGCGATGGGCGGACGGGGCATAGATGGTGCCGGAGTCACATCAGCTGCCGCCGGCTTTTGTCTCTTCTGGGTCTTCTGAGTGGGCGAGGTTGGGGTTGGGCGCCGGCAAGGCTGGCGAGGCTGTCGCCGACGAGGAGGCCGCCAATCCTCATCCTTGTCCTCAGTTGCCATACCGACGGCGGTTCTGATGATTTCTTGCGAAGGCGGTGCGTTTTGTATCAATTGGTGTGAGGATGAAAGAAAAATATAGATTGATAAAGATTAAACCAGATGACTGATAATGGTTGTAAATGTGAAGAATGGTTGTTGGGTGAGAACCGCGTGCGTGACGAACAAGTGAATGAAAATGGTGCACGTTTGCTCTGAGTTCTGATGCCTCTGGTACACCCAGCCATAGACTTTGATCGTCAATCACAGGAATAGGCAGCGAACAGCTAGCTACCGATGCTCTTCGAGATCTGTGAAATAGACCATATTGTCGACGTTGCGGAAACCCATGGTGCCGTCCATCATGGACTTCCATCAGCATCCACAAGCTGCAACGGCCAATGAGCAGGCAACTCAAAGGATTCTTGTATCATCAGCGGTGCGGTGCGCTACCTTTGGCTTTCAATGATGGACTCCGATCATCACCAAAGAGCTGTGGTGGCTAATGAGCAGGGAGCTTGAGTGGTAGCATTTCAATATCGTCGTCGTTGATGCAGAACGCCTTAGACCCATCCGTCGAGGATCTTTATCATCATCTCCTGGGAGAGTCCATTCGAAAGGTTGCGGTATGTCAAGCCTCTCAAACTCCTAATGTCGAAACACACAGGGGCGTGGACACAACGTGCAAGGAACAATCATCTCGCAAATGGACAAAAGATATGGGGAAACAAGGCTTCTCAAACAACGTGTAAATAAATCACAAGGGTACCTACTATTTGATTCAAATTCTGCTGTGACATAGCACCACTTGGTGGTGCACTGGGTCCTGGAGTGGGTGTAGAATGAACTGGAGTCCCAGGTAATGGTTGCTGGGAAGGCATCATCCCATTGCCATTTACACCTGGTCCCATGCTACCGCTGCGTGGTCCAGGGCTTGGTGCCCCGCCTGGCGCCGACATAATCGCCGACTATGGACGACAACTTCGAGACAGATCCTCAAAATGCAGCGGATGACGGCAATGGACCTGGGTTGGGACGTACAATGCGTAAAATCGCCGGAGTATTATATAATCAACTTAGGCGGTCGGCTATCAGTGTTTCGTCTAATTTATATATTGCCCAAGGGTATATCGGAATTTGACCGCTCAATGATAGAATAATGGATTTGATATCTTGAATTTGATATGCCGACGAGCTGCGGGCCCTGGCTACCTCACCGCTTATTAAGATTCTCTCTACCTTCCGGCACGTGATGTCAATTAGAAAGCTTCCCAGTCTCTATTGCGATCTCGATCTTTCGTTCTACACTCGCAAATCTGGTGGGATTAATTCCTACGGACGCAGTTATCTACATTCTTCATACAGCTTGGACCAGTCAAAATGGGCGAAAACGCGACCTCGGAAGAGCTACCTAGCTTTACCTCCGCCGATCGCATCCGACAGCTGAATGAGATGGACAAGGTACCACGGTCGATTGAATTTATACATGGAAAATTTGCTGATTCTTCTCTGTTAGGATGTTACTAAGCTTCTCAATTCTGCCGGTCTCGCGATCCAAGCCTTGACCAACGCCAAACCGGACTCTTCTGTTGCATCGGATGGATCACTCGACTCGCACAAAACGCGGTTCAAAGAAGCAAGTGCGAAATACTTCGCGCTTCTCTCCTCGGCTGATGTCACCCTTCGCCGCCAGATCTACTCTCTAGAGGAATCATCTCTCGTAGGACCCGAGAAAGCCTCGCGCGCCGGGGACACAAAAGCTGCAGCCAGAGGCGAGGGAGTTACGGTAGCCAAATCGCGAGCTCCAAACTCACTGGATATCAGTCGCCTCAATAGCCGGAAGGATACTGTTGGGAAAGATAAGGAGGCTGAGTTGTGGGCGGCTGCTCGGAAATTCATTGAGGAGATGCAGAAGTCTTCCGAGACAAGTAAAGATTCTAGGCCAGCGAATGAACCGGAGGACATGCAGGTGGATTGAGTTTGAGCTATCGGCTCATTCGGGGAGATTGATTGACTTTGCTTCATGCGTTTATGATTTATGATACCCCGGGCTATCTGCACTGAAATTACGAATACGATAAGCCACATTGGAAGATGATACATAGATCTACCTACATAGTATCAGGCGCGAAATATCTATGGACCAGTCTTCGAGCATGTTCACAGAACTAGGCTATACAAAAGGTAAACGCAACGACAGGTATAGTTCCTCGGCCTAGCCGAGGAGGATATTTGTCTGAACAGTAAAAATGGCTACTTGTGCATGGACATAATCATTTCCCGCTGTGTTTCTCGGTCTCTGTTCGCATCAGACAATGGGCCCAGGCCTAGGTTTGTGTTAGCATATTGCAGCGGCATGGATATTGTGTGCATCCACTTACTTCGGAGCTCGCCAACGACATCCTTGGCTTTGCCGAAGTAAACCTCCTCTATGATATGAAAGCCTAGGTCAGCACAAAATCTTCAAGTCAATAAATGATCACGAGAGAAAGAAACATACGCAGCAAATTTCGCATCTTCAACTCCATATCCTCCACCAGCCTGCCCACATTGGCGACATGACTAGCATCCGACTCTACAGGCAGATCAACCTCCACCTGGCGAGTCATGTTCCCGCTAAGGTCCATACTACCAAGAGCCTCGGACTTGTTGGCCAGGTGGAGGATAACAGTACTAGTGAGTTTGTAGTGGGACATGCGAGCGCGGTCGGTGGCCTCGAAAACGTGAATGCTGTCCCATTCGCCGGAGCTCTGGGAACCCGGAGCGACACCTAATCAAAACAAACAGTTAGTCTCAACTGAAAGCATAGAAAGCAATCCACGGTCCGCCCATGACGTACCTTTCTTCAATAGAATGACACCGGCAAATCCATCGTCCAAATCCCAGAAATAAACACTCCCCACGCCTCCCTCATAGTACAGCTCGCGGTAAACATCGAACGACTCGTTGGCGGCAACCTCTAGCTTTCGCACTCGCTCACTGGGCACGGTACCGTCTTCAAGCGGAGGATCGAACTCATTGCTCCATGGTGACCGGTAGCTATCGCCGTCGCGGTTGTAGTCGCAGAGCAGATAGTCGCGGTTGGTCTGCGGGCAGCGGCGAATCTCCAGGGGCTGGTCAACCGAAGAGAGGAGGTCTTCGGTCAGTTCGGGGACAATTGAGGTTATAGCCTGCAGGTTGGCCTTGGTGTCACGCGGGTTTAGGCGCCGAAGGAGGTCGCTGCATAAGAGGTGGTCAGCTCACTTGTCTCCGACTGCATGGGGCGGGGTTGCGTCGGCGATCTGGGATTCATGACGGGTGCCATAGTTGGGGGGAGAGGGGGAATGTAGTGCCATATTGGTTGCGAGACAGATTACTCACAGCGCGCTGTCAAATTGTGCATCAGCCATGGTTGCGAAGGTTGGTTGTATCTCTGTTGCTTAACGAATGGCGGTGTTGATCTTAGGTGGATGAGGTGCGTGCATACTTCAGGCTTCTTGCGTGGCAGTACACGCTATCTATATCAATCACAATATCTTGACTTCGATACCCTGCATAAAAATACATGGAAAAACTACAGAAATTCATAGCTACAGACATTTGGATTCAAATTTGTTTCCTCAATGATATCTGATTTTTAATTTAGCATATAGCATATGCCCACTGTCTACAGGATCTTTAACAGGGGTGTTGAGAATGCACATGTGCCAACCCTCTTGGGAAGCATAAAAAGTAATCAATACAGGGTTGATACTGTGCACGAAGGCCTCTCTCAAGCAGAACCAGAAACAAGGCTCATCTCCTCCTGCCACCACCCCGCAAAGATATTCAACCTCTCCGTCCGCACCCTAGCCATCTCCCTCCCTGTAGCAGTCTTCATCATCCCCTCCAGCTTAACCAACTTGTCCTCAAAATGCTCAATGGAATTATCCATCTCCCATTTCCCATCAACACAATACTTCTTCCCTACAGCTCCAAGGAAGGTAAAACACCTGCCAATTCCAACAGCTCCGATGGCATCAAGTCGATCAGCATCCTGGACAACCCCTAGCTCGACAAACCCATCTTCGTCAATCATCCTCCGGATCAATGCCGGATCCTTGCACTCAGTCGTATAAGAAACATGTGATACGATCGTCTGCACCCGGGATGCGAGTTCTGGCGTCGCACCCCGCGCAAGAAGCGCATGCTGCACCATCGTCGTTGGGTCGAGTTCTGCACTTCCAGGAGCAGCATCAATCTTGGATAGGTACTTTCTGTCACCGATGTCATGCAGCAGTGCTGCGAGTTTGACAACTGCCCCGTTGTATTGCGTTGTCGGGTTCAGGACCCGCTCTGCTTCCAGGATCTTGTTGGCGAGCGCACCCACTCTGTGGACGTGTGCTGGGTTATGCGATGGGTCGTGGCCCGACATGCAGTCTGTCACGAAAGCGGACATCTCGTTGAAGAGGGCTTGGAATTCTGCGCTGGTATCATCCATTGTGGGTCTTTTGATCCAGTCTTCGGGGATTGGTTTTTTTTATTGGTTCAATGATACGCACTGAACGGTACCCAAGACCTGTGCTAATGGGGCAAGTTGGATTTTATACAGCGTCTTTTGGTTTTTGTGTCTCTGGGGATCAGCAGTATGTATATTTTGAAGAAAACACCCCGCAGTAAACAAAATTTGGCGGTGAATGGCACTCGAGACTTATTGCTACCCACGGAGATAGCCCCGGGACGCGCATTGCAAGTTTACACTGTATGGAACCTGTGTTTCCGTGAGATTGTGGACCAGCTTTATATTTGTGGAAGATGTAGACATATGGAGTGCCAACTTGGCGGGGACTGATCTGCAACGAAGGCATGATGGATGCTTAGGGCGAATATGTAATATTGAGAGATGATGATGATTATCATCATTCAAGATTATACATAGCAAATTCGGTTTCACAAATTGAGCCTCCTAGTGTCATTTTCTACTGTCTATCTATAAATCCGAGAAGTAGGGGCGAAATACTTAAAGAAAAAGAAATCTAAAAAGAATATCCAAGAACATCAAAGACATCATAAGGCCGCCCAGGCGGCCAAATGTTCTTCTTTAATTCAAGAAAGACCTCCAAATTGATATCCAAGATACTATCACACGAGAGAAAGCAAAACTATGTTACAAAGTCAATAAGGCCACCCCGTAGAGCTAGATCGGGGACAGTCCCGTACGACCATGCCAAATTACGAGGCAGTATACCAAAGACCCAATATAATCTGATCACAGGGCAAAGGCAGCAACAACCAGGCCGAAGAGGGCAGTAGTGGAGGCACCGAGTTTGACATTGGGAGCGGCGTTGGTAGTCTGCTGTGAGAATCCCGAGGAGCTGGTAGTAGTGCCCGAGGAAGAGTCATCTTCGTCGTTGTTGCCCGAAGCTGAAGACTGATATTAGCAGGGTTCAGTATCGACAAAAGAAAAATGCGGACATACACTTGGAATCAAAGTCGGAGCCAGTCTGCGTGGCAGTGCTGCTAGTACCAGTCGAAGTTACGGAAGAGTGGGTTGTAGTTGCACTGCTGCCACCCCAGAAGTGCGAACTGTAGCAGGACTGCTCACAGTCGGCATACTTTTGAGCGTCGGCCGGGGAGCCAGTGCCCTGAGGGCAGGCAGAGACACACTTGTTGGTGTCATTCACCTGGTTATCGCTGGGGCAGGGCACCTTGTAGCATTTGGCTGTGCAACAGATATCTGTGGCTTCGCCTAGAGTTGAAGGTGCATTGGTATCGTGTTAAGGTCGATAGACTGTAATAAAAGGTATCTTACAGCTCTTTGCGCACTCAATCTCGGGTGTACCAGTAATAGTTGAAGGGTTCACAGTGGTAGTGTCTGCAGCGGCGAAAGTCAGCAAGGCTGAGAGAGCAAGAATGCTGAACTTCATGTTGAGTATAAAAAGGTGTCAAGAGGTGATCAAATCAAAGAAGTGAGAAGATTTTGTAGGTAGCGACGGTATATTGCAATAAAGAGCGAGTGGGAAGTGCAGGGTAGGAAAAGAGCAGACATCGAAGTATTAAATATTATTGATAAAAAGCCTATAAAGCAAACGGATGCGGGTGCTCTTGGCCCTGGCATAGACTTTGCCTCAAACCAAACCTAGAAGACAAAAACAGGCATAGTTGATGCAGATTCTATTATTCGTGACGTCTCAAGTTTAATGGTCATTGAATACGGCACTTTAGATTCGATGGACTAAGTCCATCCAGGTGATGCGCGGCGATCACCTTACGTCCCGGGCAAGGATAATGTGCTGGACAATTTCCCCCTTGATAAGGGGGGTTTCTGCTTTGTCACACAATGAAACCCCGGGGACAGTAGACCTGTCAAATTGGACAATATTGATATATTGATTGCCTTTAGGCATTAGCGTGTGAGCAAGGGAGCAATCTATATTTTGCTAGAGTATATTGCCATTCCCATTGGCCCTCGGAACTTGGCATTAAAATCTTCAAAGTCATCAAGAAACACAAAAGAAAGCTTTGAGGCGTAGGTAGTACGGAGTACACGCAATCATGGACACTACTGTTTGTCAGGTAGAATATTAAAATATAATGGAGTTTTTATAAGGGGCAATAGGACTAGACAGACACATGTTCAAGTTAAGCAGGCATGCGATCTGGATTCTTATAGCACCTATGTACATATAGGCACAATAAGATACTCCATAGTTCGTCTAACCTCGGCTCATTTGAGAGATCGAGTGCATTCAAAGATTTGGCGCTCAATGAATAAAGCTATAGTGCAAACTATACAAACATACTCTCATCACCTGACTACGCGACGCGACGCGATACCATTACAGATACCATGGCAATGTCATTAAACCATCCGCGCGATGTCGACAGATTCTGAGTCGGATTACTTCGATGATGACGACTTCGTAGTTCCTGGTACCCCTGATGGGCCCTCACGCCCCGCAAAACGCCGCCGTGTTCAAAATCGCGGGGAAGAGCCCGAACGTCAAGATGACAGTTCTTCGATCGACTCTTTCTCTGATATGGAGGATGACGAGTTACCCCACCGGCGTCTAGAGTCACCCATTCGTTCCGAAGAATACCAGGATCGCTTCAAAAATAAGAGCTGTGTATTGAAGCAAGCGAGTGTTCAAAATGACATGTTCGTCACCCAACTCACGCAACCCTCCTCGAGTCCGGAACGAATACGGGGTCCACGGTGGCAGAAGCCTGTCACAAATCTCCCTCCGCCAAAATTGGAAAATAGAGGACAAGATGGTGGTGGTGGACAGGAGGGGAATTATCCCCGGGATGATGAGGAATTGATGGCCGCTATCGCAGCTTCCTTGGATTCATTTGAGGAGGAGACAACAATCAGAGGGGCATTCCAACCGACGATCTTGTCAAACAATACTGCTGCGAAAAAGCTTGCCACGCTAGCAAAGACAAACACGCACGCCCTGGCGGATGTCCCTTTTGAGTTGGAGGATATACCAGAAGGGGCATTTGATTCTTCACCATCATTGTCACCAGTAGCACGATCGGTTCAGCCCACAGCTCCTCAATTCAGTCAACCCCGTGGCCCAATTCGGCAACCGCATCTCAGACAGAGCACACTATTCGGCATGATTGCTCCAAATCCTGAGGTCTTGGTACCGCGCCAACAAGACTGGGGCCCGTCAGAAAAGACCGAACCACCGACCCAACACAAACTTGTCAAAGAGGCTTTAGATACATGGGTCTACCCCACGAATTTGGGCAAAACCAGAGATTACCAGTTCAACATCACTCAGGCAGGCCTATTTCATAATCTACTCGTGGCATTGCCAACGGGATTGGGAAAAACATTCATAGCAGCTACAATTATGCTCAATTGGTATCGCTGGACGAAAGATGCACAAATCATTTTTGTAGCACCAACAAAACCCTTGGTTTCGCAGCAGGTGTCGGCCTGCTTGGATATTGCCGGAATCCCGCGCTCAGAATCGACTATGCTCACGGGAGGGGCATCGCCGGGCATTCGCGCCGAAGAGTGGAAATCAAAGCGGGTGTTTTTCATGACACCTCAAACACTGATTAATGACCTGAAGACCGGAATCGCTGATCCTAAGAGAGTGGTGTTATTGGTCGTTGATGAAGCTCATCGTGCGACTGGTGCGTATGCATACGTGGAGGTGGTCAAATTCCTTCGGCGTTTCAACAACAGTTTCCGAGTGCTCGCCCTCACAGCAACGCCGGGCTCAACTGTTGAATCGGTGCAAGCTGTTATTGATGGCCTGGACATAGCACGTGTCGAAATCCGTACGGAGAACTCGATCGACATTCGCGAGTACGTTCACGCTCGCAATATCGAAATCGAAACCTTTGGAAATTCAGATGAAATGGTCTTTTGTATGGACCTCATGTCTGCCGCCTTGCAGCCCTTGCTTGACCAACTCAAGACACTCAATGCATACTGGGGGCGTGACCCTATGGGGCTAACTGCGTATGGTCTCACGGTGGCGAGGCAACAATGGATGCAGTCCGACGCTGGCCGGAATGCCCATTTTGGCTTGAAAGGCAAAGTCAACTCCATTTTCACTGTTCTTGCTAGCTTGGCCCACGCTATTGATCTCCTCAAGTACCATGGCATCGTGCCATTCTATCGCCATGTGATTCATTTCAAATCAAGCTCCGAGGGACAGAAAGGCGGAGGTGGTAAATACCAAAAGCAAGTTGTGCAAGATGATAGTTTCAAGAAATTACTCAGCCATATTGAACCGTGGAGTAAGAATCCAGAGTTCATTGGCCATCCGAAATTGGAATATCTCAAGTCAGTTATTTTGAATCACTTTATGGACAGAGGTGAAGGGAAAGAGCTACCTGATGGCACTAGTCAGCCTGCAACTCGTGTCATGATCTTTGTGCATTTCCGTGACAGTGCTGAAGAGGTAACGAGAGTGCTTAAAAGATACGAACCCATGATTCGGCCTCATGTTTTTGTGGGTCAATCAAGTGCCAAAGGCTCCGAAGGCATGGACCAGAAGACGCAGCTCAGAATTATTGAGGATTTTAAAAAAGGCACATACAACACTATAGTTGCTACCTCTATCGGCGAGGAGGGATTGGATATTGGAGAGGTTGATTTGATCGTGTGTTATGACTCCTCGGCATCACCTATTCGCATGCTGCAGCGCATGGGTCGAACTGGCCGTAAACGGGCCGGTAACATCACTCTGCTATTGATGAAAGGCAAAGAAGAAGACTCCTATATCAAGGCCAAAGATAACTATGAAAAGATGCAGCAAATGATTGCCTGCGGCTCCCGATTCACGTTCCACGACGACCTGTCTGCACGCATCTTACCTACGGGCATTCGTCCAGTGCCTGATAAACGACAGATCGATATACCCCCGGAGAACTCGCAGCAAGGACTGCTTGAGCCGAAACGCAAAGGGCGAGCACCAAAGCGACCTGCCAAGGTGTTCCACATGCCCGATGATGTGGAGACAGGGTTTACTCGAGCCTCGACTTTGGCTGGCGACAAATCCCAAAAGAAGAAGGCCACTGCACCCAAAAAAGCAGCCACCCCCAAAAAGAGACCTCGTTCCCCCACACCCGAGCCCGTGGATGTTCCATCGCTGGAGGACGTTGTTCTGAGCAGCAGCGAACAAACTGATCTTGAAAATCATTATCAGAACATCGGTGCCACTTCTCCGCAGTTCATTCGATTCCCTCGCAACGACGCCTTCCCACGTCTGCAGCTCATCGAAAGACCCACAAAGAACGTTAAGCATGGGTCTCTCACGCGACGCATGGTAAAAGCCTTACAGAAGATGCACGAAGCTGGCCCTGACTGTGAGCGTCGATTTAAAGACATTTTGGCCCGCGAACCGCTCAGTCAAATGCCTCAGGGGGATTCAACTAAGGAGCCTCGGCGCATCCAAAAGTCCTTCAAAACACCGTCTAAAAATACTGTTCGACGAGCTTCCACTAAGGCTACTGCAAACCCTGCTGGCGGGGAAGTTGTTTCTTTATTATCTCCGGAGAGTGAACCCAAACAGAAGAACGATCCATTTGCCTTCATGGATGATGACTTCGGTGATGATGGCTCGGATTTTGAGCTGATGGATGCTAGCCTTTTGTTTAGTAGTGGATCTAAACCAAAGGGTCAGAAACCGAACAGACCAATTATTGAAGATAGTGATGAGTGATGTAATAGGTAGAGGAGAGAGACGTTGGATACTATTTGGATATGGGGGATGTTTGCTACACTCGAACACGGGAATGCCCTTGGATAAAGTTGATAATTTCTATTCAATCGTTCAATTCTAAATAACGTGTTTCACTACCGAGCTGCGCACACCACCGAGCTGCGCACCCCACCCAAAACGCGTCCAGGAATTAGATCTTAGTTAGTTTAACCACCCACCATACCACCAATTCGCTCCCGAAGCTCTAGAAATTCAATAGAGCAAGAGGGTAGGATCTTATTAGCTATCCAGGCTTTTAAAAATCAAGAAATTAGCGCTATTCGCGAAGCAGTACGCCGTTTTGAAGTGCCTGAATCAACCCTCCGGTCGCGTCTTCGTGGCACTACTTTTCGCGCTGAAACCCGCGCTAATAGTTATAAATTGACAGAGCTCGAAGAGGAATCTCTTTAAGAATGGATACTCTCTATAGATTCTCGTGGAGCAGCCCCCCGGCCTACTATAGTACGAGAAATGGCGAATCTTCTGCTCGAAAAGCGCGGATCTATACCGGTTCTTTCGGTCGGCCAAAATTGGGTTACAAAGTTCGTTAAAAGGCGCCCTCTCCTCTCCTCTCGGTTCTCGAAACGATATAATTACGAGCGTGCGAAATATAAAGACCAGAAAATCATTGGGGAGTGGTTTGATTTGGTTTAAAAAACGATCCTTCAATTTGGAATCGATCCCGATGACGTTTATAACTTTAACGAGACCGGTTTTGCTATAGGATTAATAACGCCAACTACGAAGGTTATCACGAGGAGTGATTACTACGGCCGGAGAGCACTTTTATAACCTGGAAATCGAGAGTGGGTAACGGTGATTGAGTGTACGGGTGCTTCCGGCTGGGTGCTTCCTCCGTGTGTGATTTTTAAAGGAAAGGTCTTCCTTGAATCCTGGTTTAAAGGCCTTCCGAAAGATTGGCGCCTTAAAGTAAGTCCTAACGGTTGGACTTCCGATAAAATCGGGCTTCGCTGGCTTAAAAAGCTCTTTATTCCTACTACTTTTTCACGTACAAAGGGGAGGTATCGGCTTCTAGTACTTAACGGTCACGGAAGCTATTTAACCCCGAAGTTTAATAAAATCTGTGAGAAAAATCATATTATACCAATCTGTATACCTCCGCACTCCTCTTACCTTTTACAACCTCTCGATATCGGCTGTTTTGGGGTGTTAAAACGTACATACGGCCGGCTGGTTGAATCAACAATACGGGTTAGGATAAATCATATTGATAAACTTGATTTCCTCGAAGTATACCTAGAGGCTCGAATTGAAGCTTTTAAAACGGATACTATTAAAAGCAGCTTTAGAGCTACCGGTTTAGTACCGTTTTTACCTAATCAAGTGATTTCGAAGCTAAATATTCGGCTTCGAACACCAACCCCCCCCCCCCTAGCCGGGGTAGTGAATCAAGCCGGAATTTTACACCGAAAACCCCCTTTACGGAGAAAGAACTACGTCGACAGGCTTTATCGATTAAAGCTTTACTTCGTACAAGATCTCGAAGTCCACCTAGCCCGTCAGATCGAGTATTAAACCAGCTTATAAAAGGCTTCCGTCTTACAATGCAAGGTGCTATCTTACTTACTAAAGAAAACAAGGAATTACGCGCCGCCAACGAGAAGCAGAAGCAAAAGCGCACTCGATCCCGAAGGCAGATACCAGCTGAAGCAGGGCTCTCAGTTCAAGAAGCTTCTCAATTGATTACTGAGCCGGTGGCAGTAGTTAAAGCACCCCCCGCCTCCGGCGAAGAAGGCCTTCGCCACCTTTACAGCCACGAACGAGAGCATTACCAACATGCGGGTTATGCAAAAACCAGGGTCATAGAAGAGATACATGTCCAGATAGATGATGATTTTAGTGTATTTAATTTAATGGAGTTTTGGTTGAGATATATGCATTTAAAATTAATAGGTTAGGTTGGGTGCGCAGCTCGGTGGTGTGCGCAGCTCGGTAGTGAAACACGTTAAAATAACTAACTAGAGCATTTTATATGCACTGCCTCCTTTCTCGTCAGCTGCGCCCCTATTTGTGGCGCTCCGTAGCGATGAATTTCCAAGGTTGCGCGGCTGGTGCGGTTTACGAGATTTGATTTGTGATTAGTTGCTTTCACAGCCACAGCATTAACACCCCCATTCGCCTTGAAAATGATGATCGATGCCCCGCTCCTGGTGTCTGTCCGCACCCCATACTCGGCCCAACACAGTAGGGGTGATGGGCAGCGCATTGGTCGCGGTAGCTGTTTCGAGGATATACCAACATGAGTACGGTACAATAACATAAGCTCTGGTCAATATTTCGCTCCACCAACCCATGTTATTCCTATCTTCACGCCTATCTCAAAGACGACTGTTATGGCTTTGGTTCGAATCCCTCTTGGCTCGGGCCTGAACCCCGAGGCCAAGCTAGGTCAAGCCATTCCAGAGTTCGTCGCAGATCTCTCTATGGAGCAAAAGGCAAGATTCAATGCATCGAGAAGTTAAGCGCTTGCATCGCCACCGACCATTCAGGATGTCAGAGTCATTGCCGCGGAGATTGGTTGCTTGCCTAGTGGACGATTCTTAGGCACCAGGTTCATTAACCTCATTGAAGCGGTGCAAAGGTTCGCTGCACTTGGGGATATCCTGATCGGAGGATCACAGAATATCATCGCGTGTGGCGTTTGGTCGATGGTTCGCCTGTCATTGTTGGTAAGCCTTGAGACTCGGATAAGATCTGCCTCGCCTTGCTTTGACGATACACTTACCATCCCCTCGCCAGTTGATCACAAGCTCGTCATCGCATTTGGAGAAACTCTCGGTTCTCTTCATGGATGTCGGTCGCTCGACACATATCTTCGAAAAGCTTACTCTAGTGTATACTCGATCTCGAGATTTACAGTCAGCCGTCTATGAATATTTCACTTTGGTCGTTCGATTGTGTCATGACATATTGAAATTCACTAAGATGTCGGCCTTTAGGAAGTTTGGAGCTGCCTTGTCTGACTCAAGTCTGCAAAAGTTCAGTTGTGAACTTACCTCTTGTGCTCAGGTAATCGGACGCGAAGCAATTGTTCTGATGCACGAAAGGAATGAAGAAGAAGCCCAGGCAAATTCTAGATTCAGAAATGTTTCAACGAGATTCTTCAAGTCGGCCTCCAGTCAACAAACCAACCAACAAATATTACGGGCACGACAGCGGGTCCTCGATTTTTGCTGTGAGTATGATTACATGGTGGCATGGAAGCAGGTCCGCAAAGCAGGGAGCACGAATTTGTTTCTCAAATGCCCACACTACAAAGCGTGGAGAGACCGCACCGAACGCAGTCCTCTTGTCTATACCGCCAGACTTGGAGCTGGAAAGTCTGTTATGCTTGCCAGTATAGTTGATGACCTGCATCTTCATGCTGCCAGCAAAGATATGACGGTGGCATTTTTCTTCGCCCGCCATGATGTTGCTGAGAGCTTGAAAGCCCGGACTGCAATTGGATCTCTTGTCAGACAACTCCTGAGCCAGGTCATGGACCTGAGGCAAGCTTCTGAAATCTTGGAAACTACATCCCACAGAACGCCATTCGAGAGAATGTTAGATCTACTTCAATCGGTCTTAAAGCCTGATTTCAAGGCTTTTTTCGTTATCGATGGATTGGACGAGCTAAGCACAAACGAGAGAGAGTTATTCTTGCGAGATCTCTATAATCTGAAGGTTTCATTTCAACTGTCTGTTTGTTTATCATTTCGCCAGGAGCCCAACACGCCACTGAAGATTGGCCCAGAATCCCCGTTTGATGCGAGAATAGTCTCTATTCCTCCCAATATCTCTGAAATCGAAACATTCATTACAGAGGAACTCACGAGACGTGTTGAATCACGGAAGCTTGAGATAAGCGATCCTCTCTTGCCGCTGGAAATTCGGGATTCTTTAGTGAAAGGCTCACAGGGAATGTTTCTATGGGTAGCCTTGCAAATCGAGTCTTTATGTACTATGCAGACCGATGCAGAGATACGCCATGCCCTGAGCGATCTTCCGGAAGATCTTTCTGAAACATCTTCACGGGCTCTGCAGCGAGCGAACAAACCAGGTAGTCCATATCAGAAACGGATACTAGAACTCATCACCGTTGCTCAGCGCCAATTGACAGCCGAGGAGCTACGTGAAGCATTGAGTGTGACTCCTGGCGATACTGATTGGAATCCATCTCAAATTTTGAACAACATCTATAGTACGCTCGCGTGCTGTGGCGGCCTTGTTGTTCTCGATGAGGAGGAATTGACTCTGCATCTTGTGCATAATAGTGTCAAACAATACCTCACCAGTGGATTCAGCCACCCAGCTGACAATATGGTTGATCTTGTGAATGCCCACGGCAGAATGTCGGACATCATCATAACCTATCTTCATTACGCAGAATTTGCAAACCAAGTGTCGCAGCAGGTCATCCCCGAAGTAAACGCAAGCCTCGCCATGGATAAGATTATTTCCTCGGCCAGCCACACTCTAAATGATTCGAGGACTTTGGCCTTGAGGCTTCTCAGAAAGAAGACTCCGTTAGACCTTAACATTGCGAAGTCCCTTGCGAATGTGTGGAACCCCCGGCATGTCTTTGAAAAGAATACTTTCCTGGATAACTATGCAAACACATTCTGGCTTTCCCATCTTACCTCGTCTTTTCCTCTATCATCCCAAATCACACCACTCTTTCAAACCCTATGTGAAAGAAATGTGCTGTCGCCCATTGAATCTTCTGATGATGTCAAGCTACTTTTTGAAAGAGCCGTGGCAACCAGCTCCGTGGAGCTTGCTGTACACCTCATTAACACATGCAATGCAGACGTCAACTGCAAGCTTGATTCCAACGGAAGAACAGCATTACATCTTTCTGTCATGTATGGTTTTAGCGAGCTTACCGAGCTGCTTTTGACTTCAGAAAATATTGACGTCGGAGCAACGGATCTTGACAATGAAACCCCTATGAGGCTTGCTGCAAAAATGGGATACCCGCTGATCTACCTTGCTGCAAAATGTGGAAACGAAAAGCTCGTCACTCAGCTGATCAGTCATAGCGAGAAGGAAAAAACACATGCGGTCACTATATGGAACACCATTGAGAAGGTAGCCGTCGAACTGCGCCTGGAGATGGTCAATCTTCTTCTTGGGTTTGACTCTACCCCCCATTGTGAACATGCGGCGAAAGGAACAAACCCCTTACATCATGCTGTGCAACAAGGGCATGAAGAACTTACTAGATGCTTGCTCCAATCCCAAAAGGTCAACCCTCAAGCAGTTGATGGTCTTGAGAGAACCGCATATATGCTGGCAGTCCAGTACGAACATGAGGCTATATACAAAATGCTACTTAAGGAGGATGTTTCGCGTTGGAATACTGCATGGGCTCTTGAAAAGGCGGTCGGTCCAGACGGTGCCACGCCTGTGCATATAGCGGCTCGGCTCGGCTGGGCGTCGGTGATGAACCTTGTGATTGCTACGGTACAAGTCGATCTTAACAGACTAGATCCGCATGGATTGACACCTCTTCTCTCGGCTACTAAGTATGGCCAAAGGGAAATAGTAGAAGCTTTAATGCATGCACCTGATGTGGACATCAGCGTGACAGATCGCCATGGAAACACGGCCTTGCACTTGGCTGTTCAATGCGGGCATTATGATATCTTGATATTACTCACTTCAAGCACTAATCTTGTTCCGAGTTCGAAAAGCGTTGATGGAAATACACCTTTGCATTTGGCTGCCAGTGCTGGTCAAATCGATGCTGCGAGGCTGCTAGTCAGCACAAGTATATACACTGATATGGTTGATGTGATATCTTTGTCTGGAAGAATACCACTGGATTTAGCCATCGAAGGGAAACACTTCGAGACAGTGAATTTCCTCCTTGGGTTCGATCAGACCTCTGAAACCCCGCACAACCCCCACATGGTTCACCCACTACCTACAGTTTCCGGGAATGGTGATGGTCCTGCCGAAACACAACGGCCTGCGGAATGGAAAGCATTGCTTAAAGCCAAAGACACCATAGGACGAACACTATTACACCTGACAGCTCTCCGTGGATATACAATAGCCACGAAACTTATGCTTGATGAAGGGGCAGATCCATTTGCCATGGACAATGACCAATGCATGCCATTACATTGCGCGGCTCAAAGTGGTAATGAAGACATGGTCAAGCTCTTGGTTCAAGATCCAACTGTACTTCAAACACCCTTTTACAGGGATAAATCAGTCGATTACGAGGGCAAGGCCTTGCATCACACTATAGTAGCGGGACATAATAGTGTGGTAGAGTTTCTTCTCTCAATCAATCCCTCTTTATCAAGAATGCGTGATCGTTCAGGTCAGACACCACTACATATAGCGTCCAAAACGAACCGCACGTCAACCATGGAGCTACTCATATCTAGTGGGGTTTTCATTGATGCTGAAAACTTTGAAGAACAAACAGCATTATGCTATGCTATTCTTCATCGAGCCGACGAGGCGGTTGAACTTCTTTTGGAACATGGTGCACTTGCCTCGTTCCAGGATGCCTATGAAGCCACACCTTTACATTACGCTGCTCAAATCGGCGATGTTTCCATTGCTAAGTACCTTCTCCAGCGAGAGAAAGGTTTAGTGAACATGCAAGATGATCGCTGTCTGACTCCACTTCACGTTGGTGCTATTCACGGGTAAGTGAACATTGTCGCTCTCCTCTTGAATGTTGATTCCGTGATAGTCAACCTCAAAGATAAGCATGGCCGCACGGCTTTTGATTACGCGGTTCGAAATCGGCATATACTGGTCGCCAAGTTGATCTCACCTCCTGCTCAGTCCCAAACGACTGACTATCGCTATTTACTTGACAAACCACTCGCACTAGCACCTGCATCACCAACCTGACACTTCAGGTTGGTCTAGCTTGTCTACACTCCGCAATTTTTGTCTTCCTGCCGTATCATTGTTTTGGCTTTGAGATATCCCTTGTTTCAACCTTCATCTGTTTTACAAAATTTTGTACTTATATCTTTCACTATTAATTAGCAACATATTGAGAATAACACTTGTAATTTATGGTCGAGATGCTCTCCTCTATGCAAGACGTAGTTGAAAGGGGTCTTCCGAGCATTTTGTTGCGTTGCATAGGGGCAGCTCATTGTCGTTCAGGAGCTAGCTGGTCGATGATATATAACTAATCAAATTACGTTACTGTCATTGTATGTAGAACTGTGTGATATATAATGCGAGTTGTATCCAACCTTAAAATGTTCTCTATCTCTTTACTAATATGACTTCTACATGAAATCTATGCGAGCCTAAGGTTCGGAAGCCGAACAGACAAATTCAATTTCTCCTTTGGTTTATCGCTTCTTTCCACGCACTTAATGTGCTCGACGGGATATTTTGTTTCCTGATAGCTCCTTATCACGTGCCAGTAAGATATGTGATCCCACGCCCTTGAAAGAGCTCTTTCATCTTCCCTAAAGTGAGAAGACTTGAAAGAACTATCCTTATAGCCTTCACTGTGATGATGGCTGAGTTCCGTTTCACGCAACAGGTGTTGAGTAATGATCTCGTCTCGTCTATTGCTAGTCTTCTCGACTCAATATGCGTCCCAAGCCTTCTTTGGGGCAACTATCTACTCACTGTTTATGGAGTTCCCACGATTGTGGATGTTAGTGTTTATTTGGATCGGGGTTTATCGAATTATCTACTGATATTCCAATAGGAAGTAGCCTTTGTTATTCCGGATGATCTTGCCCAGGTCGCATTCTCTTCACTTATAAGTGCTGGCTTTTTACCCTGTAGCCAAAGCTCGGGCTGTCCGCACTCCAATGCTCTACGAGTACCACCGTCATTTAAGCACCTACATATTAGTGATGAGCTTGCGGTCTCGCTTTATCGGAAATCCGATGTCCTATGGGAATTTGAAGATCTTAGGTACTTGCCTGAGGAAAATCTAGATATCATGATTGCGTCGGATAATCGGCTCCCGTCGGCATCTCTAGGTCGTGGCCGAGGACGCTTCTTATCATATCCTTGTGCTGTGAAAATCCCTTGTGCTGTGAGATATTGCGAGGCCCTTATTCTGTTACTTTGCCGCGACTACGACTCTACTTACGAGACTTATTGGTTAGCTATTCTAACTTATATTATGGAGTATGTCGACGGTACGGATATCTTCGATGAAAGCGAGCTGCAAGAAGGCTACAGAAAGTTTTACAGTGCCTTGAAACTTGGAGATCCTACGATGTATTCTATACTGGATGAGCTCCGACTCAACTTGATCGAAGAGCATCGCCTCCCTTTGATCAATGGTTAGCAAAATGGGGATTTCATCCTACGCTACTCTGTACGGAGTACTCGCATCAACATTAGAGCCCGGGAAGTCGGTGGCCGATAAAAGAGACGCTCCGGATTTAGTTCACTAAAAATAGAATCGTAGACAAAATGGCAAATGAAAGGGATTTAAACCACAGTCCATGACTCGGGGAGGGGGCTGCTTAATTCCTGCCGGTTGCTGGGTGGAATAAATGTAAATCAATCCCCCCCAGGGCTGTTTTTTTGTTTACTAACATCATCTCTGCATGATGATATGTATACATGGAATAAATTGTATTTTTTTGGTGCTTTGCAGTTAGCTGTTTCGGTGATTGTATTCCATTCTAGCTTAGGGCTTGTTGAAAGGGTTGCATACCACTCCCGCTGCCTTGGAAAAAAAAAAAAAGAGAGAGACCAACCTGGCTGTAAATCATCGCCGAGCTTCCCATCTATCATAACATAAGAACTCCAAAAACATTCAGGGCTGGGTCTGGGTATTTGGGTATTTGTGTATTTGTGTGAACGATATCAAACGTGTAACGTCAATTCGAGAGGAAAGAAATCAAGAGGCCGGTAAACAACCATCCTCGAGAGAAAGATAGTATGGATTTATGTAAGTGTGTTTAGTATGTTGAGAGTCGAAACAAAGTAAAATCGAAAGAAAGGGACTTCAAGAGAAGGGAGGGGAGAGAAAGCACCAAACTCCAATTGCGATCAGCGACGCCACGCGAGCACAACTTCTAAATCAATGCACAGAGTGGGTGTAAACGAAATAAGACAGGGGAAAAAAGGGAGTGTTGAGTCAGTCAGACGCGGTCGCGAGCAAAGTCGAGCACCTCACAATCATCCTCAAAGAAACCGTCGTCGGCTTTCAGTGGGGTGGAGTGTCTCTTCTTGCGGCGGGTGGTGATAACAACCTCCTCCACATTGCCGGTGCTGGTTCCAAGTGTGATGAGGTTTTCTATATCTCCTCCACCAGCCCCAAGCGAATGTCCATGGATGACAGCATTCTCATCCTCGTCATCGCCGTGGTCATCGCTGGAGCTGTTGAAGGACCTCAAGTGCACTTTAACCAGCGGGATATCATTGCCAAAAACCCATTGTCCACTCGGCTCGCTTGCATCGCTGCTGGAGGAGAAGACACTCAAACCAACCCTCTGGTCTGTATGGAACGGTTGGTAAGGGGTATTTGTCTCGATCTCGGCCTGCGAGAGAGGTTGGCAAAGCGCTCTTGTAGCACTAGATGGCTGAGAGCTAATGGAAGGAAGAACAAGAGAGGCATGGACTTCCAGCTCGGGGTCAAAGGTAGATAGAGGAGCCGGTCCACAAGGACCCTGCAGATTGGCAGGTAGCTTGACCTGAGACTCCTTACCGCCGATAACAGAGTGAGGTTGTCGGTTTCTATGGCCAGATACAGTAGCACGCTTGAGACGGTACATCTTGAAGTAGCCGCCATCCATGACACCCAAGAATATGAGGCCCTTGCTGCAAATCCACGTTACCCGAGAAGATGCAGGATCTCGAGCTAGCCCTGGCAAGTGTAGACGGTTCTCTCCGACATGGCGCAGCGTATTAACAGTACCAGTTGCGGCGCCCATTGACTTGCTCAAGCCTGCAGCGACAACTTTCCCGCTCTTTACACTGGCAGCCGAAGGTAATGCAAATCCACTCATATTGGGAAATGCAGCGCCTGTTGATGGGACACGACCACGGACAGCAGAGAAGAATGGCTGCGTTTTACCGCCAACCAACTTCATAGCCGCTGACAACGGGTTGCTAACAGCAGTTTGACTAGTCACCTCATCTGCCATGGGGTCAGTAGCCGGCGGCTTCTTTGCAGTAGTCTTTGCACGGCGGAATGGGGGCCATTGAAATGCGCTTCTAGGTAGATCGAAAACATGGATAGTGCCTTTGCGTGTAATGACAGCTAATCTATCACCCACCGGTGCCGTCCAAATCACATCAACAATACTAGATGTAGTCAATCGGGCGTATCTAGCTATCTGGCGCACATTGGGATTTTGTCCCGTCTGGTCATCAGCCATAAAAGCCATAGACCGGCAGTGCTTGAGTTGCATGAGATCCCACACATATTGTACATCACCCTTCTTGCTCGCTGTGAACAACATCAAGCCACCCGGAGAAATAGACAAGAAACTGCAACCATTAGGAACATGGAAGGTCGAGACTGGGTGGATAAACACATTTCGTATATCCGTGCCGTCTTCGAACCGTTTCAGGTCAATGATGGATACAGTGTCAGGTTCTGTGGCTAATGTTTGCGTATCCTGAGCATGGGTTGGAGGGAATAATCCGTATCCCTGTGTCTGAGGGTCCGGCCCCAGAGGTGGCCGACGTGGTGAGGTACCGGCTGTTTGCTGGGTGTTCCAATAATTATTCCAGGCCTGCATTCCTTGATCGCCCATCCAGCGGGCACCTCTTACGAGTTCTTGGGTAACGCCTCTTGCCATTTTGTCGAAGAAACTTTCCCCTTCTCCTACGTCTGTCGCACACGACACCGAGGGGACAGCAGGAGGACTGCGAGTTTCAATGCCCGGGACCTTGCCGAGGATCAAACTCGAAGGAACTGTGCCCTGAATTGATCCTCGGTAGGAGGAGGATGGGGGAGCGAATGCAAGCCATCTTCCTTGTACAGCTAAGATGGGTCTTTCCAGGGCCGAGGAACCACGAGGAGAGTCGGGGCTAGTCCCCTCTGGATCAGTTGTAGAACTTGAAGAGGTCGAATAACGCCGGGTCTCTTTGGATTGAACCCCAGTCCATGTCTTACCCAGGCACTGGTATGCGGCTGTTTCCGGGGATAGAACATGTCTATAAACATAAATTTCCCCACTGATTCCGGATGCTAAGATAATATAAGCACCAGTTGTGAAGAGCGTCAATCTTCCAACAGGCGAGGGTGCAAACGACGGGAGGCCAGGAAGGTTTTCCAGACATGGCACAGGCTTGCTTGCAAATAAGGTGGAAACATGTTCGCCGGTCCGGAAAGAGTAAACTTCAACTCGGGTTTGGTAGAACTGAATATCGTCTCGCGATGAGCGCTTGTCGTTAAAGTGACCGCGAATTGTCGAAGGGGGAATTTCATTTGTGTCCGATGTTGCAGACGACATTCGACCTTCGTCCTCATGCGGCGGCAGTGGCCCATGAACAATAACAGCCACATGTGGCCGGGACGATCCGAAGGGGTCACTCGATAGATGGCCAGACAAGAGTTTAGCCTCGATTACACGGCCATTTAATCCAGTAATCCGCCCCACCAGCCGAGTTCGGCGATCTTCGATGGCGAGGATTTCCACGGCGCCATCTGTCCCAACCAGTAGGACGTTCATTCCTGTGCGCGAGCCTTTAGGTGATAAGCTCGGCAACGTATCAAAACTACAGAATGAATAATTTCCATCGGTGGGCGATCGATTCTGGGTTGGAATAATATCAATATCTGGTGCTCCGAAGAAATGTGCTTGCGGAAGATGAGGGGGAGGCGCGTGATTGCTCATTGGGCTCCCGTAAGAGTGACTCTTTCTTCTGTCCACAGACTGCTGCCTCGAGTTTAGACTACTTCGGTAGCCATTACCATAACTAGATGGTAAAGTTCGAGTCTGGGGAGATGCCGAGGAAGGATGGCTGAAGGCACTCCTTTCTTGAATCGTTGGAAAGTTCAAGGGCGATGCACTAGGCAGTGATGCACTCGGTATATCCCCATCCATAAGATCGGTTGGGGGACTCTTTCCATAAGGCACCGACTGCGCCCAGGTATCGGTACGGCTAGTGAGATCGTCACCTGCTGGCTCATCGAGAGACTCGAGGACATCCAGAACAGGTGACGTGATAGATTGGTTTACATGATGTTCAATAAGATCCGGAAGGTCCGGGGGGGAGAGAGGCTCCTCAGGTGGTGTGGCACGTGGTTGGATGCTATCCATGCAATCAGGCATTAATGGCGCGCATTCATCAGAAACCAGGCAATCACCGGTGGATACATACATATCATCCGGTGGGGTTTCAGGTGCAGCCCTAGTCACCTTGTTCTTCTTTCCCTTCTTCTTTTTGATTTTCGGACTTGGTTCATGCTCTGGTATAATCCGGTTCTGATCCGGGGCAAAGGAACTATCGTCTTCGGGCAAGCGGCTATGCTGGCGGATGAGATCGTCAGATGCGGCCGGGAGCATTCAAATAGCTGATGCCTCAGTGAGAGGCAATAGAGAGGCAATAGAGTGAAGCCGCTCCCAGGACCTTATTCGTGGTCTGAGAACGGATATGCAGGATCGCTCTGTTCGGGATCCTAACTGGGTACCGGTACCTTGGCAGGTACTAAAAGAATAGGACGGCTTTCATGTCGTCAATCAAGTGATCAAATGTCACTGTCGGAAGGCACTGGAAATGCATACCTGTATTCACGATATTCTTAAAGATACTAGAGTTGTGATGAACGTAGACACCACTAAAAGCGTATCTAGAGCGGAGATCACTCTAAACACACAGGGGTAGCAAAGTGTTGATAGATAAGTACAACACAGCAACAGCTTGAGATAGTTCAAGCTGAAGCAGAAAAATGTAATCCAAAAACTTGCATTCACAAGTTTCCAAGTTTGAAGGTTGAAGATGAGTCAAGGAAGAAGGATGATGTTATGGTTTGCGATAAGAGAAGAGGGGGGAGGGGAGCTGACCCCGGGTCACCAGTCAGGTACGGGGCTATTAGGATGTAATAGGATGTAATAGAGGAGGCCTGAGTCAGAAGTACGGGATAATCCTCTGACAGTGTCATTCCTAATGAAAGCATGACCTAATTCTAGGACGTTACTTGTCTATCTCTGTTTTTCTATTCTCCAATCCCGACTCTACAATGTACCTTGTGGGCTATACATGACAAGGCGCATATGAGGGGAAAAATGTCAAACCATGCAAACACCGATAAGGCCGTCTTAGTCACATCTTAGCGGTCTGCCCGGGCCCGGAACCTCGTCATTACTTGCCGCTAATATTACCTCCTTACATGCTTTGACATGATAGTGCATGGTTGGAACATGAAGTCAAACAGCCGAGTCCAACCGTTTCCTCCTTGGCCACTCCTTGTTTGGTTTGTCAATAAAGTTGTTTTTTGCCGTTGAAGGGAGTGGCTGGCGTCATCGTTGGCTGCAGCCGAGGTCACGGGGCATTTGCGGCATGGGCAAAGATGACGACTTGCGTAGGCTTTGATGGCAAATGACATTTCTAGGATGGCAAATGCAGGTCGGGATATTCTGCTCTTTTGTTTGAGCCATCTACATGATAATTTCGCCCATATATTGACATATGGCCGCATTATCCTCCACTATTCTTCCAGGCCATATCCAAGGTATATCCAGTGTGAAAGTGTGTGTAAAGGCGCTCAATATAACAAAATTAATTAACTTGAGATGTGTTTTGAGAGCCACTGAGCTCCGGAATGGTTGATGGTACAGAGTGCTGTCACAGAGGGTTGCCCTCACTCCTATGATGTCCACAGTCGCTTAGGTCTTCTTCTTGGCCGCAGCCTTGGCCTTAGCTGCCTTCTTCTTATTGCTGTTGATCATGACAATTCCAATGAAGGTGCCCACCACGGCAGAACCCAAAAGTGTGAGGATGACGGGGATGCGGATGGCCCAAACACGGGGCGGGAAGAGGTCGTGGAGAGGGTGGCCTGGGTCGACGAAGGGCTGTAGAACAAACATTAATTTGGAGAACCAAACATTATCGTCAATTAGCATACCATCAACAGGGTCCACGCAGTGTAGTAGAGAAAGATCGCAGTCGCGACCAAAAGCATGACTGATCCGACAAGTTGGCCCAGCTAAAGCACAGTCAGCGGGGTATTTCCATTGAATGGGACTAGATCATTCACCATTCTGATAAAGAGCGGTAAGTTAAAAAGAAAAGAAATATGAAGGAACGTCGATGGATCCTGGGCTGGACAGAACTACCAGGAATCTCAGGAGCTCCCGTTGTTCCTAGTTGGCCTCTGGTCACGTGCTCAACGCTAGAGCTTTCTCCTGCTAAGTCCTTGAATCATCTTGGAACCCCAGTCCAGCTGAGATTCGCAACCACCGTTCCTCCGGTGTACATAAAACCTTCTCCCTACTCCGGAGGCCTCTCTTCTCATTGAAAATGTCCGATTCGGATGTTCTCCAGTCTGCAGTGCGCGTGCCCACGCCTCCCCCGGGCGCGTCGTACTCACCAACCGCAGCCTCTCGAAAACGCTCACCTCCGTCTCGTTCCCCCTCTCCGAATCGTCGCCGATCACCTCCCGGCGATTCCCTCCGAGAAGGTCCCGATGCTCCCAAAGTCGATGTAGAACATGCCGACGACAGAGAACGGCAACTCGCTGAACGTTTTCGCGAACATGAGAAGCGCGAAGCGGCGCGCAAGCCGATGACCGAGGAACAAAAACAGGCCTCAGCAAAGGCAGAATACGAAAAATTGCTCAATATGCGATCCGGTGGTACCTACATCCCCCCGGCCCGACTTCGTGCGTTACAGGCGCAAATTACGGATAAGACGAGCAAGGAATACCAGCGCATGGCGTGGGAAGCTCTGAAAAAGTCGATCAATGGTCTCATCAACAAAGTCAACGTTTCCAACATCAAGTTCATTGTTCCAGAACTCTTTGCGGAGAACTTGGTGAGGGGCCGAGGATTATTCTGTCGGTCGATTATGAAGGCACAAGCGGCCAGTTTGCCCTTCACTCCAATCTACGCAGCGATGGCGGCTATTGTCAATACCAAGCTTCCGCAGGTTGGTGATTTGTTGCTTACCCGGTTGGTTATCCAATTCCGCAAGGCCTTCAAGCGAAACGACAAAGCAGTGTGCATTTCCTCTACGACTTTCATCGCGCACCTCTGCAATCAGCAAGTCGCCCACGAGATGTTGGCAGCTCAGATCCTGTTGCTTCTTTTGCACAAGCCAACTGACGACAGCGTGGAGATTGCTGTCGGTCTCACACGAGAAGTTGGTCAGCATCTAGAAGAAATGAACGCTCCCATCGCACTCGCCGTATTCGACCAATTCCGCAACATTCTACACGAGGCCGACATTGATAAGCGTGTGCAATATATGATCGAAGTGCTTTTCCAAGTGCGCAAGGATCGGTATAAAGACAACCCAGCAATCAAGGAGGAGTTGGACCTAGTGGAAGAGGAAGATCAGATCACACACCGTGCTGGGTTGGATGATGAGCTGGAAACTCAAGACACTCTCAACATCTTCAAGTACGACCCGGAGTGGGAGGAGCACGAGGAGGCTTATAGGAAATTGAAGGCTGAGATTTTGGGCGAGGAGAGCGACGAGGACAATGAGGAGGGTTCAGATGAAAGTGAAGAGGAGGAATCTGATACAGAAGAAGTACAGATGGATATCAAGGATCAGAGTAATACTGATCTGGTCAACCTTCGACGAACAATCTACCTCACAATCATGTCCAGCATTGATTTCGAAGAATGTTGCCACAAGCTGATGAAGATCAACCTGCCGGCCGGGTTGGAGCATGAACTTCCATCCATGATCATTGAATGTTGCTCCCAGGAACGGACATACTCCAAATTCTATGGCCTAATTGGAGAGCGATTCGCCAAGATCAACCGACTCTGGTCAGACCTATTTGAGGCCGCCTTTGCCAAATACTACGATACCATCCATCGTTATGAAACAAACAAACTGCGCAACATTGCCCAGTTCTTCGGCCACCTCATCAGCAACGATGCGATTGGTTGGCATGTCTTGTCTGTGGTTCATCTCAATGAAGAGGAGACCACATCCAGCAGCCGTATCTTCATCAAAATCCTGTTCCAAAACCTCGCAGAGAATCTCGGTCTGCCTGGACTGCAGGCCCGCTTTAGAGACGATATCCTGCGACCAAGCTTCGAGGGTCTCTTCCCGACGGATAACCCACGCCACACTAGATTCTCTGTCAACTACTTCACCAGTATCGGTATGGGTGTGTTGACAGAGGACATGCGTGAGAACCTCAAAAATCTTCCCCGCCCCACAGTGCCCGCTTTGGCTGCACGAGCCTCTCGATCCCCATCACGCACCCCATCTGATCGATCCCGTTCGATGTGCTCAACATGCACTGGATCTCCTCACTCCCGTCGTTCCCGATCTCCTTCGTACTCCCGCTCTCCTTCTAGGGACCGCGGCCGCTCCTACTCTCGCTCCATCACTCCCTCTTCCCGGAGCCGAAGCTACACACCTTCGCGCTCTCGCTCCCCAGTTCGCCGCCGTCGTGACGCATCAATCAGTCGGTCCCGGACCCCCGCAGGACGATCCCGATCCAGATCCAGATCCAGATCTATCTCCCGCACACCGGCCAAGCGTAGTCGAGCACGTTCCCGCTCCTATGACTCGCGAAGCCCAAGTCGCAGTCCCTATCGATCTCGTCGCTCAGCTATTCGGTCTGTCACACCGCCGCGCCGAGGCCAAAGCCCTCCTAGCCGGAGGAACCGCAGCTACACCAGATCAGTTTCACGGTCTGTCTCACCTGCGCCTCGTCGGGAGCCCGCGCCCAGAAGTGCGGCGTCGAAAAGTGCGAAGCGATATTCATCTGAATCTGTGTCGCCTCCTCCCCGCCGACGTGAGGCTACTAACTCTGTCTCTCGTTCTCGCTCGCCTACTCCTAAGCGTCGGGCAGAGTCACGGGGTCGAAGCTATTCACGGACACCACCCCGGCGCAGATAAATCGCGAGCCTCTGATCCTTTGATCCTGACTTCTTGGAGATTGGCTGAACGGTCCGTATGTTACTGTCGATAATGAAATAGTGCGTATTTGGAGCGAAAATACGACGTTGTACTTCTTTTATTCGGTCCGGTGCCAGGAATTTGAAAATTATGGGGATTCAATAGGAGCAAATCGATCATTCATGGTGTACCCACGCTTTTTCGGGATTCCATTTCCTCCATGTTCAAATAAACATCTTTAAATAGACCATCTTGTACCCCTTAAAGTAATAAGAGTTTGGTTTATAGGGGCCATTGATTGGCAATACTATATTGAATGTAGTTAAAAGGGTATCTCATCATGATCTATCAAGGCGATCTATACACCAACCCGTAAAGACACCTACTCAACCTCCCCAGCCTCCCAAACACACCTATCACACAGACAAGTGCCGCCCAAAGCCCCAGCAGCCCACTCTCTCCTCTTCTGAACCGGCAACCCAATATCACAATAATGATTCAGGATCTCCGAATCCTTCGCAATACCCCCACGCCTAAGCTCCTTCATCTCAGCCCCGCGCGACCAAACAGCGGTCTCATCGTCTCTCCGCGCGCGGAAATTAATCTCGCTACTCCATTCCCACGTCACATTAGGATTACACGAATGGTTCGCGAGACACCACATCGGATGAACAGCGCACAACTCGGGACCTCCATCCCAAGTTGACAGCCGGCCCGACGCCGTACCACGGAACTTAGCAAACAGCGTATTCAGAACCCATGTATCATAGCGGTAGAGCACGGTATAGGGGTCCAGGCCCATTTCGTCAAGGAAACGCTCCGGCTGCAGGACATTGAGCTGGAACGAGAAGGGGAGAGTGGCAGTATCGTCTGTGGCGGGCGTTGTCTCTGCTTCTGTGGAGACAACAGACTCAATATTGAAATCGTGGAAATCGCCCCAGATGTATTTCACTTCCGGAAGGTCGAGCGGGTGCTTATCCTGTGTGGCAGACATGGCAAGCGCCCTGCCCAGTAGAAGAAGGTACAGGTAATCGGCCTTATCCTTGGGGTCAGCGACATCCTTTCCAATAGAGTCGAGACCATCCTCGAGACCACAGATGGCGCCGTGGTACACCTCCTGCGCTGTGTCATGGCATTTCTGACTGCAAAAGATGATATCTACGCAACCTCCCTCACAAGCAACAGGGGGCTCATCGGCGGACAGTTCTGGCAGCGGTGCGTTGCATGCGTCGCAGAGATCATCGTGCAGACGGTTGGTTGCTGTGAGCAGTGAAGACTCGCGGAGAATGATCTCGTCTGGGGCGATATCTTCTTTCGCGAACAGGCCCAGCTGAACAGAGACCTCCATGTTGGACGAGTCGTCATCTCCTGAGGCATGTAGCACTGGCAAGGACACTGCGCGGACCTCACATTTCGGTGCAATGACTGCCAGCCGCTCGTTAAGCAGGTTGAGAGTCTCTGGTGAACGGCGGTCTGGCTCGTGCTCGTTCCAGGGATAGAGGACACGGCGGGCGAAGCCTTGTGCTGGGAGGACACTGGTGTCGATTGAGTTCAGGTCGATGTTTTCAGTTTCAGAGCCAGAGCGAGATTTGTAAATTTGCTTCAAACGGTCCATCTGCACGTTCAAAGCAGCTACTGATGCCGTTGCAGATCTCTTTTCGAGCAGGGCCAGACCGCGCACGCCGAACTCAAATGCGTCACGGTAGCAACCGCAGCGGACAAGACTGCGCACTAGAAGGACATACACTTGGTCAATGATGGCATCGTATTCCTCTTGGGTTATGGGCACAGTGTTGTCGTCTTCGTCTTCGTCTTCATCTTCGTCTTCATCATCTGATTCATTCGCCACTTTCTCGGGAGCCTGCTGGGAAGGGTCTATCTTCCGTCTTGCATGGAACTCGCATTCATCTGGGTCAACCACTGACTCTAGCAACGCCAATGCGCGGTATGCATCTGCAGAGGCGAGATCGGGGAAGCCCAATTTTTCATACTGAATGCCTCGTTCAAGATGGAGGTGGGGATTGTGAGGGTCTGCATAGAGTCTGCTGGTTGTCTCATTGCGAGCTTGGAGGACTTGCGATTGAGACATGATGTGATGTGTTTTCTCTCCTTTTCCTCAAAGATGTAGCAACTTTTTATACACTTTTTAGTTTTCGGCAAGCAAAAACGCGGTATAAAATCGATATCAACCTATGATACCGGGTTAGGATATGTGCAGTAGTCGAGAGATAGTAGACTGCAAACTTCAGTACCAGAGCTTAGAGCACTAACACAATATCAAATGGATTTTGACTTCTATAAATGAAGTTCGTGGTCTGCCCCTCTGTAGATTCGTGCGGGCAAGTTCTTTATTATCGCAAAAATTTCTACGATAAGGATGGTCACGTGAATGTATAGTTCTCTCCAATGCAGGCTGTTTACAGGACTAGAAATCTTGATCAAAGATGGAAAACCTGTCAATTAAAGTCTGGAGGAAACAGTGCAGGATATAATTGGTGTTTGAGGGTGAGCGAACGTGGCGAAGTTTCAAGGGAAATGGGATTAATATATATTACCACCACTAGTATAAGTAAAGATACTTTTCTTGAGAACAAATTAAACAAATTAGTGTAAGAATTTACAAGGGCAGGCAGCAGAGCCTCTAAGCCATTAAACACAAAATAGTTCTTAGGAGAGGTTCATTGCTTTCTGTCTAACTTCCGTCTCTCGCTCGAGATATACAAAGCTTCTTCCACCAATGGGGACTACGTCATAAAACTCTGGGTGATTTTATTGAGAAAGCCCTATGAGGGGATGCCATTGATTCAGAGGCTCTTGGGGTCTACTTTCGAGACAAGAGATTACGTCAGGCCGTAAGAAAAGCAATACGAAACCCGGAGCTATAGCACAGGACAAAAACACCAGATGGGTTGCTACCCTAGCCAGAGGTCGAATGGAGAATACAGATGGGAACTGTTGAAGCAAATCGAGACACTCATCGCAGTACTCAGTTTCACTAACATTGCATTGGATGACTCGAGTAACACTGCCAAGGAAGCTTTGAGCTGCACCATACCAAAGGTGGACTCGATCCTCTGTGTCCACGGATTTATGCTTGGAAAAGGCAATCTCAGCAAACCACTCAGAGAAGAGGCCGCGTAGACTATAAAAGATCCCAGCAAGCTGTTTCTCCCATAAGTTCGCAGCCATATTCTCCGGCAGAACAGCTTCCAATATATCACCCTGACGGCGTTCTAGAAACCGAGTCTTCAAAGTTTCGAATCCTCTCCTAACTCTGACGAAGATGTTCCGCCTCATAACCGTTAAATGGATTAGTTTCAACGGGCTCATCAGCAATATCACAATCCGATACACCGCCCTGAGCATTGACTGGCGGAGATAGGCACCCCCAGTCCCTAGGTTCTTGTCGTCAGAGTCTTTGTTGTACGATCCTTGCAATGCAATTTTTTGGGTTGAGATACGATGAAAGGTAAATGGATCAGAGAGATGAGAGAGTGAATTGTCAGAAAGAATCCTTAATTCCTGATTATGGAGGTCTGCTTGAATTGTTGGCTGATCTATGTGTAAATTGAATTCATCAGTGGAACTCACGTTGACTTTAACTCAATTAAGATGGATATCAGGCAAAATTAGCATGATTTTGTTAACTTCTGGGTGCAGATATGACACCAGTGCCTCCAGACATATATTGTTGTGCAAGATGACGGGAGAGAATTCAAGCGTCCATTTACCATGAAGTCCGCCGTAGAAAGATCATATGTCTTCCTATAATCATGTAAGTAAAGCTCTATCGACGGAGCAAAAATTGACCTTTCTAGCCTTTCCACCTAAGCAAGATTGGAAGATTATCAACTTACCTAACGCAACACGCCGCAGCTCCCCAGATGCAATCATCCTGCTCGTCATTCCCAGTAAGCCTGGGGCTCCAAGATCATCTCTTGACATCCAGTTGCCGCTTGTAATATGGTTCTCCACCATACACAGCAACGGGCGTTGGGGGTACACAGATATAATTCTGTGGTTATGGGGGTATATCTGTCATGATAGTGAGAACCAAAAACTGGGCATTCCTTGCTAGTTAGAATGAATGAGATTTGCGCAAATTGACCCCTGACTCCGCAGGACGAAAGAAACGATCACTTCAGGTCACTCGCTGGATCGCGAAACTCATCTTCCAAGGCACTCCAATCCCCATAGGAAATTTCGTTGTGTACTATGCGTACCAACTTCAATGCGCCTATTTCTCACTCCTTATAGGTTCTGGGTACTTTGGGTATGGGGAAATCGGCTTTTGAGTTTTGGAGGTCTTGGGGGCTTCGAAGGGTGTTGAGTTGACATGGATAAAAAAATCCTTTTTTGCTTGAGAGTTTTATGGCAATGTGATATGAGAACCTTGCAGGTTTTAACTTCACCGCCTATTGTCGTATAACAACTCCAGAATCTACCTTGTGAATAAGTCTCAGAGGAATACGTCTCCAATCCGTCGCTTTTTCTGGTTGGCCAGAAATAGGGAGAAGATGTAGATGAATTCTAGCGCGAGAGAGTACTGCATAGAAATAATGTGTTAGTCAGCTAGTTTTCTGGGCAAAATGGAAGAGATATTCTTACTGTTGAGACGGTCCGACAGCTTCATGTTCACGAGATCTTCGTTTAGCAATGATTTCTGTTGTGATCCGCCCGAGACAAGAACTACACGGCAATAGTCAAACGGACCATTTCCATTGGCGCAAGTATCACATTCACTCTCTGACAGGAGCCTGGGTGCCACACAACTGGCCGATCACAGAACGAAGGGCGGGCCCTGCTGGCATCGAGGAGCCCAGAGCGCCAATTGACAGAGGTATGGGCCGGCAATATCCGGGCACACAAGTCATCGGTGCCAGTACGGTTCATATTCACAAGATACGGGAAGCCGTTCATGTCCATATTGGTGTGGGTTGCTACATACAAGTTAGCTCGGAAGAGAACAAAGAAAAAAACCCCGCTCACAGTCAAGGACTTAGGCGGCCCTGTAAGCCATGAAGTCCGCAGCGTACCGCATGGACATGGCCGGACCCGCGTCAGCACCAGCGGGGACCACAGGAGGAGGAACAACCATATGTAACAACAGGAAGAACACCACCAGCACCACCGGCGGGACCCGGGGGCGCACCAGCACCAAGGGCACCAAGGGCTATGGCTCGTGGTGCGGCCCTGCTGGAATCGGCGGAAGTCACAGAAACACTGGGCGCCACTATTTGGAAGCCGCTTTCTCGAACAAACCCTTAAGCCCATTCGTTGCCGTTCTATCTTCCTCAAGAAGATCTGCCTTTTAGACAAAAAAACTGTTTATGGCAGAATTTTGATCTTTCCCACACAGAGTCAAGGCAGCTCTTGTGGCTGCACATTTTCTGATCAGCATCTGGTTCTAGAAAATAAGACCTCCAACATTCGTTGAATCTGAATCTTCCATTGCAGGATGCGCATCGCATTTTGAACCCAATATTCTGGTTTATACGCTCTTTGTGGAGAATATATGTCTTAAAGTAAATTTTGCGCTATTTGGGCACACCTGCGCACCAAGCACTAATCCATTAACAGCCCTTGCCGGCCCTAGACCATTAGGCCGAGCAGCTAAATCGCGGGAATTAGCAATGGAGCATGCATGACACAACAATAGCTTTATGTCTTACCTTCTGTGAGCTTTTTTTTTTTGCTTTCTGGACAGACTTTCCAGGCACGCAACTACCGATTCCGTGGTTGATTCGACATCCTCGACTTTGTTCAAGATTTTTGGACAACCGGGGAGGTCCGCATTTTCTCGAAGGCCGGTACTTCGAAAGCTCTACTTCTCCAAGGACCTTCAGTATTGTCTGGTATGCCAAAGTCATTTAACGACCGAGTTTTAGAATCGGAGCTTTCAATGGTCAACGATTGATCATCGTGATGATTTTGCATGCCGTGTTAGGTCGTGGTCAGAATGGGTGGTGCGACCACCTCGCCGAAGTGAAAGCCTTGATAGGCCAAATCATTGTGTTTAGTCTCCTTATCAAGGAGCCACAAGTAGTGTCAGAAGTTTGATCCGGCGAGAACGAAGTAGTCAGCGTAGACGGGAATGGAGGTTAGTCTAAATGCCCATAGGACGACAGTAGCACCCATTGTCCACCGATCTGGGTAAATTTCTCCATTATTGTCGAAGTCTGCGGGCCATTTTGCATTCCATTGGCGGTTCGGCGCATTATTTTATGCGATGATCAGAAAAACGATAGGACCCTCAGTATTGTCTGATGGGTGAAATACATATATGGTGCAATCGGATTTTTCATTGGCCACCTGTCTTAGGTGAGCTGGGAATCGGAATTGCTGAGATTCCCAAAAAAAAAAACACGCAGAAGAAATTTCATGTCAAAGCTTGTGTATTAGTCTCTTCATATCAGCCTCGTACTCCCTCAGACTCCGAGCCATACCCGAGAAAAGCACAGAGTCGATTTCATTTTGATTTCATTCACGAGCGAGGTGATGGCCAGCTCGAGTTGCTTTGGGTAATCGAACAAACCAAAGGCAACTCGAAATTCATAGCAGTACCGGAAGCAACCCGACTTCCGTATCAGTCTCCACCTGTCAATTGCAACTAATGAGGGATGTATGTTGTGTGCACAGCGGGGGCTGGGAGACTGTATATGGGGATGCGATAAAAATGAGTATTGAGCAATCCTGTAAATCGCTCATGATGCGAGGTCTCCAGACTCTTTCCTATTTGCCACTTCCAGATTGCTCGGCCAAGTCGTCCTCCGGACCTTTCTGTTGTACAAAAGCGCACCAGCGATTGGGGGGAGGTGGGTGTTCTTTTGATTCACGGTGTGTCCATCCTATAAGTCGTTCGTCGCATTTTGGGTAGATTTTGGCACTCAAACGCAACCTGTTCTAGTGTTGAATCCGGGATCCAACAAGTTTCTTCGCCGTCTTGACCCGACAAGTGGCTCTGATCATAAGGTCGCGTTGTGGATCAAAAGATCCTGATAGAATTTCCAAGTTGTGTTTTCAATCGCGCTCGAGGGATTCTGCTTCTTTTCCTCATCAAATTTGTTGTTCATCGTATCTTCCCTTCACAGTGAAAATGCACTGAATCGGGCAAGAGCGCAATAATATCGATCATGGTATTCAATTGCATTTGACTTGGTCGACACCAATTCTGGGTGGAGGATTGAGAAAAGGTGTCCAAGAATCGATGCGCTGACAGAGCGCTGTTGGGTACACGAGGTATGCTTTAGGCATATCGAAGTCGTGTTGAGGGTCATTTATCCACAATAGTTCATGGGTCATCGGTCGAGTATGGTTCCCCTTTCACCTATGCTATCTCCATTTCTTGGAAGCAGGTTTTGCTCCAATAAGCTCCGATAAACTATAAATATGAAAGCGTCAACACAAACGGGACTTGGAGTCGGAGGATTTGTTGAGCTATAGTCAACAGGTTGTTGTACCCAGGCCTCGAAGCCTTTGGCGATTTTCTTCTTGCTTTTTGGCCATCTTTTACTCAAGCGACCTTGCCAGAGATCAACAACATTTCGCCGCAAGTTTGTTCTGTCTGAGCTATCCCGACTTCGAACTTCCAGCACCACGATAGGCCTTGCAGTGTAGCCAGAAGGGGATCTGCTCAGACCTCAGCCCTATTCTGTGCCCAGCACAGGAATTTCTCAGGGGTTGCAGGTAGAGGATCTCCTGCTGAGAGGTGGGGAAAATATAAGATATGATTCGAGGCGCGTCGAAAAGACATGCGCTTCAATGCACGTGGTTGCGGAGGTGATGGTGTTTTGGAAAGGTTTATAAGGGAAGGTACCTAAAAATATAGAAATATAGGGCAGGAGCGACTTTCAATGAATAACAAAGAGTGTCTTCCTGGATTAGACACTGTAATGAAATGCTATAAAAATAAATGTATAAAGCTATGGGACACTCGGGATTTTTTTTTTTTTTGACACTGTGCAATGCAGATATCCAGAACTCTGTCTGTTCATCCTTTACATCACCTATTGAATGGTTAGCAACATTTCACCAAATCAGCAAGAAATCTAGAAATACCGAGCAATTATCATCGATAACAATAGTCCGATGTTCACCAGGAGCAGCCATATCATCGAGTCCAACCCCAAGGCTGCCATGTCGGCCTCTCAAGCTACCAGCCAGGCGCTCAAGCATACTCCGCTTTATTACAAGTCAGTAAAGATATCTAGGTAACGATCAAGGGTAAGATAATGTACAGTGATGTGTGCCTCGTTCATGCCACCACGACGCTCAACATCGTTTTGGCTCATGATGCGATAGCTTTCATGAACTCGCTTCCGGCTCTCGAGACCCCCGATCTTGGACATAGTTCGTCCAAAAGTGTTGGATGGGTTGTCGGGGTCGAGGATGTTCACACCATTACGGGCATCCTCTTGAGCATTTTGGTCTGGCGAAAAGATTTTGATGGTGTTATCGATTCCCGAAGCGGCGATCATTGGTTCATAGGGGTGGCCTAATTCGTAATGTTAGCTTTTTGTCTTTCTAACCAATGAAAGAAATTACCTTGAACAACATTGACAACCTCACTATCACCTTCTAGGATGTTGGCCAGATTCGACGTCTTGCGGTCCCAGATAAATATATGACCAGAATCACAGCCGCTGACCACGTATTCATCATTCAGTCCGAAATAGTTAACATCCTTGACGGTCTTGACATTGCAGTGGCCGCGATAGCTTCGCATATGATGTACACGCGGAGCATGGCACTCGAGATTATCATGCTGTGCCTTTCGCATGGCATATCGCCGGGTCACAGTGTTATCGGAATCAGACCCTTCCTCATCTTCATCTAAAGATGAATCTATGAGCCAGCCATCATGATCTTCATCGTCGGATGACTCGTCTGCCTGGCTGCCATCGCTGTCATCCTCGCCTGTACTAACGTCGCCAATGTCCGATAACGTTGCATCTCCTTGGGAGCTTTCAGGACGGGGACCATCCCGCCTGGAAACAGAACCACTAGCCCTAGCGAGTTCAATGCGTTGAATTCGCTCTTCCTCCACACTGGGATCGATATCATCTTGGTTCCTCTCTTCCTCCGACTCGCTGTCAGATTCGTCCGCTGTGTTGTGAAGTCCGCCGAAAGAATTGTTGGCAAAGGTGTAATTTACCCCATTGCCTGCCTCCATCAAGATTCCTCTGCCCACTCGCAAAATCCAGAATCTCCTCGCAGAGGCCCGGTCCAGAGATCGGATTTGTGACGCGGAATTAGAGACACGGCGCCCGTCGAACCTAGCAGCTGAGTCCCCGAGATCTTCAAGGGGCAATTTGACAGCATTTCCAAATGCAGTCACGGCAGCTCGTTGAGTTTGGAACAAGATGCGCGTACTGTCATGCTCGAATCTGTTGGCATCCACATTCACAATCGGCGTGTCACGCGCCAATTCCATAATATACGGTACTAGGATGGATTCAATGGCATCTTCTTCGCATTCATCTGGGATTGGGAATCGGCTATGTAATCGTCGAGGGGCATTGCGACGTTGAAATCCCTCTAGCAGACGCTGCCTGCCGCCCTGCAGCCAGAGAAGAATCGCTCGGAGGAATTCATACCCAAACAGAGCTGCTGGGTCAATGGGGTCATCTTCGCCCGGCGCAGGCTTAATCATATCGAAGTTTGATTCTTCCGGTTCCTGTGCTTGATCTGCCAACGCACGAGCAAGCGTGCCAGCAGCTTGGACAAATCTCCACGAGGATTGCCGATTGCGACGAAGTGATTGCTGGAAATTAACAGTTTCCGGTGATGGGTTCATGGGATAACTCCATTCGCGCATGACAGTGCCCATTTCTGGAAGAAGAGTAGACGCAATTTCCAGGGCAGATTCAAAGGATCTAGAGTACGATTCGGGTCCCACGTCGTCAGACGCCGTGGCCTCCCGAACTGTCGTTTCTAGAGAGAACAGAGTCTTCCGAAGTTTTACCAATCCTTTTGCGATCTGCATGCTCAATCGCTGGGCATCATTCAGCATAGAATACCGAGCATGCTCGAGCAAACTCTCGGGGGTGGTATCTAGGACACTATCTGAAAATGTGGGGAACGGAACATCTTCTGCCTCGCCGTTCTCATATCGGATCCCAAAAGTATCTGTCTCTGCCGACCGACGACGGGACTGGTGTCTGTCACCGCTTTCCTGTGACGAAGGTGTCTCGGGCTTCTTGCGCTTCCGGCTCCGTGAACTGCGGCGAGCCTGTCTATTCTTGCCCTTGAGTGTGGATTTATTTCCTGCCTGAGCCTCTCGGGCGTCTGGGCTGCGGATCAAATCGAAGCTGTAGATGTGATCTCCAGACCAACTAACAACTATCTCATTGGCGTTTGCATCACTGATTTTACAAGCAGTGATGTGTCCGTCATCAATATATTTCACCTTGCCGCCTGGTGCAAACCTTCTCACGCACCGTGTCGCCTTGCTCATCTCCTCATCACGGGAACTACCAGAGACTGGTGTAGCCCCGCCCCTTGTCGTGGAGGTGTCCTGGCTAAGCATCCGCCTGTCATGCAAAAAGCAGTGGATGTGCGCACCACCCAAGGCAATATAATGCGGCTGGCTTGGCGAGCAAGAAATTGTATTGAGATCCAAGCTGTATGGCTTGTAGGAGATTAGAGGGGGTGGAACGTTAGAGTCATCATGGTTTAGCCCCTGTGCCATCCAGCCCTGACCACCCCGTGGCGAAGGGTATGCGCTAGACGGTAGCCGCAGATCCCACTGGCGGACTTCACCATCCTCAGAGCAAGTGAGGAAGAGAAACGGGGACGATTCGGTAACAATGCGTTTTACGCGATCAGAGTGGCTTCGATATACTCTAGCGTTCGTATTGCCGTCACTCAGATACCGCGCGCCATTGAAGAATTCATTGAAGCGTCGGCTTCGAGTAGAGGCCGCAAATGCAGAGGTGGTAGAATCATTTCTGCTCCCAGTTGAGTATTCAATATCAAAGACGCGGACCTGCGAGTCGCCGCCGCATGTAATCACGGTCCCATCATTCGAGTGTGGCATAAACTTGACAGCAAAGATATTTGCTTTGTGGCCGGTGAAAACGGTGGTGTTGAGCGCGAATGGAGCATTGGAGGAGTCTGGTTGGTAGGAGTAGATATTGAGGTGCTTATCATCGGAGCCTGACGCCAAAAGACGCCCTGACTTCGACCAACTGAGAGACCATTAGCATGATAAGCCAAAAAAAAAAAGGCGGAAGGATTGGCCAGTTGCTAAAACCAAGCACTTGAGCTTAGGTAGAAGCTATAAACATACCTAAGAGCATTGACACACCCAGTATGTCCACCGAGTTCATTCACAATGTCGAAATCATTGATCCATTCCTTGGACCCGTAAATTCCCCGGAGCCCAGCATACCGCAACTGTTCCCCGCATTCCCGGCGCCAAAGGCGATCGTAGATGGAGTCCTTCATGATCACTGGATCAGATGGGCGAGAAAGGTGAAATTCTTCGTCAGGTATGATCGGCGATCATCTCGAAAGGTACTGAGCAAATGGGTGGATACTGTCTCTTTGCGGATGACTCTCGTTATCTGGAAGGTGCCGTAGATGACGTCAAGAAGAGAGCTGACAGATAGCTTTTACATCACCCAAGGTGAAGCAACTCATTGAAGTTGTATGTGCAAGAGAGAAGTGAGAATGGAGTGAGAAAGGCAGAAATAAATGCATGAGGGGAAAACGAACGTCTTCGCGGTATCTAGATCACCCCGGAATTCTTCAGGTTTTGAAGTGCCCACATGAGCCCGCATGACGCCTGCTGACTCATCAAGTTACCTCAGGTCAGGTACCATCAACGCTATAGACAGCGCAAGATACTTGGGGCGAAGTACTAACACTCTCGTCCCTTGTATCCATGGATGGATCCATTCACATTCCTCAGGTGATTTTCTTTTCTACTTTGTACATAGATGCACCTGCATGTACATATGGTTGGAATTTAACTATGGATATTCATATACTCAGGTTGACCACAAAGATGGATAAACAACAGACTAGCTTCTCCATGCCCCGATTCGGGGAGCCCTCGTGTCCCTCACAGAGCCTGCTAGCTGTGTCGCAAGAAGGCTCACGGCATCTCTTTCTGCACGCACCACTTCTTTCTCCAATGTTTGCATGGCACGAATCTCCTGCATCATAAGCTGTACCAATTCAGCCAGGTTCCTGGCCACTCTGACAAGAGCAGACTGTTCTAGACGCCCCATATGCCCCATCTCTCCGAAGCCCAGGATATCAAGGACTTGCAATTGGCGTGCACCGAGTTCCAGCCTCACATTTAAATTATCCAATGCTTCTTTCCAGCTTCGTGCCAGGGGATCAATAAAGGCGCCAACATCAACACCCCCCGGTCCACGGTGATGGTGAATAAGCTCCACTTGGTTCAGCCAGTCTTCAAAGGTCTTCACAGCCTGTGAGTACTGTGAACCCCGATTTCCAGCAATCATGTCCGAGACATCTTGTAGAACCTGTGATAAAAGTTGAACCTGCTCAGAGAAGTCATACGGGACATGATGTTCACGGCAATTAGAAAGCCAAAGCTCTAGGGCCTGCAAATTCAGGTGGCACTGCCGCTGTGTCTCATCCGCCAGGACCAAGCGATATTGACCAGTGACACCGTCATACTTTTTGCGCAGACGTGACTCGGCATCAGACTTCCATTCAGCATGGCTTTGCAGTGATTTGGAATGGAAAAGACTGAGCTGAAGAAGTTCCGTTTGTAGTGCTGCGATATCTGGCCACGATGAAGGGATCAGCAGATTCCCAGGCTGAGGCTCGGCTCCAGGGGTAGGCGTTGGAGGTTTGGAGAATTTCTTTGGGGACGACGGCCGTTGGTACGTTGAGAGTGTTCGCGCACGTTGGCCGATTACTGGGGTTGTTTCGGCCTGTTTTGTATTCTGTGCCAGCTGACTCCTGTGCCGCACATGGACTTTGGTTGCTGCGGGTGGTCCCTTGCTGGTGCTGACGGGTTGCCTCAAAGAGGCGGACCGTGTGGGGCGTGGTGGGGGTAGCATCTCTGTTTTCTTGGGTGAAGGGGGCCTTCTGACTGTAGGAGGCTGGACTGGGGATCGCCTTCCTGGCGCAGTACGGGGTGAGGGCGGTACGAATGATGGCGCTGAGCTCTTTGACGAAGGGACTGTGATCTTCGCCGAAGGCATCTTCAACGCACCAGGTCGCATGATGCTTTGACGACGGCTGAGTGCTACCCCGGCCTTCATTGCTGTAGAGTTTGCCGGTGTTTGCTTTTTGGCTGGCGATATTTCTCGTTGTCTAGTTGGTGACGGGTTCCCGCATGGTGTCGGATTGCTGCTAGGTGGCTGAATGCGCCCATGTCCTATTCCACGACCATTGCTTTGACCAGAAGTACTACGCTGTGGAAGTAAGGTTCTTCCTCGTGTAGCGAGTCCATTGTCTTGCAGAGGCACACCCTCGACCGGCGAGGGATTTGAAGGCGGGCAGGTCGTATTATTCGTCTCTCGGGCAGAGTCTTTGTTCGGGCTGGTCGTGGCAGGTAATGGCGTTGAAGGTTTCGTGGTAGGTCGTGCTATATTGGAAGGCTTTTAGCAATTAGCATGATTTCTGTATGTGGTTGTTCACATCGCAATGGTAACACAGGCATGCGACAGCTGTGGGGAGCTTGGCAGATAATAAACAAACGGTGGACTGACTTGTTTACGGGGGTCGCGCAGCGAAGCCGAACGCGTTGGAATGGGCATGATCGTACAAGGTCATCAGATGGGAATCGGCATCATGCATTAAGTTCAAGAAATGGGCGCTTTGTTGTTGGCGCTTTGTTTTGTTGTTAACGGAAAGTCGGGGAGGTGTGTGATCTTCCCCAGGGTTACCCACTCTTGACCATTCCTCTCTTTTTCAAACTTCGCCGTCCGGCCTGCTTCTTCCATAGTAAAAATGCAGATAGAATCAATGAAATCATTTGAAGTAAATTAATACAAATCATATTTTTTTTAAAAAATAAAGCCACTAAAAAAAACTGGTGATAAACACACTACACTACCGAACCAGTGCATATCTGCTTCCATCAAATCAGCATAGATGTATACATCCTTTACCACTTCGGATGCTGTCGGGTTTACTCCTATATTACGGAAGGGAAACCTGTTTGGAAAATACTCAAAAAAATAAAATACAATGGGCTTATATTCATGGACATTTTGTTTATTTGTTATGTAATAATTGAAAATGAATAAAACCCATCTCTCCAGGTCGATGAGTATGCCTATTTTAGACAGCCTTTGTCACTTTCCCACCGCTTGTCCTTTAGATCCTCAAGTTCATCCATGCCTATCGAATCCTTGATATCCTAGAATCGGTGTTCTTGAACGGTGCGTTCGAGCCACGCAATGAAGTCTCCATCATCGGTCCTCGGATCAATTGAATCCCAGCTGTTCACTTCTGTGGTTTACCAGGATCCTGAGTCGATTTCAGAATTGGCATGGTGCATGACTCGAGTGCCCAAGGTAAATTGACCGAGATGCATGTTGACTAGAATGATGTCTGTATTGGACCGCAGCAACATCGATGCTAGGTCGACTCTCAATAATCTCCTGGTCAGGCCAATGAATGAGCTCGTCGGGTTCTGACCACAATCTAAATAGGTCGGTACTGGATCTTGTTGCAATTATGCTATCGGTATCAACTTAAGCACTGGATTCGGTCTCCATCCTCACATCGATGTTCTCGACGCCAGTTGCCTGACCGACGCACTCTGTCAGAATATAGCCCGATCAAGATAATCTCAATGGCATCCGCAGGACCATGAGCGGGAGAATCCCACAAGTCTGCCAGATCGTCAGAACTCACCTACGAGCCACGAGTCATGGTCTTCACATTCAAGCCGACCAAATCGACGTCCGCGTAGCTATGACACCAGTGTCCATATTTGCGCTCATTATACGGAGTATGTATTCAACCTTTAGGCCCGGCACACTGGGTAGGAACCTATTGAATAGCTGCTATCCTTCGCTGTTAGCTAGGATCGCATCCCTTTTCCTTTGTATCTTTCTATGTTCTTTGGAAAGCCGCGATAGGCTTTAGGTAAACGAACTAATAATCCTAGGCATCGTTGTTAGTTCGAAAGCCGGGGTATTTCACACGGAGGAGCAAGCCACTTGCTCTAATGAATGACACTCTAATGGTATAACCCTATGGAACATGACTTGATGTCTGACTGGGGTGGGTCAGGCCACAGCCGCTGGTGATGTTGGTGGATGGGTTTGGGTTACTCATGTACAGTGGCTCCTGTCTGTGAGAGATAAGTTCACAAGTCCTAACAATAGGGTGAGCTAACAACTGGGTTTGAATGTATCTAAGGTCAAGGGAAATTTATTTTTTAATCTGTCGTATTCGCAATCAAACGCTGTGTACTACTCCAACGTTATATATGGAAAAAGGCGTTCTACAATCTATGCAATCTTGTCCACCCCATCAAAATCAACATATCCTCTTTGCTATATTATTCGTGGCTGGTAGGGGTATTTATCTATTGATCTTTTTCACTATATCGAGTCAACTGGATAATGTGTTAACACTACGGAGTAGAGGCTGACGGGCTATTCTTGTCAACTATGGGTTGGATCTAGGTTCCACTGATATCGAGCTTTAGATGATATGTGTGCTAGCTTAATGTTCAAGTTGCCAACTCGAGCTTGATTGATTGAAGACTTAGACTAGCAATGAATAACAAATCCTCATTGAATTGCCGGCTTTCATTGCGGATGAATCAAGCGCGGTTTAGAGGCAACAACGCATTGTCTAGAGTACTCCGAACTTACCAAAGAGACAGGTCTAACACTTAGATATATGGGATCCAACAACCCAAGACGACCTCTGCGCCTCCTTCAGTAGATGGTGACTTATTTGCACTATATTTATTTTTAATAATCTGCTATCATATTTGGCTACATCTGTTTCTAGAAAAAGAGCGAATACAAACTTACCACTAAGTCCCTGCATGTTCCTTGACCCCGGCAGCATAGGAATGTTCCGTCGTTGCAGAATTGCCCCCTTTGAGAGCACCCAGCTCTCGCTTCCAGATTTGGAGCGGCTTCAGCCATTGCGAAGGCAGCTAGTGCATACAGGACGATAAACAGCTTCATGTTTGAATTGCTTTGGAAACTTTGTTCAAATTTCTTCTTGAGATATTTGAAGAGGCAATGTAGAAGGGAAGTATGGATACACTGTTAAGAAATAGGGTCCATCACCACCGGGAGCTTCGAGCTTTATATAGACCATATACTAGTTTAAGTCTTTTGCTAATATGAGTAATGAATTGCAGATCTTTAGGACTGCATGCCTAATATACCACGCCATGCCCTACGGAGTACTAGTTCCCAAGTTCAGGTCGCAGTGCAGGAATTGGATCTGTTCGCACTGTAGCTTCTAAGTTGAAAAAGAATAGATCATAGAAATGTGCAGATCTTTGCTCAAACAGAAGGATCTCTGTGTAGATCAAATCTTGGCATTTTCGGAATACGAGCGAGCAGTTAGAGGAGATTACGCCTGCGCGATAGATGCGCATGGACCTGCACGAGTCATAAAAGCGAAACTAGAAGTTAACCAAGGGGTTGAATTAAACTGGTCATATCTATCTATACAGTATACAATCGAAAGTTGATAAGATGCAGGCACTTCACCTTCTAAGTCAAAAACTTATTCCCATCAGAAATCCAACTACCTATTCTACAAGCTCATCCAAAATACGTTCTCCATTTTGGTCCTTGCAACCTTCATCGGCCTGGAACTTGCCTCGTCCGCCGAAGCCGACAAAGGAGCAGAGGCTTCTGTGCAAATCAACAACTGCTTCACACTCTGTAGGATTGACGGTGGAGTGAGTTAATTCCACTTCCGTAACTTTGATTTCTGCCTAGTACTAGCATTTGTATTAGAGTCATGAGGGTTGTCAGCAGCAATGCATAAACACCTAGGAGATGCATAATGCCTAGAGGGCAATACAACATTAACAGCTAACATAGGTCTGATCCCTGGCTATGTATTGGCCGATTGTACTTGTTGCTATGGACACGTAGGAGGATAGATGGCCATCATTGCTGTCGTTTGATTTTTGTTGCTTATTTGACCGGCGTTGAGTCGCTGTACCTAGCGGTCAAGGTGTGTCACATCCATAGGCTGGATAATCTAAAATGCTCTATATCTAAAACACATAGATCATTTGCCCCTCACCTAATTCCCTAGCTTCCCTACTCCGTAATTAGCATAGATTTCACGCTGTACTCTATAAGGAAAACCTGAGGTTGCACATGCATTTGTGGGGGGCGGATAAAAACGGGAGATCGACACGCCTTGGCTGCATGGCTGATCGTCCTAACTGAAATATGTAGGGGAACGACACCTCATATCCCTCAAAACTGAGTTCTTTGCATATGGATATTCACTATCTGCATTGGAAATCACCGGGTCCCTAGTCAGCTATCCATAACTTAGGTAAAAGAGCTGGAAATAGTTGACAAAGATTGAGATTTTTACCCCATTCTAGCTAGATAGAGCCTCCGTTATGCCATCCGTTTCAGCTGCCAAGCGATGTTGGAAATACTTTTAGGTAAAGTCCAGGATCTTCCATATGATTACGGAGTAGAGATACCCGGTCCATGTGTAGGTATTCTAGTTACCTATATCTCAAGACTTGCATTGCACAGCTAGTAGTGAGAAGCCATTATGCTCACTTGGGGCTATATAATACCATCTTGATATTTCCAATTCAGTCTAGTATCACGTACGGGTGAGATTCAATTGAAATGTACAGAGATACTTACTATATAGAGTATCAAAGGAGCCAAAACTGATCAGGTGCTCTATAGAATACTGTGCTTGAAGATGGCTATGTTGAATCAACCCCATTCAAACTATGCAGAGGATGTTGCGTACCGACAATCCTGGTGGATACAAACTATCAATGAGGAATGACCAGTCATGCAGATATTATCGCAAGCTTTGAGGGGGATGGGGATGCGTTATGTGATTGGATTACCGTCAAACCTCTGTCATTACAGTCTTCGAAAGTGAACCGACATCAATGAATTCATCTTTCAATATCGAGTCCTACTCGTGTACAAGCTGACATCGGTAAGAATATAGTAGACCAATAGAGGTTTGGATATGAAAAGTGTTGAGAGTGGTTATACGACCACTATAGTTTACTCTCATGTAAATACATGTAAAAGATCTCCTCTTCAGGAAAGAAAGACATGGGTAAATACACAATGGTATGTATAGAAATGACACACTACCCTCGATCGACGATTTCTAGAAGACTTTTAAATATGTTTTCCTGCACAATCTTCAGTCTTGATGCCTTTTGATGTGTGCTTTTAGCTTTCTTGCGGTCACTGTGCACTAGTTCTTTGGTATCATCAGTAGTCCTTTTTGGTCAATCAATCGATCAAAGTTATTAGCCAGTTATAGTCTAACTAGTTTTGTATAACTATAACTATAAGTTGCAGGGGCTTCATCCAACTGAAGCAAGAACTCGAAGCCAAACGCAGAATTAGAATCAAGTACATCCCAAGAGCATACACTGACTGATTATAAAGTGTGTGAAATCAGCCCATTCCTGGATCTTGTAAACCAACAAACCCAGACCTCCTTATATAAGAAACATGAAATATAGAATGAGTGCGATAGAGTGCACCCTCTATCTTCCACTTTTTACTCTCCCCTCCCACCCGCCTCGGTTTCAATCGATGGTGTTTCTTCCTCCGGCCAGTTGGTGATATAGTTGTACCAGTGTAAGCCATTAAGCTTAGGAAACTCCCATAGCGAGGATATTATCAGATTGGATAATTTCCAGAGAATACATATCTGTATGCCAGCTTCCCTACTCTCGAATCAAAAAGCAATACACAACTACCATTTAAACATACATAAAATATTGATTTTTTTTCGTCTACTTTGCGCCTAGATGATCCAATGTTAATCATGGTAGCATATCTATTCCGTCTGTTTTTTGTTTAGTTAGCGAAGAGAATGAGGGAAAATATCATAGGCTTAGCTATCTACTTCCGCGCAGAAAGAGGGAGTTGCATGAGTGGATTGAGTAGTATCAGTTCTGCTGCGAAGTCCGGCATCTCTCTCTTCCTAGAATGTCAAAAATGTCCAGATAACTGCTGAGTGATCATGTGTGCTGTCTCCGGAATTGCTGAGGCGATTATTTGCGATATTTCAACTAAAGGTTCTCAAAGGATGCTAAGAAAAGCAAGTAACACATAAGAGAACCTTCCAAGGTCGGAACATATTTTCAGTATTGTCTACTTTATATAGCATAATTCATGGACAAAAATGATGGAGGAAGACATGAATTCTATAATAAGTTTGGTCTACCGGTCCTAACACCAGATCAAAGCAGAGCACTTTTCATCACAGCTAGTGCGTTCAATGCCACACCAGGCAGATCGTGCGAAATAGGAAAGGAAGCCATCATCTCAAGTCCATCTAGGAAGTCTCACATTTCAAAGACTCCCACGACGAGGGAATGCAATACCATCCACTGCCGGGTGATCAGTGAACCAGGTCACCTTATCACCAGCACCCTGGTTAACCAGAGCTGAAGGAAGACTAGCGCCCTCCTCCTGATCAAAGATCTGCTTGAGGATATCCTTTTTGCCGGCGCCGGTTGCGACAAAGGCGATGCTGATAGCGTGGGTAACAACAGGCAGGGTAAGAGTGATGCGCTTAGGCGGGGGCTTGGGGGAGTTTGTCTCAGCGGCAACCCAAGCGTCCTTCTCGCGCAGCAAGGCGTGACCAGGGAAGAGCGAGCAGGTGTGACCATCGGGGCCGCAGCCCAGGAGGATGAGATCGAAGATAGGGACTTTAACGCTGTCCTTGGCGGCGAATTCGCGCATCAGGTCCTCCCGGTAGAGATCTGCGAGTTCCTGGGGGTCGTCATCGTCAACGTGCTTCTCGTCGATTGGGTGGACGATAGGCGCGCCGAGTTCGGCGGGGATCTTGTTAACGAGTTCATCATTCAGCAGGCGGTAGTTGCTGTCCTCGTGGTCGAGTGGTACAGCGCGCTCATCGGCGAAGAAGATGTGCCACTTGGAGAATTGGGGTGTATCTTCAGGGGAGCCATTGCTGGGGGCGAGGAGGGCTTTGGCAAGGACGGTTGGCAGGGAGCCGCCGGAGACGGCGAGGCGGAATGTGCCGTGTCGGGCGAGTGCGGAGTTCTGGCAGCGGAGGACGTAGCCTCGCAATTGCGCCGCTAGGGCATCGGAGGTGGGAAAACTGAAAAGGTTGGGGTGTCCGGCCATAGTGAATAATATGTAATATGTGGGTGGGATGAGAATGAGGGGCAGGAGATATTTCGTGTTGGCGGGGCAAAGGGCCGAGATCTAAACGCTTTTTGGATTTAGGCCTGGACTCGGAGATAGTGATCGACTCGACAATCTGCCAAGGCAAGTTAGGAAAGAGAAGTGAAGGGAAGAGAGACGCCGGATTAGGAACATATGACGTTGCTGGCAAATGTTATGTCCCATGGGTCGATTCGTGGAATTTCGCGATGTTTCCGAGGATCGTCGCAGTTCACCCGAACCTTCCAAGATTGGAAATATCCGCTTCACTTTGCCACACCTTATTCGTCTTTGTTTTCTCTCATTAAACTAAGCTAGTATGTTTCTAATCATTCAAATTTAATGTAATTTGTATGTACTTTGTATACATCGTGCCATCCTAGAAGTATAAGGCAATATGACATCAGGATCTTCGTCTAGGATATCAATCTCAAGGATCTAGACAGTTTTCTAATAGTTTTAACTAGTTTTAAATAGCCTAAAAATATAAATCTCCAGATTTAAAGATATCAGCCTCTCCACCTTTTAAAGATGAAAAATGGGATCGCATTATAAGTCTAAATATTGGGAGCCCTGAAGGTTGACTAGCGTGAAGCCCAATACGCCCACCTACGTCTATGTGCATGATAGTGTTTCTCAAAATATCCCCCTTTCTAATTTAGTTCTGTTCTGGACCCAGTGGGGATAATACGTGTGCCTTTTGTTAAAATGGCTCTTAATGTGGTCGAGATCCGTCAATGAATGATCAAGGACATAATTGAACGTGCCGAAATTCCGGATAGATGAATAAAAAGAGCAGTGGGTTAATCGGTTGATCGGCATGTCCCACAGGTTTAGGTAGCAGAGTTATTGGAATGAGCGCATGCAGCCCAGTAAGCCCACATGTTATGATCGGCAATAGAAGGGGGGGGGGGGGGGAATAACGGAGCACTTTGTAGGATAGGGTAGAAAAGCATTGGGCTGGAAGCAATTTCAAAAGCCATCGCATGTTTCCCTGTTTCATATCTCTATCCCTTTCCTTGTTTATCAAGTCGAATCATCATCACATTAAAAACCGGGGTAAACCAAGAACTTTGGAAATCACGGGGCTCAACCGGATCAACTCAAAACATGCAACTTCCCCCCTTCCTCTTTTCAGACCCTCACTAAGAATCAAATTCGCCCAAAATGAGCTCTCCAGTCCAAATTACTCCTCAACCTCAGACCGACGACGTTGTTCGTCCAGCTGAGGCCTCTCCTCCACAGATCCTCGACATTGTCCGATGTTCTCGCTGCCAACAATCTCTCAGCCTAGGCCAATCAGGCTGCAGCATTGTTCAATTCGGTATGAACTCGTACTATTGCAGCCGTTGCGCAACCAAAGTCGGCTTCGGAGGATGAAACAAGAACAATATACAAACAATAAACCAAAACACCAATATCCAAACACCAAACCAAAACCAAATAAACCGGAGGATCTGGGGGGTCTGTGGAGTCTAGCGAGTGGTTGACCAGATCAACATCAAAAACCGACTTTCAAACCAACAAAAAATCATTCCCCCGTCGCGAGAATGCGACTTCCTTTCCCAATAGGATACCATTCTATCACGTCTCTTCGATACTTTCCTTCATTTTCGACTTCGCCTCGGACCCCGTTTCGAGAGTTCCTGTGAGATTTTGTGGACTGTGCTGGCACTGCCTGGTCTTTATTGATCACGATTTTTAAAAAAAAAAAAAAAAGATACCGGTTGATGGAAGTTTTCATGGGTTGACTTCGGTCAACTGGATTTCCTTAGGTATCTGAGACACCGGGGATGGCAGTCTGGGCATCAGTGGTTCTTGGTGCAACCACGGGACTTCGGACCGAGGTGCGCTTGGGAGATCATCGCATTTGGCTCATTCCACTCGGTCGGCATTGATCATATACAACATAAAGATATTGGATTCTTGTGTCTTGATTTGCCGAGCATATATATGGTTCTCTTGCAAGTTGAACAACTTTCTCGAGCGACAATGCTTCTTATAGTTATGTGTCCTTTCTATGCCTTTTGCATTATGTTATTGCAACTCATGCTTTGATTTCTTTCGCTTTTTAGCGAATCGCCTGCTGGATTCCTGTTTCATTATCTCTTTCGGGCCACATTGCCTGATATCACGCTTCCATTTCATATATCGAATTAGACACTCTACTTCATTCTTGTTTGAAATATAATATACAAACATGGCCCTCCAATTGCCACCACATAGAGTTACTACATAGATATTTAGTACAAGAATCCCGAGGCGATCATACGAATGAACTTAGATCTACATTTGGCACCCGGGGAATTCAAAGACCCCGCCTGTGAGAGGATAATTTATGACTGACATGAGAACCGAGCATTCTTTTAAACAGATCTTCTGCTACAATTCGCCCGTGAGAGAGGCCGTAAACATGCTCAAATGCCAGATTGACCATGTGATCTCCCCTGAAGCCCAATTTTTTGGTCGCGTATCGTCATAGTACAGCTTCGTCTCACACCGAGTAAACCATACATACTTGGAATGTATGTATCTCCCTATGTGGGTGGTCATTTGTCTTAATATAGTTTGAACAGTCGCACATACCCTGTGCCATGCTTTTTGTAGTAATCTGGCCCCTCAGATTGTCCCTGATCAAAGGAAGGGGACACAGATGAAGATCTTTCTGAAGATCTGTGAGACATTTGGTTTTGCATATTCTATACTAAGTACTGAGTACTCCGTACGCGTATACAACATAGATAGGATGTCCGTAAGTACATGGGTACTTGAGTATTCCACATACCTGAAAGTTGTCGAGGAACGGGAACGCCTAATGTAGACCTACTGGGACCTGCAGTGTGACTATCCAGGGAGGCATACGGAATAGGCCGTAAGACCCCATGTTCAGGGCAATGAATTTGAGCGCGGAGATACCCTTATTTCCAGAATAATATTACTATCTCACTATATTTATCTGCAGGTACTTAATCAATAGTCAATGTAATTGATCCACAAAAGAGAAAAAAACCAATAATAACTACAGGGTATGACTGCTCACGTTGACCCGCTCTGATCGGGCTCTGATCGAAGATCCTCTTGTTAAAATAATTTCTTTTATCCTTCATTTCTGTCCATTCTTTTGCTTTTTCAAGAGTTCCGATCTGACAATAAACACAGAAGTCAATGTGATGAATACAGGTCCCCTCTGCATACTCTGCATGTCCGATCCGGATCTAGCGGTGTAACACTACATACTCCGTATTAAGTCCAGTAAGCACATCTTTCGAAGTGATTTGCCTCCTGTGCACGGATATACCCGGCACTTGAAGAAGATTATCATTTCAATATTTATAACAAAGGGGAGGGGACATTATTAGAATCACCATACAATGCCCTCAAGTGGAACTATATCCGGGAAGTGGGACGGCAGAGCCACGCTCTATTGCATTTGGCAGAGCTCAGCTCATGGTGAAAATGACATATCTCAGCCAGAAGGAGAAAGGGAACTGCTTGTTCTCTGATATGACTGGCTACTGCTGATCGTCTAGCGTCGTCATTCGCTCAGATTCTGCAGTATTCTGGGTCCCCATGATTTCTACTTGCAAGCCATGAACAAGACTATCGTAGATTATTACTAGCCCTAAGAAAATTAATTGGCTATATTATATATCATCAAAACTATTCTTGTGAAACCTCGACGCATCCTATTTTTTTTTTTGATTCCATGACTTTATAATCTGCTCATTCTTCGTCCAGCTCGTGGAGGGGTTTATGTCTTTTCTCTGCAGTGTGTGTCGGTCAGACCAATTCGTTGACTTGCATGTATCCCACAGGAGAAAAAATAAAGGTAGGCTTGTGCGATTTTGCTTCCTAAGAATTGCACCCTCATGCTTGGTAATATCCAAGAAGAGCGGGGAATTCAAAGGTATCACCATATTTATATACCCTGAGCTAACATGGGCCTCCGACAGAGCGTATAATTGCCCAAGTTCTGGACTCAACCGAACACCTGGTCGGACAAGTCGAGCCCCGACTGTTTCGCAACGCCGACAGACCGGGATATTTGCAAGCATCGACATTTACCTTCCATTTAAATCCATACGTCTAAGCTAGCGCGCTTACGGCACTGAAAATACCGGGGTGCATTGTTCTGAGATATCTGCAGCCATGCCTCTCCTCGGTCGTGATAAAGGTCGCCCCAGATCGCGCAGGTCGGATGATGAGTTTGTCATATTCCTTCAAGGCGTGAGTTTAATATGAACTATCTCAGATGGCGTTGAAAGACTAATAAGGAGACTAGATTCCACCTCATTGCCGCTGGCAGGAACTCAAGGATCTCGTCCGCCAAACTGCACTTCATATTCGCCAGGCAGTAGTATATGATGACAGCCATGGATTCCCCACCGGACTAGGCCAAATCATCGTCAAGAATGAGGATGAGGCCTGGCGAACGTACCGTATGTGTTGATATCCCGCAATCTCCGAAGCCCCGCCCTAACAACCCCACAGACCGGCTGTCAACCAGCGGATGGGACGGCCAGAGCCTGGTCGTCACACTATCGCGGACCAGTACACCCACCAAGCCCATTGCTGGGCCTACAAGAAGTCCAGCAATGATGTCCACAGGTTACATCTCTGGCCACTCCACGCCTCCACTAGTACACGGAAACATGGCCGTTCCCCCGTCACCCGTCTCGCCAGAGTGAGCTTACCATACCCCCGAATATGAACTAGAAAGCTAATCCCCCCCATCCAGATCTTCCCACCCTGCCACTCCACCATATCCATACCAAGATTACGGCGTCATGATGGTACCGATACCAATGGCACCGCAAGCATTCATTCCCATGATGCCAGACCCTCACGCACCACCAATGCAATGTTTCCCCCCATCCCCAGTAATAAACGGCACAATGTACGAGCCGCATTGGAACATGGCACCAGGATATCAGATGTCACCTCCACAACACATGCACCACGCAGGCGATAAACAACCACAGAACTACCAGCACTACCACCATGAACCTCGCAAAGGCACAAACCCCAATTCCCCCTCCTTCTACCCAGACCGCCGAGCCATCACCATCGAGAACTTGAATGCAGTTACTACATGCGCCGATCTAAAAACCCTTCTGCAGACAGCCGGCACTGTCCAGAAATGCAACATAGCCACCATGGACTCGGCCGATAGAGACAGCCAGCTCCGCGGCTTGATCACCATGCAAACAGCAGACGAGGCACAGTGCGCTGTGACCATGTTCAATAATCTGAGTTTCATGGGGTCGCGAATTAGGGTGAAGGTTGATCGGGACTCGCATCTCACGCGGGCTGTAAGCTTTGATGGTGTAGGTGCTGGTGCTTGTTCTGGATCAGATACAGCGGGCTCGGTGCCAGGAACTGGGGATACGTATCAGTCATGGGCTGAAGAGATGGCCTCAGAAGTCAATGTTGTTGATACTTGCAAGCCGCTGGTGATAGATGGGTCTGGGTTGAATAGGTCGGTTGAGATTTTGTCGACGTCTGCGCCTACCTGAGGGCTATATATGTACGTATTATTCGAGGTGAGAAGGTGGTTGATATTCAAACATACATATGTTCCGCTCATGCTTTGCTTTTTTTATTGACTTTCACTGATGGTTTTTTTGATCGCTTCCCATGTAAAGTATTTCGTGCTTCCTGCGTTTCTTTGGCTATACATCCTTTAGCAAAGGAGGATCCCTCCTACTATGTACAATTCCTATTCTTGGACTACATAGGTCCAACCTCCCAGACCTCTGTTTGCTTTATGTATAACTAAAGATAAAATTACCATAGATGGTTTTATTCACCTTCCCTATTTGACCGACCGCACTAGATACAAATCCGTATAGGCATTTCTATGCGGACACAACCTCTTCCCAGACGTAAAGTTTTCCAGCGCTATCCGATCCTCACAATCCAAAGTCCAAATCCTTGATAAATCTTGATCCTCCAAAGCTGCCAGTAAAGAACCAACCAATACCCCAATCATCCTCGGCCCAAAAGTCGGCTTGGCAGGACATTCAAACGGCGGACAGCCAAAAGGCATAAACGCATCTCGCTGCGCTGGCGTAAGAGCAGACCAGCGACTCGGATTGAATCGCTCTGCATCAGAACCCCAGATATCAGATCTCAGATGACATCCTTCGATATCAGCTGACTTGATTTCATAAGATGTTCTCAAAACCTGGTCCCACTGATATGCCCGGTGTACATGTCTCGTAGGCACGTATAGTCGGAGCGATTCGCGGACTATGTGCTTTGCACTGGGTGAGCTCTGAACACCAGATGTATCAGCATCGTCTGTGCAGGGGCGACTGGGTGGGGATCCAGAGTCTGTGTCGAATTGTAGTTTCGTTGGCTTAGAAGCAAAATTAATCATTGTTTCCTGCCACCCTGTTTCTTCTTTGCCAGTGGCAAATTTGATCTCTAGGAAAGCTCGTAGCACGACACGCCACATCGTCTCGAATGAAGGCAGGATGAGATTCAGTGGGTTATCCTCTGGATGACCGTGTTTCCCGAAGATATCGGCCAGCGAAGTCTGGAGCAATACATCATCTTCAAATCTGGGGATATCATTCCCCGTGGCTTTTAGCTTTGAGGATATCCAGACTCGATTTATAGACTGCGCTAGGCTCAGTAGACTCTCATCGCCTGTCTGATCGTGAGTCTTTTTGTCGAACATCAGGTATAGTACAACTTTCAATGAAAGTATTTGTGCTAGACTAGCAATGTTTATTCGATTGTGGTCGACCTTCTGCTTCCCTTTATGACAGCTGTTGCCGCAACTATCATTCATCCCGGGGAAGCCATACTCGATCCAGTGGCTACTCGTGACTCTGGCAAACTCGGATATGTCGCGCCACTGCTCCGTCGATAGATTGATCAATGGTTTGACTTTCTCGACGAACATACTGGCGTGGATACTGTCTGTGCGGGTGAAGGCGTTGTCGATTCCGAAGGCGATGGGAAGATGTTTATTCGCTATTGCTTTCGCTTGATGCGGCGAGAGGATATTCGGCTGATGTTCTGTGGACTCCAACGTGCCGGCAATGATACAGCGACATGTCCCTGGGTGATTTGATGTGGAATTGGTTGGCTGCCATTTCCCCCATATTACAATAAGAAGAAGGGATACTCCGAGGATGATTGAAGCGGCTAGAGGAAACATTTCAATTATGGATTGAAGAGTTGGTGGTCAATTACGGAGCCATACTTATAGCACAGACGATAAAAGGAGTATAAATCATGCAGCATGAATGGAGAGGGTGGCCTTGTTTGCTTTTGTCTTGACCATCTGTTGTCTTTCGATTTGTAAAACATAACCTTGTACAAACTGATGCCATGTTCCGTGTGAAGATATATGCTATAAGGCAATAGAACCGTGTTTGTGCGCATTGTCTCAGAGGTAGTGAAGAAAATTAGGGTTTCCCCTTTTAACAAACGAATAGAAAGGCTGCATGTTTCACAAAGCAAAGGAGTGGGATTCTAAAAGGGAGAATTGTATCTCAACTCAGGTGGATTCTCCAAAAAAAACGGTAAATATTTGTGTACAATCATCAATTCATTCAAACAGGCGTGTTATCTTGGGTGTTCGTCAATGTAAGTCTCATATCTCATCCAGTGACCATATCCAATCGTTGCGATCAATATCAAAAACGCCGCTATGAAACCCAGGTAGTATGACATTCATTTCCTTTTCCATCAGAGCTTCTCAGTGAGCTCAAGCCATGTCTATTTTGCATGGCTAATCATCTCTGCGTAAAGGTCCTCTGGGATCTTACGGACGAGGAGAACTGTCAAAGCAATGATCTCCTTTGCGTCGAGGGGAGGGAACGAGCGGAGAATTTTGTTTGGGCTATACTCAAGTTAGTTTTTTTTTACAAAAGAAATCTGAAGAACAGACTAGAATTTACCTCGAACTCTCAAAAATTTGGTCCCGCATACGGATTAGCTGGGCGACAATGCATAGAATGTTCAGGTGTGATCCATATGCAAACAGGAAATCCCACAGATGCAACACCTCTGGCAACGGAGGTGTACAAGCGCAGAGGGTCAATACGGATGGGAATGCGTACAGCTCGGCGTGCATACCCTTGGAGAACAGATATGCTGCAAGCTTGGGCTCCACAATCTCAAGGCATCGGTCGACCAAACGGAGACCCCTGTGGACTCCATCCATGGCACCACGGATATAGCCTGGACATTCGCGCGTGACAAAGTAATGGAACAGAGCAAATGCTTCCACCTCGCTACGGGCAGCATAGAGGAATGGCGCACACAAGACATTCATGCCTTGGACGTACATGGCCGAGTCGCTTGTGTTACTATTGGTGATCTTCTCCAGCTCTCCGCCAAAGGGGGACTCCTCTGCAATGCTAGGTGGTGCATTCACTAGAAGCTCCATCTCACGGCGCCGAGATGACGATGGTCGAGACCGAGGTTTCGGCCTAGAATCGTGAAGTTTCCATGCCACAGCATTGAGAAGACGAATCAAGCTTGCTTCTGTGACTCGGCGTTTGAAGAGAGGGTCTGTGGCTAGTGTGCGAAAAGTATCATTGCGAATTTTGGCGTAAGCGGGAGAACGGCCACGATGGATAAGAGCAAGGTAGTCGTCGGTGGGCATAGGAGGAACGTCAAGTAGGACGAGCCAGAGGTAGATTCGGTATGGCGACTATCATTGCGAAGTGTTAGACATTAATCTTGCAAAACAGACTAAGGACCCTTCACCATGCCATCTCCGTCGGCATCCACTCTACTGGATAGGACGAGGTATTTGAGCTCTCGCAGTCCCTCATGGGGATTTGAACCCTGCGGTCCATCGCGCAAGAAGTTCTCCAAAAGCGATCGCTTTACCCCAAATCCTGACCCTGTTTTCCGCGCGGGTCTTCTATGAGTCGCAGGTGGTGTTGCCGCAGCTTCACGAGAAGCTGCGTCGCTATTTGATCGAGCTCGGCGATGTGCGCGCGCTCGAGTTGCAGCACCAGGAGTTGCTGCTGCTGCTGAATCAGCTTCGTGGGAGCCAACTTGGTGAGAGGCCTGGGTCTGGGCAATAAGCGCACTAGAGGTTGACAGCACTTGGTGGGATTGGATCTTTCGGAGGGTTCGCATGGTTCGCGGTGATGCTGGTGTGTCGGGGCCCGGGACGCCGAGGGCCCAGGAGGGCTGAGGTTTGGCCATTTTTCTGCAATCAAGTCTGCATTGGAGGACCACGGACAGACATCTTTGGGAAACGAGGTAAGATGAGCGCAGTTGACGGGAGGAGGTGTATCAGATCGCGGTGGCTGGAGCTTTTCTGCCGATGAAATGCGGAAGGTGTTGGCTCCGACATATACTTCCACTTTTACTATTTACTTAGTTTACTACTTTTACTGAAATTTTCCTTTGCTAATTGAATAACTAATGGTACATAATCATTCATAACAAGCTTCGTATATCTGATCTTTGCTTATACAGCATTGAAATCTCTCAGCTGCCAAAAGCCTTGGAGATAAGACGCAACCCCCTAACGCCAACTTAATTGAAACCCATATTCATGATAGCAGCTCATGCATGTGTTGAATCTCCTTCATGTTTCGCATTACTCCCGTTCTCTCCACCCATAACGCTGCGCACAAAGTCATGATACTGGAAAACCTCGCCCTTCTTACCCATCCCTCCTGACTTCGCTCCCCGACCAATAAATGCCGGGCGCCCTACAAACCCACTGAAGACTTCATCTATCTGTCTTTCGGTCAATCGTTCCTCTCCGTCTTCTGGGGAAGTATGTAGTAGAGCATCACGTAATTCAGCGGCGTCGATTTGCCCGTTGTCATCGTCATCAAACGCGGCAAGAGCGTTGAGAAGCTCTTGTGAAGGCGACATTGATGCCATCAGCCCGGAAAGTGTATTCAAAAAGTTTGGGAAGTTCATAGTCTTGCCTGCTCCTGGTGGGAAGAAGCGCGACAGAGTAGACTGGGACGAGTCTTGGCCTGTTCAAACACTCAGATTAGCTCCTCATGCTGGAATTTCGAAAAAATATAAATAGGTTTCTTCCTACCCAAAGTTGTCAACACATCAATTACATCATCTTTGTCCACAAGCCCGTCATTATCCCGATCGAGAACCTGGAAAGCTTCTCTGATCTCCCTCACTTGTTGCGCCGATAGCTTTCCAGCCGCATCACCAGATGGGGCTTCAAAGACACTCCTCCTTGTCCCAAGTATCGGAGATAAGCTGCCTGGCGACCGCGCTCCTTTTGTTGGGGAAGGAGAGAGCTCTCTGCCAAAGTTCGGCTGGGGAATGGGCCGCTCGCTCTTCGGAGAATACGATTCGCCATCCTCCACTGTATATGATTGATTGAGCTTGCTGGGAGATACCATAGGTGTATATGCCCGGTTTGGAGAACTCCCTGGGGTGCCTCCTGTGCGAGTGGCCGAGGGCGGCGAGTTTGGAGTAGACGGGCGCCGGAACGGGGACGCCCTCGGCGACCCAAAGGATAAGGGCGATGGTTTAAATGTGGGGTTGTTGGCCTAGATAATTGTTAGTCTTGGATGGGTGTATCATCACTCAAAAACCTCACTCACCATGGTGAATGTCGCGCGTGGGCTGAATTATGAATTGTAAACAGCCTATGACGAAGGTTTGCTTATCGATGTAAACAAGCCTCGGGCTGGCACAACAACATGATTCTGCCACCGTCTTTCCCACCGCCTATGCTATCTACATTGACATGGACCTTTTTATCCTTAGTTGTATATTATACGATCCTGGTTTTGATGCTTATAGTTTCACCTTGATAAATAGGTATAAAAAGCCTATATATGGCATACAGATAAATAGATGCTGGGTGACTGGGCATTGCATAACATTGAAGTGTTCATAGATCTATGTATAAGGAATCATACTCGTCACATCAGCCCTCAATTGGCTTCCAAACGTTCAACCATGAAGAGCAAGATCAGTGCAAGTCAAGTCGTATATTTAGCCTTTCTTCAGGTATACCTATTTATAGAATAAATTCAAGTGTTCTGCGAAACAATGCCATTCGCTATTCTGTATCGGGTAAAACACCTTGAAGTTGCCAGTGTTGTTTCTTTTTCATTAGCAGATGTACTCCGTACTACTGCATAGAGCTGTGACAATTTTCGATGCATCACTTTTTTGCAATATAAATAGAAAGATCTACAATGTATGGTACAAAAAAAGGGAGATTGCATTCTGATAGATCGTCTTCCTCCATGTTCGATCTTGGAATGTCTACGGGTTATATGGATCCCCCTTATCATCTTATCGTCTCTCCACTGTGGAGAAATCGTCCTTTTTCTTAACCCCTCTTAACCCCTGAACAGCTAATTCTGGTCAATTAAGTCACTTTATTATTATCATTGGCCCTTGACGTTGTGTTTTTTGTGTCCCAGGTATGCTACTCGATTTATAGCTTTGCCCGGAGCAATCCTCTCTTCCTAAATCCCCCAGAAGATGGCAACAACACTACCGTATCGACCGTCGAACGACTCCCTATCCGCCTCAAATAACCGCCAAACAAGCGGTCTACCTAGGCTCTCGCCTGCGGCCTCCTTTACCGGACGCTCGCCCAGCAGCTCACATGGCTCCTTTCGAAGAACATCCACAGAGAATGCGGCCTCAAGCTCCAGGCCACGCCGCTGCAAAGCGCAGTACCCGCTCGACTCGCCAGAGCGCCATGTAGAATACATCCTGGTTGCGTCCTTCCATATTGACCGTGGTCCAATCATGGAGCACCAGTATCCTGCTGCAATCAGTGGTGATGAGAGCATGCTTGCAGAGCTGATGCTGCCGGATCAGACACATGTGCGGAGTCAGGACTGGACTATGTTCTTCTTACATAAAGACACCAGTGGCGACGAAGAAACGGATTCAACAGGTGGAAAGAAGAAAAAAAAGCGGAGGTCACAATACCATGGAAACCAGGACGGAACCGATACTCAGGACGAGAGCCAGGACGAGATCTCCGATGACCCCGACAGCAGCGATGACGAGGGTGGTGAAGGGCCACCCTTGATGTATGTGCTGAATCTTGTCAACACGAAGCAGGATAACTCTGTCCGGAGGTACGTCGTACTGTCTTATCTGCATGTGCAAGTGCTAACAGCGAAAAGAGGTGCAGTAGTAAAGGCAATGGCAATCTGTACGCGGCATTCATTCCTCCACATTTACAAAGTAAGCTATTTATACTCCTATATTCCTATCAAACAGTCAATTCTTACTATCATACAGCCTTTACTTCTCCTCGCGTTGGAAGACTACTTCAAATCTCCATTCCCTGAAACCCTGGCATCCCTCTATGATGCTGTTAACGCCATGGACCTTTCATTAATGCCGAAAATGTCGATACTTGAACGCCATATCTTACAATCTAGCAACACAAAGGATATGTTCTTAGAGAAATTCGAACAAATGATCCGCCAGCGGGAAGAAGATGAACTCCAGGATGGGGAGTGTCCGCCGTCACCGAAGAGAATGAGCCGATACGTCCTACCGCGAGATACACATGAGTACGAGTCGAAAGTGGTCTACAATGATATCCCTATCCCGGTCAAAATTCCGACAGTGATTTGGCCGGAGACCGTTGGAGACTTCTCCCTTATCAAGCTCGTTCAGACCTTCGCCGTGCCGCATGCCACATCCCCCCAGGCTTTCCCAGTGCATCCCCATTTAACAACTAGCGGATCATTTACACACCCCGTTATTGTTCTTGTCAATGCCGTCCTCACCCAGAAGCGTGTGGTATTTCTAGGACACAACCGGCCATCCGGAGAAGTTGCAGAGGCGGTCCTGGCGGCCTGCGCTCTTGCATCCGGTGGCATTCTGCGTGGATTTACTCGACACGCATTCCCTTATACCGATCTTTCCAAGATTGACGATCTTCTTAAGGTACCTGGGTTTATTGCAGGAGTCACAAACCCTACATTTGCCAACCATCCGGAATGGTGGGACGTTCTGTGTGACCTCCCCACGGGTCGCATCAAGATCTCAAGTCATGTTGAAACTGCACCGGTAACAGAAGGACTTCTGTTCTTCCAGCAGCAGAATTCCCTTCTACCCAACAGTGCATCCCACACGACCCAGGACCCAACAGGCGACACATTATTCATGGAGGACATCCTCCGCAGCATCAGCCAACGCCACGGTGAGAATGCCGTGCGCGCAAAATGGCGAGCCTACATCACAAAATTCGTCCGCGTCGCCGCAGCCTTCGAAGAAGCAGTCTATGGCGCCTCGAACCTCTACATCATTGGCCCAGGCGAAGAACTCTCCCCAGATAGCCCAACAGGCCACCAAAGCGACGCCTCAGACCCAACAACTCTCCGCGGGCACGGATACGTATGGGCAGACGAAGCAGCTAAACAGCGCGAGCTCTCGGCCTCCGTCTCTAGGATTGAAGGCTGGCGCAATACTCGCTCCTACTATTCCTACATCCAAGACATCGCAGCAATGTACTTCCCCGCGCGTCCAATCCAACGCCCAGACATCCACCACCACCACGACCGCCTTCGCTCCCTAAAGCTCTCCCACTCCGAAGCCTCCTCTATCTACCTCGCCCTCTCTCACTCCGTCAAAGACTACGCCGGCATCTGCCAACTTCTAACCGTTGCACCAGAGAACCAGGCCGGTCTCTTCTATGTCAGCATGGGTCTGTTCCACCCAGACCAGGTCGTCCGCGAAGCGACAGCCGATCTTCTCGACCGCATCGCTGCACACCCAGCTGGCCGCCATTTCTGGACGCATGTTGGCCGTTTCGCAAAGCTGGGTCATATCCGTGTTAAGCGGGAACGAGATGCCGCTGCACAGAGTCCGATTTCTGGTGGCGGATCACCGGCTCCTACGAATCCTGGGGCTAGCTTTGGGGGTGAGCCTCAGAGTCTTGTTGGTGTTGCTATGGGAGTTGGGTCGAAGAGGAGGAGCTGAGATTTTGTAGCGATCTTTTTCTTACATAACATTTTCTTGTCTGTGAGCGTTTTGCTGTGTTTTGTTGCAATCTTTGACAGATTCTTCATACGTGACGGTCTATGCTCTTTCGATCTATGATTTCAGATGCGATTTATTTGTGTTGATATTGTGTTTATCTATACTTGGTTATGGATATGCTTGTGAATACTCATACTGTCACTGGCGTCTGAGGAATACATTATTGACCCAGTTATTTTTGGCAGCGAGTCCCAGAAGTTCTTCAAAGAAAATACATCGGAATCAAGTCAACCTCGATCGGATACGGAAGTGAATAACAAACAGAGTGAATAACTGTTAAAAAGCAATATGAACAATATCACTGGAAATTAAATACAGATCAGACGATCAAATCAGAAAGCCAAAAACGCGCTCGCTGACATTAACCATGGCTATACCCATCCGGGCAGACAGAACACAATGAACCAAAACAGAGCGTGCGTATGAACAAAAACAGACAGAAAACCGTTCAGATCAAAACAGGCCTGCCATGGTGCCAAGAGCCAAAGCCATGACAGTGACAATTCCAAGCCTTGGCAAGGGGACAGCAATCCCGGCCCCAGCCGTGACATCCGACGATCCAACAGTAATATTGGTAGCCGCGAATCCCTCACCACAGTGCGTATTAACAATCTCCGCCGAGGGGAGATAAGTATCATCAAGACTCTGACCATCTCGTCTCGCCCACCCAGAAAACAAATCCATAGTCGCCTTCAAGCACTTATTACAACTCGGCGTATCACCGGCAGTCAGTGGCGTACCAAGCGGCATGAAGTAGACAACGTAGTCATCTGGCGCAGTTGAATTCGACACCGCGTCGACGAAGCAGTAGTTCTCAGTCGACGGGCTCGTGAGACAGGTTGCACGGTACATTGGTTCGTAAGCGACGAGATCGCGATACGTGCCTTTGACGACCGAGTTCCCGTTTTTATAGTCGTCGCCACAGTTGTCGGGTTTCAGAAGATCGATTGCGAGATTGGTCATGATGGATGCGCACTTGGTGACATTTGCCGAGCAGGATGTGTCCAGGATGCGAGATGTGGCGGCGGCGGAATTGAGGGAGTGGAAGAAGGCATTTGAGTTCTCCACGAGCAGGGAGATGGCGTTGCAGTCTGATATTGTTGTGTTGGCGCGCCATGTTTCGAAGAAGTCGACACAGCTAGTGGCGTTGGCGAAGTTGTAGGAGAGTGTGTCGAAGGGTTGAGGCATTCCTGATGAGGTGTTGTCTGATGCCGTGACGATTGATCGTTGGCGGACTATTGTGGTTTCCTCTGTGGGTTCTTGTGTTTGTGCTTGCAATGGTTGGCGAGCTATGAGCTCTCCATTTGGGTTCCAGGGTGATTGTTGTGGCATGCAGAGGTCTGTGGTGTCCGTTGATTCGGCCCATGTGGGTGATAGACACAGAATAGTAATTAGGATTAACAGGTTGTAGATATGGTAAAGACGGGACATTTTGGCGTTTTGTCGTTGACTTGAGATCGAGGCAAGGACATGAACAGTCAAATATGAATTATCAAACAGCAATTAAGCGAGATAGATGCACAAGGGCAGTCTTTGTATGTTAAACGAGTGACAGTGCTGTTGGTTGGTAGTTGGGCAACAAAGAAGTGATTATTCCAACATTATGCGAATTTGGAATGAATGGCTGTCATCAAATCATTTGAAAGGAGTGACTGAGGGAATATTTTCTCTCGGAGTTGATGAAGTTGAAGTTGAAGTTGAGAAGCGCACGAGGGCAAGTCCCGGCATCCCTGGAAGTTGCAGAAAAGGCTAAAATGGGACTTTTTTAGTTGCAAGACACTCGCATTTAGAAAAGGCCAAGGCCGAGAACATCATGCCAATGCGCTAGAGCTCTCCGAAGTACCACTAGCACGAACTAGACCGTTCGGTGGAACTCGGCCTCAGGGGGTGCTCGGATATATTTGCTTCGTACTCCGTATAGAAGTTGAGTTTATGGGGTCTGGGAGCATATATAGAGTAGATCCATTACCTATATAGTAGGTAGGGCCCAGCGTTATTGGGGGACATCCATTAGTCTCTCTTTTTTTTCCTTTTTTGTTCTTTTTTTTCTTTTTCTTTCTTTTTTTTTCCTTTGCTTTTCCCCCACCGGTTCCTCGTCTGACTGGCTAGATATAATTTGGAAACTGGAGTATTTTGAATCTGAACAAAGAAGCATGACACATGAAGAAAGACAATGGAAGTGAAATTTAAGTCCAGTTAACCTTGGAAGCAAGGGGATCTAGTACCACGAGGTTAGTTTGAGGCGTTATATGGACTTGGGTCAAATTAGGTTATTCCAAATATTGATTATAGTTATATCCTAGTTAATACTTGTATAGTTCTACATCTAGTTGCCCTTATATTATTATTACTACATACAATTAGCACAATTCAATTGATCAATTGAACATATTATTTCTCGCAGATAACGAACTCGGTCAACGGGTTTCAGAGCCAATTAGGTAAGTGGGATTTCGGCAAATCATCCCCCCGGCCCCCACACAGAGTCATATCCATATGGACTTGATAGCCCTGGAGACTCTCTTTCAATTCAACTTAACTTGAACTTATCATGGATTCATTAGTGCCAGAGACCAGGGTTCTGGCTGTTGCCAGCCATGTAAGTGAAACTGCCCACTCCTTCGAATGATAAACTGACACTCTACTAGGTAGTCTACGGGTATGTGGCGAGTCTGATAACGCCGTTTATCATATCTAGACGACACCATTGGAGTCAATCACTAACATCATTTTCTCCAGCCATGTCGGAAATACAATGGCAACTTTCGTCATGCAATCCCTAGGCTGTGAAGTCGCCGCCTTGAACACCGTCCACTTCAGTACGTTGCAACCTAGTCTTGACAATTCCAACCCTGACTCACATGCAATTACAGGTAACCACACGGGCTACCGCCAATTCAAGGGAACTCGTGCCACCGCACAGGAAATTTCAGACCTCTATCAGGGCCTGTGCCAGAGTAACCTCACAGACTTCGATGTCATGCTCTCGGGCTATGCGCCGAGTGCAGCAGCCGTGGAATCAGTAGGCACTATCGGCATTGATCTGCAAGATAAGGCAGAGAAAAGGCCGGGGTCATTTTTCTGGGGTAAATAACACTCACCATTTCCCTAAGTACCAAGTACAGACGCTGACATAATGTTAGTCCTGGACCCAGTCATGGGCGACCAAGGCCGACTATATGTCAATGACGACGTAGTCCCTGCATACAAGAAAATCATCCCATTTGCGGATCTGATTTTGCCTAACCAGTTCGAAGCCGAGTAAGTCATCGCCAAACTTGATATTCAGGTTTATACACCCACGCACAGACCACTAATAAACTAATATAGAACCCTCTCCGGCATCAAAATAACTTCACTAGCCACACTCGCTTCAGCAGTAACAGCCATTCACAGGATTTACTCCGTGCCGCACGTGATAATCACCTCAGTGCAACTCTTCAAGCTCTCCCAATCAGGCTCAACCCCACCCCCACCAGAGAACTTCCTAACAGTAATCGGCTCGACCACGCGCTCCGACGGGTCCCCGCGACTCTTCCGCGTGGACGTACCAGCCCTGGACTGCTTCTTCAGCGGGACGGGCGATATGTTCGCTGCACTGACCGTCGCACGTCTAAGCGAAGCCGTTTCCGCAGTGGATGGTCTGCGCACAACCAAGTCGTGGGTTTCGCCTGACGACGTTGCGGCTACGGATCTGCCGCTGGCTAGTGCGACTGTCAAGGTTCTGTCGAGTATGCATAGTATTCTGGAGCGGACGTTGGAGAGTCGGGATGCGGAGCTGGCGGCTGCTGTGCCTGCGTTGGAGGGAGAGGCTTCTCCGCAGGAATTGGAGAAGAGGGATTATTTGCGCAGGACTAAGGCTGCGGAGGTTAGGCTTGTGAGGAATACGCAGGTTTTGAGGGATCCGAAGATTCTGTTTGAGGTGCAGGATTGGAAGAAGGAGGATCTTCCTGTGGATTTGAGGTAGATTTTGGTTGGGGGATTCTGTATATTGCATGTGGCATGGTTGGATGATAGAAGGGTTTCGGGTGGGCATTCGGGTGGGCATTAGATGAAGCCGGAGTCGGTGGCCATCTCTATATCAAAAACCGGTTCGGTCTGTACATAGATTTGATTATTGAATCAAGCATGGAAACGTATATGTTTTGTTCATTCTGTCGAAGTCTCAAATGCGTGTAATCGTAACTAAGTTCTTTGTAAACCCAGAACCCATCTAATTTTTATCCGTCATCCCGACTTTGTACCCTTAAATGCCAGTGCTGCCGAATCCACCGGCACCGCGGACACTCTCCTCCAGCTCCTCGACAACGGCCACTTCGGGGGTGTAGATCTAAAACAGGTCAGACATATTCGCACATAACAGTACTGATGGCTAGAACTCACCCGCTCCAGAACCAGCTGGGCAACACGATCACCCGTCTTGACCGGGAAGTCGACGTCAGAGTGATTGAACAGAAGCACCTTGACCTCGCCACGGTAGTCGGCATCAATGACACCAGCACCGGTGTCAATGAAGTGCTTAGCGGCAAGACCGCTACGGGGAGCAATGCGGCCGTCTGTATCCCTCATTAGTATCGCATTCATTCTTGGTCCAGCTCAGCCTGCGTAAGCAGCAAAGTTCCCGAAGCACAGGTATAGTCACATACATGTTCCCTCAGGCACAGCAATAGCGATACCAGTATCAACAGCGCCCTTGCCCTTGGCGGGGATAACAGTCTCCTTGGCAGCGTAGATATCGTATCCAGCAGCGAAAGCCGAGCCGCGCGTGGGAGCCTGGGCAGACTCAACAAGCTTCTTAACCAGAAGCGGGGGCAGTGGCTGCTGGATCGATGTAACGGCGGGGGTAGTCATTGTGTCAGGCTTTGATCGTTTCGGCAGCGGGGAGGCAGGCAAGGAAGGCGGATTGTGTGCCGGGAGGGATTTGTTTTGGGGTGGTGGGGTGGTCTCTTTGGTCATGGTCAACACGAAAATGGTTGGAGATCGAAGATCGAGAATCGAGAATCGAGTGGAGAGCAGTCAATTGGTAAAAAAAAAAAAAAACAGGGCCCACAGTAAATTGGCTAACGCAAGTCACAAGCCCCCCCCCCCCTAGCTTCACAAAAATTGCGGTGAGCTCCACGCTCAAGTGCGCGCGTTTCACCGCTGGGACGCGCCGAGGGTTTGCTCTGTTTGTTCTGTTTGTTCTGTTTGTTCTGTGCTCCCCGCTCAAAGGTGACACCGAGGAGATGCTGGGGACCGAGGTCCACCGGTAACAGCACCTGCACACTAAGGCATTTATTGCTTCCTTGTACATATTATTTGGAAAACGTACTTTGCAAAATACATACGGTTTTTCAAAAAAAGACAGTCTTTTCCTCATTTTGTACCCACCATGGCGGGAGAAGTGCGCCAGCCTATAGATATCCCTTCGTTGGAGAGATACATTGACCAGAATGTGCCAGAGATCAAGACTCCACTTGATTTGAAGCAGGCGAGTCTGGCCCCGTCAATCAATATACCAGCTAGATCAGCGCAACTAATATCCTGTTCACTGTAGTTCGGTTTCGGTCAATCAAACCCTACCTATCTTCTTACTGCCGCAGATGGCAAGCAGGTCGTTCTGCGCAAGAAGCCCCCTGGCAAGCTGCTCTCGAAGACAGCTCACCAAGTCGAGCGCGAGTATAAGATCATCCGGGCATTGTGGGATACCGATGTACCTGTTCCCCAGGCATACTGCCTGTGCGAAGATACCAGCGTGATTGGAACTGCGTTCTACATCATGGAGTTCCTAGATGGGCGACATTTCACCGACCCAGCGATGCCAGGAGTGAGCGGGGATGAGAGGAAAGCACTGTAAGTCACTGATTGAGGCTCCAATAGCATCCAACCAACACCCCAGCCCATGACTCTGCATGACTGACAAGGCCCCCAGCTGGAAAAATGCAGTACAAACGCTGGCAAAGTTCCACAACGTAGACCCCAAAAGCGTGGGGCTCGGAACCTTCGGCAAGCCGACAGGATTCTTTGACCGTCAAATTGCCACTTTCACGAGGATCTCCAAAGCACAAGCCGCCGTCGTCGATGTCGACACCCAAGAACCCGTGGGCGACCTCCCGTACTTCGACGAGATGGTGAAGTTCTTCTCACAAAAGAGCACGCAACCTCTGGATCGGGGCACACTCGTTCATGGAGACTACAAAATCGACAACGTGATTTTCCACAAGACGGAGCCGCGTGTGATCGGAATTCTAGATTGGGAAATGGCGACCGTAGGACATCCGCTCTCGGACTTCTGCAATCTGACAAGTCCGTACATAATGGAAGGAGCGGACAACGAACTGTCACAGTTCGCGCCGGGGGTTGTTCCAGGACTGCCGGGGCGCGAGGAGTGCATTGGCTGGTACGCCGAGACGTCTGGGTACGAAACGAGCTCCGACGTGGCGTGGGGCGATGCCTTCTTTGCGTTCCGGGGCTCCGTGATTATGCAGGGCATTGCGGCCCGGTTCGCTGGGAGGCAGGCTAGTAGTGCTAGAGCGGGTGATTATGCGAAGAGGGCGAAGCCGTTTGCTGAGGAGGCATGGCAGAGGGTTAAGGCTGTTAAGAGGACTGTTGAGGGGAAGTTGTAGTCCATAGCCTAGTTTATTTCTATTCCGGTTTGAAATCTATTACAGTCTGGGAGGGAGTAGAGTTATTTTACTTGACTCTTTTTTTTTTTTTTGAAACTGTTGGAGGGTTTTAGGGGTTTCAGGATTTGGATTTGTATATACAAGGTAGTCCGAATGGAGTTCTGGGCCTCAGTCATGTTGGAACCGTTCTAGCGCCGGATATAGATAGATGCATATGGTAGCTTGAGCCCGATCTAAATCTAAATCGGACTCTTCAGCTTACTATGTAAGGTTGGCCCAGAACCCATGAAACCCCACTATGGGTAAGTACATAACCTATATGTACAAGCCTAGAGGAGCTAGATTGAAGTACTTTTGGCGCCTGACGTGTGGTTCACGAATGTAAGCACTTATCCCGATGGGGACAAATATTTGAGAATCGTATAATATCCTGCGAGAATATCACGTTTATGTACGCCATTTCACCCGATCACTACCGGGTAGTGAGGATATATACAGAAATGAGTTAGATCAAAATTTAAAATAGTATATATGTATATATATATATATATATATATATATAACGAATACGAAGACATATATCTATGATCTCGAAGATATAGGTTGGAAGATGAAACTAGTAATGTGCCAGAGTAAAAAGGCGGATGTCAATGCTCTCCGTACTGGTAAGGGTTATAGGGAGAAAAGGGATAGGGTGGAATACCGCATTGTGTAATGTCCGTTGAGCCCGAACACCTGGACGGTCAACGTAGTCCAGCAGTGAATTATGATTGGATGCAAAAGAGGGGAACAGGGTGAGGCTTTTTTCTGCCCTGCGGCTCTACGCGTAAGTGAGGCTGACGGGGGTTGAAGAATCCACTTGTTTTGATTATTTTTTTTTACCCAGGACTTTTGAAGGATGTACATATATATTTCAATAGATGTTTTAGATAGGATTAACTTAGAAAATAAGTTTCAAATTAACTAATCTATTCTTCATTATCCACTATTCACTAGTGTGAGGGGATAGAGGGGATGCGGCTGGGAGGGGGTGGAATTCGGGATTTAGGGGTTTCCGGTTTGTGGCCGACTGGGTTGGACAGCACATCTATGCAGGTAGTATAGCGTAGTATTATTATTAGTATGAAATATATGTATAAAATGGTATATAACATACCTACAATGTGGTTTAATACATATATATATGTTGTATATGTTGTATAATAAAAGCTATCTATTAACGAGGCTCTGAAACAACGTGGGCCGGACGATCTCCTTGCCGCAGACAGCGCGTTGTCAACTAAACCGGGAAAGTCTGAAGATCCTTCGGGCTGACGGCTCGAGGCTCGCAGTTTAGCGTGCCAGCGCAGACGGAGTCTGACGTTGCAAAGGTAAAAAAAAGGACAAAATGAAAAATGTGAACAGACCCGGGTGGAGCCTCGTGCAGCTTCCCGGGTATAAGAGCCCTGGAGAGAATGACTGGGGGAGTGGAGAGAAGGAGAGGGGGAAAATACACGACTTGGAGAGTTGCACCCCGGTTGTTGTCTCCGAGTTTAATGGTGGAGCCTGAATAACAGAAGAGTAGCGGTGGAGACTTGTTTTTTTCTGTTTTTTTATTAATTCTTGGCTTTTATGTGCGACCAAGTTCAAATGCTCCGAATAGAAGGGGATATAAGGTAAGTCAGGGGATCATGGTCAGCAGAGAGGAAAGAAGAGAGATGAAGATGGGATATATAGGTTTGAGTACTCCGTAGATGAAAAGGGTAGATATAACAGAACATAACATAACATAGATAACATAAATAACATAAATAACAAAACAAAACAAAACATAAATAACAAGATAATAATGAGTCAACAAGAAAATAACCAAAATATAACAAACGAGGAACGAAAAAAACATCAAATTTCCAGAAATATAAAGCCCGAATAATAATAGAACGTTCTAAGCCCGTCACCGTAAAGTATTGTAATATATTATTATGGAGCCCGAGTCCTTTAGAGAGCCGCATGTTCCTTCTCTCTCACCCCCCTCCCTCGAATATTCCAACGTTTATTCTCCCTTTCTCTATTGTTTTCTTCTTTTTTTTTGATTTTTGATATTCCTTGCATCTGATACTGGCATTATACTGGTAGATATTGCTGGGCTCTAACTTGCACGTGTAGAACCTGGTATTTCTCACCCTTAGACCTCTTCTGTTTTTTTTTTTTTCCCGGAAGCCCTACACTTCTTTTTCTCCCTTTAGTTTTCCTTTCTTTTCTTCCCTTGCAAGATTTCACTGTACAGTTTTTCTCTACCTGCACACTTCCTTTCGGGTGATATCATTCATCTGCAGATGGCGCAGTGACAATCGGACCTGTTGAGCCTCAATCCCGGGACCCATTCACTACCCGTCGACACCTTTCCCCTTGGGTAAGTGCACTTTCTGCAGACTTCGTCTTAGTCTGGAGCTTAGGTCTCTCTTTTTCTTTTCTTTTCTTTTGCGTTTTTGTTTTTGTCTTCTTGTTTCCCCTCAGACCTTGGCTTTCGTTTTTTTTTATTCTGGTCATCCTGACCTTGATAACCCCTCATCTCCCCCAACGCGTTGCATCAGAACAAGGGCACCGGACACTCGCATCGTCGGAATTGCCTTTCTCCCTTTTCCTACTTTTCTATTCTATTCTATGCACCTAGATCTTACCTTTTTTTTTTCTATTCAACATATCATCGCCATTACAACCATCTCTAACAATATCCTACAGGCTACGTATCATTTCTGATGTGTGATCGTCAATTCAATCTGTCAGAACAACACCAAGTATAAGGCGTGGTGCCAGATGCACCTGCCACTTTATTAATGACATCCGCTATGTATGATTCGGATGACGCTTTTAATCGGTCGCCTCCAATGGAGGTGATGAAACCCAACTATGGAGATAACGAAGAATTACTACCACCATTTGTTACCCGGAATAACGAAAAAGATGTCGATCCAGCTGGTTCCCGTAAGCCCAACCAGCAGGAACCTCAGAGCTCAACCCACGAGGGCGACCGAGTACTGATGGGGTTTCTAGCTCCGAACCATCCTGAGATTGCCGTTTCAGCAAGGACCTCTCCATTGGAACCATTACCCGGGAATCTCAAAAACTATAAACAGCCGCTTGACTTCGATCCTAGGGATTCAAAGAGGCCAAATCTATTCTCAAGGATTGGGCCTCCTCCAAAGGAATCCTTGGAATTCAAGACAGCCCCAGGCTCGGCCTCATTTAAAGAGATTGAACCCTCCCAGACGAAACCGAAATTAGTCCCATTTAAGCCTCCAAAGCCAGATATTGAGGTTAAAAATGAGGAGCAAAAAAAACGACTTCATTCTTTCAGTGCCCCGAGCCCACGATTAGAGTTGCCCCAGCTCAAAACCGCCGAAATCAAGCCCGAAATTTCCCTCCCATCACTAAAAGTGATCCAACCACTTTCTGGATCATCTTCCGCAAAATCTGCAGACAGTAGTAAACAAACGCTGCCATCTATCCACAAAGCTATCAGCGAATTGGCAGATTTCGGCCCACCAATCAACACAATGTCATCACCTTTCCCTTTCTCCTCATGTCCCGGATCAACTACATCAGGGAACGATTCTCCATTCGATCGCGCTTTCCCAGGAAAGTTTTCCATCCCTGCAAGTCCTTTTTCTCACTTTTCGCCCGTGAGCATGAAGGACTCATCTACCAATCCTTCTCCAGCCTCGCACTCGTCTTTCTGGCGTGGACCATCCCAACCTGAGATGCTGTCCGTCCAGAGCCCGTATGAGGCTTCCCCTATGAATGCCAAAAGCCCAGCGACCAATTATCCTACGCCCACGGAACAGGTTGGCGTTGGTATGGGTGATCGGCTTTCGCTCTCTGTATCCACTCCCCAGGCCAATGGGGGGCCCGTGGGTAGTTACAAGTGTACACATCCTGGATGCACTGCTGCCCCCTTCCAAACTCAGTATCTCCTCAAGTAAGAACTAAACAACTTCAATTGAAAAGGAAAAAAAACATGTAAAAAAAATCACAGCTAACGAAATAGCAGCTCTCACGCAAACGTGCACTCACAAGATCGCCCACACTTCTGTCCAGAAGACGGTTGTCCACGGGCAATAGGCGGGAAAGGATTCAAACGCAAGAATGAAATGATGCGTCATGGCCTCGTACACAACTCCCCAGGCTACGTCTGTCCCTTCTGTCCAGACCAGCAACACAAATATCCGCGACCCGACAATCTCCAACGGTTCGTACTACCCCCGAGCTTCACTTAATCTGACATCAGCAGAACTGACACTCACACAGCCATGTCCGTGTACACCACGTCGACAAAAACAAAGACGACCCCATCCTCCGACAAGTTCTCGCACAAAGACCACTTGGTAGCGCCCGCGGGAGAAAACGAAGGATAACCAATACATGAACCATTTAGCCACTCGTTTTATGTCTTTGTTCTATTCTATCTGTCGCTTTTACATCTTGCATTCTAACTTCGTTTCTCTTTCTTGCCTATGTTCTTTCTATCCCCGTTTTCCGGGCCGGCGTGTACCCCATCTTCAACCACATCCCACATTCAACCAAACCCCCCTGTGTCCCCCGGGTGTTCCAGATTTTCCAGATTAGCGCCTCAGTACCACCACGCTAATCACTCTTCGAGGCAACTTCGCAACTTTACGCGTGACGAATTTCTCAGCTGTGATACCTTTCTCCTTTTTATTTTTGTTACCTATCGGGTACTTTTGTTGGTGCTTCTGCAATGATACCACCTGTCCACTGTTAGAAATTCATGATGTTACATGGGTCATTCGTTTAATTGGAGCGTGTCTTGACTACCTTTTTTTTAGTATTTTATTTTCTTTCTGTATCTTGTCTGATCAATTCGGGGTATTATGAGACCTCATGGAAATTCTTCTCTTGGAAATTCTTCTCTTACTTTGCTTGTCAAAATTCACACTCGGATAGATGTATCTTTCTCGACTATAACTTGAGATTAACGCGCGTATGATGAATCCGATCTGATGCATCGTTCCTTGAGATCCAGCCTTTCCTTCTTCCAGGTGGAAATTTAAATTCTGTCCGGATATCGGACTATAACTCCCTTAGTTGCACGCACTTTCCCTGGGCAGTTCCATAGCCTCACTATGCCGATTAAAGTTTCCCACACAGCCGCCAAGTCGTGCATTCCTACTAGGGTGTATGATCGACGTCTAGGCCCTTCCTTCCGTCACCTGTGTCACAATCGACTCAGCCTCATTCCACCGCTCTTGTTGTACTGATACTCCGAGCCTAGGTATAGTAAGTAGCATGGCCACTACGTCATAGGTTATGTAGATTTTTGGCCTGCTGGCTTGCTGGTCGCAGTGAACTTGCGGATTGGATGCATAGATCAATTCCCAATTAGGACGGATTGGATGCATAGATCAATTCCCAATTTCCTAATTGAAGGAGCGGCGTGAAATTCAGTATATTGATAAATTCGAGCTCCAAATTAGTTCTAGAGAGCTGATGCACTATTCGTATCCATTACCTCAATGGTTATAGCGTAATATCCCATCCGATAATTTCGGACTGTGTGGAAGATACATCCATAGTGCTTACAGGCTCCCGCCAAGGAAGTGATTGCCGTCAAAGCAGTCAAGTATGGGAGCCCAATTATCCCTGCTATCTCGAAGCTAGGCGCAAAGAAGCCTGAATATATTAGTCCTAGGATCCTCGCAGCCGGTGATTACTGTTTAGTCCACAAGTCTTTGGCAGCCCTGCTCAAGACCCAATCATGCGCCAGTGTTCCACGATTTATTCTCCGTATTGTTGACATATAAGTTATGCGCCTAATCCTGTAGGGTAACCACATGTGCACAATGTTCCGGCCCAATTTTATCTCGTGGGAAGGCGCGTCCGCAGCCATCTTACTCGGGATATTTCTGTGTCACCTATAATTTCAATATGGACGTATAATGAACGGTGTTACGACATGCGGTTCACTTTAGATATTGCGTTATGAGCGGGGTTCTTCAGCTCCGGACAGGGGTTACGTATGTACGGGCTTTGAGAGGAGGGCGCTTGACAGGCTGGATTAAGAGTTTTGAAATTTTACAATCATTCGCCCGCTCGTTTCGGGTTTGCTTCTTTTGTTAACTCTGTCCTGCTATCTCCTCTTTATCTTTGCTCGATTTGGGTATTTGACCCAAGGTCACATCTAATTCGCTACTATGAGACTATTTTGGAGCAAGACGAAGCCAAGTGTTCCAGAACACAGTCTGTAAGATTTCCCCATCGAGATAAGATTCCCCGAGCTAATGGTGCCAAGGTACGCCACAGAGGGCGCAATTGGGATGAAGGTGTTAACTGATCCTTCGAATGCAGACCTGGAGTGAGTTCATTTCCTACTGCACGAGGGCTCCGAGCCCAAAAACGAATGAACCAAGAACTCAAACAAAACACCCAAACTGACATACACCAAACTAGCATTGTATTCGTCCACGGATTAACAGGCAACCGCGAGAAAACATGGACCCACGAAAACGGAACCCTATGGCCCCGCGATCTCCTTTCCAAAGACCTATCCACAGCCCGCATCATGACATTCGGTTACGACATCGACATATTCAGCTTTACGTCAATTACCTTCTCAGACCGACTCAACGACCACAGCCAATCCCTCGCCTACGCAATCGTCAGCCAACGAATCGACTGCTCAAGCAGACCTATCCTATTCGTCGCGCACAGTCTGGGCGGCTTGGTATGTCAACAAGCTTTGATCCTTAGTAACTCCATAGACGGTCTATGGGCGATATCGTCGAGCGCGATCGGGATAATCTTCATGGGCACGCCGCAATACGGGTCTTCGCTTGCTTCGTACCGAGAAAAACTCGCGAAGGGGATGAATATAGTGCACACTGCGAACAGGGATATGGTTGGGGCTTTGCATCCGGGCTCGAATAATGTGCAAACAGTTGGGAATGAGTTCCAGGCTATGCTTCGCCGTGGAGACCTGTCGCTCAAGGTATTCTGTTTCTTCGAGGCGAAGAATATGAATGATGTAGTGGGAAAGATTGTTGAAGAACACTCGGCTATTTTGCTGGGCTATGAGAATGGTAGCATTGATGCTGATCATTACAATATGACGAAGTTCAGTGGCCATGCGGATGCTAGTTATGGGCTTGTGAGGTCGATCATTACGGGGTGGCTACATGAGTCTCGTGGTGGCGATGCTGCGGCCAACAAGACTGTCGTGTCCGCTTCTGTCTCTAGGAACCCTGCTTGGTTGGGCTCTTGGACTCCGGGGAACTTTTTGTTTAATGGGACGGGAAATCCACAGAATTTCGCGAACAGATATTATACAGATTCCGACCAGAACTTTAGCATTGACTGAGAGGGTGCTTGAACGAAAAATGTATGTATTTCTTGCAATATCCTAGTTTTGGCTGTGCTTTAAAAGCTATATATCTCTGAAGTCAATAGCTACAGACGGAGCTTATTATACAATGCCGTTGTTCCTGAAGGGAGTGGAGACCATGCACGTCTCAATTAGAGTTAAAGCTTAAGCTTCCAAGACCAACCTTGGTACATGTCAAGCTGAAACCTTAGTCTGCCCCGACCTCGGAAGTTTCAGATATCTGATGACCTCGGGAGTATGATACTATCTTCGAAGGTCAAAGTATTGGCTTGAAAAACCTCAACTTGGAACAATAACCATCTCATTGATTTCCCTAATTGAATAGTGTAACTTTTAGCAGCTTCTAGTTGCCCGGTCGACATACTTGCGGCTCAAGACAACTGATTGGTGTAATATGTTCGTCTGACCGTTCGTGCAGTCGTGACTGGGTTGGCATTCGCCCGGGCGTCAATACACTGCGCTCGGGTTGGTGTCATGTCGCTCGGAAAAATGTGATAATCTCAGCTGCATGGTGTCCACGTCCTCCGGGCGCGGGTGTTTTGCCGGGGCGTGGCTGTGGTTGGTTTTTCTGCGGATGCCCCTGGTCTGGTTGGATCGAGTCACGTTATTCAAGTTGGGTGGCTTGTTTCACCGATCCAGGAAGATGGTGTTTTGGAAGTGGTAATTCGCTAAGTAGATAATAGCAAATTAAGTAGGAACTAATGCTCGAAGGCGGTGTTGATGAGGCTCTATATGGGAAAAGCGTGGCTCGTTGCACAAGTCTAGTCTTGACATAGAAAGGCTATAGTTTGAGTCATTTTCTTGGCTCCGCCGACTTATAGATCTCATGGATCTTGTTTTCTGCACACAGATAGAAAAGGCAATCGTCTAATCCTTGTATAGATTTATCTTTTTGGCTCTTTACCTCGTCTTCGCTACTGAATATAGCGTCAACTGGTCAGCAGTGGATCGATATAAAGATGATCAGTTTGAAATTGTGCAATTCTGTTCGTTGATAGAAAATTATGAGCCTCTTGTACTATCATTAGACCATATCTAGGGGAAATACCCGTTTCATCTGGTCTATTTTAGCGTAAACGGTTTAGATACATAAGGAGGACACAGGCAGTTGATTACACAGGCGGTTTTGCAATCATTTCTATCAGGCACAGGATGTCAGTCTGGCCTAGGAGTTTCAATGTTATTTTGCGTTAGAATTAGATTCAAGCATTCTACTCCCTTCTTACGGCAGTAGACTATTCAGAAATGTTCGAGTTTCATTCTAGATTTGGATCCCTACAACTTCGAGTATAGGTATAGCATCTTTTCTTTTGCTATTGCTGGATGACCTTATGTTGAAAATTTAATAGAACCGAAATGTAAATCCTCGCTAAAGAGACCCCATCTTTTCTACATTCGCCATTCCTTTTTCCGTTTTGCCTACCAGTGTTATACAAAAACCGACGCACAAATAAAAGAACAAAGAGCAAAGAGGCCAGAGACCCGAGACCAGGTAAACGTGAACAATAGTACCCCCATAGTAATCATAGTAATCTTGTCAAAACTCAAGCTTTTCCAGCTTCCCCTTTCCGATGGATTCTTCTCACATGATCTTTCATATTGTCGACACGACTGAAGACTTTTCTGCAGCCCTCCCACTCACAAAAGACACCGGGATTGTGCTTTGCCTCATGCCGAGCACGGTCTTTTTTGCTGCTGAAGCCATTCCGCGATGACTGGGGACATCCCTCATAGCGGCAGAAGAGATACTTGCGGTGGCGGTTGAAGTGCTTTCTCAGATCACAGCCTCGATGGAAGACAGCCTTCGAGGAACATCCTGGGTGGGCGCAGCGCCAGTTGCCATTTCCTGTTGGGATGCCGTAGTTGCTTAGGTCGCCTGCATTGGAGCTGGAGCCGGAGCCGGAGGCTGAGTTTACTGCAGGTGATGGAGAATCCGGGTCGGAGAAGGAGCGTGCTGGCGATGAGGAGATTGAGGTGGTTGTAGCGGTGGATTTTGGGAGGTGGTTTGTTGGAGCTGGGACTGACCGAGCAGTCGAGATGGATCGGGGGATTGAGAAGAAGGTTTCTGGGATCGTATTAGAGGAATGGTGTGGGCAAGGGAGCCACTGCTCGCTCGCAGTGTTGAGTTGATTGTTGTATGTTGGGAAGGGCTCTGATTGCACTTCCGCTAGTTGTGGAAAGTGCATAGAGCCCATGTTTGGGAAGGGCTGTGACTGGTAGCAGTCTCCGGCTGGCTCGCTCTCGGTGCACCATTTGTCGATTTGCTGGGTAGTGTAGCCCGAAACGTTCTGGCTGTTCATAGCGAGCTGCGGTGAGTCGGATGGGTAGCAGCCTGGCAGGAAGGGCGCCGAGGTGGGACTGATGGGTGTTTCAAAGGAGGGCATGTGGGGAGAGCTTGAAAGCATGTCTACATTGGATGCGGTGGACCAGGCATATTGAGAGCCAATCGTATCGGTATCTGTCGATCCTCTTCTTCCAGTGCAATAATTTGCCGGAGCTAAGAAGTACCGAGGGTCCGGTTGAGCGTCCATAAAGTTCATCTTCTCAAGGGCGGATATGTGCGAGTTGGATGGAGCGCTGGTGGGGATATCGATCAGGCCTCCCATTTGTTGAGGCTCTGAGGCCTCCGAGTAACCGGCACTATCTGGGACAGTGCTGTACATGCTGTTAGATTTCCGGTGACTAGGATACATGCTGGCGACGTTGGTGAAGTAGTGGATGTTGTGGAATGATAGTTCTTCCGAGGATGGAAAAGAGTTTTCAGTCTCCCAGTTGAAGTACCGAAAACTGTGTTTCGGACGAAACCGTTCTTGCATATCAATCGGTGCTTAGTATGATTTATTTGGCGTTCTCTTAAGTATAAAGGACGTATGGACGGATGGTTATGCGCTTGAAGATTGGTGCCCGAGAAGGCCAAGAAGTAAAAGTATTATAGAGTTTTGGCAGATTTAGAGCTGAACTTGTCTTTTGGGCTAAGAAGTAATAGGTCGTGGATTATTTATGGTCGTTTGAAGTCGGGGAGGCAGTGCTGTAATCCTAATCTTATAGGCGTTCCGCAGAAGAAATTAAAACGCTGGAAATACTGCCATACTCGATATAGAATTGATAATCATACTGTCCAGTCATTACCTGGCATACCTCGAATGAGCAGCTGATACCGTTCCCTTTGGTTCTGGGGGTTGACTCAATGTAAGTCAAAACGGATTACTGGGGCCGGGGTCTACTGGATTCCCCTTGAAAGATGATCCCCCAACCAAGTCAAGGCTTGGTATTGGTTTCTCATTTGTAGAATTATGGGGCACTACGCTTTTTCAAAGTAGGGCTGAAAGATGACGACGTGGGCCTGTACTTAGTACATTCCTAGCTTGGTTAGACCAAGACCGGCAGAGTATTGCCAGAGGTTAGGGTTTCATGAATTAACTGTGATATTCCCAGGGTTTGCATTTGTGCGCTCGTGTTATTCGCCAGTATAAAAGCCACGAGACGCCCAGGACTCCAGGGATTACCAGGACCGGCGCTGCGGTATCGTGTAAGATCCTTTTTGTCTTTTGTACATGCTGTCTATAAAACACGTGGAACTTTGGTTCATAGTCATATATATCAAGATCCTCTGTATTGTGGGCCCCCATTACACAAGAGATGCCTAGAGTTATACACAAAATCCCCGACTCGATGCCATGTTGATAATTTCCGATTCCTTAACTCAGTAATTTTAATTCCTGTTTCTTAAGGTTGAGTCAGCTTGAACGTAACGTTAAGGCAAAAGGTAGCATTTCTTGCGTGGCAGGGTTTCTTACTGGTAGGGAGCTGGGATTGGTATTCTTGTGAACAACTTTCGCGATTCGATATGTGTTGGTAGTCACGCAGATCAAGTATCCGGGCCGATAGGGAGAAAGTGAGCTCGTATAGAAGGGAATCTGGGCTTCAGCTTCAGCTATGATAGTGCCGAAGGTCTTGAGCCCGACACCGACGGCTAGCACCGTTGCTGCATTATGGATAGACAGTAATCTTTTTCATGATTGGCTAATGACGGTAAATTTGTGCTTATCCCTTTATTCGACCACTCACATCGTTCTGCGGGGGCCGAATACGCGGGCCGTTCAAAACAAGGAGCGGTGTATGTGGATCGACATGAGCCTCACTGTGGCTTCAGGCCTGTTATGCAGTCACTGTTCAAATTGTAACTATTGCATTGTGAGATCGGTTGTCCAAGGAGTTTCTAGAAATAGTAAATGATGGCCTGAAAGGGTCTAGAATGGCACATTGTAGGTTGGTTGTGAGACCAGATATCTTCGGTCTAAGAATAACATTCCATGGCAGTGTCTCAGACCCCCCCCCTCTCTCTCCAAAAAAACAGTGTGACATTCCCAATAGGGCGGTTTATCATGCATCTAAATCGTGGCTTATACCATCCCTCCAAGCCGTCAGATCGCCAAGATATCTTCAGGGCCATATGTTTGGTCGGAATTACCGCCCCCACATTGTCTCAAAACAAGATCAGACTGCATTACCTCTACAAAAATAGAGACATATCCTCAATGTCTCAAATTCGGCCCCAAGATCGTCTCTAGTTTCATCTCATGTATCTCTGTGTGCCCCTCGGATCATACAGCTCTCACAGCATCATCCTGTCCAACCAAGAGGGGCGTTTGCTCGCCCGGACCAGGTGTTCTCTTCAGATCAGGGGTATCTCGGTACAAAACGTAGTGTTGAATGCAGAAGATCGCATCGAAGAAGATTGTAACGTTGCCCAATAGTAGCTTGACTGGGTTGCCTGTGATACCGCTCCAGTCACTTTGAAGACTGGAGTCAAGCACCAGTTGAAGCATTGAAAGAACACCACCAGCCAAGTCCAGAAGGATGGTTCCGATGTTCCACCCTACTGTAGATTGGCGCTTGTAGTTCAACGCCACTTGAGGCATATATTTCACAATGGTGATCAAGAGTTTGACGTACGAAAAAGAGTAGATCTGGAAGAGTTTTAGCTTTATTTTGTAGTTTCCCCGATGATTTTAGAAGTTTATCGAAGCAGAGTAGTTTATTTTCACCTACCACGTCAATCCAAGCCCAAGTGGAAGGGTCATATCCGCCATCCGGACTTTGCGCCAACACAACTGCCATAACCACCAGAGGAGCCAAGACAGATCCCCAAAAGAGCCCTGCCATTGTCCAACTGATCCTTTGGGAGCGGGAAACGTGTAGCCCCCAGATGAAAGGCCAGAATTGTGTGTACATTATGACGCACATTACCACTGCGTGGGCCGCAAATGCGAAATCGTTGAACCGAACGGTGGGTTCGATCGAGGCCGGGTGTCGGGCCGCATACTGTGAGCGAATAACGGGAGAATAGAGAAATGCGGCGGTATATATCGTATAGCAGACAAATCCCAGAGGATTGATAGTGGATAAATCAATGGATAAACCGACTGTGGACTTGCGTTTCCAGTTGGTGATGGGCTGCGGATAAAAAGACCCCGACCAGCAGAGCATGCTGCGTTTGAGTTAGCCCTCAATTCAAGTGTCGCATGATATGTAAGCTCGGAATCAACGCATAAACTTACTATGCCCATCCTAAAAGGCTGGAATAAATTGGTCAGTCATGTTTACAATGCCCGGTGGTATTCGGGTGCGGATAGGAGTTCACAAACCGGGACAAACCCTTAATAAATATCTCTAGTTGAGGGGCCATCTTGGATTGAGGGTAAACATTCCAAAGGATTAGGTGGGGAAGAAGGAATGTGTGGATGTGACGATTCGCGCTCCATTTCGCACGCAATCTTTTGATAAGATCAGCTGAGGATAACGCGGATAAGATAGAAGTCTACAGCCTAACTTACTTTAGAAGGCGGTCACGATACTGACGCTGAGTCAGCGGCTGGTTGGCCCGGTAATGGTTGTGGGAAAACAGATGGCTGGGGGAATCGATCAGCCTCTTGTTGTGATTCCTCTCTTCCCGAGGTCCCTGTGCGACGTGCGTTTTTCTATTTCAACACAACTGTGTTGGACGCTTTTTCAATCCTAACCTAACCTCACATTCCGAATTTGTGCGACCATCTTTCCTCCCTATCCTTGCGCTCCGCCTCGACTTCTATTCTACAACCCTTCCGAATACTTAGATCTTGTGATACAATCAATTCTGCTCGATAAATTGGACAATATACAATCAATTGAGCCACCTGTCGTTGAGCATTCCAGATAAAATCCTGATCTCGCTATCGCATGGTGCATTCCTCGGATCGGGAGATCTCGAAAGATCTCCGGTAATACGACATTCCAGACTGAAGATCGCATAGCCGTTCAATTATTCGCAAGATGTCAAACTCAGATCTTGCCGCGGCGGGGAGCAGCACGTATGCATCCAATACTCTCCATGTTGGGGATGGCACCTGGGACTCAGGGCGGGATACCTTCCTGTTGCCCAATTTGATGGGACTAAACTTTGAAACGATGCGATACAATGGTTAGTCTCACAATCAACAATCTAATTTTGATAGCAATGCATAATCTTCCAATTATCTTGTAATAACTGACACGTTATAGGCATGGGGAATCGTTTCAAAGATATGGCCGGATACCATTCCATAATCATCGCACACGGGGTCATTGCAGCCATTGTCTTCTTGGGTATCGTCCCAACATCAATTTTCCTAATCCGATACTACTCCCGATGGAATCCTTACTGGGCATTCAAGCTGCATGTTTGGTGTCAGGTACTTACCTTGCTCTTGACCACGGTCGTGTTTGTGCTTGGGTGGTTCGCTGTTGGACCGAAGAGAAGCCTAACCAACCCCCATCATGGAATTGGGCTGGCAATCTATGTTTTGGTCATTTTCCAGGTACTGTGGGGCTGGTTTCTGCACAAGAAGGAGAGTAAGAGACAGCGAGTCCACGTCCCTTTGAAACTGGTGGTAAGTGATGCCTTGAGAATGGATATATGGGCACTTCTAATTTTTTCAGTTGCACCGGTGGCTAGGTCGTACTGTTGCACTTCTCGGCATTGCCCAAATTCCACTGGGGCTCACACTCTACGGTTCCCCAAAGGTCCTATTCATCCTGTTTGCACTGACAGCTTTCGGGTACTTGATTTTTTATTTTATACTTTCCTACCGATATGATATCGAAGGATATCATATGGGAGATAACCACGGTGGCGGTCACAGTCATTATACAGGACCTTCAGAAGTTTCAGAGCACCATGACCATCATGTGGGAGAAGCTGTCGCCGCCGGCGCTGCAGGTGCTGGCTTGGCTTCAATGTTCCGACGACGTCCAAGCAGCCGCCACCCAAGTCAAGCGTATGAAGACTCTCGCACATCTATTTCCGATGAAAAATACTCGGATGACTCTTCCCGCCATCATGGCGGTGGTGGGGGTGGTGGGGGTTTCGGCAAAAAGCTCCTCGAGATTGGCGCACTGGCCGGGGCTGGTCTCATGGCCAAGAAGTTCTGGGACCGTCGAAAGAAACGAGAAGATGATGCCGAATCCGGCCGGTATAAACCTGCTCATTCGCGCAGTACTAGTCACACGGATGAGTCTCTCAGCAGGTTAGAAGATGGTCGACCGGAGCCGACTCATAACACACCCCTCAATCGACCACCGAGCCGTGCACCAAGCAGGTCCCAAAGCCCAGGCTCGTCTTATTATTACAACAGCACATATTTCACCGAGCCGCCCAAGCGAGACGCTTCTCACGGAGTCAGAAACGCTATTCTGGGTGCCGGTGCTTTTGCTGCTGTGAAGCGACTATTTAGCCGTGGTAAAAAGGATGAGGAAGAGAAACGGCGACTGGAGGATATCAGGCGCCGAGAAGAGGAAGACGAGGCGCTGCAGAGAGCAAACAGCAGACGACGACCACAGGCGGGAGAAAGTTTATACCCACGAAGAAGGGCCAGTTCGTACAGTGAAACCGATCTCACCGAAACCGATCTATCCCGCCCTCCACCTCGACACGCATCACAAGGGCAATCTCTCCTTACTGCAGAGCCTCTTGCCTCTGGTGCTCTCCACAGCGATGTATCCGAAATGCCCCCTATACCTCCGAGTCACCAGCAGCTATCTGGTGACTTAAGGTCTGAAGCTCCTCATTCACGCCACTCCCTCGCCCCTGGCGGAGCAGAATTTGCATCAGGTGTGGCCGCTGGCGCAGCATTAGATGCAGCCTCCCGTCGCAATCGGAGCAGCAGCCGGCGCCGAGAGGACGATGTTGTCTCCCCGCCGGTATCTGTAAAGGTGAAAATGCACAATGACGGACGACATGTGACACTTCGTCGACTGACCGAAGAAGAAGCGGCCGCGAGCCGCGAGGCCCGTCGCAGAGAGAGAAGAAACTCTCGACGTCGCAACAGCAGTGCTGGCTCCTTGTCTGCCAATGAAGACGGCGACTACGACCGCTGGCGTCGTGTAGAAGAACTCGAACGGCGACAAGACGAGCAAATGCGACGTGAACAGGCTGCTGCTGCTGCTCGACTTGCCCCTCCACAGGCATCTATGGCACCCTCAGGCAGCATGCCTACATCCTCATGGGCCGCACCACCCTCCCAAGTCAGTCAAATGCCGCCACCGCCACCACAACCCCCCATTCCTGCGCCTTCCACCATCCCATATGGGCCAGGTAGTGTCACCTCACCTACATATACTGGCACTGAGATGAGTGGCTCGTACGCGAACAATCGTCGCCGCAGACGTGCAGAACGAGCCCGGAGGGGACAGGAGAGGCAACAGCAACACGGCGTGGAATTCACTTGATCGCTTTCTTGATGTCGTCTCAGCATCCTTCGCTTTCTCTTTCTCTTGTGTCTACTGCAGACCGATCTTACGACATGTACAAAATGATTTATGTGCTTCAAAACCGTGTTGATATACATGATGCCTCCTGTCACGGTGCTATGTCTTTTTGATACGTTTTCTTTGTTTTTCCCTGAATGTGCTTTCGAGGTGACGAAATGATTCTTTTAGCTAGCTTTTCCTTTCTCGTCTCTTCTTTTATGATGCTAGCGATTTAACGGGTCTTTTATTGGGTTGTTGTTGGTCGGCTTCTCTGCTAGTCTTCTTGTCTTCATTTTTGTCCCAAGATACCTGGTCTCGGTATTGGTTATGCCTTATTATTTGCTGATGCTTGGATTTTTATAACTGAGCGGAAATGCAACTTATCTGAAATTCGATTAATCTTGAACAATATTCTGTGCCAGTAGACCCTTCCATTGGACCTTACAAACATATAGACTCTTTATAGAATTACTACATGCCTTCACAAATCACTTCTTATGTATAGGAAAGTCGATTTACACATTTTATACCTTTCTCACTGCCTATATTCTATATTTGGCAGCTAATTACTCTCATCTCTCCAACAGAATAAGTGATTGAGGATGCCCTCACGTGGACATTTGACGAAGCGCTAACACTGCGCTAATGCGCCCCGCTGCAATAATAGCCCGTTTAACACCCGCCTTTCTCAAGCATATTTTTTCAACTATGCATACCTCGGTTCATAAACAACCATTATGTCTGGTCTTGAGATAATCGGTGTTGCAGCTAGTATCATACAGGTCGCAGACTTGGGCACTTCTTTATCCGTCAAACTATTCTCCTTTTACCGACGAGTCAAAAATGCCAATGAAACTATACAGCTCTTGTCAAACGAGGTCGCACTTGTCAGTGCCATTCTGCGCGAGCTGGGTGATAGCTTGAAAGTGGAGGAGTCGTCAAAGCTCTGTTCAGAAGAGGCCTTTCAAACGCTGGAGCATGTTCTAGAGCAGTGTCGCGGTGTGCTTCGACAAATCGAAAAAGTTGTCGATGTGAATGATCAGTCTAGCAGAAGCCGTTTACAACAGGTCACTGGGAAGTTTAAGCTTGTTCTGCTAGAACCGAGCCTAGAGCCCCTGAAAGCCGACTTAGACAGGCTTAAGTCAACAATGCTGCTTCTGCTCAATGTGATTATGTTTGCTGGGAAGGTTCGCAAGTGAGTTTGAACTTTTGAATTATATGCGCTTTTCTAAATGAACCATAGCCACAATATACCGAATGACCGAGAGGAGCGTGCTTTGATAGAGGCACTATTACAAGAGAAACATCTTGAAAGGAATAGTGAAAACTATTCTCCGCCGAACTATCAACAGTCTCAGCATCATATACTCGACTCGAAAATTCCTGGAGATGCTCCAAAATCAAATCTGTTCCAAAGAAGCGAGTTCGCCGAGGTGAATGAGTATAACGAATTGATCCAGAAAATGCTACACAAAATTGATTCCTGCAAATCAAAGCTTGAAAACAGCCGCTATTCAAGAATAAGAAAAGGTGTTCTCAATATACATGACACCGAGATTATTCGATTCCAACTCACTCATGGACACTCCGTTCTCCATCATTTTGATAAATCACTACTGATGTGCGTACTGATTTCCTCTCTCGATACCTATCTGATAGATAACGTTAATGTTTTGATAGCGACGAGAAAGATAGCTCGGAAATTCCAAGGGTTCACACTTCGGATAATATTCATGAAGTAATGTCCAAGGAGTTTTCACCACAAACTACAAAAAAGCGTCGATCACAGCACCTGATGTCAACATCTATCGAAGCATTAGCGGTAAAGCTGAGGAAATGGGTCCTCGTCACCACAGATGGCTTGAACTTCCGTCTAGTCGACATATCCGATATTCCCACAGTTGCGACTCTACGTGCAGTGATCTGTCAAAATCTCGGAATTTCCGACTGTGGCAGTGCAGAAATCTCCCTCGCTGAGCCCGGCCAACTCAAACATGGGGAGCCCATGAGTGATATCAACCTGGCATATTGCTGTCGGATAAAATCAGATCCTGGCGCTCCGTTGAAGCTGTTCGTGCGAGGAGTAATTTCCAGTCTTCCCCTATTCGACAGTCCAGAATTGCCAGTAGCAGAGATGCCCTGCATATCTCCAACCGAGGCTCCAAAGTCGAGTTGGCTCTCTGGCAATGAGCCTGAAATACTCCAGATTAAGCGGAAGCAGAAGGCACAATATCTCTCTAAAAAAGAGAATCATGTTGTATCGGGCTATAAGTGCACAGAGGTCATTGAAAACAAGACCGGCCCACTGAAAGAGTCCCCAACATTCGCTGAAGCAACCTCTCCGGGCCAAAGTCCAGTTCACAGTGACTATTCTCGGGTCCAAATAACGGTCCAAACATCTGGCCTAGGAACTGAACTCGCCAGTAGAGAACAGGTGAACACTAACATCGGCACACCGTCGCCTGATCCTGTCACTTCATCTACCGGCGGAGAGGATGCTCCTTTAGAGCTTGATCAGCCTACTGCACTTTGTTCTCCTACCTCGCCCGCTTATTCTCCTGTTTCACCATCTTTCTCTCCTACCTCACCCGCTTATTCTCCTACCTCGCCATCTTATTCTCCTGCATCGCTCTCAAACAGAGAGGCTGGCGGATCTCTTCTGCATTATTCTCCCCAGTCTCCTGTATTCTATTCCCCTGTGCAATCAAGAGGGAAGCCCGACGAGGAGTTTGATGACGAAGCCAAAGGAAACACTCATTCAGATTCTCCCTCGGCGACGAATACAGTGATTACGCTACCAGCGAGATTTGAAGACTTACTTTTGCGCTGGACCAAGCTCGGGTTGAATGAAGTTGAAGCGCTCTAAAAAGGTGCGCTCTGGAGAAGGACTTCCTCTGTGGATAATAGCAACCATATTAGGCCTTTTATGCGGCCTTTCGAATGTCGTATAGCCGGGGTGACATGGAGGTTACGTTCGAATGGGCTTCAAGACCTAGAAATAGCGGGGTATAGAGATTTGGATAGGGGAAATCCTTGAAGCATGGAAAGAAAAGAATGTCACGAAGAGAAGGCATCTGGCATTGAAATAGTCTTCATTTGTTGAAATGGAACGCCCATCTCTCCCTCTGCCTTAGTTCTTGCATTTTTAAACATGCGAATGAAGTTTAACTCTACTTCAGAAGATGGCCCGTAACAGGACCTTGAAGGAGACGCAGGCAATTACTGATAAATCCTTACCAGTGATTACCACGACATCAAGCAATATACAAGAAAGAAAGCTCCATTGACCAGTTGACATGTTTAATGCTGTCAATAACCATACACAAACGGTGCAGATGTCACCACACTTCCCGATCTCGTCTGGGTCTCAGTCGTACTCGCAGGGATCGTGGGTCGGGACTCGCTGCCAGCCGGAACACTCGTCATGACAGTAACGGGGGTGGGAGAGTGGTGCTTGGGTCTTCCAACTCCAGTATGCCTGTTACCCACTCCTCAGAGGTTTCAGGCACCTTAGGTTTTGGGATGTTAGGAGTTCGAGGTTTGGGGGCTTTGAGTGCCTCTGGGGCTTTGGGGATGGTTGATATGGATAAAAATTGGTTTTCCTCGAGAGTTTATGGTAGTTTGATATGAGATCTTAGAGGATAAGAAGGAGATAAGAGGAAGATGTGGGAGGATTTGTTTACTCAAGTGGACGCGCTCCTGCCCTTGAAGTGCAATATCTACATACATGGCAGGTACATTCCGAAATGTAGATCTTACAAGGATTCCATACGCCTTATGACGTCTTTGTAATCGTTTGTTTGCGTTCTTTTTAGTATGTTTCTGAGGTATCATTTCCAGGTGTCTTTCTTTGGTTACTCTGTCCCCGTTCTCGGTTCTATAGACGGTAGAACAACGTGAGAAAAAGCTTCAATTGTGCAGAATTTCCCATGTATGTCACTTGACATGTGTAGGTAGAATCAGGGTTTGAATTTGGGTATCATTTTCATCCTGGAAAATTCTGATATGGGTAGCTAAGTCGGTAGTTAAGATCCAACAGACCTTGGAATACTTTGCTGATTTGACATTTCCAAGATCGAAACCTTTCAATTCGTCCCTGTAAATAATAATTATCAGCAGCTCGCCGCCAATGACATCACTTGTCAACCTCACTTTCAAATTACACTAGGTGGTGCTCACTCAGCCTTTCAAGCAAGAGCAAGGAACACAAGAATGAAATTCTTTGCTGGGTCGGGATCAACATCATCCCTTTTCTTTACACTTATTGCCAAGACGCCAAAAATTTAGAGTTGGGTTTTCAGGCCGTGTGATTTGGCCCAACCTTTATTCAAGAGTTCCCTCATGAGATTAACCCTGAGCTCATAAAGGGGAATTTTCCAACAGATGATCCTGCTAGGATACTGATAGAGCCAAAAAAAATGAAATCTCTCCCTCGGGGAATCGAACCCCGGTCTCCCGCGCTTATCGGTATTAATGACAAGCGGAAATCATCACCACTAGACCAAGGAAGAAGGTGATCGAGTTACTGCTCGACCATTGGCTGGTTGATTGATTATTTTAGGGGAAAATAGCTACATAGTATGCGGAAAGATGTGACAGAAGGGGGAAGGGGAAGGTCTTGAGGTTTTCCAAAATCGTAAAGGAAAATTTCGGTTGAAAAGATGGAGGATTGGTGCTGGAATTATCAATAGAATTTCTATATTGGAGTTCCAGGGACTTGTTTTCTTGAATTTCTGCTTCTTGATCTTACCCTCTCAGGGCGATTTTCGACATTGTTGTATCTGATGTAGTAAATTGGAACCCATATCCCCACGCCGAACTTCAGAGTCACTACATTTACGTCGCGGCAACTTAAAGGAAGTGGGTTTTGGGATGTGTACTAACAGTTTCGTTGTCGTTAGTAGAGCGTGAATGAATGCAGTTAGGATGATTTACCTGTCTTCGTTATAATATCTCACCCAAATACTATGCTATGCCAATAGACAGCTAGATTCTTTTCGTTTCATGGTAGGCCATATCTTACATTAAAGTTACTTATGTGAATTTTTCCTTGTAGCCAAGTGCCTTTAACATAAGATCTCGCCATCTTAGGAGGTTCCGGGGAAAATAAGAAGTTAATATCCGGGATATATATTTCTACATGTATGAAGGGTTTGGATATGTAATTTTCGACACCATAACAATGCATATTTTAAATATATTTGAAATTGACATATATTACTAAAAACTCTTATCAATTGGATTTCGGAAAATAAAAACATTAGAAAAAAAGGTTGGTTGTTGAGATGTAAGTATAGCATATACTGCATTTACTATGGTGTTTTCGCTGCGCAGCTTGCATATGAAATCATAGCATGCAATTGATCTCGCACTTACAAAATTAGTCTTGATCTCTTATTAATTATGCCATAGCAGCCAGGAGATTGTGTGCTCAGGGTTTTGTTAAACTATTCAATAATAGCGATTGGACAAGGCGCCACGGAACGAACCAATATCGATGTTGTATCTTTCAACTAGTAGCCGTTCAATTGGCCTGACTAACATTGTCTCAATTCAAATGAAAAAAAAAGCGACATGCCTCTCCCAAGAAGAAGCAAAAATAACTCCGATAGGGGGAATCGAACCCCCGGCTGCCGTGTGAGAGACGGCGATGTTAGCCACTACACCATATCGGATATTGGATGGAAGATGACACACACTTTGACACTATCAACCAAATTTAACGCCGTTGGTCTTTTACATTCCTGTGCGTGGTTCTATATACTGAGTCCTATGCTCTTCCTGCCTCCATTCAACAACCCCGATTTTCTTTTTCGCCTTCCTTTCTCCCACGCCTCACAGGTGAGGCATTCTTGCCATTGGCCCGGATCACCGAGACTGCACGTATATTGTCGCTGCTGATCCCAAGATCCAACCTCAAGTGCCAGCGTTGGATCCAAAAATGCCACCGAAAGGCAACCATCGACTTGGAAGCGGGCCAGCTTCGTCCTACGTCGCGTGATACTGCTAGTTTCTCCTTCTGGTCCCGCCAGTTGTTGGAATTGCGTGAAGAATATGAGCGGACAGAGCCGACAACACTGCGGCAGTGGGTAGTCGACAAGCGTAAGCCTAACCAGAGGTATACGTTTTGGATGGCGGTGATCGCCTTATTCTTGGCTTTATCATTTGGGTTAATTCAGTGGGTGACTGGTATTATTCAGGCAATGCATTGAATTTCTGTTCTTGACGTTCAATCTTGCGCTCGTTACGGCCAAACTTTACACATATTGTCTCTCTAGACTGCGTGAGGTCACCAACAAATTTGTGACCTCTGACATATCTTACCTAGGTATCTTCTTTACCTATTTTTGAAACACTAACAGCGTAACCTTGTCCACGGATAATATTGATTGAGAGTTGTTGATTCTTAAATTACGTCCATGAATCGTCATTGCTCGTATGACCATATGTTGACAGGCAAAGAATTTAATGAGCACAACTTGCTCTCATCTCCATAATCTGACATCAAAAATGGAAGACAAGTACCTAACTGCTCTATACTACAGTCTCGGTGTTATAGTTACAATTATTGTCTATTCCACTAGCTTCGTTCTTGGAAATTGGCAAATGTGTCGATGCCGTTGTTGTGTCCTTCATGATCTTGTATCGAGTCAAAGGGGCAGTTCCCACGGGGATACCGACCCCTCTCCGGTTGTCGATTTGCCCATCGTCACCACAAAGCCTGATCTCGTAAGATCAGATATAGATGGAAATACTTCGATCTACATCACCGATGACGAGTTCACTCATTCTTCAATTCGCAATATGAAAGCCGCGACCATATGAATATGGCAACTCGGTAATTAACCCTGAAAGGAAGATACTACAACAATATTTTCTGTGGCTTATATACGTCTGTGAGTTCTCTTAGTCTTCAACTCGGATCTTTCTTATCATGCCATACTTCTTCTTTTTCTCCTTTTGGACCGCTATTTTCTCTCTTATTATACTTGCTTCTCCTTCGACAATATAATTTTTGTACGAAATATAGCATGATTCAAAGGTGGTATCATAAACTATGCCTATTCTAGTATAACAGATTGTTTTTATAGTGTAATTAGGACCATTTCATAGATCCGAGTATCATCATTTACCTGTATGTAATTGAAACAGCACGCATAAAATACGGGCAGAAATCTTGACGCTAGTAGATCCACTGTGAAGGGTGAATCTTTCTAGGGTAGACTGTTGTATTGTTCGGCCCTGCACATTGTTTTGGTCTTATCTTACAGCCACGGCCAGTGGACTCAGTCGCCATGGGCAAGGAGAAGGGGCAAGAGAAGACGATAGGGATCTTCGAGATCCAGCAACAAACACCAAAGCAAATCAAGAACCTGCGAGTGTTGGAGAAACAAGAAGCACGGCACAGTGGCGCGGTACCAGGTCTACCGGGATCACCTCACAACAACGTATACCCCGACCAGCCGATGTTGAAGACAGTGATAAAGACGATGAAGCATGGCGTCGCGACCCGAACCTTTTTGGATACGACCCACCGGCATAACCTAGACGTCCTGGTGGTACAGGGACTCGGTGACTCGGGAGCAACAAGTATTGAACGTAAAAACGACAACATGAGTTCCATCAACCACTCACCCCGACCGGACACACGATCCCCACGGCTCCACCTTGCCCATCCTACCGATCAAGAGAACATAGAGATATGGAAAGTGACCTCCGACGCCTGGAAAGACTGTCTTTCCGTGGATATGTACATCAAAGAAGCTACGTACCTGATGGCTGTGCCACTAGCGAGGAATGGAGGAATGAGTCAATGGGTTCTGGTGGACAAGAATCTCCCTCCAGACCAGCGACCTCTCCTAGCATCCTGCGAAACGTTCCGAAAGCGCTCATGGATTAGCGACTCTGCGTGTAGCGTGACCGAGACGATCACGCATGGCGTCGCCAGTGTGTTCACCGATGCCAAATTCCGCGGTCAAGGGTATGCCTCACGACTCATGACCGAGTTTGCAGCAAAATTACACACTTGGCAGACCGAGATGACCGAGTGGGCGGCTAGTATTCATTTCTCGGGTATTGGAAAGGAGTTCTATTCAAACCTGGGATGGCATGCTTTTCCTAGTCACAGCCTCGAGTTTGAGCCATCGGCCGAGGAACTGTCAGCTGCGGTGCCTATCTTCGCCGCCGATTTGGAACAGCTTTGCGAGATCGACGAGGTTCTGGCCCGAAAGGCGCTGTCCGCTCCATCCACCGTTGCGAAAGTCCGGCTGAGGATCGTCCCTGATTACGAACACATGCTTTGGCACTGGTCATCGAGAACAAGGCTCTTTTGGAGTCGGACTTGCAGGTCGAGGTCCTGCAAGCGGCTCTTTTGGCCGCAAAAATTGAGGCTGCTGAATGGGAACTACATTCCCTGAAATTATGGGGGCCGTCTACAGCAGTACAGGAGATGATAAGGCGAACGGGAATTGAGTACCGATATGAAGACCGTGAGAAGGAAGGAATCTGTAGCCTCTGATGGTATGGAGGAGGAAGTGGCTTGGAGGACAAGGTTGAGTGGGTTGGTAATGAGAAGTATGGTTGGTGCTGAGTAGCTGTTGTTGGATCAATCTATAGGCAAAATCCATTGTATTGATCGGAGGCTTCATAGCAAACGCTTTTGCATGATTCCTCCCGGGATTTCTAGGCACTGCGCTACCTAGTTCAAATGAGGTACATGTGCGGCCTGAAGAGAAAGCACATCTCTTCGTAGAGGACTGATGCACCGCCGTCCCCCAAATCCTCTAGAGTCATCGATATCAAGTATTCACCCCGAAAGCTTAGCTTCTCATAGAGCGGCTATGCGTTTTTGGTGCTCTCTAGGGCGACCGGTAAATTTTCATGTTTGCCATGTTCGAGACCCCAGTTCACCAGAATGGATGCTGCTCCACGCCGTTCGTAGTTTGGATCAGTCCCAATATGGCTCAATGCTTGCTCCCCGTCAGTACCAAATCATTGAGCGTACGAGAAAATGGTGTATTTCCCAGCAATCTCTCCCCTCCACCTTCGACGTCTATTCCTCTAAAACATCGAATCTGGTTCCCTTTGGCCACTCCTATGGCCCCTCGACATATCTATCCCCCTCTGATTCAGGAATAGGCCGTCTCCATTTGGCAAAACTGATAATCATTCCTGCGCCATCATGAACAACGAGAACAGCCCATTGCAGGTCTCGAATCTCGTCAATTGCCTTCTCCCGCAGAGTTACTCGTAGCTCATCACGAATGGCGGGCATTGAGAACTGGGCAAGGAAGATTAGTTTTGTTTCAAATGCGGCTATGTGGATGTCTGCAATCCGGGCTGCGTCATCCTCTGATGCTTCAATGAGGGTGAGCTGGGGGCTGGACATGGTGGATAATGATACCGCAACTGGGAAAATTGAATTAGTGTGCGGCATGAAACAATTCATACACTTGCACATCAAAGCTTTTATAGTTCTGTAAGATTCTAGTGGATCAAAAGGTGAATGTTTCTCGTCTATTGGTGAGCCCACGCAAGGCTGTTCTAGTCTCACCACCCAAGGCAGCTCCTGGGACAGATAGAAAGTTAGGATATCGATATCAGGTCTAAGGTACTGTTGCCGCTTGGGCAAAAGTTGTACGAATGGAAAGATTTGTCCGCAGTTGCAGTCAACCTTGGCGGAGCGAGTAGCGATGATTGCCCCACAGCTCTAGCATTATACGATTCCCTAGACTGTACAAAAGTTTTAACAGAAGTCAACACGTTACAGTATCCTCTACACGCCTACACACACCTCACTGTCCCCGCCACAAGTCTACAAGGACAAGAACAGTACCCTCTTCAGCCATTCTCGACTTTACTCATTGTCGTACAGTATCCTCTACGCAACTACATACACCTCACTGTCGTCACCAAAATTCTGCGAGGACAAAACTAGCACCCTGCTCAGCCATCCCTAAATTCCGCGATATTTGTCCGATTCTCATCCACGGAGCATACCGCGCCTTTCGGCGAGACCAACTTGTATTCTCACGCACTCCATGTTTGCTCGCGCCTAGGTTCTTCAACTTCGAGCATACTGGGTGTCCTACTCCACCCTCGCCACAATAACTTCCTCCGTTTTTAAATAGCCCTCGACCTCTGAGCTCGTTTCGACTCTCACCGGTACCAGCGATTTCAATTTATGGCCAACCAGCATTCGGTAGGCTCTCAAAATCTGCTACAATCAGCTTGATCCGATTCTAATCGACGGAGGATACTGCGCTTTTAGGTCAAACCAAAAGCCACATTCCCATGCGCACCTTTCTCTACACCCGCGACAGACCTGAGCACGCAGTCCAGCCTACGACACCATATAGGTGGTCTCGTTCACAAAAACTACGCTTTACTTGTGGGGGGCGTTTAGCACAAATGCTTCTCCTATCGGTCATTTCCCTCTCTGGCTCCTTTTTTCATGGCTTCCATAGCTCTATCAATCAACTACATGCTCATGCTCCATGGCCCCCGAGGAGCTCCCAGAGAGTTTACATGTGGATTTCGCATCTACTTTCCCCTTCTAACTATAACTCTTCTTATTCTTGTGCCGTTTGGCTGTACGGAGTAAATGTGGCTGAACTTGCCTTCATCAGCTCGAGCTGATTGGAGTTCAACCTGCACTTCTTTCTCCGTTCATCCGCCAGAACACTTACCCCGTCAATCTTGTACAACAAAAGCCCGCCATCTCCCAGCATTGCTGCCTGTTTCGTTCAGTCCACATACAAACAGCTAGTCTTCGCGTATCCACTATGACTCGCCCCCCTCCCCTGGCCTTCCTCTTTGTCCTCGTCCCTCTTGTTGATGTTGCCTACGGAACTGGCCACTTTAATAAGTGAAATTCGTGGTAATGGGAATAGCGTAGACCCGGCGTTTACCTCCTATATGAAGCTCTCTCAGTCTCCCAACATCTCTATGTCCTGGTTTACTTGATTCTTCAGTGTTATCATAGTCATGTACCGCCCTCACCAGCGGTCGTGGTTGCATCCTCTTGTCCTATGCCTGTTAAGATATAGTTCACGCACTGAAACTATCCCAAGAGCCCCGTTTTTATTATGAAATCAAATCCATCAAGAATAGAACTGCATACATCTCAGTAAGTATAGCCTTCTTACCAGGACTCGCTGTTACTCCGCGGCCATCCACTTCGCCGAACAGATCTTTCTGCAAGTCTTCCAACGCCGGGCAGTCAACAACAGTAACAACGAAGCGGGTTCAAGGACAGGGGATTTGGCTCTGTATCTGATGATTAGATATGTCAAGAAATTGTTGTGCACCTTCCAGCAATCCATTCTAGTAGCTCCGAGTCGGAGAGCCAACAGATCACAGCCAAGAAGGTCGATTAAAAGAATTCGTAGGCGGATAAAGCAAAGCTAGGTACATAATGTATGCAAGGATAAGATGTACCTACCTAGTACTGTATGACACAAGGACCGTGCACACGCGCCATACCAAACATAGTCTAGCGTGTAACCTTATAATCTATAAATCTTGCCGCGTCTCAACGACCTGTATCTTCAGTCGACAGCATGGTACGGTTCTACAAGGCGTATCTGGATAGGATCAAAGCTGGAATAAAATCCAAGTGTATAGGTCAATGCGTGACAGAGGCAATGATACATATTATGTATGTAGTGGCATAAGCCTATACAGTGTATGCATTGTCCCATCTTCTCTTTACGACTCTAGAGACTAGCTATGACCCGTGGACTACATGATTACCTTGATGATCATAAAAAGTGGGTTACAGAGAAAATATTTGAAGAGAGGAAGTTGAAAAATGGGGGGAGAAATGGAGGTCACCTGAAGAACACCCAGCGCCTACCAAGGCAGGTGCTCCTAGACCCTTAGGATATAAATACCCCCTCCCCCGCCTTCTCTTCTTCTTTTTTTTCTTTCTTCTTCATCTCCCCAATCCTTATACCATCCACTCTTCATCTTCCATCAGGTCTCCTCTCATCAATTGATGTCTTCCATCATCAACTTGAGCCTCATAACTTCTTCCATTATTATATGTCCACATCCGATGAGATGAAGCTTGTTGTCACCAACCCCTTGACATATGAGCACTCGTCACGTCCACATAGGTCACATGTCTGGTTAGTTGTGCCATCCACTTCCGACTTCCTTTTTCTTTCCTTACTTACATTCGTCCTTCAGACACCTGAACCACATAACAACGTGTCTCATCAACGTGTCTCATCAACGTGTCTAGCACCTGCCATGTTCGACATCCATCCCATGACATGTATGTCCTAGTTATCTCTTTTTCTTTTGTTCCTTCTACATACTTACATCCATCCTTCAGACAACTGAACCCCATAACAAACAACGTGTCTCATCAACGTGCCTAGTACCTACCATGTTGATCATCCATCCCATGTCTGGTTAGTTACGCCATCCACTTTGGACTTTGTTTTTCTTTCCTTGCTTACATTAATTCTTCAGATAACTCAACCACATAACAATATATCCCTTCGACATACCTGGCATCTGTGATGTTCATCATCTATCTCATGACTTGTGGGTTCTGCTTGTCTCTTTCATCTTTTTTTTGTTCTTTCTATATACTTACATTCATCCTCCAGAGAACTTCACCACATTCTCCCTGTGTCTTCCATCATCCGCTTGATGTGTGTTATCCCAATTCCCTATCGTCTATGCATTTGCTTTTGTCTTATCTTATCATATTCTATGGCTTGTGCAGGAGGTTAACATAACATAGGGCTGACTGAATTGTGTGCTCAGCCACATCTGCTCAACCACATCTAGCCTTAGCCCGACAGGGCTCAGCTTCAGGATAATCAACACGCTTGTGACGACGACAAAGGAAAAGCAACAAGGCAAAACAGAAGAGAAGACAGAAGACAAAAAGCAAAAAGAAAAAGACAAGACAAGACAGAAAATGAAGCAAACAACGAAACAAAAAAAAAAAAAGCAAAAGAGACAAGACAAAAAAAAAGAAAAGAAAAGTAGGAGACAAGAATAAAAAGACAAAGCAAAAAACAACAGACAAGAAACAAGAAAAAGAGCAAGATAAAAAAGCAAAAGACAAAGCAAAGGACAAAAGACAAAAGAAAGAGAAGACAGCAAAAGACGAAAGAGAAGAAAGGACAGAGCAAAAGAGAAAGCACAAGACAAACAAAAGACAACAGACGAGAAAAACAAGAAAAAAATGAAGAAAAAGGAAAAAGAAAAAGAAAAAACAAAAAACATGAGATCAACATTGAGAGCCCATAACAATTCCATTCAACCACTTTATTCAAGCATCCAAATTCAACCACCGACGTCAAACACCCGGCTTCTTTGATCATCGAATTCTAGTCTGACCGTGGCGGGCTCCGGCTTCAGGACAATCGGCAGACTAGATGATTATCCACGTCGGTCCTCCGCTTCGATCACCCACTTCGATTATCCACTCCTAGTCTGACTGTGGCGGGCTTCGGCTTCAGGAGAATCAGCAGACTAGTGAATCACCCACTTTGATCCGCTTCAATCACGAAATTCGATCAAATCCACTTATCTACTTCTATCACCCACTTCTAGTCTGACCGTGGCGGGCTCCGGCTTCAGGACAATCGGCAGACTAGGGAACAACGCACTTCGATTATCCGGTTCGATCATCAACTTCGAGCAACCACTTCGAGCAACCACTTCGAGCAACCACTTCCTTCAACTATCCACTACTAGTCTGACCGTGGCGAGCTCCGGCTTCAGGACAATCGGCAGACTAGGAAACGACGCACTTCGATCATCCACTTCGAGCACCCACTTCAATCCTCCGCTTCAATCACTCACCTCGATCACCCACTTCTAGTCTGACCGTGGCGGGCTTCGGCCTCAGGACAATCGGCAGACTAGGAAACGACGTACTTCGATTATTCGGCTCGATCATCAACTTCTATCACCCACTTCTAGTCTGACCGTGGCGGGCTTCGGCTTCAGGACAATCGGCAGGCTAGTCAGTCAACAACCTCGATCACCCCGATCATACCTCGATCACCCACTACAGTCTGACCGTGGCGGGCTTCGGCTTCAGGACAATCGGCAGACTAGTCAATCATCCACTTCGATCCGCTTCAATTACCGAATTCGATCCAATCCACTCATCCGCTTCCATCATCCACTTCTAGTCTGACCGTGGCGGGCTTCGGCTTCAGGACAATCGGCAGACTAGTCAATCACGCACTTCGATTATCTACCTCGATCATCCACTTCGATGCTCCGCTCCAATCACCGAATTCGATTATCCACTCCTAGTCTGACCGTGGCGGGTTCCGGCTTCAGGACAATCGGCAGACTAGGGAACGACGCACTTCGATCCTTCGCTTCGATCCTTCGCTTCGATCATCCCCTCCAATCTTTCACCTCGATCGATCACCCACTTCGATCATCCACTCCTAGTCTGACCGTGGCGGGCTTCGGCTTCAGGACAATCGGCAGACTAGTCAGTATCCGCTTCGATCATCAACTTCAGTCCTCCCTTTCGATCACCCACTTCGATTGTTCATCTCAAATATCCATCTCTACCACCCACTTTGATTATCCCCTTCAATCACCCACTCCTAGTCTGATCGTGGCGGGCTCCGGCTTCAGGAAAATCGGCAGACAAGGGAACGACGCACTTCGATCCTTCGCTTCGATCATCCCCTCCAATCTTTCACCTTGATCATCCACCCGATTATCAACTCCTAGTCTGACCGTGGCGGGCTCTGGATTCAGCACAATCGGCAGACTAGGCACTCAACCAGCTAGAACCAACTCACTCATCCACTTCGACTACCCATTTTGACTACCCACTACTAGTCTGACCTTGGCAGACTAGTCAACTATCAAGTTTTGAATTCGGACACCCGAAATACAGAATTCAACCTTCAAGAGGAGGAATAAAAAGAGGCGGTGTTGTTTCCTTCAATGACAAGGGCCTCCGCAGAACTGTCTTCAAAGGAGGCTTCTCTTCGGGAAGAGGTTACAGTGTACCTAATTGAAGGAGACTCTGGAGACCATCTGCTGTGGTGGTAGCCCATAATCAAGCATTCCAATCAAGCATCTACATTTGATCACCTATAATGCTTTGACCTTCAAGAGCAGCAATAAGAGATGAGCTTTCAAATAACAGGAGTCTCCGGAAGAGACTCCCTTCATCATGTACTACATTATCGTTGCAATATTCTTGCTTGATGCATAAAATTTCGTGCAGCCGCCTGTTATGTAGCATATGTACCTTATATGTATACGAAAGCACCACTATTCTATCTCAGAGAAACACACACAATGGTCGCCTTTCCTCTGTCACCCCGACTGTCAAGGACCGTGCGTAAGGCTCTTGTGATAAAGGATCAACAAAACGTAAATTTCGAATATAAGCCTAGTATTTCTCTTGAACCTAGACAATCGGCGCGCTTAAAAAGAGCCTGGCATTGAAATCATTGCTTATTTGAGATTCATATACATAGAAAATCTAGTTCTGAATATAGTCTTCACAACAAAAAACAAGTTATCCTCGTCCAGTTTATAAGTTATAGAAACCTGCACACAATCATCCAACCTTTCGACACTGTTCACCACAGTTAACAAACATATCATTGTCCTCTTGAAACTATCCCATCCCATGCACAAATACAATCCTATGTGGCCCGATATGATACGGGCTTTTGGACTATTGATGGTCTAATTCTGTATATTGTACTGATATATCGTCGAGGCAATTGTTGGAACGTTACATCCCGTTAGATCTCTAAAAAAACATGGCATCAAAATCATAACCCCGCTTCAAACAGTACCGCTGTACCATGTTTATATCAGCCTAAGTGACGGTCGGTAAAGTTTAGGGTATCATTCGTCACTTGGGCCTTGCGCAAAAAAACGCTAATGAACCGCAAGGAGTCAGTTAGGCGCGTTTCCCTCTTGCACATATCTTTTAGAAAGGTGTACCACTTGACGAATCTTCGCCGCGATTTCGACACCCTCAAATATATATCTATACCAATATTCCTTCTGATAAATTTGAATCGCGGTCTTTGTGTCGGACGATTTCCCATGCTCTTCATTCATAGTCATAGAAGACTGACTACTCGTATCGCTAGGAGGTGACCTGGCTTCGATCATGGCCAGACGAGTAGCCTCCTCCCATCGTGTCCGACTCGGGCCTTCTTCGAGAATTGGATCAACCCGTCTGAATGCCCCATCATAAAATAGAGTCGTGTCTCTTGAAAATAGACTCAGCTGCGCTACTCCAACCCCGACGCTTAGCCGCAACAATGCGCGGTGTAATTCCAAGTCATAATCCGGCCCCTAATTTAACTCGTTTGATTGGACCGTCACTAGAAAGGCGTAGCGCCCAGCAAATATCACTGCATTACATTATGATATTGTTGTATATTAATGAGGGAAGAATGATATAAGTGAAGCGGCAACTAAGGCGCTGAGACATATTTTGATTTGGAAGCAAGTCATGGAGAGCCTTGTCAGATAAACAACACAAATGATCCTGTAGGCAGGCTCCTTCTTTCCCCAAGATGGAAGATATCGGGTGGTTTTACGCCCGATGTGTGGGAAATTTCGTGTATGCATTATGGTGGGGCGTGAAGCAGATGTCGTTAGGCCTATGCGGCGGGTAGTATCCCAGTGCGGGTTTCTCTATGCCAATAGGGCCTGCTGTCCCAATAAGCGCCTAAAGCTAGCCCATGGTGAGAAGCCGAATTGGAATATTTATACAAATAACATGAAATTGAACTTGAAGCTATACACATAATAATTTGTATTTGATTTGTCTCCACTCAAGCGCGCGGGGGTTGGGGGGAAGCGGGAATTGTGGCTGCTGGACCGACCTCGGACTTCATTGTCAAATAATTGGTCCACGCGATCGCACCTCAAACACTACGGAGTAGTCTCCTACCCATATGCACATGGTCAGCCCCAGAGGCATTATCATTCATCAGGCCCCAATACCCCGAAAATGTGGGCGTGCGTTAGAGCCGCTCATTTGCAGGGATCAAACGAGGGGGTCCCATGATATGAATTACTAGCCGTGACAGTATTCCCACATCTCCCATGCCGCTGCTATTTTTCCAGCACGTTTACTATCAGAGTATTGGCTCGGATTTTGACCACACTTTAATCGTCATGTCTTCGCTCTTAGCTGATAGGAAGGCCATCTTGCAGGCAGTGCACACAGCCACGGAAGACTTGGGATTTTGTCGCAACCGCGTCTGGGCGGTCGCCAAGACCCTACCAGGAGGTGCTGAGCAATTTCCGAAAATACTCCCTCCGCGAGAGAGACTATCCCACAAAGAAACAAGGGAAGACCATGAGCTTTGTACTTTCGACTTCTGCGAGCAATCTCGAGTTAATTTCACCCTGGTGAAACAGCGCCACGAGGGATTTTGTGAAGAAGCACGCTGCAAGGCTAAAAGATTTGATCTAAATTATGTGGCAAAAGCTGTCGACAAGGGGCAGCGCACAGTGTGGGACTTGGAGGGGATTGAAACTCTTCAGCGTAACGAGCGCTATATGGCAATCTCTCATGTGTGGTCGGATGGCACTGGCGCCGGAAATCAAGCTCGCGGTCATGTGAATATCTGTTTACTGGAATTCTTTCGGGGATTTGCTGAGAAATTCGGTTGCCAGGGTATATGGTGGGATACAATCTGCATTCCAACAACGAAAGACCTTCGTGAAAAAGCCTTAAAACGAATGCAGGATAACTATATGAACGCGGCGGTGACACTAGTGCACGATTGCTTTCTTAGAGAGTGCGAATGGATCGATGCAGATTCGGCATGCTTTTACATCGTCATGTCTCCGTGGTTCAGCCGAGGCTGGACGGCATTGGAGTTGCAAATGTCCCACAAAGTCCAAGTCATTTTTAAAGGTCCTAGTGGTCCAATCACGAAAGACATAGACAAAGACATATTACAAGCAAAAAGCCCTTCCATTTTTCACGAGAATAAGGTCGCGAAAGGGATACTTAAAAGACTTCGGGGGAACAAAGTTAGCCAACTGAATGACCTTTTGGCTATTCTCGGTTCACGCCACACATCTTGGCCGAGGGACATGGCGATCATTTCAGGACTTATGATTGGAATCGAAATGCCAGACAATTACGCCCATCAGAAGATTTACCAAGAGATTCTGCAGAAAATTAGCACAATATCGCATGCGCATCTGTTCCACAATTCAGCGACCATGACAAATGGATACAACTGGTGTCCCACAAACCTCTATGATCTACCTGTTACACTCTCAAAGCACAACCTCCAGATCGAAGAGAATGGAAATTTGTTTGGCAAATGGAATTTTATACTTCTCGATGACATCAAAGACAAAAGGTTCATCTCAGGTCATGCCCATCCGCTGATAGAAGCAAAAGTTCTCCTCGCTCGGGAAGACGAAGAAGACCAACATCTCTTACTTATCGAGCCTGGCCTCAATTCTCAAGAGACCGGAATAAGCAGAGGTCTTCTAGTCAAGCCTTCAGTTAAACCCGATAAAAATTTTCTTGACTGTTATTGCGATTATGTTGGTCCTGTTTATTTTGACCCGCCGTTGATAGAATCAGAGATCAAGGGCTTTCATCGGACTTTATTATTCAACTTTCACGTTGGATACGACGAGACGTGTCACAATGGCAGCTATCAAAACACCCAGCTGAAAAAGAGTGCCCGGGGTATGATCGAGGACATGATGAAATGTCCCCCAAACCTGGAATATAGGAAACGACAAACTAATTTGAGAACGGTTAACCTTGCTACATGGGACCAATTGAGAATACGAGATGAATTTATAAAGGCTGTCGTTGATGGCAAGCATGAAAAGGTCGAGGAGCTCCTGAAGAAGGTAGACGAACCAGATCAGGCTGATGACTCTGGGTGGTCCGCACTACATCATGCCGCTTGGCGTGGCCATGAAGGGGTAGCCAGGCTACTTATGAAAAGTTGTTCTCTTCAAAAAAGGAGTGCCCGGGGCGAGGAACCACTTCACCTCGCAGCGGAACGTGGCTTCAAAGAACTCGTGGATATGCTGCTGGAAGGTTCTACCCGTGACTTGCCGCGAGGTGATGGATTGAATGCCTTACACCTAGCGGCGAGAAATGGCTTCACCAGAATCGTGGATACATTGTTACAAGAGCATTGGGAAATCAACGCAAGTGATGACAAAAAGCAAACTGCACTACATATGGCATCGTTTTGGGGCCATGAAGATGTAGTGCATGCTCTTAGTAAGAAAGGCGCTGATCACACTCTCAAAGACAACGAACAGAGCACTGCTTTGTCTCTGGCAGTGTTTAACGGCTACGAACAGCCTGCGAGGTTACTAATAGCAGCAGGAGCGGATGTTAATGTCCAGAAGATGGATTATGTCACTCTGCTTCATCTTGCAGTAGACCAGATCAACAACATAGCTCTCAAGATACTGTGTCGCCTTGGAGCAAATCTCGAAGCCCAAGATAAAATTGGCCGGACTCCGCTTCATGACGCTGCGCGACAAGATAATGTCGACGCTATCAAGATACTCGCCGACCACAAAGGCGAGCTCGAAGCCCAAGATAAATATGGGGCGACTCCACTTCATCATGCGGCAGTAAACAATCATGTTAACGCTATCAAAATACTCGCCGAACTCCAAGCGGATCTCGAAGCCCAAGACAAACATGGCCAAACTCCGCTTTACTACGCGGCGGCAAATAATGAGGTTGACGCGATTAAAATACTCGTCGAACTTAAAGCAGATCTCGAAGCCCAAGATGAAGGTGGCTATACTCCGCTTTATCGCGCGGCGGCAAACAATCAGGTTGACGCTATCAAAATACTCGCCGAACTTGGGGCAGACCTCGAAGCCCGAGATAAATATAGCCAGACCCCGCTTTATCGCGCGGCAGCAAACAATCAGGTTGACGCTATCGAGTTACTAGCTGAACTTGGAGCGGATTTTGAAGCCCAAGATGAAAGTGGCCAGACTCCCCTTCATCGTGCGGCGGCAAACAATCGGATTGACGCTATCAAGATACTCGCCGAACTTGAAGCGGAGCTCGAAGCCCAAGATAAATATGGCCAGACTCCGCTTCATCGAGCGGCGGAATACGGGCAGGTTGACGCTATCAAGATACTCGTAGAATCTAAAGCCGAGATCGAAGCCCAAGACAAATATGGCCAGACTCCGCTTCATATAGCGGCGGAATACGGGCAGGTTGACTCGATTAAGATACTTGCAGAACTTAAAGCGGAGCTCGAAGCCCAAGATACATCTAGCCATACTCCGCTTCATATAGCGACAGAATACGGTCAAGTTGACTCTATCAAAATACTCAGCAACCTGATAGCTAGTTCTAAACAGGTATAGCGGCTTTTAAACGGCTTTGAAACATTTGCCCCGTGCTGTTATTGCCGTGAAAGCACATTTTGACCGTGAATGAGTTGATATGGAGAAACTCATCGTCGAACCTGGTATGAGAAGTCGATGCCTGTATGGCCAAATGAATATTGCAGATTTACACTAGTTACTTTGGTAGAGCAAAGATTGTTGTCTCTGGTATTGAGACAGTTGCACATGCACCATTTGCTTCAAACTTTAATGTAAGCTGAAATTTGAAAATCCTTGGCGCGGTTTGCGCCAACGAATGTTCTTTTCAACCGTCTTGTGGCCGTATCATCGATCATGTGCGGGAATAGGAGTTAAAGGGCAATCGGATGCTGCATTGCAGCAAGGTGAAACGGTTCAGGGTGCTAGAAGCTAGCAATAACGGCAATGAGATGGAGGTGATTCTCCACCTAGAAATGATGCAAACTTCGATGGAAGGTCTTAAGATGATGGGGTCTTGCGATGAGAAGCTCTGGATGGAAAAATAGATTGAGATGATCAACGATGAAGGTGAAGAAGGTTGAAGTTCTGAAGAGGGCCAATCCCAAAACAAAACCTTAGGGCTCAATGGATAGAATGACCATTTCTCAGTCAACGTCTCGTCCCGAGCAACGTATTCAACTGCTCTAGCTGCATAGACGTATGTATGCACCTAGTCTAGTCACACAACTACAAATCAATTCTGTACCATCTTTCAATTTGATTGATTACTTATTTATAGCCCGAAAATTCATGACCGAAACCTACCTACATAATAGCAGACAAGGATCAAGGAGTGGCTCTAGTAACTCCGAATCTTTGCGAGAGCACCACAAATTGACAAACACTGAGCGCGACTCGCAAAGACCACGAGATCTTATCTTGAAATGCCTTCCGCACATGTTCCTGTGTTTCTTCCCAGTCCACAAATCCAAGGGCATCCACGTTCTCCCGCGAAGTCAGGCGGAGGACCAATTTATGAAGTGGCCCATTTTCCTGAAATCTCGTCGGTCCAAGGTACGATTTCTTCTGCCGTGTATATATCTCCTCAGTGACGAATGGATGCACCGCCTCTCGCAGAATAAACTTCTCCGTCACAGGTCCATCTGGCGATGAAATTTTGATTTTCAGACCAGGCGGTAGGCCGTTGACATATTCTGTTAGATGGTGGTCTAGAAACGGAGGTCTGGTTTCAACATTATGGACCATGTCGATATTATCACCGAGATATCGAAGGAGTAGGTTGCAGAGGCAGCCCTTTATAAAGAGATACTCCGCTGTATGAAGTGGATGCCAACGGTTCAACATAGCGTCCCGAACTCGCCCATCCAGGCTTTCTGCCGCCGCAGTATAAGGGGACGTGACTGCGTGTATGTCTGTCCATTCAGCGAAGGGCATGCGGCCGAGAGTTTCGATGAAATTAAGAATTGAGGTATTGTTAAGCATTCGGCGCGTCGACTCGGGTACCCCCTTTTCATCTGCCGGGATGGCCAGTGTTCTAAGGTTAAGTTTGAGTCTGTTTGCTAATTCTGCGATCTCTTCCTTGGATGGCGAGGAGGGCCATGAAGGATCATTTTCAAGCAAGAAATCGCCCAACAAGTCTCTGTATCCTCCAAAATGCTCGTCAGATCCCTCTCCTATTAACATAACTATTAGAATAAAAAAAAGGAAGATAATAATAGGAAGATGAACCTGTTAATATCACTTTGATGCCGTGCGATTTAGCGACCTCGGCCATGGCGAGTCTTCCCATGCCATTTGTGTCTGGTATGGGCATTTCACTGTGCCAAACCGTATCCTCAAATTTGGAAACGATAACATCCTCATTGACAGAGACCGGGTGGAAGTCAACACCGAGCCATTCAGCGGTACGCTGTGCAATATCTGGCGAGGTTCAGCGTTCCGATATTAAGAGTTAACAAAGTATGGCAAATGTCATACCAGACTCATCCTCTTCACTATCCTTTTCAAATTGCACCGTGAAGCATTTGATTCGTGAAAGAAGATGGCTATCATCATTACCAAGACGAGCTCCTTCCTCCTTAACGAGATGAGCTACCATGCCGGCCACTGCGGAGGAATCAAGGCCACCACTAAGGTAAATCCCTAGCGGTACATCGGCCCTAAGGCGAACTTTGATAGCTTCCATCAGGCGGGCCCTAACGCCTTCGATCATCTCAACTTCTGACCGAAGCTCAGGAGTCCTCTAAGCCTAGTGTTTAGTGGCCAAGGCTGAGCGTTTAGGGAGTGTACAGACCCCCACTCACCTTCTCTGGATACTCGATCTCCCAGTAAGCCGCGTCCTCAATAGCCTTGAAACTTCTGCTTATAATATAATGCCCCGGGGCAACCTGGTTTTTATTAGAAATTTTCAAACGTCAAAGGGAAATGCAACAAACCGATTTGACCCCGTTGAACATTGTCCCAACTCCAAACATCCATCCGCGCTCCCTGAGACTTTGGACATCCCATTCCGGCTTCCATCCAAACGGGAGGAAACATTTCATTTCAGTTGCCACAAGAAGTCGGTTATTTACAACAGTGTAGTAGAGCGACTTGACTCCATACCGGTCCCTGGCGCCAATGAATATCTTTCTGCGGGAATCCCACAAGATCAAAGCAAATTCTCCCCGAAGATGTGACAGAAAGGATAAACCGTAGTGCTTGTAGAGAGCCAAGACAATCTCGCAGTCGCTTAGACTTTGGAAGTCATATTCACTGCCCAGGAGCTTTCGATAGTATTCGTCGTTGTACAGTTCGCCGTTCACAATCGCGTGGACGTCATTCTCACTATCATGGAATGGCTGATTTGCCTGCGGGCTGAGGTCGACGATGGAAAGTCGAACGTGGCCCAGGTCTAAAGAGGGTTCATCATTGTGCGTGAGTAGAGATCTTTCACTTTGAAGAGTGACAAAATACATACAAACGTTGCCATCATCGCTGGCCCATTCTCCACGAGCATCAGGTCCACGGTGTTGAATAAGATCCAGGCTCTTGCTGAGCTGTTCATTAAGACATGACGACTGTTCATCGTTCGATTGTGCGGGGTACGCTCTCAGTGAAAGGACGGCGCTGATTCCACACATTGTGGTTTAGTCGTTTTGAACCCGAAAGATCCGAAGTAGATTGAATACAAAGTAGATTGAATAATAGATGGAATATAGAGGATGTATCGATAGAAAAGTTACAGGGGAAGAGAGAACTAAAATAACACTCTTTCTCGGCCGCCCGCTGTTCGTTCGGCAGGAATGTGCAGATCCCAAGCTTTGACAAAATAAATGGTCAAGTGCGGGAATTTGAGGAGTCCTCTGTTCGAAAGCGCAAAGCCTTTTCCAAATGGGAGAGCCATCAATGAGTTATATGAGTACTTGGCCGTTTATTCAATTTTAAGCCTGACAGGAATGTAAATTTTGCTTCTGGTGGCGGTGCCCTTTTCGATATGGCACAAGCATACAGTAAAAGAAAGCAAAGTACCACTAACTTGAGTGAAAGGGGACCACTGGTGTCATTTGTATCTGAGCGTGAACCTAATGCAGCGAGATTAAGTGTCGAGAGCTGTGCACACAGACGCTTCTGAGATGGCCTTGAAACCATTCGAAGAGGGACTAGAGATCCACAACGATCATTTTTTATAGTGTCTTCTAGCTTCGATGTCTGTCATAAACTTTCAAGAGCGCTCTATAACAGGTAAGGAGTCTGGAATATGGCCATAGACAAACACAAGGCTTGTATTCATTCCAACAAAAGTCCTACCGGATGTTATATCTAGCACTGCGTTTTATTTAACATACATACACTCTCTAGAGCAGAATCTCATCTTGCGATACCTCCGTTCCAGGTGCCATTCATGAAATCGTCTTCAGATAGTCCAAATTTTCGGAGATAAACTGTCTATAAGCGACCTATGTCAATTTCTAGTCCCCACCGTTATTATATGGTGTATATGTACTCTTCAATCATTCTAGTAAAATAGCCCTAATCAATTTAATCTCAAACAAAAGAATTGCTTGGCGTAAACCGGGCCGATAAGCTGTCTCAAACCCATTTTATTAGTGGCTGTCCACGGGTGTTAGGGCGATTACTGTAGAGGGTTCTGCCGGTTTATTCCGACTACGAGGTTGTTCCTGGCGCCGGGGGGGGGGGGGATTGGCGTTGCATTGCTGAGTCCGGCACGATGCCTATATGAAATGATCACAATCTTTACTATCAAAACCACGGGCAGTTCGGTTTCTTGGTTTATTTCATTAAAAATCTCGTCCATGGCTGAATTTCATCTCCAAGAATTCAGACCTGGGCATTTACAACTTCATCGGCGCCCGACGTTGAACTTCAAATGTTCATTTCTTCTTGAATTCTAGAAACAAGCTATCGGCTTGATGGGGTCAGTTTCCGGTTTAGGATGAGATTGAATACAAGTTTAAGCTTACTGGCTGACAGCGAGGTTTGGGCCACTCAGCGGTTCACTCCCGTACCCGCAAACGGGGGAATTCAATTGGAAATGGAGTCATGTAGCGCCAATAGGAGTGACTCAGAGCCTGTGCAAATTATTCTGAGCTCACCAACCTCATTTAGCTGGTAACTTAATGGGCTTTCGATCCTACACTTACTGTTTCAAAGTTGTAAAAACCCCTTGCAACCACCAAATATTTGAGGATGTGGCTTACATCTAGGCCATCGAGAATCAAGTGTACATCGGAATCATAGCTTGAACGTAACATATCATATTCAACTCAAGGCCTGATTAGCGGAGACTTTTTTGTGCTAATACAATTGGCTACATCCCGGAGTCGCATTTTATATGGAACGTCATCACTTTGTACCTTGAAGATGTCATCAAAATCAAAAAGAGGATTCAATCCGGCCCCTAATCCTTGCAATCTTGGGGCCAGATTTGATGGCCAACCTGTCAGAGAGTTTGGATTACGGGTAGCCACTTCTTCTATACGATAGTATTATAGTATCTTCAGTATTTCATGTTTTTTTTTTTCTTTCTTTCCTAGATCACCAAAATGAGACCTGAGTAGCTCCGAATTGCTAAGTAAGATAAGGCCAGTTTGAAGGCCAGCCAGCTAGCTCTTGTCCGGCATACCATAATAAATTTCTGTGGGAGCTGTCCAGGGACAGGCACAGGGTGTGCTAACAATCGGAGTGGAGATGAAATATCCAACCATATGGTCATAAGGAGGATTATCAGAATAATAATACTTGGGTATCTACACCTAGGCAACGGGCTGGCGCGGGGCCCCGCCCGGCCTCGATAGGCTCTAATCTTTTAATCTAACACCTAGAACGTTGGGAAAACAATAATCTACACATACCCGCAACAGACCAACAGACGAGGGGTCGCCGCACTTGGAACCATGGACCAATATGAGATACTGCAAACGGGAAATAGGGGGTTACCAGGCTACCAGGTCACCAGGTGGTGGTAATTACTAGTAGCTTATGGATGTTTCTACAGATTGCCGCCAACTAGTGACCTGGTGAGCCAAACGCCTGCAAACGGGAACCTTAACTTTCATCACGAGGTAGCAATCATATTGATGAAATCCACAATCGCCTTGGTCGCTTTTAGCATATTTAGACCCTTCCAGTCCCATAACTTAATTGCCTTATACAGGCACACTTGCATGCGCGAGTCTTCTAGCGGTTATCTGAGTGTGGCCAGAGTTTGCCGATTAATACGTATATCCCAGCAATTATGGGTCAAAACGCCACCCCACTGAATCCTGGCGTCGTGCTTGGCCATACCGCTACCCAGGGGAAATGGCCTAGGGATCCCGAACAACTTGCTGTCAACGGCTTTGACAGCGGCGTATTCATCAATGAACTGGCGAATATTCAGCTTTTGCCGGGGAGACTCGAATCCTTGAGTGACGGCGACAGGGAGGCTTTCCAGCAAAATCCTGAGAATCTACATTGGAAGGCCTATGAGCAAGGGCCGTCTCTGATTGAGGAAGGGACATATCGAGGGACTCGATTGGCGCTTACCAAAATCTACGATCTTATAGAGCAGCGGTAATTATATCAGTCCCTCTCCGATCCTTAGACATGGCTAATATGCCCGAAAGCTTTGCATCTTTCATGGACGCAGCCAATTTTGAACCATTGGTTCCATCCCCTCTGACCAGAGATGAGAAAAGAAAGTTCTTCGCTTTCACAGATGGCTCAGACGGTTACCCACCCCATCTCAACCTTGCTGGAAATGTGACAGCAGCAGAGAAGGAGAAAGGCGAGGCTCAGAAATCAACACTCCAACCATCTGAAATTTTTAACAAGATGCGCCTGCTTCAGTTAAGCACACTGTTACCCAGCGTTGTGCCTAATAAATACAAAAGGGCAGCTGCTCAGGGAGCCTCATGGGCTTGGTTTGGATCTATGGGTACACCAGATGCAGGGGAAAAGCTCGAAGATGTGGAAAACTACAACAAGAAAGCTCGCGGGCGGTCGCATCGTGAGGATATTTTCGATCTCCCTAACGTGGGCGATTTGGAAGATTGGTACAGTGATGCCCGGTTTTCCCAGCAGCACTTTACAGGGACAAATCCTACAACGATTGAACGGGCTTCAGATAGTTGGATAAATCACTTTATCAAAGCTGCGAAAACACCAGAGGATGCAGCGGTGTCCTTCACCATCACTGATCTCAATAATAGCTGCAAAGAGTCTTTGTATATGCAAGATTACAGCTACTTTCGCGAGGCTGCTGGGCTGGATCCAACTGCCGTCATCAGGTGTGAGTTTGACGACCCAAATGAGAAGGATAAGAGCAAGAAGAGTTATCGCTATGGTTGCGCATCGGTCTGTCTCTTTTATCTCAATGATAAAGGTCAGCTTTACCCGCTAGCTATTGTCATCGACTGGCGGGGCAGTGCTGAGAGATCTGTGACAATCTATAACCGGGAACTGATCAAGCGGAAGAACATCCGGTCAGGAAGCGAAAATCATGACCAAAAGCAGAAGGTAACCGATGAGGCCCATGACTGGCCTTGGAGATATGGTAAATTACCCCTCACAACAGTTATGTACCATACATTGTGCGCTGACTTGTCTTACGATATAGCCAAGACCTGCGTGCAATGTAGCGACTGGCTTCGACATGAAGTTACCGTTCACCTTACAAATACCCATCTAATTGAAGAGGCCACCATTGTCGCCTCTAACCGACAACTTGACCCGGACCACCCTGTGATGAGGTTACTCTATCCGCACTGGCAGAAGACCCTGGCACTCAATGCGGCTGCCCGAAACACTCTTGTTCCCCATGTTATTGTCGAGTTGATCGGCTTTCAAGCAAAGGAGGCATATACGTTTATCCGACACGCGTATACGGAGTTTGACTTTAAGAAACGTTACGTACCAACAGATCTCAGTGAACGTGGATTCCCTCCGGAGCAACTCGACCATCCAAAGTTTCACAACTACGCCTATGCTAGATGTATCCATAGCATGTGGTATAAGATCAGGAGCTACGTGGAAGAGATGCTCGCTCTAGACTACCCACAGCCCAGTGCTGATGAAAAAGTCCTGCATGACGAACGTATCCAGGCCTGGTCTGCAGAGATGCGAAGTTCCGATGGCGGAAATTTGCCGAAATTTCCGACTATCAGCACGTTCACGGAGCTGGTCGACTGTGTGACTATGTGTATTCACATTGCTTCCCCCCAACACACGGCTGTCAATTATTTGCAAAACTACTACCAGTCATTCGTGGTCAACAAACCTCCCTGTCTCTACACTGAGCTCCCAGACTCTCTGGAGAGCCTACTTGGCTACACCGAAAAAGAGCTTGTCCAGGCGCTTCCTATGAATCACACTCGGGAATGGCTTCTTGCTTCACATACACCCTATCTGCTCAGCTTCAAACCGGGAAACAAAGAGAGCCTGATTATCTATGCTGCTTCAAAGTTTAGAGTGTATCACAACAAGACATCGGAGAAGGATCAGGCCATTGCAAAAGCGACCGGAAGGTTCTACACAGCGCTCGCTGACAGCGAAGAAGAATTCAAAGGTTATGGGCAAGCGACGGATGATTGGGACTCCATACCGTATGAGGTTTTGAGCCCAGAGTGGAATGCAGTGTCCATTTTGATTTAACCATGTCGGTATTACTAGTGTCGCTATGGTGTTTTCGCTACGGTGTTTTTGCTAGTACCCATATACCCAGAATCTACGGTTTTACATTCAGTCACAGATGCAAAGAACACACCAACGTCTCATATTTTAAGATTTTCATCTAGTAGTATAAGACTTGCTACTCATATTATGTGACATAATGTAGCTAGGTACAGTGGAGGTCTCGTTGGCTCGAGTCTTGGCCCTATACTCATCTATAGTCCCATAGTATTAGTTACGTCCCATCTTTTACGTAAAAGGGTCTATTTGTTAGAAATTCATGCAGTGATTACATGACTTGTTTCTAGTACCTTGCATATTCAGCATTGTGGCGTAGCTGAAATGCCATATGAATTTGGATTCTGCTTTGGAGTTAATAAGAGAAAGAGAGGGCATGAATATCATTTTCACTAGTTAATGCCAGAGTAGGTCTAATTAATGACGATCATGATCTCACTCGCTAAGAATGGGCGTGGTTTATTTTTCTTTTTTTTTGAATATGAGTATCTCTGAGTATACTCCGCCACGACAGCTCAGGTGAGAAGGGACGCTAATGTATACTGTGCACCTAATTGCTTTTTTCGCTGGTAATATGGGTATTACTAAAAATTATCACCAACCAATCATCAGTCCACATGTAACTCATAGCTATTTCTGTATCTAATTTGTTGTATGCATTTGAAGAGACACTGTTTTAAAATCAGTGGCGAGCGTGGATTAGTGCCCCTTCTCGCCCGAGCTGCCGTGCGAAGGTAGAATGCTGCATGTGATCTAGGGATAGATGCACTGATTGGTGACTCTAGGATCGGCATGTCCGTAGCAGCAGGATCTAGGAAAATTCGATTGCTTTTTGAAGAAAAAGAGCATTGCTAAGAAATTGTGATATCCTTGATTTGTCCGTCTTTACCAGGTCTAATTTAGCGTTCTCTCCGACCTAACCAACTGCCGTTGAATAGGCCAGCCTTCTGGACTGTAGTGGAACATAATACGGAATAATGCAGCATGTATTGTATAGATCTATAGATGCTACCTAGGTATAGCATCATTTGCATACATATTTAATTTATTGTATTTTCTATTTAGAACGGAAGAGGAGGTTGTAAATTTTGGCATGTAGATCACCAAAGAACCCCCCACCCCTCATCCCCAACATCCATAAAGCGAACAAGAGCAACGAATAGAACGTTAACAACTCCTCCTATGGAAAGTAACTAATGGACTTGTGGCTTGCGCAACACTGGCTGTAGAGCGGGGCCACATGCATATATTAGAACGTGCATATCACTAGTATATGCATGATCTAATGGAGATCACAAGTTCTCCAATCATAGTGGGTAGTTTGTGTGCTGTGTAAACAAGGGAAACTCATAAATCAGAGGGAGCTCCCTGGCCATTCAACCCGCCTTACGTGACTCAAACCTTTTGAACAGCCTCAATAGTGTTCCTCACATCTTACCTTCCGCCGTCAAATTACTATTTCATCAATATGAAGACCTTCATTGCTCTTGGTGCCTTAGCCGCCCTTTGCCAGTCCGCCTTCGGTCTCACAGAGGGAAGTTATACAATCGGATCTGCTAGTCTTGAAAGCAACCAGGTCCTTAGCGAGATCGGTCAAAGCAACTCGCCTCTTGGATTTTCTCCCATAAATGGCGATCCTAGCCAAACCTGGCTCTTCACTTTAGCCGGCAGCAACAACCAGCGCGATTTCCTGATCCAAAACAATCTCGGTAGCTATATCAACTGCGGTGATGAAGAAGGTTCTCCATGCCTCGCTGGAACGAGGGAGGAGGTTTACACTGCCGAACTTGTTGGTGAGAACAGTTACCAGCTTGTTGCGAAGAGTTCCGGATACTTCTTGCGTGCCGATGGCGGATATTTGCAACTTGCTGGATGGGATCAGACCCCTAATGAGGAGTTTGTCTTGCTTTCGACCCAATAGTAAGTCACGAAGATACTATATTGAGTATTGAAGTATTGAAGTAATGAAGCTGATGAAATTTGTGGAAAGAAAGAGATATTCCGTCCTCGCCGATGATATGAGAATGCTATTCGATGACGGTGATGGACCTTCCAGGAACTGTGAATCGAAGCCATGAAAATTACCGAATAGAGAATGATGTATGGTCGGTCATGCATAAAAATCACTATTGCCAAATCTTACCATTCGTTCTCTTCATTATCTTCACTCAAAAATGGCGCAGAATATAACAGCTCAAAGATGTCTCAATTCTATTTATAAAACCTACCATTAAGATAACTTGCTTGTTCTTTAAAATTTCAGCTAGATTGATGTGTAAGTTGATGTAATCCATTATGTGAAGGTCGATAGATCCGTGTTGCGAAACTTATTGGAACATAATTATATTCGCACTTTGCAGCGGGTTTTAGCCCAAATTGGTAGATTTATGGCTGTGATCTAGTTCACGGTTCCTATTGCCAGTAAAATACCGGTTACAGTCGGATACTTAGTTAATGTTGCTATCGTTCTTTCCATCGCTAGCACAGCTGCCGATATCAGCTTAAGCAAGCAGGCTTCATTCGATTATCCAGGACCCTGTGCTGTGGCCTACGGTTTGCACTGTAGTGATCGGTATAATTCTTGTTCTCGAGGTGTGATGTAGATAAGAGGAAGCAAAAACACAAAACATCAGATATTATTCAACCAATATATGTATTTGGTGACATACTGTAGGGGAAATCACTACTGCTCATAGCAAGGAGAAGGAGGGTCTCTTGTGACACGTTAATGATCTACGACTATCCGTTACAGCAAGAACCTAAGACAATTATATTTGTCTCACATTAAGATACCAACTTGGCTACTTTGTATGCTAATAGATACCGAGCATAGATCGTGTCTTTCCCCTGCCGATCACTTCTACAGCGGTCACCATTGTGACAATTTTCCGAAATTTGCCCAGTATATGTGGGGCAAATATTGATTAACTATACTTTGCATGCAAATGGAGATGTGCTCATGCACTCAGGAATGACTGAATTTATGACAATTGACAACGGGAATGGTATTAGATCTTATGGAGTATCTATCTGTGGATAAGGTTAATAAAGAAAAGTTTAGTACTTCGTGTCCAAAAGTATCCCGAAGTGAGTCAAATTATACGGAGTGCGGAGCAGTTTCATCTTGACCCAAAGATCCATTGCAGACAACAAATGTCAGGGACATGTCAAACCTATGATCAGAATAATATGTGGCATATTGCATTATCAGCTCACAGCTCCACTCAAAAATACTACAAGGATAGGTTTCACATGAACATTCCCATTGCCTCATGTGAGACAACTTCAACAATGCCCCGAGAAAAGGTGACAGCAATCTTGGCAGGACTAGGGGATAATAAGAAGGGCGATTGGCCTTGGTAAACTCGAATTATCTCCTCTATCTAAGGGCACCATTTTCACCGGACATTTCCCCAGCCATTACCGTACCTCTAGGCCTTGAATTCAACATGAAATTCAGCCTTGTTCTATTGTTCACGGCTGTGGCAGCTGCAAAAAGCCCAGCCAAGAGGGCCGACACGATTTCAGTTACTGGCTCACCTCCAGGATTTGCATACGGAGTCACGGGAGGTGGAGATGCGACGCCAGTTTATCCCTCCGATGTCGAGCATCTAATCGAGCTTCTGGGTTCTGATGATCCGCAGGTCATCATTATCGACAAGACATATGATTTCATCGGAACAGAAGGAACAACAAAGGGAACCATTTGCAAGGCATTCGGCTCTTTTGAAGATGGTTGCCAGTCCACGATAGATATCGGAAAAGGATGTGATGGTGCGGAGTCCGAGCCGTATGAGTGGGATACCGCTGGAACCATAGGAATCCGTGTTCACTCGGACAAGACAATTATCGGAGTCGGAAACAAGGGCGTACTCCTCGGCAAAGGACTGAGAATAGTCGATGCCTCCAACATCATTGTGCAGAATATCATGATCACCAACCTCAATCCAAAGCTTGTCTGGGGTGGCGATGCGATCACACTCTCTAGCACTTCACTGATCTGGATTGACCATGTTACGGTCAGCCAAGCTCCCCCTGAAAGTCACTTTACTGAGTGCTAATTGGATTGTAACTAGACTCAATATACTGGTCGTGTACACTATGTCTTTGGCCAAGAAGCGAACTCTCATGTCACCATCTCCAACAGCTTCATGAATGGCGCAACTAACTTCTCTACTTCGTGTGACGGGCAACAATACTGGGGATTGGAACTTGTCGGGGCCGACGACCAGATCACGTTTGCAAGTAAGTGTTTCAACCCATACTCGATACCAATTTCTACGGAACCTAAACATTAATGTTTGTCCGCTAGACAACTACGTATATAGCACATCAGGCCGGAGCCCTGCACTGAGCGGCAAGACGATCTTCCATGCTGTCAATAGCGTGTGGGAGAATAACAACGGCCACGCCATCGAGGGTACCGACGATGGCCAAGGTCTCTTCGAAGGCTGTGTCTTCAACAATGTCAGCCAAATCGTCGGGGATTTTGTCGGTCAACTCTTTAGCTCACCGAGTGCTACTGCAAACGAAGCATGCTCCAAAGATCTCAAGAGGGACTGCGTAGCGAATATTGAAATAGACAGTGGGGCTCCGTTTACGAATGCCGATACCAAGTTCTTCGCAAATTTCGCCGGTCTCACCATTGCGACTGCAAGTGCGGCTTCGGAGGCCCAGGCAAGCGTTCCAACCAATGCCGGAAATACGCTTAACAATGCCTAATTTGAAGATCACTCCGAGGAAAAGCAGGAATATCATAACGAAGAGGAAACAAGGAGAGATATCAATATAATTTGTTTCGTATCTATCGACTAGATTATGGAAGAGAAAGGAAGAAATAAGGAGTCACTGCTAGTTTGCAGTTCTTGAAACAGATAGAAGCTAAGTTGTGGACCAGATGGATTTTGGGACAGTTACGGAAATAGCTTTCTATAATGTACAATTCTACTACAAAAAGTTTCGACCCGCACCCCATGGTTTCCAGGGAGAAATTTTTGCGGAGGATAGGGCTAAACTATATCGGGTAAGGTCACTGTATATGGAGTACATACCGAGAACTGCAGCCCCTTCTTTATTGTTGCTTCAAGTATTTCCTCCACCATGGATCCCTTCACTCAACTGCCCCCAGAACTGATACAAATAATCCTGATTCATGCCGATTTTGCCACCGTACAAAGCCTCATATCCGCCTCCCCACAAGTCCACGCTGTCTTTCAAGCTCGACCTGCCATTATACATGATCTCATACTAGCCAACTCTATCACGAGTTTCCCAGAGATACAAAGGCTATGCTACAATATGAGTCTTACCCACACCTCTCATTACACTCATTTGGCCTCCTACCAACAAGCATGCTCAGAAGGCATTCCAACTCTTAATTATAGAGCAGCACTCGGCATAATTCAACTAGCAGCCAGAATACAGCACCTTGCCTGTGCATGTCTGTCGCGTATGCAGCAGACCCTCGCCTCTACACTTGGTGAAATACCAATCGACTCACTAAGCGGACCTCAGCGAGCAGAACTAGCGCGTAAGCCCTTTTCGTGGATCGAAGAATACCGCACGTACTGGTCCCTCTTTATCTCGCACACTATTCCGCTCTCCGTCAAGCTGCCAAAATCTGTTGTTGGCCTGCACAGTCAATAAAGGATCTTAACGCGTATAGTATCTGGAATGAAATCGATAGCCAAACAGCCGACCAGATCTGGACAATTGCCGCCATGCTATCGGACCTAGGCCTTACCGTCTCCTGCGAACACTACCCCGCACAATTGGGTAATCCCTTGTGGTTCTGACAAGATCCCGAGGGAGCCGAGTCTTCACACGCAGCCTGGGATTTCCGTAACGAAACACCAATTCCTTTCTTCCATTCTTTTATTCTACCCAGTAGCGGGCCTCTACTCTGGTCTCCACCACCCGTACCACCTGAAAATGCAGCAACAACATCAAAACACTGGCGGCTTTCTAGAATGGCGCTCATCGACGCAAATGCACGTCCGATACTTCCGAAACGATAATCAAAGGGTCTCTCGGGTGCGCCGCCGTTCGGTGGGATTAAGTCTTTTTAGGCCCTGACGCCATCTGGGGCTTGTTATCTGGGACTCGTGGCAGATGCGAACTGTGGGACTATGCTATTTCCGTCCCTGGCCGAGAGGTAATCCGCCTAACCCGGACGGTAGTGTTCATGTGGGCCAAGAGCTACCGGATCTTGGGCCGAGGTGGTTGGCGTTAGTTGGAGAGGAGTTTGCATAGCTTTTAGATGAACTGGGATCTTTTAATCATTGATTAGCACATTATCCGCTTTAAATATATGCTTGGCAATGAGATATATATATTTTTGCGTCACCGACATAGTAGTCTGTCAGTAAGATTTGTTTTCTGATATTTTCGCTCTCTTTACCCAATCTATCTAATATCGTATCGCAATGTCCCTAACTCTTCCAATACTATATACCACTCAGTATTCACACGGCTAGATATCTTGGTGCGCCTAATATCAGCACCTCCCTGGCTACCGCCAAGGCACACCGCTTACCCAAATAGTCATTTACATTCAATTTTAGGTCTTTGATTGGTAGAATTATGGCAGGCAGAATAGCCGGTACTAAAACTTGTGGACCATCACACAGTACACGATGCAGGGGTGGCGGTGGGGGCAGAGATGCTCTTTATGCAGGTGGGCCCGCAAGAAGAATCTTAGTGAGGACTATCTTATGCATTAGCATAGCGTCGACGTGTGTGAGCCAGAGCCGATGGACTATTGCGGGGAAGTTCTAGGTGTAGGTGATGGGGACTCGTTCGGTGAAGCTTGGCGAGAACCATCCCGAAACGTTGATCAGTATAGCTAGCGCTGTCACATTGGAATCATCAGGTAGCCAGTGCTATCGGTTTGCCGAAAGACTACAGAGTGCCCCATCACCCCGGTATTCTATAGAATTCTGGAATCTTACCCGAATTAGAAGAGTTAGATATTGATGCATACATGTACATATGCATGCATGTATTCATTGAAAGCAGTATGACAGAAATCTGGAAGTACGACAATCTACGGGATGGCGCACTGATGTATAATTCTCTAATTTGGGAGTATGTTGGAATAGATAAATTCTACTAGAAATATCCATGATTAATTTGAATCTTTGCCGCACTATTTGCCTCACGGAAAAAGACCAGAGCTGAACTCGATATCTTCAGTTTCTTCATCATTGACAGTAACAAGTCCCCTGCAGAAATTGATCTTTTTATGTAAGCCTCTAGTCATAACTAACTACTTAATGAAGTTAAGAGTTAGTCTCAATTCCAGGGATGTAATGCGATCTCCAATGAAGATCGCACTATGGAAATCTTCTGTATCCCCCTGTTCGAATCTAGGTACCATCTCATACATAACGAATTAATTAGCTTTAGCCTCCTTGTCATTGTATCATTTTATCAAGTCCTGTCGCCCTATGAATTCGACTTCCTACATCCTTGATCTGGTGAGGCATTTTACTTTCCACCCGGATCGCCGAACTCCACCTCCGTCATTCTCGGCGCGACTTGTCCCCCACAAGCAGTTTACGCTGCAAACTTTGCACTCCGTAGTCATCGCATCCCATTTCCCTTTGCTCCTATCAGAATCTTCGTATTTTCTACCAATCATTTGGGGTTTCAATTTACCCGACTTGCTTAAATGCCGATCAGTCGCTGGATTTGTCGAATATCTAGACGATCACCTTACGTAGTGGGTCCATAAAAAATCTGCATTGTGGAACCTCGAGGTAATCCGTCTGACTTGTACTCTGACATCTGTTGTACATTATTCGCTATGCCACCTCCGAGGTGACGCCGATGCGAGTCGAGATTGGCGCGGGCTTTTAATGTCCGATTGGAACCCGATATACCTACTTCATACTCTTGCCTCGGGAGATGTAACAGGTCTACACGTTTTGCCTTTTGTCTCAAGCTAGGTAACGACTAGTAGATATTGCTAGAGATGAATCTACCACCTTCCTAATAAGGCTTTCAAGCAAAAGTTCGCAAACCTCAATAGAATTTGAGAAGTCGGCCTAATCAAATTGCGAATCCTTTGGACCATTATTAATGAACCGAATGGGGCCGATTCGAGTTGTGCGGAGCAGTAACAGGGGGATTCCACGAGCTCTAGGGGTTTGCCAAATCAAAACAACCTGTTCTATCATTTGCGCTTTTTCTTTGTAGTGCATATAAAATGTACTTTGTACTGCATATACAAACACATATTGGAAAGTCTAGCGAGTTCTGATGTCATCGCTAATATATATTATGTAAGCTTGGTATGTTCCCGAGGTCCCATATTGCTTGTTCTACTTTAACCGTTTTCCATATTTCTTATACCAAACAGATTAATCCATGGCACCAAAAAGCCTCTGATGAAATTGCGCTATGAAAAACTTCATCTAACCATGATACTGCGCGAGATTAAAAGGGGCGGAATAGAGATTTTACAATTCTTGGCGTGGGGAGATGACAGAAGCCGAGGCTTGAGATTGTACCTAAGCACCCTTCCCGGTAAGTGACCCCACCCTCCTTCGGGTGTGTTACTTGTAGGGCTATTTGGCCAAGGATTAGGGTCTGAGAATATACGGAGTATCCGAGGTCATTCAGTGAAGGTTCCCCGGAAAGTGTTTTGTTGGATATGGGATTCATACCAATAAATACTCATACAACCGAAATACGTACCTTACCGCCCTGGAAGATATGTACCGAATCGGTGCCGACACCACGTGCCACTTTGAACTTTTCCCGGTCGGAAAGCCGGCTGCCACACAGAAAAGGAGATTAGACCGGTCCGAGTGACGTGTGCCATGCGGTAATGATGTGTCGGTCCGGCGTTACATAACTGGGAAAACCTTCCACAAATGTTTCTTTAGCGCCGATTTGGGGTGAAACTTGGGCGAAAGAGTTTTCAGGGATTCCGACGTCATGTGGGGGCGAAAAAAAAACATTGGTTCCTGAAGATACACACCATCATAGTAGGATGGCATAGTTATACTATGTATATCATCTCAAAGAGAAGAGAATGGAATAAACTCCATAGAAGAATATATGTATAATTTAATAACGGAGATCCAACATCATGTTGAATCTATACTGCACACTGAAAATCCGGTGCCTCTCCAGATTAGTCATTCGCGCCTTGACCTGTGGATAGACCCATGGACCCGCCAAGGGCCCCCGCCAGGGGCCCCGCCGACTGCCCCCGCCAAGTGTCCCCGCCAAGTGCCAAGTGGAAGGATTTTCCCGCATTTCTCTGCTTCGGGAACCGCATAGCCCTTCGCTGGACTTTCCCATTTCGAGTCCAACCATGGTTACAGTATAAGTGGGATATTTAATTTACTGTAATACATTACATCCACGATGGAGGCGCTTGCTATAAGACCGCCAATTGTCCCGAGCTTATAGTTCTTTTCCCCAAGTTTTCTTTTACCCCGGATCCCTCCCCCTACCGACGGCTTTGACTTCGTCCATACCGTCAATATGTGGACGACCAACAGCGGGCTGACTGGTCGGTCGCTCCGGGTGAGCATCACCATCGCCGCTGTCATGGGCTTTGCGCTCTTCGGCTACAACCAAGGCATGATGGCTGGCCTGCTTAACGGTGACGAATTCGTCAACTCCTTCCCTATCCTCGAAATGCCCGAATCTGCGACTCCCTCGGAAGAACACTACATCAACGTCATCCGTGGTGCTGTCACCTCTTGCTACGAGTTGGGCTGTTTCTTCGGCGCTTTGTTCTCCATGTTCTTCGGCGACAAGCTCGGCCGCACTCGTCTGATCTTTATGGGTGCCAGTATCCTGATTCTCGGTGCCTTGATTACAACAGTCTGCTTTACTGGCCACTGGGAAGTCGGTCAGTTCGTGATCGGCCGTGTTGTATCTGGTATTGGAAATGGTATGAACACCGCCACAATCCCCGTGTGGCAATCGGAATGCTCTGGCGCCCACAACCGTGGCTTCCTTGTCTGCTTCGAAGGTGCCATGATCGCTGGTGGTACTTTCATTGCTTACTGGGTGGTCTTTGGTATGTCGCACGCCGCCGATACCGTCCAATGGCGATTCCCCATTGCGCTACAGATCTTCTTCGCTCTCATTTTGGCTTCTGGTGCCTTGCTGCTCCCAGATTCCCCATCGTGGTTTGTGAGCAGAGGATATGACCAGGAGGCCATCGACGTTCTTGCTAAGCTCAGTGGCGCCGCTGCTGATTCCGAGAGGGTCCTCCACGAGTACAACTTCTTGAAGCAGGACGTGGAAAACTCCAAGAGCTCCCAGTCAAGCTGGAAGGCGGTCTTCACATTCGGCAAGACCCAGGAATTCCAGCGCTGTCTTATTGGTTGCTCTGGCCAGTTCTTCCAGCAGTTCACTGGTTGTAACGCTGCTATCTACTACTCTACTCTACTTTTCCAGGAGAACCTGCACATGGAGAAATACCTCTCCCTAATTATGGGTGGTGTGTTCGCTAGTGTTTACGCTCTTGCAACTATTCCCTCTTTCTTCATGATTGAGAGAGTCGGCCGTCGCAACCTGTACTTGATTGGTTTCCTTGGCCAGGGACTCAGTTTTGTCATCACCTTCGCCTGCTTGATCAAGGAGAGCGAGGAGAACGCCAAGGGTGCTGCCGTTGGTATCTTCCTCTTCATCACCTTCTTCGCGTTCACTCTCCTACCTCTGCCCTGGATCTACCCTCCCGAGATCAACCCCCTCCGCACCCGTACCGTCGGCGCTGCAGCATCGACCTGCACCAACTGGATCTGCAACTTCGCCGTTGTCATGTTCACCCCGCTTTTCGCCGGCGAGAGCGCATGGGGTGTTTATCTCTTCTTCGCACTATTCAACTTCATCGGCCTGGTCTTCGGCTTCTTCTTCTACGTTGAGACAGCCGGCCGTGAGCTTGAGGAGATCGACATCATCTACGCCAAGGCACATGTCGAAGGAAAGATGGCGTTCCGCGTCGCCAAAGATATGCCCAAGCTCACTTTCGAGGAGATTGTCCAGCAGTCTCGCGACCTGGGCTTGAATACCAACGAGCATGTCGCAGCTGAGAAGAGCGAGCTTGGTCTCAGCAGTGACAGTGCCCAGGAGCTCGAGGAGGTCCACGAGAAATAGTCGCGCTTTTTCAGTGCACATGTTGTATATGTGATTGGAGGTGATGATGATATCTGACACTGGATGTTTTTCTAATTTTTTTGTTAATGTTCTGTTTATGTTTTATTTTTTGTTGTGGATATGTCGATATCCCGGTTATAGAACTGAGAGCAGGGCTTACAGGCGTGTATATATCCAAGATAAGGAACGGATGCTCTTTTAGATTTCAATCTATTATTTTATTATTATATTTTGCTGGCACGTGAGCTTTTTTAATAGATGAATTATAATAAACTCGACTGTACCGAAAATTAATAGGTCAATAGCAGCGACTACTTGGTTGTCAACGTTTTCAACCATGAGTCTGACGAGGCCACCACCGAGGAACTGTAAATCACCAAAAAGAAGCGTTACCACCTAGAATGGCTGATTCTACAGATCCCAGATGCTCAACTTGAAACGTGAGTCAGCCATTAGAACACGCGATGTAGACATTATACACCTTTCTGGAAAGGAAGCGAATAAACCTCTCATACTACCAGCTCATTCACAAGTTTCCTATCGTCCATATTCTCGCATGTTAGTGTTGCTATGGTATTTGAAATTAAGCAAAACACAGGCGAATCCAAGATATCATTAACTAATATGTGGATATGTGCATCCATTCCAATCTCAGCGCTTCAGTGACTCCACTAATATACATTCATAATAACCCAAACATCCAAATCATAATTACCACCTCATTAGACCTCATGTTTCGATATCTTGAGCTTGAGAGTTCTCTTTGACCTGTCCCGCATCCAGTGCCAGCCTACGAAGGTTGCTAGCGTCAGTGACAAAGTTGCGACGAGAAGAATCCACCACTGCGAGGAAACAAGCAGTCGTCGGTCCCCTGGGGATTCTCCATCTCCCCGATCCGGTCCGGCAATGATGTTTGTACCGAGAATGGTCTGGGAATGTCAGTTCCCGCGACATACTTAAGCGTTTCAGGTTTCAATGGAGCTACTCACTGCGATGAAGGTTCCGGGGAGAAATAGCATGGTCACAACGGAGATTGTACTCATGGAAGCGCTCTCCTGCATCGCGTATTTCGTCATCTTCATGCTTGATTGTGTATTCACTCGGGAGCTCATATTGAAGAGCTATTCATAATCATTTTAGTAACTGTGTCAGAGAAAGGAGTCTTAAAGTAACTTACCAAGTCTAACAGACGCTCAACTCTTCTAGCGATGTCCTCGACAGATGATTTGAAGTAGGTCATCTGATTCTCAAACCGGTCAAGCTCCTCTTCAACCCGAAAGTAAAGTAAATCACGGTCCTGCACATCCGGCTTCCTTTTTACTATAGCCTGGAATACCTCGTGCTGTTTCCGCAACCGCTCGATAACCCCCAAGATAAAATTCATCTGGATTTTGTCCTGGTCGAGACTCGTTAGAGTGAGATAGAGCTTGGGGAGGTCAGTGCGAGAGTGCTCGCCCGCGGTGTCGAGCACCCGGCGCTCTTCTGCACGGATGGTGTCGCGAGGATCCCGCGCAGCGCGTCGGTAATATTGGATCGTAGGGTTGAAGTGGATGATGGATGGGATGAATGGATTCTTTGCGAGCGAGGCTGTATTAGGTGTGCGCACGAATGTTTCCAGGTTATCGACTAGTTCCTCATGCAGACGTTGCGGTAGATCATTAAAAGATCTGTATTTTAACAGGGCTAATGTTGTGTCTGTTTTGGCATCGTACCGCGTTACAATGGTCATCTTTAGATCTGCTTCTTCGCGGACTTTCTGGACGTATGCCCTGGCCCGGATGGCATACCAGAATTCTACAATTAGTTAGGAATAGCCGGGTTATGGCTGTCGACCTACGGCACTCACCGAACGATGTTACCGTCCCGTCGTCGTCACGTAGTTGCCTTGAACCGAATATTTGTTCTTGGCCTCGGATATGAGAGCTAGCTGCAGGCGCAATATCAAACTTGGTGAGGATCTTGAACAAGCTGTCGCGGGTGATATTTAGCTCGGATGATACTTCGCCCTTGAAGTCATCGTGGAATTGAGGGTCGGCTGGTGTCACCTTTCGATCGTTGATGAGCTCGTTTTTAAGCAGAACCTGTACTGCATCCGGGTCGGTCAAAGTCCGGAGTATTCTCTTCTCTGGAGTTGGATGCAATAGGATAATTCGAATCTGAGGCTGGCGCTCCGCCTGTTCAAGTAGTATTAGGATGTAGTATCGAGAACAGGAACGCGCGAATAATTACAAGGAGTCGATCAATGTCGGCGTCATTATAAGTCCCCGTTGTGCCCATGCCATGGTCATGGTCGAATATTAAGACACTGGATGTTGATGGATACTTTTCAGATCTCCATGACCTCGACTCCTCCTTCAGTTCCCGTTGACAGAACTGTCCGTCATCAAGACCAGGACAAAATGATGGAAGAGGGAACGGGTAATCTAGATGAGGCTCATGGGACCCAGCAGTCGCATGCATATTTGTGTATCCACAACCCCCAAAAGTGCGCGAGCACAGGTAGGCTGAGGGGTTTGAAGTGGAGATGGTAAGGCTGGGCGAGATGCATTTTTTAGTCTCAGCTCAAGAATTAGGGGGCGGCGCAGTTCTCTTGCTTTTTGTGTAAGACCGGACTACCTCGTAAAGGCGGGGGTTTGTTTTGTCAGCCACGTGTCCCGCGTGTAGGTACTTTTTCCAAAAGCGTTATTGCTTTTTCAAGATAACGCGAAAATACGAGCTGAAAATGGCCGGTGCTGTTCCTTTGAGCGAGATATTCTCCTTTCCCCCTCAACAGCCGGGTGAACCATCGACTCGCAATTGGTACTCGGAACTTCTAGGCCATCCAGATTGCCAGAACAATCCGGTAAGAGCCCAAATCTCTTTCAGAAATTTGACTAAATACTTGAGCAGGCGAAAATTCAAGAAGCGTATGAGCATTTCCGGTCCACTAGTCTGGCGCGCTCAATCTCTTCTTGCCTTGCAGTCCAGGATAGTAACTCAACGCCATCAATTGCAGCAGAAGACAATCAACCGCCAACGCAATTCATTACTCCTGATTCGGCATTAATCCGATACCTCAAACTCCGGGCGCAAAACGAATCCCCAGGAGATGGCACAAGACATCGTGAAATCGAAGAACTCAGCAACCAGGATGCAAATTGCCTTGTTATATGGGCGCGACCTGACACGCGCACATTGAATCTATTGGTGAAAATTCAGAGTTGCCTCTCAAATTTAGTAGGACCCGGTTAGTGCAATTGTGCCAAAACGACAATCACCTCGCTTGTTCCTCAGCCAATCCCCGCGGACAACTATTTATTTTACTGCAGATCTCCACCTAATACCCCGGGATGATATGCATCTGTCTGTCATTGAGCTATCGCATCGACATTCCGTAACCCATCTTCGCTCGGTATACGACAAGGTGGGAGTGGAGCAGCTAAGGAAGTTGCTAGACGTGCCACGATCGGAATACAATATGAATAAAAGTATCGCCCGTCTCGCTAAACCAAAGATCATATTTGACAAGGTCGGTGTTGCCGTCGCATTTGTTCCTGCGGAGGACAGCTACTCGTATCACCATCTCCGGAATCAGCTCCATACGATGGCTTTGACTACGGGCGTTAGTATCGATACGTGTTATACTGCGCCGATTGCGCATGTCACTGTGGGGCGATTTGTTGGGAATGATTTCTTCGAAGCGTCTGGTGGGGGCGGTACCATAGATGCTAAACGGCATAACATGGAGAAATGGCTCGGTCTTATTGAGCAGACCAATGAAGACTTGCAGCGGGAGTACTGGGGCGATTGGGTCTGGGGTGTTGGAGAGGAGAAACCTTTGGAAGTCCAGCTAGGTTATGTTAAATTTGGACGGCAGACGGAGAAGGCTGATCTGATGGGAAATACGTTAGAAAATTAGGTATCGATCTGATTTGTAGTAGTTGGTTCAATTTACGGAGTACCACGGTACTACAATGTACTAGATGGAAGGTGGGCTACTTTTTCTGTCAAAAAAATAGGTTGCTTAATCATAATGAGCGTTTCAAGGGCTCTCATTGCTGCGCGTCTCTATCGGATTCCCTAGTCGACTCAATCTGGCGCTCTTGGTCCATCCCTCTCAGCCTCCATTGCGCCATTGGTCAAAAGGAATTTTTGCTACTCTCTCATATGGCCTTACAATAGCTGCGTACATAGCGAAGTCAAATGTACCTAGATGGCCAAATGTGTCTATTTTTCACGTTTGAAGGCCTCTGCGATATGTTTACTGAAGATTTTTCATCAAAAGATCAATATATTCTAAAAGAATGGCAATAGACGGGGAAACATGAGGAAAACAAGTTGCATTCATGCTTCAACGTTCGTGTCCAGATTTTCTGTGTGATACCATAGCAATCAGAGGGCACATTGGCGTAGACTCGGGATTACGATCGTTCTAACGAGTATGAGGAGATATATCGGAATGTCTTGGAAACTTATCGGCTTGGTAGATACATTAGATAGACACAGTATGAATACATAAGAATTTATAGAATTGAACAATCCAACTCGGACTAGTCCTCAAAGCGCTGATTCCCAAGTCCCCGGCCCTTCAGGTTTATCTCATCCAGGAAGATTGAACTCACCAAACCCAGTGCACTCAGGCCTGTCATCACATAGAATATCGTATGGAAGCACTTCAGGTAAACACCTAATACCTGGTCCAGCGTTGATATAGGAACATGTAGTGATCCCAAAGAGCTAATGAAGCTCACAGTATTGGAAGCATCTTTCAGAGGCGCCAAGGCTCCCGTCAGTTGAAGTGTAGTATCAGTGACAGTCCTCGAGAAAACATTGTTGAAAATTGACGAAGAGATAGTGAGGCCGACAAGACCACCAAACATACGGATAGTTGAAAACTGCCCAATAGCTAAGCCTGTGTCATCGACATTCTTAACGCTCGCTTGCATCGGAAGAATGTTAAGGCGTAATAGCGCAACTCCCTGACCCCAGAGAATAGGAAGCCCGTAGCACATAGATGCGGAAGACCCTACTTCGAAGAGGGCTAGCAAGCCGGATCCTAGCGTAAGGATGACCCACGAAATTCGTAAAATCCACACATAACCTCCGAACAATGGTACTAGCATCATTGAGACGGCTGCCACTAAGACGCTGATAATAGAGGTAGGCAATAGGTATACGGCGGATGATATTGCGCTTTGGAGCTCTACAGCTTGGTAGAGTAAGGGTAAGTATTGTAAAAGGGATACTAACACCGCGCCGTGGAGGAAGCCTCCTAGTAAAGTCACGTTTCCGGTCTTCGAGTGGAAAATACGATAAGGAACAATAGGATCTGTAGGCTTTCCCTCGTAGAAGCCAAAAGCGACGAGTGCCGCCACTCCTAAAAACATTGGAAGGAGAGTCTGCCAGGAGGGCCATGGATATAAGGAGCCCGCCCAACTCATCGGAATAACCAAAATCGAGATTCCGATAATAAGGAGCGCTATTCCAATCCAGTCGAGACGCTTTAAATTTCCAACGAGCGTAGAATCGAGCGGAATAGGCCGAAGTTTGAGGAAGATAATAACCAAAGGTGTCCCAATTCCGAGCCAGGGGAGGTTGATCCATCCGATCCACCTCCAGGAGGCATACGTGGAAAATAGCGCCCCGACAGTAGGACCCATAATATTACCCACGGCCGACGGAATGGCCATTAAGCCTAGATATGTCGAGCGTTCCTCTAGTGTTGTCATATCTGCGAGGATCACCTGTGCCAACACGTCGATTCCGCCACCACCGAGACCCTGGAAGACTCGCCCAACAATTATAGTGCCCATATTTCGCGCCGTAGCAAAAACGATAGAACCGATAAAGAATAATCCAATGGATATATAAAGAGGGGGTTTGCGACCGAACTCGTTGGAGATGCTGGCCCAGACTGGTTGCATTGCTAGACCACAAAGAGTATAGGCCAGATTTGCCCAGAATGACTCTAGACTCGAGGCCTTTAGTTCACCAGCAATGGCCTAGTGATAGGGATGAGTATTTGGGTAGTACGCGGATGCGAATAGACGCGATGGCTCACTGGAAGGGCAATGCTTAGGCATGTCGCATCCAACTGGAACACGAAAAGAGTCGCGGCGAGCCCTATGAACGCGAGCTTGAAGGAAAGCGACTTTGGCTTTTTGGTCGTTGATACAGCATCATCCTGCTCATTTTGCTCTGTTGGGGAGTGTGTATCCCTGGTCACAGTCACTTTCTCCACGCCATCGACTTCCAAGTTTTCTTCCAATCTCGGTCTGTCTGGAATAGCAGAGATATCGGTAATTGGGCCAGAGGTGGCCTCGGAATGGATCATAGTGCTTCCTGGGCAGATTGACTATGGCGCAAGTACCCGAGGGGAGAGACAGGAGATTTGAGAGCTTGATTGAGTATAAGGTACTGGGTGGAAAAAAGTACCTATAGGGATAACATTGGACGATAGAATCCAGATTTCCATTTGTGGGGATATTAGTTCTTCCGGCTGGTGCCTACATAAAGATTCTGGACTGGACTTTCTTTGTTCATACGCGAGATTGGGAGTTGAGACCGGGACAGGGGCCGGGGGCCGCACTTGTGGACGTAAGCATCCATAATGCGTCTATAATCCCGTGGTCGCCGATTGGATAGAACTAGTACTCCGTACTTACAAAGTACTAAAAGGATTGGAGATGTTAGCTCCGGTATGTGGCTCCCACGCGTCGGGACGGCCCAGCCCATCCGAGTCCGCTTCTAGATGATCCACATTCTAGGCACTAGTCACTGCAGCCTTTACCTAGGTACGCATTCTACTAGTACCTATATAGCTATAGATCGCACTATAAATACCTTGGGTTACTCCATAAGGCCCAGCTGCATGGATCTGCACTCTTGGCGTGGAGATTTATGAATGGGATGAAGATCTTAGTGGCCATGTCACCGGGAAGGGGAGACCCACTCTAGAAAGGAAAGGACGGCTTTTGCAAGGAGAGATGGCAGCTTTGGCGGGAGAGATTTGGGGAGGTAGCTGGGATGATGGAAATTGGAGATGAGGTGAGAACGGCAGCAATGGACGCGGAGCAAATAATGCAGGAGATTGAATGTGGAAATGTGGCGATGTGCTCTTTAGCTAGGTCTTTGAAGGATACATCGCACTCTCCCTCTCTGCAAGGCTATCGCACATTAATCTCTATGATCTCCCACAGTTTCATTCTCAAGACACTATAAAATCTGTATACGAAAAGTCATATGTACAATAGAGTATAATATACAGAACGCTTGTACTTCCAAGTCTTGGAATATTCAACAGCGTCCTAACAGCCAGGCTTTGAACAAAAAAGCAATTAAATCGCTTATGCTGGCACACGGGGTCCAACGCTTCTCCAGAACTCACAGCGGGCACCGCGGCCACCTTCCCACTTCGATGCATCTGCTAGTCTGAACTCGTTCGTGACGCCAGGTCCGTCCCGAACCCAGTAAGTCAGCTCAGGGGTAACTTCAACGAACACGGTTGATCCACCTGTGGTGTTCAGGTTCATCACGACAGGGGAGTCGCTGTTCCACTTCGGCCAGGAGATATCTCCGTTCACACCCTCAGGTACGGTAGCGTTGTCTGCACCACCCTTTGCGTCAGTGATAGAGATGACTGGAGTATTATTGATGATGAAATTGCCCCAAATCTTCTGGAATGCATGCATAAAGCCGCGAGCAGGCGTAGTCGCTCCAACGGAGAAGTACGCGGACAAATCCGACCCGTGGTACCCGGGGGTGACAGAGTACTGATATTGCCAACTTTCCTTGGTGCGACCTCCAGCGAACGCACCCGCAAGCCAGTAAGCGGGGCAGTCAAAGGAGGATTCGGCATAGATGTTGAACACGGTCTGCTGGAGACCAGTTGCCATTTCGGACTGGTTCAGAGCGGTTGGACCACTATCGCCTAGTGTATCGTACCGTGGACCAGTGTTTTCGGGGGAGCTGTGTCGGACCCCGTAGATGTCCATCAGACGGGAATAATCTTTGGGAGAGAATGAAGGGAAAGCAGAGTGGATATAATCCAGGAAGTCTCCAGTGCTGTTCACATTAGGCGGGCTAAGCGGAACACCATCATTGGCATTGTACTGGAAAAGTTAGCATAAAGGATCATGGCGGTTAAGATGAGAATTTGGCACAAGAAACTTACTCCAGACAACACGCGCTTGCCGCTCACTTTCTTCTTGAGCAATTGCTTGGATGGCAGTTCCCGAATGAAACTGCCATCGACGACAGGGAGGAAAGCCCAGGTACCCCATTCTCCTGAAATGGAGACATTTGCACTAGCATATTGCAAAGTGACAGTGTCGGCCTTGACAAGGCAGTTAAACACGGCTGCCTCGGACATATTTTTCTTATAGCATCCTGCTCGTGCCGCAAAATCTTTATAGTGACCTGTCGGCACTTTACCATCGTACTGATACAAGGATGTGGTATACGGGCTGGCGGCGATAACCTAGGCAAGTTAGTCACACTGTCTCGGGTTTCATGGCGCTATAACTTACATTATTGAATAGGTGGTCCTCACGACCACCGTAGGCCAATGACTGCAGCATCGCCGAGCCTGCTCCGGAAGATTCACCGGCGACCGTGACGCGGGAGGCATCACCACCAAATTTTTCAATGTTCTTCTGGACCCATTCAAGAGCGAAACGCATATCAAGCAGACCTGCATTTGTCTTGCCGTACTTGTGTACGCCTTCCGATGACAAGAAGCCAAAGGCTCCCAGTCTGTACTGAATCATAACTGCAATGAACCCCTTGTCGTTCGTGTTAATCAACTCACTGGGATCGTAGAAGGCTCCGAAAAGTCCATCTCCCCCACCATCTATGAAAACTTAGCACATGTTTTTCTTCGGTCGGATATTTTGACATGTGCATAGACTTACGAATCCAAAGGAGAATAGGGAGATCCTTGGCCCCGGGCGGAGCATACACATTCAAGAACAAGCAGTCCTCATTGCCCAGGGCTGAATTGAAACCATATACTTCCGGAAGCTTGGCACCACCGGACTGTGGGCAAATTGGGGGCTGTTCAGTGGCAGACTGGATGGCAGTCCTGTTCACTAGAGGGGCCTTGGGTGCTTGCCATCGCAGCTTTCCTACGGGAGGGGCGGCGTATCGAATCCTAATAATCAATAAGTAAAAAATAAAATAATAAAAAGAACAGAAGCTTTTGCCAAGCCCAATGCGGTGTGTTCCTCACCCCTTGAAGACATTGAGGTCATAGGTGTCATCATGGTACCCCTTGTAAGTGGCGTAGCCTAAATCAACCACTGGGCTTGATGTTTGGACAGGAGTAGCTAGACCAATTGGGGCAGTGGTCAGGGCCAAAAGCACAAGGCTGCTTATTCCAGCCATGAAACCCATATTAACTCTTCACAGCGGTTAAAACTGTGATGGTTTTGAGAGGAGGAAAGGGACCGATATTTCTATCTGATTGAGACGCTAGTGATTAAGATGCGCAGCCCCTTATGTACCTTGTACAATCCTTGCACTATAGTACATATGTGACCTATAAGCGAGCACCCACGTGGGACCATGTAGAATTTGAACCTTGGAAGCGAGCGAGTAACTCCGGCCAACTCCATTGTTTTCTTTCACTCCACTATTTTAAGGGGTATACAATATATAATTATATTGTTAACGATATATACATAGCCTGACTGGTTACTTTTATTGGTGGCGAACATAGCGTATTCTGCTAGGCATTGCAGATCGTTCCGATTGATCCATCAACGTCTTTTATCCCCACTATTCACAATCAAAATTAGCGACCGTGCAATTGTGTATCTAGAACACGACAGTAATATGGGGGCCAAACTTAACTCGGTACTTTGTAATAGAGTATATCCCGTAAACGCCGATACGGAGTTCTCATATATTGAATACGAGCACCTCTCCTTTGATTTTTCCTCTGTTGTCGACTCCCTTGATCACACTCTATAGACTCACCCTCAATGGCGGGGGAAGTCGATTTGAGTGAGTCACGGGTCACGACCGTGACTGTGTGTTATTCGATTCCCATTCCATTTATGATTTTGTTCACCGGGCTTCGACTTTTTGTGATCTTACGGCCCTCATCAAAAACCCCTATAAACTTTGATGACTATCTGATTACTATTGCGACGGTCTGAGCCAACTTTTTTGTTCTATTATTCCCCTCCTCGCTGATTATGTTCTTTCTGGTCTTGCTGTCGTTGAAGTATCTGAATTTCTAATACTACTACTTGGTGTAGGCAATATCAGTTGGATTATGTATAAGTGGCTTGGTTTATGGTAGGTTTTTATGACAGGATTTGTATTGAATGAAGCGTGAGCTAACCTGTATTATTGCATATAGGTCCACCATATGGCTTTGGTAGACATAGAGCTGCTCTCAGTGAGAAGGAAGTCGAAGGTTTTATGCGGGTGATTTCAGCATACTGACCATATATTAATTTACATACTAAACATTCTGCATTCTTAGGGTGACTATGTCTTCAGCCATTTCTACGACTGGGCTATTGCAAGCATTAAACTCTCGATTCTTGGGCTTTACTACCGCATTTTTAGCACGGTTGTCTTTCGCCGAGTTGTCATCGGTACCGCAGTCTTTATCTCTCTCTGGCTCGCAGCCATGGAGATCGGCCTAGGTCTAGAGTGTATCCCCATTGAGAGCGTTTGGGATGCGGATGTTGAGGGGGCTTGTATAAATCTGGTGGCATTCTCCTACTTCACCAACATTACGAACCTGATCACCGACATATGGGTGTTTCTTCTTCCCCTGCCAATTATCTTCGGGCTGCACATTAGTCGAAGGCGAAAATTCGAGATCGCAGGTATTTTTGCCATCGGTCTACTGTAAGTTATCCTCGCCACTCTCTGGTAGTTTCTTCTGACCTGTGTAGCACATGTGGCGTCACTCTTGCTCGCCTAACCGTTGTGGTCTCACAAGGATCGGAAGACTTCACTTGTAGGTCCAAATAGAATGCCCGCAGCAGCCAATATTCACATAACTGATGGAAAAAACAGGGACCGGTGTTCCTCTCGGAATTCTGTCTGTATACGAGCCATTATGTGGAATCGCTTGTGCGAACCTTCCCTTTCTATACAAACTAGCAAGGGGATTCTTCAAGAAACCATCTTCTTACGATACCTCACACACAGGGGAGTCAGGCCCCGGAGCAGGATATAGAGCTAGGCAAAATAGCTCAAGAAGGAATAGAAGATCAGTGAGTATGCATAGTGAGGGGAGGATACTCACACGGAATGCGAATGATTCGACAACATTGATTGACATACGATCCAACCAACATCCTGAGATAGAGCTGTCGATGGTGGAACAGTCATGTTCCATGTTTCAATCAGATCAAGAAATATTAGGGAGATAAATCACCAATTAATATATCGCAAAATAATGTAATTACTCCGAGCTTCCGAATACATTGATCCTCGCAGCCAGGACGACGGATAGGCCGGCGAAGTATCGGAAAAATCCATCTTGGACTACCAAGCCTAGGCTATCTAATTTACCTACGCCCCCCACCATACTCCCAGCGGTAATTATATGAGTGGATAGTACGGATTAGTCGATAAATTTATAGTTTGCGGTTCGTGCAGTCCGATACAGTGTATTTCAAACCTTCGTACATATGGATTGGGGCTTTATGTTACCTACACCAGCCCAGTGACAGTCGATCTTCGACATCTGATGGTCTCTAAGAGAGCCAACACTAATTTTAGTAATATATATGGACATAGGACTTTCGATCCTCATTATGACCAGCTGATTTATTAGACATTACTCCGTATAGCAGGTACTCATGTACAAAATACGGAGTACAAATACAGAACTGGGGATATTAGTAAGCAATTCAATTAGCGTGGACCCGTGGAGTGGACTCCCGAGATCGGTGCCTAGCACAGCCATGGAACGACTGATTAGGGCCGTTCCGAACCCAATGCTGCCTAGGATATGGTACCAGAGACCGTGGGAAACAAGTCAAAATAAACTAGCAAGGCAGTAGAACTTCCAAGGGATCACTGGCCAGTCTTTGCGATCGCGGATATATTCCGTAAATTCATGAACATCTCGAAGCCGGCTGTATATGAAAGAATTGTGTCAGAGACTCGTCCTGCTCGTGGAACTACCGGCTCCTAGCATACCTTTTATCGCTAACTTACAAGTCGTTGCTATGATCGCGCAGTGGTACTAGAGGGGTCGACAGCAGCCCCAGCAGCCCTGTGTGGACAAACCCAGTCAAAATTATGCGGGTTGAAAAGGATTGGTTAGTTAGAAGACAAACCTCGAACCCTGAAGCCCTCTGAGAAAAAGATAAAAAGACACGTTCAGTATACCATCGAGATGAGAATAAAGAGGTCGGAGATAAAAGATCTTACCTCGCCATATGGACAACTCGGCGGCTCCGCAAGGCACTCAGCAAGGCAGATCGTGGCTTGAGATTGATCAATGAGTGCCAGACAAACGATCGCAAGGATCAGGGTCGGAAAACGTAATATTCTTGCAGCCATCAAGATTGAGAAGTGATTTCAGTCTAGACAGGTTTATGGAAGGAAGATAAAATAAGGACACAGTGTTCTGGCTTAAGTGAGAGACACATTTTTGTCATAATAGAAGCCTATCAGGACCCTGGTAACTACTGAAGGCGCTAACGCAGGGTATCAGGCATACCTACATTAGGCGCTTATATGTGTGGGTGCCTAGAGCAGCGCAGGCAAATACTATACGTTCTTAGGTCCGTGATTAAATGCTTGTTTTGCTATTTGAACAGAAATACGTGTGTGCATGCATCTTCCTTGAAATTACCCTAATATGATATATAATATACCAGGGAGCTGTGTAGACCACATATTTTATACCAGAACGGAATGACCTACTCAAAGATACCATACATTTCAAAACAAAACACTATCCATATAAGCTAAAACTGCTACCTAGACAAGCGAATCTCTTCGAACATTGGCTAACGGACACCATTGAGAATTCAGGTGCAGTCCCCTGGTGTGGGATCTGGGTTAAAATGAGATGGAGGGTCAAAGCGCTGTCTAACGAGATCCAGCACCAGACCAGCCGTATGTCCCATGTGCTCTGCCAGGTGCGTTTTTAGCTCCTCCCAGGAACTAAAAACACTGCCGCAGAAGCGGCAGGGCTCCTGACTCACGGCGTGTTCAGTTTCGTGGTGGCAGTCATCGACCATCTTCTCAAGAGGGTCTAATTCCCGCTCATGCATGCCATCGGATGAACAGCCTTCTGTCTTATTAATTTCAGGTCTAGGCATCTTATGCGCCCTCACCAAATGCTGAACAAATATGGCCCTGCTGGAGAAAGGCAAGCCAATGAGATCACAATTCGCAAATGAGCAGGTCCACCACTCAAGTTGTCGATGGCGCTCATTTTCGTGTAGGGCCCAGTCGGCCTCTCGTTTAAAGCATTTGGTGTCAGCACACTCGGGGAAGCTGCAGATAAATGCCTGTAGATCTTTGTGGACGTGCTTAGACCAGTCGGATGGTTTTTCAATTTTCTTCACTTCGAAACAGATAGGGCACTCGAATTTGGCGGGCAAATGTCTGACAGGTGGCATAGGAACACCGGGAGGAAACTGAGCTACCGAGACTATATCGTCTGGCTGGTCAAGGCCCTTACTGGAATCAGGGATTCGAAGCTTTGTCTGTTCAATTTCGGAGTCGGCATTGCGCGACTGCCACAAGGTGGCTGAGCCCCCCAGTGCGAAACAGTGCTTTCCAGCCTTGCATGTGCGATCGACCATGGCAATTGTGTGTTGCTGTCGTAGCTTCACGAGGTTCTTATATCGGTCAGCTTGCGCATTTGCAAAGCGGTCGATCAGGGCTGGTTCAAGTTGCGGGTTCAACTCCATGATCTGTGCCTTAAAGTTCTCAAATTTCGGTGCGAACATGTACGACATCGAAGAGAAATCCATTACCGCCGATATATCGTCAAATATGTCCAAACCAACGCCATTCTCCACTCTCGGGGGGCCATACTCCCATTCAATGCCCGTCTTGGGTTTTGAGTAATTAAAAAAAAAACTGGTTCCAGTGTCGTGCCCACCCACAGAAATGCTCAATTCCTGGTGGTCTTGGTGTTTATCCTGGCCCGAAGACGAAGCCTTCTTAAGACTCAGCAATCTTTCAGCGCGCCTCAGCTTGGCGATATGCATACCACAGAAGATGCAAAGCTTTTCAGTACTGTGTGAACTCCAGAACCATTGTAAAGATCTGGTTTGGTTGCAGCTCTGGCAACGATGAGTATGGGCCTCTTTCTACAAGAAACGTGGTAGTCAGCCATACACGGTTCAAGAACATAAGATAAACCCAGCAGGGATAAGACCCAGGAACAGGAAGCATAATACCTTATTAAAAGAAACCTCGACAGATTCGATTTCGCGTTCATCAGGAATTGCTTGTCCGACGAGAAGTGACGGCGACACAGTGGGTAAGAATATTGGTGATGAGGCAGAGGTAGTTTCAGGAGGAGGATAATCGTCTGGGAACTCATTTATTGAGGAAATGGATGGCCTTCGCACATCTTTGCCTTTGCTTTCAACTAATTCACATGGCTCTGGTGGTGAGATGGAACATGGTTGCAGTGATGCGGTCGTTGACGGTTGCCCGGCGTCCATGGCGTTTGGATTCATCGGATTTGTTGAGGTCTTTGAGTCACGCAGCGAAGAGTCCTCCGCTGGCGATTCAAATGATGGTGTTAAATCCAATAACCCTCTGGTGTAGGTTTTGATATCTGCAAGCAGTTCTTCAAAGTCTTCAACTTCGGCTCCGTCGAACTGATCATCGCTTTCATCATTACTATCATCGGAACTATCCTCATTCTCTGTGGTCTTGTGCTGATGGGACTTTTCGCTTATTTTCAAAGCATCCTCCGCTTGGAGTAATTTCGCCTCGACATTTTCCACTGATAATTCAGGATTTTGGAATATTTTCTTATATCCACAGCCTAACTTAATTAGAAATTCTCGCCATCTAGCTATCTTATATGAAAGAACTCACATTGAAGAATGCTTTTTGTCAAATATATGAGCGTTGACAGTGTCAACACCCTGAGGTCTCGCGATTTGTCTAATCGTTTGTCAAGACCACCCTTCGCGACATCAAAGTCATTGCCCCACACACACAGCATCTGGTACTCATTTCGAAATATATTAAGCCCGCTTTTGGTTTTCCTATCGCTCCTTGCAACTTTAATCAATGATTTGTAGGACATGACACAACAGTTGTAGAGATCCCCAATAGCCCTAGGATCACTTGAGTTGGCCCTTGACTGTTGGGTCAATTCAACAGACTGGAATATTTGGACTTCAGACGGGTTATGAGACACAGTTGCTGAAGTAGTGACCTCATTATTTGGCGAGTCATTCAGGTATGACGGTTGTGTCTTATAGTCCATCTTTTGAAACTTATCGGTTAAAGGAAGCTCGAATTTCCTTTGATTTTGCTATCAGTTGGTGCACAATTTCCACCCAGTGTCGCATATGAAAGCAAAATAACAGTGATAAACTCAGGTCATCAAAATTTAAGCCATAATGCGTTGATGAGGCTATGCTAATAAAATCGCATAGCCACATTGCGGGGGCGATGCAACACAGCCTTGTTTCGCCTCGCTGACCTGACCTTGATGCGTCCATATGCTTGTACTCGATCGTATTAATTGAATTGCTGTATAGAAGAGAACACGATTCCTTTTCTTCAGATCTCCATGCTCAATATTACTTTCTAAAATGAGTGGCCTAGAAATACCTGGCCTTGTGTTCGGCGTTTTACCTGTTTTTGTTCAAGTCCTCCAAAGCTACCGCAATATCCACGACACGCTACACACTTTCCGGCACTATTCCCGGGAAGTGAAAAGAATCAAGAACCGGTTCAGGGTACAACAACAGAATTTTCAAAATGAATATAGCCTGTTGCAATATGTGATTGCTGGAGAAGATGGAGAGGATGATCTCCAAGCGACGTGGACTAGCGACCATACGGCCCGGAGAAAAGCTCTTCTAGAAGAACATTTGAATAAACGTATCGATGACAGCTATGAAACATTTACAGACATTGTCAATGACACAAAAAAGGAACTTGATGAGATGGAGGAAAGCCTGAAGGCCTTCAGTGTCTTGAAAAGTGAGAAAAGACCGGTACGGATTTGAATACGTCCCAGATATCCTCCCTTCCACTCACTCTTAAACAGCATGAAAAATTAAAGGCTACGATATTCCGAGTACGAGACTCAATTACAGTAGTCTTCAACAAAAAACGCTACGAGACGCATCTGACAAAGCTGCGCGAGAGTAATATGGACCTACATACCTTCCGAATGCAACTTGATGAGCTTTTGAAGAAAAGATCAAACACCTTCAGTCAGCCGCAAGTTCGCAAATTTTTGCCTCGTCATTATTCCTCGGTTCAAAAGGTATCCCAAACACTACACGAAGCTCTGTCTAGTGCTTGGGACTGTTCATACTCAGGTCACGAAACCCATTACGGGAAGCTCTGTGTCGAAGCTCAGGTGCAGGATATGGTCAGACTTGATATGGCACTGTCTTACAAAATGGGCCAGGATGACAACCGCTCAAATCTACTGTGGGTATTACTCTAGACTGACCATTAGCTCCTAGTTAATCTGGTAGTCTAGTAGGAAAGATGATGATCATATTTGGATTTACGTCCAGTCGGCCAAAATTGAACCCAAGTTTACTGATTTGATGCGACAAAATTCGGTGGACGACGCACTTCCTTCTTCCGATACCCCCTCAGTGACTCTTTGTCCAAGTCAATCAAATGCAAATATTTCTTTTGCCCTTCAGCCTGTCGCCCAGCCCCAATCATCCAAGAGACGAAAGTTGCAATTTGCCGGTGATTGCACATTATCGCAATCCTCTCCTTATGTCTCCGCTGAAGCTTTCAACTTGCGACATTCCACTAAGATTCGAAATCTCTGTCAACATATAGAAAAGACAGCTCATTCTTCGAAAGCCTGCGGATCTGGAGAATGCATTGGCTATCTTGAAACACCTCGACTCTTCAAGCACATTTTTTATTCTAGTGAACAACGAACATTCGGAAATTCCACGGGTACAGAAAGACGCCTTACTCAAAAGGTAGTTAATCTCGAGTACCTACTTCGAGTCACCAACCGAGAACCCGCTTTGGTAGACACAGGCTCCAAGTTCAAGATCGCCCACAAGATGGCAACTGCCGTTCTCCAGTATCACTCTACTCCATGGTTACGGGAAGACTGGCGACTCAAAGATCTTGCCTATTTTGGCAACCTACAAGAGCTATCTGACGAATCATTACGCACTCTCCATCTCACATTCCGCTTCAACCAAAGCGACCAAGATCCAGAATCAACATGCACACGATGGGGATCTATTATGTCATCAGATTCCACATATTCCAGTTTGGAAAGTATTTACTACCGATATGGGATCAACAATGCAGTCCTATTCAGCCTTGGGGTTGCTCTTCTCGAGCTGGCTTATCATCAACCTTTGGAACTAATGTGTGGTACGCAAGATTATATTGCAGTAGCCCGCAAAAAAGCAAGGTCGGGTTATCCCTTGGGTCGGAAGTACCAGAAAATTGTTCAGCAATGTCTACAGTGTGACTTTGGTATGGGGTCTGACTTGACAAAAACGGAGCTGCAAACTGCTATTTATGGGAATGTGATATGTTCTCTGGAGGAAATGATGAGCTCTCTTTCATTGGACTGAGTGTTACGTAGTGCTGTCGGTATCACAGCCGAGCGTCGTTGGTTTAAAAGGACAGGCATTCAAAGAACCATCCATTCCGCTAATTCACGAATTACCTTATTGTTGACATATATCTTCTTGCTACCTTATCCACAAGAAGCTCTATATAGTCCCACGATAGACACAGGAAATGCCATCATTCTCCAAATGGTTCTCTCTAGGCGGTATAACGCCTATATATAACACTCTCCTGTCTCAGGCCATCTCTGTATATCTATGGACAGTGACCGAAAATTTGACCTCCACAGGATTTACATCTCTTCCATTTTTTTTCGACGTCACAACTGAGAGCTAGTCTACTATGAAAAGTTAGGTCGTTAATTTAGTATTTTACCGGTGGTATTGAAGGGAGGATACCGAAATAACTGTATAAAATATGTTCCATAAATACCCCAGTGCAACCCAAGAAAACTGCGAATCACATGTGCCTGTAGAGGCTGGGATAATGTTACCATGAACATACATTGTTATCCATCCAATAGTCGTGGGAACCAGTAATCATCTTGACTGTCACTCATCCTCCTATTTTTCCTCGCTGAAAGTGGAATTCAGTGTAATTGGGTAATTCCAAAGCTTACTGGACTTGCACAAGTTGACTGTTGTCAAATACCACCAGTCTTGTGTGTAATCGTCCTGTTTTGCTCTCCGGTTTTTGATATCCCCTCGTCGCCACACGACTTGCTTTTTATCACTCGGCACAGGAAGTCGGAACAGTGGGGAGAGTTCTTGAGGCTGGCGGCTCGATTCCAATGTTGGGGCAAGTTCCAAAGCTTGAAAGCTGGTCGGAATTACCTTGTTCTTCCAGGCATCAAATATTTCATCTGCTGAATACTGCAAAGCTTTGATGCAAAGGTCTCTGGTGACAATGTTGGCCTTGTCAAGTAGGCGCTTATCGCCGTAGACGCGAAAGCTGGTCTTGTTTGAGTTCGTGACATTCAAACCAATCGCGCAGTCTTCATCGTGCATGTACTGGAATCAGAGTCAGCTCAGCCAGTCTCATAAATTATGAAAGAATCGTAAGGCACAATACCTTTGCACACCAATCAGCAGACAGATTTGGCGGTGCATGCAGAGAGCGGCGAGGGGTACGAAGATGGCCAGCAGAGAACAAATCTTCAAGGAAGTGATCTGCAAATGCGTTCATCCCATAAGCAAGGTGCAAGTCACTACCAGCACTACACGCATACTGGAGCGCTGCTAGGTGGCCCGTATTGTATGCTTTTTGCGCATCCTCCCCAAAATGATCCCAGTTGATGCTGGCAAGCATAGGATAGCTCGGAAATCCACTAGGGCGGGTAAGGGTCAGAAAAGTGAGCTTGGCGTCAATATTAGGCAATTTAGGATAGACGGTTGAGGGGTCTTCTCCTCGAGCTGCAGCTTCATTGACAAGTTTCACTTCCTCTTGTAGGAGATTTAGAATGTCAGTTGCTTCCTTCGGCTGGCGGTGGGTATCTTCTGCCAACCAAAACCAGGCATCGAGAAACCGTTTGGCCTTGTCCGCAGGATTCCGACCATCACTGATAGGCCTGTCGGTTCCATAAAAGTCTCCAGCAAGGCCGTTTATTTGGCCGTACGTAAGACTCAATCCGTTTGGCAACTTGAGTGGTGTTTTAGCCGCCTCTTGGGTGCCACCATTTTCTAGTTTCAAGTCGATGATATCACCCAAGAATGAATGCTCGGCATACTCATAACCTGTTTGATGTGGGATCAGTCAATTAAGCTATGTATACTAGTTTCAAGGAAGTCCTACCCGGCATGCCATTTTCAGGATTTGATGGCATGATTTGCGTGCTGATTTTCGAGATGCGTACCTCGCGGAAGGTGACAGTTTCACCTCCGTCACCATCACCAGGTATGGCGATCTCTGGTTCGGTTTTGATTCTATCAAGTCAGTAATTAGACTTGTTGAATAGGTTTCATATCATACGGTTCACTCATTTCAAATATGATAGCAGCTTGAAAAGAAATGTGTTGGTCCGTAAACAATTGTAGCAAAGTCCATAAGATGGCGATTAAAAGCCCATATTTATAACTGCATTTCAGCTTGCTAGGATCAATGGTAGATGTCATAAAGCTACCTAAAATCCCTTGGATTTGGATGACAGCCCGTTTTCGCCATATGCATGACATCTATGATGGATGTCATAAAGCTACCTAAAATTCTTGGCTTTACATGATAGCCCGTTTGCGCCATATCCATGGCATCTACGGAATCTACGATAGCTATAATATGGCCTTTACTATGTGTGGGGCCTTCACATCTGCTCGCAGCGTAAGTAATGTTTCTTGACTCGTTGTCTTGGAAACTAGTGATAATAAAAATTGAGATCTATACATTCAGAATCCAATTACCAATTCCATGGCAGTGTTACCTTGGGCCCTCAATTGCACGCTTTTTTTCTTATGCAATGCCAAGTGATCTTAATCAAGAATTATGCTTAGGGGGCTGCTAGATGGTCGAGTGTCATTTATTTCTTCATTTTTCGGATCAACCCACACAGACATCAAGGTACGGTCAGCAACAGATCTTCATTCCAAATATATTATTTGACAAAAGAACGTATAGGGGACTGGTGGGAATGTCAAGTTTCCTTTCGAAGCCTCAACACGCAAGACGGGAGAACCGGCGTGACGAAGCTTTCACCATACAATGATGTATATTCCCCCGGCAGCGGTGGTAAAGTCTACTTTACGTTCCACATTACGGGAACGACTACTGTTGCAGAGAAGCCTGTGAATTTTGACGAATCCGGTTGGATTTCTGTATCGATCACCGAGTTGGGGGGCTTCGGCGCCGTGACTATTCGAATATCGCGTAATACTAGCCTAGCAATGATCTTCCCACTGCCGAGATGCCAGATACCATAAATTTTGTCTTTACAGTAAATCCAAGCACCAAAAAAGCTGGTATAAAGCCTACAACTGCTAAACAAGTCGCCCGAATTGCGCTCGATTACGCCATAAAGGGAATTCTCTGAGTCAACGAAAATTCGTTCCGCTGGGCAGTCGGCAAACTGTGGTGATGACGGTACCGAAGACTGGTTCAAATGAGATATGTGATAGGACCCCTGATTTAGATGATCCTTGCAGGTTCTGGGCTGGGGTTGCCTTGGTGCAACATTACATAGCCCAGAAATTGCTCCAGGGTTATAAGAGACCCCTAACATAACTGCTTTCACGGGGTTCATGATTGACCAATCAAATAAGAGTATTGTGCCTCGTATAATCCAATCATAATTGGGAACGTTGAGTTGCATTCTCTCTTGTATAATCTATAGAATAGAGGTTATAATCTACAACATTCTAACTGAACTATGCAGGCCCGGCCCGCTTGTTGCAGATCTACCCGCATGCATAAATGCTCCAGACTCTTTGGTTCTAGTTTTAGGATGATCATACTGTTTCTTTGCCATGAAATCACATAATGTAACGGCCACAGACAGCAAGGGTGCAAAGTTCCTCACTTGCTTGTCCTCCTTGGTCGTACTACGTCTACGATAGATTCAAAGACTTTTTGTCAAAGCAGTGACTGTTTGCATGCTCATTTAGTCCACGGTAGCGCGGTGCACACTTGCATGGGCCATTTTCATGCGATCAAGCCTAGCTCTGGTATGAGGTTAGAACGTAGCTCCTGGATAACTAAACATGTAGTTGTACACTACGTCATAAGTAATTTGCTGCATTCTTAGAATATATTGACATCTCTCATATGCTATGAAAGGTAGCTTCGATAGTTGGAGTTTGCTTGTCTCATTACAGGATATTCCATCACCAACAACCACCAACTTTTCCGCCGCGGACTTATGCTCATCACTCTACAAGCCAGCCAGATTGAAAGTATGTTGCTGATATTTCAGGGGTCTAAATAGGTTTTACTGACGAATTACCACGGGAATGGCTCCATTAATATCATTTTTCGTACTTTGTCTGTTTCTTTTTGCAACAGCAAATTTTGCAGTTGGCCCAATGTGAGGATACAATCGCTCGTTGGAGGCTTTATCTTCACCCTCTCCATCAGGGGTGTGGTTTACTTCTTGCCTGTCAGGAGAGGTTGTTGCAGATGACGCAGCAACCGCACAAGGGGGACTTGCAGCTGCTCTAGCTATTATCGGCATACTTTGTACACACTCGACCTTATTACCAACAGTAGTTTCATTTTCTGAAAGAAGAAAAGAAACAGCACTATGTCTAGTAAAACTTTGTGTTGGGAGGAAGTCCCTCCTTTTGATCTTCCTCCTAATCACATCATTAGGGACAAATCAAAATCTCAGAGGAATAATAAGACATACCAGATGTTTTCCGAGACTTTTGAGAATCTCAAATTCAAACTTGCAGGCCTGCATTGGTTCAGGAGAGTGAATCCCTATGGCCTGGTCCTGAAGTTCCTTCGTTGGGAAAGTTTCTGCGACGTCAAAATCCATCACGACCACCCTCTCCGGAGTTCCAGGTACGATGAGTATGTTTTCTGGGTAAAGGTCATTGTGGACAATCAAGGCCTCGTGAACTTGGACAAGTGATTCCATCGCCTTAGAGAGGCGCTCTTTCGAGTAATTAACGCAATTGAGGGGCTCGGACCCTGCCAGGTATTCCAGTAAGATGGCGCTGGGGTGGAACTTGTCATTCAAAAAACTGTCGAGCCACGGTTTGTGACAGGAAGGATCAATCCGATCAATGGAACCATAGTATTTGGGGACAAGGCCACTGTCACAGACGTCAAAGGAATGAAGGTTGTTATAGGCCTTGGCTTCGTTACGGAAGCGGTTGAGATCACGGCCCTTCTTTGTAAATACTGGATCGCCATGGTCATGGAACTGCAACAGTAGTGCGACTCCTCGGGAAAGTCTAGAAAACTAGGATACACACCACCTTCAGCGCATAGCGGTTGCCATGGAGCTCTATCTCAAAGATCGATGAGGCCTCTGAGCTTCCGAGCTCTGCTTTAAACTGTATGAGAGACAGATCTGGACTAGTAATCTGGGTAGTCATGGCTATATGAAGGTACTGAGGTGACGGTTCAGAGATTCAAGGGGACTGGACTCCAATAGGTTGGCGCCACTTTTGGCTTTGATCATATTGGCCAATTTCCTTACCGCTTGTTTCTTTATTTTTTTATTTCAAATAGGCATGATAGTATTTTTTTATTGCAGGGGGCATGGCACCGTAATTTCAGATGGCTTCATTGCTAAAATCTGTATAAATAATTTATACTCGCAATATGGCTTGTAGCCATGATGTACGAAATCATTCGTTCAACACAAAGATTTAACAGTGGATAATACTACACAGAAACAGTCTTTGAAGAAAATATAAGAATTCGCTAGTCCGCATATCACCTCCATCATCAACTGCTCACCCCTCAGGGAGCGACTCAATCCGAATGGCCAGTGTCAGGATTCCACTGACAGCTGCAAGTCACTCCGCATCTGGACAACACAAAAATAATGGTTTTCATCAGTAGATACAGTAAAGCCCTAGCAAGGTAGAGCATTACAGCGCCAGCCCGGGAGTTGGTCAATGGGTGCGTTGCCACAAAGACTAGAGGTAGCAGTACAACTAGCGCGGGAATGATGAAGCAAGTGTGGAATAGCAAGTCATCGATGATCGGATTGCAAGTGGTGTGTTCGAATTCCGCAGGGAAATGCGGAGAAGGTTGGTGAGGGAGATCAGTTTGAGCAATTCGAAATCTGAAAGCGTACTTCGATGCTTTCGCAGTGGACGTACCAGGCGCAGGTCGGGGCCTGTGAAGCGAAAATGACACAGCAAGAAATGCAGGGGCGTTCTGCTCTGTTTTACCCGCAATGGTCGAACCATTTGAAACATGAGCGTCGGCTACATTGTCGGCTACATTGCCAGCTCCCACTGCCCGAGCATCACCCCCCGAGCCAGCACGAGTGGAGAACAGTGCTTGACGTGTTTCATGATATGGCAAGCTGGAAGTGGACGAGAGATGCCTATCATAGTTCTTTGGCATGCGAGCTGCCGAAGACTGTGTTATTTTTGTAGGGATGTCGTATGGTGGAGATTGTTGAGAGTTTATGTAACGGGTGATGTTCCATTTCCGGTATTGCTTCTTCTGTCGATGCAAAGCAATATAATCCTGCCTTCTTTCAATCGAGGGTAGGGGGCGGCGTATAGCGCGAGGGGGCGAAGAGAACGAGGCTGGAGGAGAAAATCGAACGGATCGCAGCAGTGAACGTGAATCGCCGAATTTCTTGGAGTTACCATTTCTGCCTGGCTGATGGTTCGCCAGGGCAGCAATAGGAGGTTTGATCCACTGCTCGCGGCCAACGGAAAGGCGTCGCAACTTGGATGGTTTGGGGGATTCACTTCCATCGTCTTGACTAACAAAGCTTGCCTCTGGCGAATCTTGGAAGCAATCGAAATTGAACTCCCCTATCTGAGGATCTGGACTCGTCCGTAGGTTCTCCATTTTGTAGCAGCGAAGGGACTCAGGGGATTCCTCCCTGCTCCCTCGTGATGCGGGTGTGTTTTGGGGATTCAAGGGTTCAGCGAGACCATCAAGAGTGTGGTACTTATCGACATCGACATCTAACTCAAGTCGAGGACATTGTCGGCTGGAATCGAAACCACGGAATGACTCGCGAGGTTCGAGGAATCGGTGAGTTTGCTTTGGGTTTATTTCTGCTTCTGTCTGACTGCCTGGCTGTCTTTTGTCAGTTGCATCAAACCCGGTGAATGACGCAAAGAAAGGTGAAAAGCAGCCATCCGTAGGTGGGTCCGTCATCCTCAGTCGAGTATCAACCACTCCGAGAGGGTCTGACTTGAGTGATTTAACGAATACCATCTCTGCACGGTCAGTCGAAGATGAAAGTCGATTGTCGCTGGAGATGAGACGGGGAAGAAGTCATGTGCCAAACTTCCAAGCGTGGAAGGTGCGTACCCGCCTCTAGTGTACAAAACGCAGATAGAAGAAATGACATAATAAACAAGTATAATTAGAAAGAAAAGGAGAATTGTTATAATTCTACAGGTTCATGGTTGGGGCGATAATGGTTATGTACATCAAGTCTATTTGACGTGAGCCTGCAGGGTCTCGAGAACCTGTTCAAGAAAAGTCAGTATTTAACCAGTCTAATAGTTCCCGCGGGTTCATACCTCAAGCTCAATCTTGGCCTCAGCGATATCCTGCTCGCTGCCGCTGCCGCTGGCAATCTTCTGGGCCTCGGCGATTTGGGCGCGGATGGACTAGAAAGGAAGTTTCAGTTAGCCCGAGTCGCAACGTCGCGAAGAAAAATAACCTACATCGGCGCTGAAATCCTCAAGGGGGAAGCCCTCAACAGCGTTGATGCTGAGCTGGGAGTCGGGCTGGACAACGGCGAAGCCACCGGACACTATACAGCAACACATTGTTAGCTGGTCGATTCCAATTGACAAGAGACCAGATTTGCGGAATGTCTCGGGGGGGTGAAGATCGGACGTACGGAAGTACTGCTTGGTGGCACCGCTCTCCTCGATGATCTCAACGAGACCGGGCTGGAGCTGCTCGATGGAGGGAACGTGGTTGGCGAGGACACCCATCTCACCGGAGGCGGCGGGAATGTTGACCTGGGTACTGTGATCGCGAAGGTTGGTCAGTATTTAGGGAAAGGGCGCAGGCACCGTCGATGCAAGTGGAAGCATAACATACACGCCAGTCGAGCGGTAGATGGTCTGTCAGGCAATCATCAAGTCAGTACTTCGGCTATCATGTTGGAATGCCGGCCGGAGTTCGTTCACGCACCTGGTGAGGCAGAGTCAGGGACAGCTTGATCTTGTCGGCGACGGCCTCAGCGTAACCACGGCGCTGGACGGGAGCACCGAGGAAAGAAGGGCGAGCCCGGAGGGCGGAGCGAGCGAAGCGGAAGGAGCTCATTTTGCAGTGGTGGATGACGTGCAAAGGCTGGATTATCCCTCTTGAAGTTGCGGTGCAAAGGTCGAAGTCGGAACGCCGGTTGTTCCCTAGCGGCTAGTCACGTGGCACGGAAATTCAACGGCCGGACTATGGCCAGTATGGGCTTTGTTGACTACGGCCATTTTACGCATGCTTTCATGAGAATGCAAAGTGAAAATATATCATTTCAATTACTGCTCTATGTATTTGAGCAGCTGTCCATTCTGAAATCCAATTTCTTGCCAGAATTCCGAGTTCAACGGTGAAATTTTGACGCCAAGAACAAGTTGGTCTGAAAATTCTCTGGTAATCAGGCACAGGGTATTGTATTTGAGTACTGGACTTGCTGTTGTCATGTGGCCTCGGAATTGAAATAAGTCTTCCTTCATACCCCGTACTCCGAGACAGCAATACTTTACTTCCAGATGGGGAAGTATATCATCACGTGATGTGAATGAAGCTATGTCACGTGTATGTAAATGGCAGAACGAGGTGAAAAAAAAGTCGCAGATTGAAGAACTGCCAAAAGCATTTTTAAAAGGTCAAATTTTGTATTCTATATAAAACTCAATGAAATAAAATAGGAGACAAGGTCATATCAAAATACTACCACGTTGTCTAGGACAATCTGACAAGTAACAAGCCATCTACTGACGTTCTAGTATGTACACCGCCCGATAAGCGAGATCCCACAAACGGAACGAGCCCTAGCCGAGCATCTTAGGCCTGACGTCCCGATTCCCACTCCTCTCCATCCATCACATCGTCAATCAGAGACAACATCCGACAAGATGGCCAGTACGTTTTTACCACGACCCTAAGACCTCCGTTTCTCTACAAGCTGCGAGAGAGAAAAAAAAGGCGATGGCGCTGACATGATTTTCACCCACAGAGTCCAAGAACGCGTCTCAGCACCACAGAAGCCAGAAGGCTCACCGTAACGGGTACGTTTACCCTTGAACTTTCTCGATCAACCTCTCATTACATTTTCCCGACATTTTTCAATCGATTCAATGGACACGGTGGAAGAAGAGCTAGTATTTAAATGGATTTATCCGGTGTGATAATTTTGAGGTCACAACTCGAATATTCGCTCGGGCAATCTTTTCGAACTACTGCATTCAACCACCATCCGTCACACCATTTCAGCGAGAACCGAATCGCTGATATATTTCCTCGAATAGTATCAAGAAGCCCAAGACCAACCGTTACCCTTCCCTCAACGGCGTTGACCCCAAGTTCCGCCGCAACCACCGTCACGCTCTCCACGGCACCATGAAGGCCCTTGTACGTTGACCACAACCCGAACCCAACACCCACCACACATGGCACGGAATACTGACCCATTGAACAGAAGGAGCGCAAGGAGGGCAAGCGTGAGGTCGCATAGATTATGAACTCAGTCTTAAAAAAATGGGAAACATGAAATGCAACTCGAGCGTGCAAGAGGTCCACAGAACATAACGTGTGTCACGATCTAGGACGGTCCGCTGTGTCGAATAGGCCTGGTTTCTGCTTATTCCTTGCGCGACAAGCCTCGAGTCGTTTGATATCGAGAAATCAACAGGCTTAATTCGATGTGCACAGCGGTGCCATTTTCCCAAGCGGAATCTCTTCTGCTACTTCCTTTTCTTTTTCCTTCCAGACTCGAGGGCTCGACTTAGTCTGTGTTGTGGCCCTTGAGCTTAGTCTCCCATTTCCCCCAACCCCCGTCCGGCATATGTGTGTACAGCTGCGTGCTTTTCTCATGCGCGATTGCTGAAGGATTTTTTCTTAACGTGCCAAGAATAACCTCCAAGTCCCCGATTGCTATATATCCTGTCTTGATTCTTCTCGATCGTGACAGGGTTCATGGTCAGGGGGCCTACATTCCGTAAACCGTAACAGTTATCTTTATACTTAGACATGTTTGAATCAACTTATTTACGTCTGCTTTACATTTACTTTCACGGGAATATTCGGCCGCTTATACAGCCCTGTCAGGTCGTTTTGATAGTAATTTTTGGCAGTCCCTTCAGTAGTCCTTCTAGTAGTCTTTTTCAAGTGTCTTTTAAGATGTCTGTGGATATCTTCGAACATTATCTTCTTGATTATAAATTTACCCTATAGTTATGGATATTTTTCCCTTCATTGGTGCTATAGCTAGAATTATACGGATTAGCCGTAGGATACAGGACAGAATATCTACATACAGGCTGTAGAAAACGGCTTTAAATATGCAAAACGACTTTTCCATGTATAAATCGTCGTCGAGAGTGATAACCTCCTTAGGTAGCTCATCTTTAGGCATAGCGGCATGGCTGTGTAATGTGTCATACTCCAGGAATTCCGTCAAAGCTGCATGGGTGTAGTCGTTCTCACATGCAGTAATATCTTCTTGGATGTTCCCAATGAGCTCTGATCAGTTTTCCTAATATTTGTATAGTATTTGACTTTTATACCCACGATAACCCCCATGAGCATATCATTTCTAGGCACGCCACGACACCACCGATATCGAATATAGTCACAAATGTCATACTTTCCAAACAATCAACTTTTTATCAAACCCACCACTGATAACCCATTCCTCTTGAACCGCATCACCCTCTTCCTGGGGTACATCAACATACCCTGACCAAACAGTCCTGACCTTAAATCCCGCTTTATGGCCCCCCTTCAACGTAGCAACGACCTTCCCCGTCTTCGTTTCGATACCACGAACAACACCATCATCTCCATTAACCCAGATCCCAGACCCATCAGGCCTCCACGCCAACTGCGGCGTGGAGTAATCAGTCTGCGGTGCGAAGGTATTCGCCTGCACGAGGATCGCAGCATCCTCACGATTCTGTATTTCCAGCATTGCCAGTGCCTGAGACGTCTGTGTCACCGGGTCCTCTGAAGCGGGTGCCGTCTTCATGGCAGGGAATAGCAGACGCACGATGATGACTTTCATATGGGGCAATGTCGATGTCGCCACGGCCAGTAGGCTCGGGTCGTGTGGACTAAGCGCCATATCGGACGGCGAGAACGCGATCCAGGCATTGGAATGTGGGGCCAGGTTCTGGTTTCCAAGGAGACGAGCCTCCGATGCGTCGACTTTGTAGTAGTAGATATAGGTCGAGTCTCTGCGCGAGACGAGGAGGAGTAGCTCGTTGGTGTCGATATGTGGGACGAACAGCAGTGATTCTGGGTTCGAATTGAGTTCGATGCATGCGACGGGCTCGCCGATCTTGAGAGCTGGTGCGTCTGCTTCATCGGGGATGTTGAGGCAATATAAGAAAATACACTCGTCCCATCCCGCGGTGGCGACCCACCACTTAGATGGATCGGTCTTGTCTTCGTAGGCTACCACCTTCACTGCGTACTTTGCGTGCTCCTTTCTGATTTCCAACGTTTTGGATCCATGCTGGAGGATCAGCTGGCCAGCCATGTTGGTCATGAGGATGTACCGGCCCTGGAGAATCGAGACAAATGATAGAATGGGTGTATCAGAGAGATCGGAGAATGATTTGATCGCCGCATTGTCTTGTGCTTTCTCGAGCAAGTGGACTTTTTTGTCTGCACTCGTGGAGACGATATAAGACTGCGCTGGTGCAGTATCTGCTTCATCCTCGTCGCCGAGGGGCTTCTGCCATTGCTCTACGGACGCAGAAAGGACATTCGATGATGTCGGTGTCTGAACGACAGTGGGTTTTGATGGTGCTAGAGGTTTGTCAGATAACAGAACAAAGCAATTGCAGATAAAGCTTGACATATAAAGCCGAGTCCCAGTGACTGTTCACTGCCACGCCGAGGAATAAAACTCACCTGGCTCGCTCCATAGAGTCGACTGCTGATGATCATTGCCATATCTTTCAAAATTTACGGTTTGGTCAAAGGTGTTCTTCTCCTCGAGCAAGCTTTGGATGGTCCAGTTGTTGGTGTCGTCGCCAGAGGTCTGCCCCACGTCGGAAGCAAGGTCAGCCTCGCGGAGAAAAGCCTTCAATGTATCGGAATAGTCATGGCTGCGCAGGAACCGAGCAACTATAGCATTTGATAGCGCATCTACTGTTCTGGAGGAAGGCATGATTGAATCTGTCGCCTTTGAGAGACTTTGGTTAGGGAGAGAGGTTAGCGCCACTCACGATATCCATGGATTGTTTGTATATATTTTCCAACCACGACTCGTAGACAAATGTTGGTCTATATTTTATATTCAGTTTTTACTTTGAGATTACAGAAGCATGTACGTATCCCACAAGCAGAGCAGAGTATGTGTCATTATGAAATTTTTATCAGACAATCGATTTCCCATCCCATTCGCGAAACGCCGGATATCCATCATGCTCCCATGAAATCCCCTAACAATCAAGCAAATGCAACAGTTCTCAACTTATCGCTTAATCTATTCAGCTGAACATATCCTCAGCCCGACGACGACGACCGCCGCGTCCTTCTAGTGTATCTGAAAACAATTCCTTGCCAGCATTGGGGCCAGCATTGGTGTTATTGTTTGTGTCATCGCCGAACTTGGAAGGGAACAGCTCGCGCACCGACGCACCCCGGCCTTTAATCGACATACCGGTTGATGCTCCGCCACGGATGGCAAACCCTTGGTCTTCGGCAGCTCCACGAATGCGGGCGCCATTGTTGGTGGAATCAGGGAAGAGCTCAATGTTGCTGTGGCGTCTGTGCTCAGAGGCGCCTGGGGCAGAAGAAGCATCAAACGCATCTGACCGACGATGGTGACTCGGCTTGCTAGGCAATAGCTCCTTCTTGATGTAGCTGGATGTGGGCTTGTTCGGGAAAAGCTCGCGGGTTCCCGACTCGCTCGCGCCCGCGCCCGCGCTTGGGAAAAGCTCTTTATCCTTGTTCTGACGGCTGTATCGAGGCGACCTCTCGCGGAACCGCCTGCTATTATCACGACCACCCTGCTCGCCCCGAAGTTCCTCCTCCAGCGTGTCTCGTCCCGGAGACGCACTGCGATTCCGGAGACGTCCACTTGATCGGCCCTCCTCCTCTGGAAACAGGTCCCTCTGGCCACGGCCTCTGGGCTTTCCCCGAGCGCGCTCGGGTTCAGTGCCCACACTATCACCGTACATATCGGCGTTGAAGTCCTCGTCATCGGCGCGGTCTCGGCGGCGTCGGTGTTCCCGGTCGTCGAATCTGCGCCGGCTGTAATCGCCATCGCCTGCATCGTCGCTACGTCTCCTGTCTGCAAATTCTTGGCGCAGACGTTCTCGGGGATCGTGCTCGGGGTGCATGAGGTAGAAGCGGCTCTTTTCATGAGCGCGGGCTTGCTTGCGGTCCGACTTGACAGCCGATCGCACTTGGAGGACGGAATCAGGGTGGGAGGAGAGGACCTTTGCCGATCGGAGACGGAGAGGTGGCAGGGTAGACGCGTCTTCTTCCTCGGCGACTTGGGTGAGAGCTGTGAGGGCTTGGAGGCCAATTTCGGCGGAGGGGAAAATGAGGTTGGCGGATGTGTCGTCGATCCATTCAACGCGCACTGGTTCCTGTCCAGAGCATTCACGGGCGAACTGTTTGATATTTTCTGTGGTCATTTCATCGACGCCGCGAACATGCACTTTTTCGTAGACCGCTTCATCAGTGAGGGGGTCAAGGGTGGGTTCTTGGTTTGTGGTTGTTTCCTAGTACTCGACACACATTAATCGACAATCGATTACGACTATAAAGACAAAGAAAACACTTACCACCTGAATTGGCTCTGGCTGTGGCTCTGGCTCTGGTCCCAGGTCAAGGTCCATGTCGATGTCCATGTCCGCGGTAGGAGCTGAGGCGGCCCCGCTGAATGCCATGATTTGGGCTAGGCTGGATGAGTGGAAGGTTCAAATCAGATCTCAGCCAGCAATTCGAATGAAATTGGCAATTGAGGGGATAGGATTGAGCAATGCAAGGTGAAAACCGTGCCTGCGGTAGCTTGACTCTTTGTCCTGATAAGGAATAGCGTCCTTTTTCCGGGGAACACCAGTCATCCGGCAATATTAATCTCCCATGGACGTCTAAACGGCTAATTCTGGTTAAATGTTGAACCTGAGGACGGATTGCAAATGAACCAAAGGTTATTTGTTTTAACAACTCGGATAATCAAACAAAGAAGAGCGGTTGAAAGGATAGGAATGGGCACATGGTCTCTCGGACATTCTGCCATCAAAGGATGTCTCATAGACATGGAATTTGCTGGCTTACAACAGGACTAGAAAGGCCCAATTGAGGAAATTGTGAGTCAATGTTTGGCTATGGCAATACATTAAGTAAATGTAGCATTGCAAGAGGGTGGGAACCATCTTCCGACGAATCTGATAGACCATCCATGACCCGAATGATTTATCTCTCAGTGGATATAGTCTTCGCCAAGGTCATCCCGAGGTCATATCGTATGGGCTGATTCTATGTGGCAATTGCGGGTTGTGCTTGTTGGAATGAGGCCATGAATAGAGATCTGGTTAGAGCATGGTATATAGTAACCTTCTAAATGAAAATTCCGAGGAAAGTATGGTTGTACCTTAATGTGAAATATGAAGCTCGTTTGATATGGCCTGCAATGTACTATCCGGGGAAGCCCTAACATCTCCTCTTCTCTCCGACACTGCGTAAGCTCTATTTGAAACAGCTCTCTCTGTAGAACACTGCACTCTAGTCAGACATGACTTGAAGAACCCGATGACCATGATATAGCAACAGACAAAATATAGAACACCAGTTAGGTATGTATATATGTATATCCATTTCCTCTTTTAGAAGACGCGGGGTTGGGTTTTTACTATGTGGAAGTTAACTTTAGGCTAAACTCATGATGGAGCTACCTATGATCTTGAGGCGTTTAAAAGGTACATATCTCCACCGCATCATTTCCGAAACCTTTCAATCTCTCTCCAACAAACGAGTGTTGTTATTGGTACCTCATGCTGTGGATCCGGTAATTGTCATTGAAAATAGCCATGGCACAGCATCACGAGTGCATAGTGAGGGGTACACGCCAGTCCCTGAATACTTAATGCCCGACTCTTCCAACCAGACCGCTCATCTGTCCAGCACAAATCAACTCAAACCGGGCCAATTTCTTTCAGAAAACACCAAATTCACTGCTACCAATCGTTCATACCACAATGCTCTTCGCCGAGGACGACAAGCTCGTCTTCCGTTTCGACGACCACATCCTCTGGGTGCAGCCATGGGGCGAGAATGCCTTCCGCGTGCGCGCAACTAGACAGGCGACAATTCCAACAGAGGATTGGGCCCTCTCCTCCAAGCCCTCCAGCCCCAGCCCAACCATCGAGATCTCCGCTGACCAAGAAGCGACTATCACCAATGGCAACATCACAGCAACTGTGTCCCGCCGAGGCAAGCTCATCATCTACGACTCGAAGGGAAATAAACTCCTGGAGGAATATTCCCGCAACCGCAAAGACCCAATGGACCCCAAATGCAGTGCATTGGATGTCGAGGCCCGCGAGCTGCGTCCAATCCTGGGCGGCGACTACCACCTCACCATGCGCTTCGAGTCTCTCGATCACAAGGAGAAGATCTTCGGCATGGGCCAGTACCAGCAGCCCTACCTGAACCTGAAGGGTACAGATCTCGAGCTGGCGCACCGCAACTCCCAGGCCAGTGTTCCTTTCGCGGTTTCCTCCCTCGGCTACGGCTTCCTGTGGAATAACCCCGGCATTGGACGGGCAATTCTGGGAACGAATGTCATGAGCTTTGAGGCGTACTCGACCAAGGCATTGGACTACTGGGTTGTGGCGGGTGACACCCCCGCGAAGATTGAAGAGGCCTACGCCAAGGTGACCGGTTATGTTCCAATGATGCCAGAATACGGTCTTGGTTTCTGGCAGTGCAAGCTCCGCTACACAAACCAGGAGCAGTTGCTCAATGTTGCGCGCGAGTACCGTCGCCGCGAAGTTCCTCTGGATCTGATTGTCATTGACTTCTTCCACTGGAAGCACCAAGGAGAATGGAGCTTTGATCCTGAGTTCTGGCCCGACCCAAGTAAGTTATTCTCTATTTCTACATCACTTGAATAGCAAAGCATGCACTAACATCCAATCCTCAATTCCAGAGGCCATGGTCAAGGAGCTCAAAGAGATGAAGGTCGAGCTCATGGTCTCCATCTGGCCCACGGTCGAAAACGCCTCCAAGCACTTCCCCGAAATGCTCGAGAAAGGCCTCCTCATCCGCCACGACCGCGGCCTACGCGTAGCAATGCAGTGCGACGGCGACATCACGCACTTCGACGCGACAAACCCCGAAGCCCGCGAATTCGTCTGGAGCAAAGCCAAGCAGAACTACTACGACATGGGCATCAAAGTATTCTGGCTCGACGAAGCCGAGCCCGAGTACTCCATCTACGACTTCGATATCTTCCGCTACCAAGCCGGCAGCAACCTGCAGATCGGAAACACCTACCCTAAAGAGTACGCACGTGGATTCTACGAAGGCATGGAGGCCGAGGGCCAGACCAACATCGTCAACCTGCTGCGGTGCGCGTGGGCCGGTAGCCAGAAGTACGGAGCGCTCGTGTGGAGCGGCGACATCGCGTCGTCGTGGAGCTCGTTCCGCAACCAGCTCGCCGCAGGCCTGAACATGGGCCTAGCTGGTATCCCATGGTGGACGACGGATATCGGCGGATTCCACGGCGGAAACCCGTCCGATCCTTTGTTCCGCGAGCTGTTCACGAGATGGTTCCAGTGGGGAACGTTCTGTCCTGTTATGCGGCTGCATGGTGATCGCGAGCCGAAGCCAGAGGGACAGCCCACGGCTGAGGGAGGCGATAATGAGATCTGGTCTTACGGCGATGAGGTTTATGAGATCTGTAAGCGGTATATTTGGATCCGTGAGCAGATGCGTGATTACACGCGCGAGTTGATGCGCGAGGCGCATGAGAAGGGTACTCCTGTTATGAGGACTTTGTTCTATGAGTTCCCGGAGGATAAGCGGGCTTGGGAGGTTGAGACTCAGTATATGTATGGAGCAAAGTACTTGGTTGCGCCTGTCTTGGAGGCTGGTCAGCGTACCATGACGGTCTATCTGCCAGCTGGGGCATCATGGAAGTTCTGGGATGGTGTGTATGAGGGCGGTCGCGAAGTTGAGGTCAAATGCCCGATTGATAGTATGCCTGTCTTTTGCCGTCAATAGATGGCGGACTTAGGACGGAAGACTTGGCAAGCCATATCTCGTTTTTTTCGGTTATATAATTCTACTCTAAATTGTTGCCTCCAAAAGTACTATGGCTTGGAGCTAGCCCCCTCATTTTCTATTTCCCCTCAGTTTAGCTATGTTGGCAGCAGATCCCCCGCGCACGGTGAGCAAGGGATAATATCTCCTTCCAAGTTTGTACTAGATATCAAACATCCATAATGTATCCCTTCCAGCCAAGCCGCTGTTGCCGAATTTATCCCACCAGACTGCATAACCAATCAAGCGGACCAAAAGCTCGACCGCATTAGGAAGGACTACGTCAAATATCAAATACGAATTGCCGTGAAAACAAGCCCCTATCGCATATACCCGTAGACAATCGCCTCCTAAATATCAAACACCGATATTCCTTCTTGCCAAGTCGCCGTCTAGCACACTACTCCGTACTCCGTAAGCGTACTCCGCAAGGAGTGCATATCAATCAAGCCAAATCAAACGCCTCAACTGCATTAGGAAAGACTACATCAAATACCAATTGCCGCGACGAAAGTCCCTGTACTCCGTGCTCCATAGCCTATCCCCAATCCAAGAGCAATACTCGATGCCTCGGGCACCTAAACATAAAACAATGGCTACAAAAAAAAAACTCCACTTAAGCATCGAAGCCCATCGAAACTCAAAATCCCGATTGACGCCAACGTCGAAAACCTTCCACTATTCTAAAACAGACCAAAAAAACCCCTCCAAAAGAACCTTCAAATTAACCTCCAGTAAATAAAAAATATAAAAAAGGCCCCAAACAAGAAAGAGAAAGAGACTACCCCTGACAGAACCTCGAAACAGCCCAAGCCACCACCGGAGCCAGTTACCCAGAAAGGTAAATGAAGGCTCAATCCATGGGTTCCAAGGTTGGGTAGAGCGCTGGGAAATGAGGCTTAGGTATCGGGAAACCCCCGAAGAACGGGGGTTTGCAGGCTCTGACGGAGTACGGAGTACACCATACCCAGTCCGTAGATTATCAGGGGAGAAGGGCGAAAAAAAAAAAAAAAAGAAAAAGTCCACACTGGGCCTTTGTACCGACAGGCGGGTACCTTTCGGCGCTAGAGGTGATTTGGGGTTGGTGCGTGAGTGCACCGAGATTCTCCGTGGACCACTTAGGGGAGTGTATTCTGGGTGGCGGTTATTGCGGCTTTTGTGTAGATTAAAAGTATATTGCATATTGGCACTAGGTTGTTCATATGGAGTACTTGCTCCGTTATTATAGATTGATAATGTGCAATATACATAATGTATTATAAATCAGGGTCCATGGCAGTGGACCTCTAGGGCTGCCCAGCCCTGGAGATAGGGAGATTGAACCTCGGCAAATACGAAAATTCCAAGGTTGAAAGTAACATCCAGCATCCATGGATACTATATTCTCCAACCTTGGGAACGTCCCGCCGATCTCGATCTCGCACATATACTTTATAAGTAAAATGGAACCCAAAATTGAAGCACGGGAGGGATGACTCTATAGGCGATTGTGACTGTCGATCACGAGATCCGGGAGCTTGGAACACAACGGTTGGATAAATCCATGGATCAAGGTGCAACGTGCATATTCACATCCATGGATACGATCATGCTTGCATATAAACAGTCCAAATTAGTTACTCGTATTATGCTATATACCCCTGATCCTTCCCATGGTACATCGTACCTCGTACTTCTTACCTAGGTAGCTCGTATACTTTGTACTTTCCAACGGCTTAAGAAAATCCGATCTGGTCTTGGCGCCGTTTTCCATTTCTGTCATTGTGTGCAGGTGGCTGGTGGTGGTCAGGGCAGGCTCAGTGGCGAGTCGTTGAAACTTTGTTTTCCGTTTTGCTTTGGAAGGGAATTAGAGTTTTGTTTTTTTCTTGGGTTTTCTTTGTTTTTATGTAGTAAATGCTATCATATTCCTGTTTCTACATATAGTACTCTGTACGGAGTATGTAGGAATCAAGAATGTAAATCGTAAATCGTAAATCGAACCCGCCAGGGATACCTGGGTTTCCCGAGTCCTATGGTCCGCATATCTTTAGATCCACACAAGTAGGGCACCAGGTTAAAAGAATTCGAATTCAAAATACGTGGGAACCTGCAGATCCTTCACAATGCCATTGAGGTTACCAGTGTACTCCATACTCGGTACAGTGTACTACGTTCGACTAGAAGATAAAATATAAAATATACAATAAAATAAAATAAAATAATTTTCCAGTAATCACTTTTCTCCCATACAAATGTGGCTGGTATCCCATCACACAGACAGTCAATCTACTCAATCTGATTCGATAGACTGGTACACAATATCCGAATCACCTGAATAGTCCCAAGCTGAACAGGGGTGTAAGGAAGCGCTGGCATTTTCGCCATCGATGTGGAGCTGGAAATGATGATTTTCCGCAGACATGTGTTGGCGGAATAATCGAAATTCGATATAATAGACGATGACGGGTGTATAGTGGAAACCCCCATTCTCAAATAAAACAGAATAAAACAGAAACAATAATCCAAATGATCAAATAATCAAAATAATCAAAACGCTGAAACACAACCTCCTCAGATGATCTACTCCTGATCCCCGATCCCCAACCCCGAGCCCCAACCTCAAAACCCCGAAACAAGAAAACCAAATCTCAACGGTCAAAGACCCTACACAAAAAGCCTCGGGGAAACCGGAAAGCACAACCCGAAAAACCAAACACGGCTTGCATAACATGCACGAACACCTCCACGATCCATGCAAAACCGAACAAAAACCCACAGAGCCCCGCCGTTCATCCAGAAGACACAACCTACACTGCACTGATTGGCCATAAACTCCCAACGCTCATCCCCGTGGATCCGAGCGAGAAGTCACAACAATCTATGGGTACTCCGTACAGGTGTTTTCTGTGCGGGTAGGCGGGAAAATGCAAGGTGTATTGTGGCCTGGTTTGGAGTGGCGTTGGATAAATGTATATTATTATATTAGGGTCTGGAGATGGTTCGCCGTTCCCCCGCTCATAGGGTTTTTCGCTCTCGCTTTGCAATTTGATTTGAGTACATATACAATGTATACGGAGTTCTCCGTAATACTTAATAGTGGTGTGCACAGTATTAACAGTATTAACAGTAACTGTCTGTGTCTGGGGTTTGTCTTGGGTATCCCTTCCACGGCTGTAACTGTGCGCGGAATTCCGTTGTCAATCTACTTCCACATTAGGACGGGAGGGGTTGCGAGAGACCGTTTGATTTTCCATTTTCTCCTGCAGGCCCCGGACGAACCTCTCGAATAGACTTCTTTATTTTTTCTTGTGTGTGTCATGATCTAGGTCTGTGTTTTTTTTTTTTCTTGCCTGTCACTGTGCAGGGTGTTCATGGGTTATGCATTATGTACATGTACGTGTATATGCATTACATCACGTCTGGTGCTCCTTGTTCTGCAGGAAATACAGTATTTGTTAGCATCAGCATCGTGAATGTTTTTCCTGCTTTTACTAAATACAAATACCTACATCGTATATACGACCTATACTTTATACATATGCGCTATTTCACTACGTAGTCTGCAATGATACTACAATACTACAGATCTTCCAAGTTATTCGTACACCACGTTCCAAAACCTCAAACGGGTGGGTCCTTCCGTGCTTAGGCCCTGAGCTCCCTTGCGTCCCGTCCTCGTGAGCACAGCGTGTGCGCCATGGCGTATTCCTGGGAGAACGGGGGTCAACGGTTGGAAGCATATTTACATTCCCTGTGGGATCCCTGTCTATTAGAGAGGCTGGCTGGGTGTGGGAGTACAGTCTTGTTTTTGGTCTGATATGTACGACTTATACGGAAGGTAGGAATAGAGTGCTCGTATCCGATGTAATGTAGATATTATTATTGAAATCAATGCTAAAACAGGGTATTATGCCATCCCAAAAGTAGAGAGCCCAATCGCTCTAAACTGCCTAATAAATAATAGAAAAAAAAATTAGAAAAAAAAAATCATTCAACGTCGAACCGAGCTGAAGCCCAACAGTGGCAAGATCCGAAGCATGGTAATACACATTAAGAGTATACAAAAGAAAATCGTTATCCCTAGAGAACACAAAGGAGCTTTTGGCAAAAATGTACAGGAAGGGTTCCATTAACCCGAGCGTAAAGGGGAATCAACAATATAGAACAAAGGGGAAAATAGGAAAATAGAGAGAAATGAGAATCGTTAAAAAAAAATCATAAATGCAACGCTTTTTTTCAGTTGAGCAAGTTGTTCACTCCCATACGAGTGTCACGAGCAGGCTCAGGTCTGGAAATCCAAGACTTCGGCAAGTCCGTAGGCTGATGCCATGAGGCCAAAGTAGGCTGATGACCCATCCAGCGTTGCGCAGAGGCAATCTCTGACAAGGACTCCAAAGACCGAGGTGGATAGCTAGGCGAGTCCTCTAGCACATGCACACTGGGCCTCCTGATCTCATACTGCGAACGCAAATCCACAGGCAAAGGCAAGAGCTGTGGAGAGGGGAAAGTGCGGGGTGAAGAAGAGCAGACGGAGTTATGATCCGAGACCATAGAAGGCGGCTCGCACGAGGTACCATGTGAGGCCTCTGAGAAAGCCGGCGAGGTGAGGGGTGTTTCGATCGGTCGGTTGATAGAGGGGAGAGTGTAGATTGGTGAGAGTTGACGGGCGGAAGCCATAGACGGTCTCCGAGAGTGTGAGTATTGTTCAGAGAGAGCGGACTCGATAGACTCCGTCCAGGAAGGCCGCGAGGAAGAAGAAGAACTGGAGAAGCGGGAGCGGGATGGACTCATTGCTGAGGCGCGGGCGTAGGGAGGCTCGATGCGGCCTGTATAAGTGCGGGAAGTGGTGGGGGTTGACAGGCCGCGCTTCTTCCGGTTCATGCTTCCGTTCCACCAGTTCTTGACTGCGTTGTCGCTGCGGTTACCGAGACGGCGGGCGATCTCTGCCCAGCGCTTTCCCATTTCGCTGACCATGCGCTCGATCATCAGGCCCTCGTCGGCGGAGATGGGTTCTCTGTTTAGTGAGGGCTTGAGATTTTGGTGGAAGCGCTCGCGACATTGCTTTGGGGAGCGGTAGTGCATGTGTTGGGAGATGCGGACCCAGTTGTTTGGACCTTGTTCGCGGACTAGTTGGGTGAGGAGTTGGTCTTCCTCTGGGACCCAAGGACCACGACGGTGTGAAGCAGGCATTTTGTAGATGAATATTTGGTAGTTGATAGTTTGATATAGTTGGTATAGATGGGGAGAGGTAGAGATAAGAGTGGGAGAGTTTTGAAAAAAAAAAAGTAGAATATAAAGATTATAGATATAGGATGTCAAGTTCTTATAAGTACCAGGGGGACGGGTCAAGAAAAATACACAGGTCCCGCTATGGAAGATCACGATCCAAGATCTCGGAGCTGACAGTTCGGAATAATACATAAAAGGGAAGATTTAATTTAGAAAAGAATATTCAGAAATATATATTTAAAAAAAAGTTATAAAAAACATATAAAATCATATATAAAATATAAAAAATACAAAAATACTCAAAAAAAAGAAACCAAAAAAAGAAATAAAATAATACAGACTATTGTAATCTAATAGATCGTGGGGGGAAAAATGCTCCGTTGGGGATCTTCAGTACCACCCGGGAATTCGGGCTGAGGAAAGACGCGTAAAACAAAAAAAGATCGGAGTGATCGACCCTGAGCCCCGTTACTGGAATTCCAAATAATCTGGCGCTAACAGGTTTTTTTTTGGATTCCCATGGTCATGGTAATAGAGAAAAAGCAACTTCTTCAGTTATAGTTATAGTTATAGTCTATATAGCCTATATAGCCTATATAGTTGATATAGTTCATATAGTTCATGTAGTTCATGTAGTTCATATAATTGAAGATAGTTCCAATGTATAATACATATCTCTTTTTTTTAACCAAAGTACTACAAAGTATCATATATCATATATCCAAACAATGTAATATAATTAAAACAAGTAGAAAGGGGTCAGCCAAAAACAGCCAGGGGCAGATCTATCCGAGTGACAAGCGGTTAGACGTCCCAGATTCCACTCAGCCAGCCACCTGGGCATGCACAACACTTCTCCAACTCGATTCAATCCGATCCAATATCCAATCGGGCAAATCGGAGATTTCATTGGTTAGATCTAAGTTCATTTTCACTATGATCCACGGTGGAGTGGAGCGGAGTGGACCAGGATAGCATTTTTTTTTTGACAAATTTGGTCTTTTCGGCCTGTGTCCGTGAAGAGGTAAAAAAAAAATTGTATAGAAATCTACTAATCAAATATGGTTATATTATCTATCCCTTTTTTTTGGTTTCAATAGTATGGGGAAATCGGTGCCTCCGTGCGATGACAGGAAGCTTCGACCCCGAACAACACCGAGCTATCCCTGAAGACCCAGATCGGAGTTAGCATTATGTTTGAGTGTTTTTGGACCTTTTCTACGTTTACTTTTTTTATATATATTTTTTCTAATTTTTATACATTTTTTACATATCCCACATCTTGATACTATTGGCTTGAGATTGGTATGCCTCGTAGGCTGCCTTCTAGGTCAAATGTGAAACTTGGTTTTCCCGATCAAGATCGAGATCGAAGTTCGCTTAATGTATACTAATTTATATAAATATAAATCCCATTCCAAGGAAAAAGACTCCGTACGATTTAAAACCCCCGCATGGACCACCTGCCAGCTGTCACTGACAGTTGCCCGTGGATCCATGACGCCGTGAGAAAAAAAAATATGTATATAATTCAAAATTGGTATATTAACGCCGAAGCCAAGGGAGGGAGTACTATAGATGCGGGACGTGACGTTATATGCCCAGATATCTTTTTCAACCCGGAGTTATCGCAAGTGACTCCGTATATAGATCAATCTAATTTCTGTTCCCCTTTTTCCTCCACAAACTATTTCCAGTCTAAACACTGGTGTACCAGAAGAATGGATGCATCGAAAGAGATCGGGGATCAAGAGAAGTTTCCCAGTCCCGGTTAGGCATGTCGCAGCTGAGATCTTCGGTGGAAACCGTTGAAACGCAAGCCACACCTTTTTTTTTGCTTTTCTAGATGGTATACTTTGGACTGTAAAGAATATATACAAAGTACTGTAATTTAAATGCTCCAGGGGTATACCCTTACATGCAAGGATATTGATTGGTCCCCCAGTATTTGTCATTTATTAGTGGGACTGCCAGTTTAGTTAAGGATAGGCAGACTCCTAGAATCTTTAATCTATGTTCATTTAATCTATTCTATTCCATAGAAATTTATACATTGCTTCGAAGAAAACTATCTATAGATTTTAAAAAAGAGTGTGGAGTAGGATATTAATTAATTCCCCCCTTTTTTAAACTTGTTTTTCTGGGGTGTGAAACATTCTAAAGAAAAGTATGTAGGATACATAAGTAGAAAAGAAAATAAAAAGGGAAAAATGACCTTGTGTAGCCATGTGGACAACTCCTCGTGTGTGGGCAGCCAGATCGGATTTCCATACTCCTGGGAAAACCGTTGCTGAAAAGGAACCCGTCGTCCTGGAATGCAACATCGACTAGGGTGTACCCGAGATTGGACCTGTCACTTCTTTTTTTAAAAAAAAAAGAATTTTCAACTTTTAATCTATTTACCGTTTACTCAAGGTAGACTATTGTTCCCCTGTTCGCCAATCAGAGACACGGCAAGTATTTGAGATATATCCCTGTCGACATGCAGGGATCATCGCTGATCACGTAGTCCCGTGCACTCGAGTTTAGATCGGTGTTTTGACTGATTGAGAGGTAGTTTATATAAAAAAAAAGTGAAGATTCTAGAATAGATAGTAGGTATATTTGATATAGGAATAACAGTAGAATGTTAAAATATCTTCCTAAATACACTAAAGCACGTAAAAGACACATATTGAAGCTCATCGGGGTACCCGTCACTAAGTCTAAAAGTGGAGCGAACGGTCTCGCAGCTGTTTCCTGACTGTCGGGCCTTCCGCATGGCTTTGAGGGTCCAAGCATTTTCCCCCTTTTCGCCGTTTGGGTCACGTGGTGACAATATATTGTATCCTATTTGGGACTTATTAGCGAAAAATTCGCTAAAGTACGCTTAAAGTTATGTAGAGGCTATACAAAGTACATTGACATAATTTGATAGGTACTTACCCTTTTAGGTAAGTACTGGTAAGTACTTTTGTTCTTTACTATAACCCATGATCTTCGTTACAGTAAATACTCTATACATATGAAACACATATATAGATGCTAAGATTTGAATTTGAATTTGATTTTTGCCTTTCAAGATTTAAATCGGAGAATGTGTTGGGATTGGAATTTGAATTTGCTCCAAAGGCCATGACACTGCAGCCTGAACGGTGATTGGTGGGCCACCTTCTCGGGCTTTAGATGTCGGGGACCACTCGTATGGTGCCCGATCTGTGGGAAACCGTTTGGGTCTACGCATTATACTCCAGATTTTGAAAATAGATAGTAACACAGATGAATTTGGTATTAACTACCTTGTACAACATATAATACGAGTCCCCATTATCCTACATATATAGAGTACATTGTAAAAAAAAAAAACCAATATATCAAAAGCTTGAAGGTATGATGGAGAACGGTAAGGGGAGAACGGGCCAGATGAAGGCCCCGCTGAAAGATCCTGACGCGAACTTTGGCAGATCCAGTTCTTGATGCGTTCCTGATGTGTTCTTGATCAACGGATCTCCCTAAGCTTGGAGCTGACATGTGCAAATCTTCCTGAAACCAAGTACTTTGTATTTATTAATATAACCAACATCCTATACTACCAAGTCTGCAATGCAAAATTCAAACCCTATCTATCCCGTCTAAACTCAATCGTTACCGAGAAAAGTACAAAGAAACCCAGTCATTCGGGATTTATATTATTCTTCATACTCCGTACATGGAAGTAAATAGACAAAGCCCTAACTTCCAAAATGTCACCTTGAAACACCGTGGGTCAAACCGCCATGGTCAAAGCACACCAGGGCCTTTTCCAGACCAGAGGGGCGAGTGTCAGAGTGGAACCTAAAGCACGGCAAATACCATAGCAAAAGAAAATCAAAATCAAAAAATCTCATCTCTCCACAACTCATCCCCAGCCCGAAGATTTCCCATAGTGCATCTAGACAAGCGAGATGGGGCGCAATCTATAAAGAGTCCAGAGCCCACTCTGTTACTTCTTTGAGCCGCGTTTCAGGGGAAAGGTGAGACTAGCATCTTGTGGGCTTGTGGGCTTGCAGAGAGGGCTGTGAAAGAGGGCAGGGGGCGCGCGTGACGCAACGGCCACCCCGTTTGAGGCTTGTTGGGCTTACGGATTATCGTTAGTCGATGGGGTAAGATCGAGGGTCTCGCTCTCGCTCTCGGGACTGATGATCGTCACTGCCAAGGTGGGCTATAGTACGCGATGCAGATTGGATGAGATTTCTATTCTGTTCACGCACGTGATCGGTAAGAGGGTTTATCTGGAGTCGTGCTGGTTTCTTCGGGGGAATATACAAACAGATGTAAACGTCAAATAATGCCTTGCGGAATACATTCTGATATCTTGCACGGATAATCTTCAGTCTTTTATTCTGACAGGCGCTGAAGAAATTCACTGGAATTGCCCATACAAACATACCCATGACCATACCCCCGATTAGGCCTTACAAAAGTACCGCCCGATATACTATAACTCCGCACTATTACCTCGATATATCTCCGCATACGGAGTTAAATATTAATATCTTATTATAACGTAGAATATACGAAAAACTCGGTATCCAATAACCCCTCGCCAAACACCCCAAAGCCACAATTACCCATCTTCGGTTCTACGTAAAAATTTCCCAGCGGCTAATCGACCGATCCAACGCCCCAAATCTCCGGGGCGCCCTCTCCACCCGCGCCACACCACTCACAACGCTCCATAACCGACTCAGCTATGTTGGTACTCTCCACTCACCTCCACCCACACACGGACATAGCCACCGATTGACATGACACACACGGGCTTAATCACAGACGGCACTAACCACACGCGGGATTAACTACAGGCGGAAGGGGACCCGGGGGATTCCAAGGGCTGGTAGATATGATACCGCACATGGGAATGTGGGAAGTGGATTCCGGATTCCGGGCTTGCAGTTGATTCTCTCGTGGGAGTTGGGGTGTGAACGGGTTTGGGCAGAGGTGGGCTTAGGCAACGGGCTTACTTGGCTGAGACGGAAATTGGTAATTGATAGTGCGGTGATGTATGGAGTAAGGGATTTGGGGGGTTATGTATTGGGATTTTGATGTAGGGATACGAGGGTGAGGGGATCCTGGAGGGTGGGATTTGATTTTTGGGATTTCTTTTGGGAAATTCATTGTGGTTATTGTTGTTTCTTTGCTTTTAGATGTTATATCAAACGGCTAGATCTAAGTTCGTTAATTATAATGTAACATGGTGATATGTATGTTACAGAGTACGGAGTACATCATAGGTCGTACTCCATACATCTTGGTTTTCATCCAGGACTATTCTATAGAACCTATCAAGCTATGAGATTTCCTTGTTATTCCTTATCTCGGGATACTCTGGTTCCTATACACTCACACTCCACCTAGATATACACTTTAAAAACCACCCCAGTTCGATCCACATCCCACCCGATCCCAAATCCCAAACCCAACCCTCGAAACTCATGTAAACAACCATGTGGTAATCAAACAGGCAACCCGCATCTAAAAGACGGCTAAACACATACATTTGATCCCCGAGGTGAAGACGAGCATGTGATGGAATAATAGAGAAAAGCCACGCCACATCTACCGGGGTATTTGCATATGTGATGGATATCTCGATACGGACGATGGCTGAACGCCCATTTCTACTTGCATGCTTGCATACACCCGTACGCCGTACTGTCCAGTCGGTACATGCTGGTCAGTCGGTGCGTGCTAATCCAGTGCGTACTAATCCAGTGCATACTAATTCAGTCAGTGCGTACTCCAGTGCATACCGGTCAGTGCATACCAATCCAGTCAGGGCGTATGTACACTGTCGAATAGCGTAATGGGTAATTCGTACCGTGCAAGTTCGGCGTGATGTAATGTGCAACAGAGCCGAAGACGTGCGTGCTTTTGCTTATATGCAGATATCCTGATTCAGCCTCCGTCACGCTTGGTTTTGATTTTTTTGGTTTTGGGGCTGGTGGGTTCTAGACCTAGATCTAGACCTGGAATCTGGAACCTGGATCTAGACAACGTTTTAACGGGGATTCGGGGATTCTGGGGTTAGATTGTGGTTGCTACATCATCTCTCTGCACGGCGAGGGATGGAGTGCATTCAATATAACATAGGCTTAGATTGTAGGATTCTGAAATTTGTTCTGTTATTAGTCTCATTCTGGGGTCTTTGACACTACACTACGGAGTACATATTTCTTTGTTAAGATCAGCCAGTTAATATCAAGGCCCATATATACAAGTACAGTATTGATTGGATATTGGTGTCTCGGGGCCACAAATTCATCAATTCATGTCTTGGATTCTGACTGAAGTCTAGAACAGACATAGACCCTATTGGTTGCCTAGGGAAGGCACTCATAGACATGGATTTCCAGGGCTGAGGACGTGCATGTGGCTTGGGGATTCTGCATATCGCAGTTAGGGGCTAAGTAGCAGCGGGCATGGATCAATCGAGAGCCGTATGTATATGTATCCTAGATGAGCGGATGTGATCATACTGCGTCTAGATATGTAGGGGATAGAGCTTACCATAGTGTCCAATAGTACAATATTCATCTGCATTATTGAAATTCGGTTAGAATTAGTAGAGGAGACGGTAGGTCGATAATAGTTGTGATAGCCCTGTTCTGCTGTTCAGTTTATCCATATCCAAAAACACCCAAAACTACAGATCGTATGCATATCCAGTAAACCCGGAATAAATGTGGACATAAAACGCCTGCCCAAAAAACCATCCGACAGGCCATCTCTTTCGTAAACGTTCCCAGTATACGTACATGTATACCCCACAAAAAACCACATGCAAAAAGTAAATTCATTACATAAATGATCCAGCCCAAAAACCCAGGGCCGGAGGTAGTAGGAAGGTAGATTCGACCCAGATGCAAAAAAAAAACAAGTCCAAGAAGGAGAAGGAAGAGAGAAAGAGACAGAAAAAGGGGGAAAGGTAAAATGAATCAGGAAAAATCGCTCAAGGGGTATATTCGCAGTGTGTGCACATCATAACCAGATATCACCTTCTTCGCCGTTAACCCATTGCGCCCAGACAGCCTCATAAGCATTCTCGAGATCGCGCACCCAGCGCGCTGTATCGAAGAGCTTATTCTTATAGCGGTCCCGGAACAGCATCTGCCGTATATCCACTAGCCGGCCGCGGGCATAGCCCTCGTGACCAGAGTACTGCAGATCCAGACACAGGCGGATAGCCTTATTCTCGTAGTCTTCATCGGAGGAGGCGATGAGATCTTCACGGGCGCGCTGGCCAGCCTCAGAGTTGGGGAGCGCGCTACTGAGAATACTGCTCGCCATGCGAGAGCACATTTTGTACTTGTAGCGCGGGAGAGTAAGTAACGGGGTGCCGCTCCAGAGGACGTCTGTAGCTGTGGTGTGGGCATTGCATTCTGGCGTGTCAAGAAACAAGTCTAAGATCTTCGCTCGCGCGATGTGTGTGTTTTTTGGGGCTACATCTGTGAAGATGATCCGGGATGCTGTCTCCTCGCCAGCCCAGGCTTTGGCGATATCTCGCAGATTTTGTTCGCCTGTGTCTGGGAAGCGGAGGAGCCAGAGAACAGCGTTGGGGATTCGCGCTAGTATGCGCAGCCATGTTCGGAACGTCGTAGGTTCAATCTAGAAGGGGGTTAGTTATGTTGTTTGGGAGCGGGCGTGGCAAAATAGACTGACCTTGTACAACTGATTGAAATTACCCAAGATGATAGTATCGTCATTCAACTTGGGGAATAGTTCTTTGCGCATTCTCCAGCGCCGGGATTGCTCTTCCTCCCATGATACGTGTTTTTCGCCAGCATCAGGGGCACTCTGTCGGTGATCACAGCAGAAAAAGGTGTCGCGGGTAAAAACAATCTTCTCGCCGTAAACCCAGTCTTCAAGTTCCTCGCCATTGTCTTCTTCCAGGAGACGGTCCTCGATCCGTGTTGTGCGTCGGCCGGGGCTCAATGTCTCCGGTGGAATAGAAAGTTTATCAGCAAGGATGTAGTCGCACCACTCTGCACCGAGGGTGCCAGCAAAGCCCATGAATGACATGTGAATAGGCGCGGGACGTGCAGCGAAGACCTCATTTCGGGCACCTCGTGTGTAGCCGTTCAAGTTGACCAGGATGTGAATCCCATCCGCAACAATCTGCTGAACTAGTCGATCGACCGGCCATCCACTCGCATCGTAAAATACGGGAGCCTCTTTCTCAATCTGCTGGCGATGGACTGATTTGTCACTCGGGGTCGTAGCGTAACAGTATGACTTGACGCGGGAGGGATCGTGCAGCCCAAACACAGACTGCATAAGATGTGCGAGAGGATGGTTGTTGAAGTCTGATGACACATAACCAACTCGAAGGAACGGAGTAGGCGGAGACGGTGGAGGGAAGACAGTATTTGGCAGCCACGGGAGTCTCAGTGTGGATGTTGAAATTCGCAGTCCATTGCGCTCGGAGATCTGACGAATTTGCTTCGCCGACAGGGGACAAGTGAAGGTATGGAAAGGCAGAACGGTAGGTGCGTTCGGGGCAGAAAGAGCTCCAGGGAGTTGAGGTCGACGATACTTGGAAAGAGGATAATCTTTGCCGAAGACATAGCGATCTTGATACCACTGCCAGGTGAGAGAGCGGATAGCTCGCTCGATAAGTCGTACAATTCGAGACCCTTCCCATTTCTTCCCTGCCCACGACTGGAAAATCTTTGTTAAAGACATGCGATGACTAGAAGCAAAGCGAGTAGACTCCAAAGCAGGGGCCAGTTGCAGGCACAATTGCTCCGCCGTGCTCGCAGTCAACATGCCGCGGCCCCAATATTCGCCTTCTTTGAGCTGTCGGTCGACAATGTCCACTACCCGTTTGATCCATCCAGAGCCCGTGTCTGTGCCGAGGGAATCCCGAAGCATCCCTTTTTCATCAACATGCCATCGATCTCGGAAGCCACGGGCGTTGACGACGCCACCACGACCAACCCAGTTGCAGACAGAATTCAAGGCATTTGCTAATCCGCAAACTGCCTCGGCAAACTCGGGATTTACCTTAACAGCGCGCTTGTAGTATACAATGGCATCGTTGACCTTACCACTATCCTTGACAGCATTGGCTAGGTTCGCCAAGGCGATATCGAAGTTGCCATCAAACCGAACCGCTTGCTCGTACATCTTGATGGCGGCGTGGAGCTGCCCGATGTCCTTGAGCAGACTGCCGAGATTGGTATACAAATGGGCATGTCGCGAATCAAGTTGTAAGCCATAATTGTAGTATGCCAAAGCGAGGGATATACCACTCCCGGGGACCACTCCGGGGATCTCAACGTGGTGCTGAGTCTCACCAGAACGCGCTAGCCCTCTTGCCGGCGGATTGTTTTGAATGCCAGCCAGCAAAATGCCAACATTATTGGCAGTAGATGGGCTAGGCTGAAGGGAAAAGGATAGATAATAGAGGGCCAAAATATCCCGGACACCAGGGGAAGACCTGGTTGCTCCTGAGGCACCCACGCTGGACATGCCATCTTGGTAAATTTTGGCCAATGAAAGCAGAGAATTGCTAGTAGTGGAAGTGGCTGCATTGCGAGCAATACCTTCCGGGACATACTGAAGCCCTGGCGGCATACCACTTGCCGGGAAAACAAGTTTAGCTGTTTTCGATGCTGTATCGGGATAGAGTAAAATGCTCTCCTGAGACTCATTCTCGGATTGAGGATATACATTACTCGCCCCGCTAGAAAAGGCAGCGAAAATCTGTTTGATGATGCTTCGGATGCCATGTCGCCTTCGACCAGCAGCGATGAGAACGGCATCCTCAAATGCAGCTGCAGCACCTGCATTGTCACCAAGGCCATAGAGCATATTACCTTTGGCATGGACTAGAGCTAGCATTCTCCCGTTCTCCGCACCTGAAATTGCATACCCACTGGTCGCAAAACCAAGAGGTTTGGCCTCCGGCGAAACAGGTTCCAATCCCTGTGTTCGTCCCATGTCATCATCATACTCGAAAGACGCTTTGTCGTACATGCACACATCGGACATGTTGCTCTCAGCGTCACTCTCGGGTTCGCTAGCGTGTTCATCTGTCTTAAAGCAATCGCCGTCTTTAGGGTGACGAAGGGAACTTTGAACAAAATCAATAATGTTGACAGCTTCCTTGCCTCTGTGGCTACTGCATAGTAAGCCAATCAGATGTTCGACAGCCTCAAAGAAGCTCGGCCGTAGTTGCACGGCGCGCAGCCAGTGTTGCGAAGCCTCCTCTCTGCGATCGAGTGCCAGCATGGTGGCAGCAAGATTGGAGATAGCTTCCACGTGTCTGGTACTTGTTAGCATCAATTATCATACAGCAACGGTATTTCACCTACGTCGAGTCACGAGCTATGATCCTGGAGTACCATCGTACGGCTTTGTGATAATCACCCAAGCCATAGGCTAAACAACCCCCAAGAAGCATGCCGTCAATCCATTCCCAACGGCTTTCTGCACACAAGTCAGACAGCATTGACAAAGCAGATGCAGCATTAGACATAGGCGAGCCCTCATTGAAAAGAGAGCCACGAGCCCTGGTGAAAGGCGACACTCCTGGAGTACCGCTCGCATCACGCAATCCGAGCATATGGGTATCGGACCCTCTGCTATGCACGAATTGATTTAAAGATGGGCGGCGAGTGTTGGCACGAGTAAGAGATATAGGATCATTCGATCCATGGCCGCCTACGGCATCAAGTTTCTGGCGTTGCAAGTCATATTGACTAGCCGGGTAACTGTTGTTGCGTGTAAGGTCGGGTGGAGGGGCTTGTGAAAAGTCAAGACCTGGTTGCCGTGGAGGCTTGGGGTAGATACTCGGCTTCAAGAATCGGGGGTAGCCCTCAGCGGCAGCGTTGCTAATGCTGTTGCGGCGAGCCTGGTGGATGGTTGCGAGCAGGTCGACATAGACGGCGTGAGCCTCAGATAGGACCTTCTCCTTGAAATCCGCATTCACTACTACTGCAGGACCTGGAGGTTGGAATCCATGTAGTGATGGGCGGCTTGGCCAATTTGTAGGCTCATTGTTCGATGGCGGTGGGAGGCCTGACACAGAGCGGTTGGCTCGGGTGTGGAAAGGTAGTTGGTCAGAGTGACGTGGTGGAAAAAGAGGTTTCATCAAAGGATCCTGAGTAGGCAAACCAGACATGGAGTGGCCCCATGGGAGCCCCGAATCTGCGTGGCTGCCTAGCGGAACCTGAGCTTGGTTAAAGGTTGGCTGGTTGAGGTCATAGAAAGACTGGCTCAACTGCTTTGTAAAAGGCACCGGAGATTCAAAACGCGCATCACGAAAGGCCGCAGGACGGTATGGGATGTAGACTCCATCCGGCCAATATGGACCGAATGGCCCAGTACCCGCCGAAGCAGTTGGTCCGAGACACGATTGTAGGGTTGCCGGTAGGACTGTGGGCACATATTGCCCATTCTGTAAGAGAAATCTCTGGTGCATAGGCAAGGACTGGTTCAACATGGAGTCAACACCCGGAGGATAATTGACAGGACGAACCCAGCTCGTCCCATGCACATCTTGAACGACTTCTCCTGCAATTGTATTGCCTGCGGGGTCATTTTTGAAGACCGGGGGAAAATTCATTTGTTTTGTCGCCGACTGGTCTGACATGAGCTGCCAGTTCTCAGACTGCATCCCTGGTTGAGCGGAAATAAACTGGCCTGGTTCCATCGGCGAAACCAAGATGTGCTTGGACGCTGGTGGCTGAACAGTATCGCCGAGGGACCCATCATACCCCGCAGCCAAAGTTCCGTTGGGGGTTTTCCTTCTTAAGGAGTGTTCGGCCCCATTTGCGCCAGAACTATAGCCTGAGCCATCGCGGGGATCGAAGCGTTGAACGGGATGAGGTAGTTGGATGCGCGATCGCGATATTGGATTGAAGAAAGGTTTGGAGGGGTCGTTGCGTACGGGGAGTTGTGAGTCGTTCGCATCGTACATGTGTTGATTGGTGTCAGTGTGGTGGTGTATGCGGTGCGGTTGACCCGGGGGAAATGGTGCGACGGTCGGATACATATTTGCGATTATCTCTCCTTGATCCAAGGACGGGATCGGAATACCTTGAGGCCGACCAGCGACAAGGGTATTACCGGATACTCAACACGTCAATGGAGTCTCAACATTCAACAAGCATCCTTGTAACGTTTCCGACACCTCATTATGTGAAGCCAGTCAAGCCAAGTCTAACCAGTTCAGCCAGTGCGGCCTTTGGGGTGCAAAAACCAAGGATTTCAGGATATCGTCATCGACTGTGGATAGAGAGAAGTATGTGTGATAAGAAGGAAGGCGAATAGAAAATTAAAAAAAAAAATTTTTTTAAGAAGATCAGACACGAAGATCAGAGACGCAAGGGAGACAGAATGTCCAGCTCACGATGCTGGCGTCCGAAACGGCCAATAGAAGGTAATCTTGGCAAGTGCGAGGGGTAGATCAATAATGGAGGGCCATTAGATGGAATTATATGATTTTTGAACTTTTGGAAGGTATAGGTTAGGAGAATAAAGAGGAGAGGGGAGAGGAAGAAGAAGAAAGACAAGGAAAGTCAAGTCGAGAAAGAACGTGAAGGTGAGAAAACGCAAAACCCGGGAGTGGACACGGTGGATTTAGGTGGGGGATTAGCAGGTTTAGTATATAAATGATAATATAAAATACATAGAAAATAGATATAAGATATTTAGAAGTTAATATATAGAAGATACATCAGAACATATTTAGATACTTTCAATAGTGTCTATATATATATAAGTTATATATATTCTATATATGTTCTATATAACTATTCCCTCTCTCATCCAAGTATCTACAAAGTAATCCCAATATCCAACATATCCACTCGATCCAACGGCTCTCCATAAATGCAATGCTAGTGGATCATTGGTTCCATCACGGCGACTAGTGATGGATCGGTGACGCCCCCGGTGATCGAGTCGAGCCCGTTCTCAGTTTTTGTGGGCTTAGAGACTTGGCTGAACCTAAGGAAATTGAAGACTTCAACTTGTCTTACTGTTAATATGTCTCCCTTCCCACATACTGGTCTGAATACCTAGATAGCCGCCAACATCTTGTCTTTACTTTCTTTTTTCTTTTTTTTTTACTTTCCCTCTTTTCTTTTTTTCCCTCTTCCTCTGACAGACGCGGCCCCCTGTTTGTTGGCCCTCCGATCCTTTCCTATCCAGGATTATTCTGGGGTTGCTCGCAAGCATGTCCACTACAATCCCTGCCCTCATTTCTTACTATTTTCATTTTTTCCCTCTTTTTTCGAGGCTGTTGATTGGTACTCAAGATCACATACAATATATACAGCGCACGGTGTGCATTACTATAATATGGAGGCTTAATACTATACAGAATGTTCGAGCTAGACCGGTTGTTTTTCAAAAGTCAACATGTCATAGGTAGAGATCGACCAACTCTCCACTGTGTATCGCATCCTGTCTTGGCTTGCACAACGTTCCTGTACGGCATGCGGGTCGGGTGGTACACTGAAGTATTTTGGCAAAGGGCATACTTTGTACATACAACATACTATCTTTTCCCAACAATATCAAGAAAAATAGAATCAAAAAGAGAAATTCATTCCCTTCGTATTAGACCAATATCTATATATATATCTTCTATCACACATCAAAATGGATCAGCCCCCCACTTCCATTGTGGATGAGCACGCACATCGCCTTATCAGGAGGATCCTCGGTGGAGAAAAGATATTAATTTCGCTACATTCTTCATTTTATTGACTTCGTATATGGTCTATAATTATTCTCACACGCCTCTGGCCTACGAATACGATGTGCGGATAACATGCAAAGTCCTAAATTCTATATTTCATTGGTGCCTCGCGCTCGGATACTTGTTGGCTCGAAGGCTCTGTTTGGTGTAGCGGCCGTTGGGTTGTTTCAGACTCACACAACTCAAAGATGCCGGACAGGGCTATTTACAGCGTTTGGTGTAACGCCTATCCATGAGACTCTCTATGCATACTAGGTATCCATGTTAAATTATACATTGTAAATTGTAAATCCCTACCGCACTATGTAGACAACTTCCTTGTCGTGGTAGAGGTTTCATTCGGAATATATATATCACACCTTCAAAAGCAATGAAACTTAAATTATGGGTAGCTGTAGACTAGCCTAGCCTCAAACAGCCAGGTAGTCATATCATATCAATATCAAATGGAGCACGAAGAGTACTCAGGTGTCAATAACATCGCGTCGCATATGTACATGCATGCTGGCAGCCCGCATGCAGGGGAGCCTGGGCTGTGTTAAGACGTGGTGAGAATACCAAAAGTACACCGCCACTGAAGGGTCCGAGTGTGTTGAGAATTCATAAAGCATAATTAATAATTGGTAGAAATGGGAAAAAAAAGTGATAATCAGAAATTTCTTGATTGAAAACTAGCTAAGACTACAGCCTACGAAAAGCAGAAATAATTCTCATCTGCAAAGAGATGTAGACCCGAAATATGGATCACTGTACCCACGAAGACAAGTCTCCAAGGATACCGCGATGAGTAATGGGACTGATTTTCTCTTCCTCACTTAAAATAAGCCTATACCACGTTTTTGATATGATCAAACCCCGTAGGGAAAGAACAGTAAGGGCCAGAGTGTTGTGAGGGTTCCATCCAAAAGAACGGACTGTCGGCTGCGCCGGGCATAGCCTTCCATTATTCTCATCGCCATAGGAATGGACGGGAGGATGACGAGAGGAGTTGGGAGAGAGAAAGGAGAATATACAACCGGAAAGGAACGAGAAAAAAAATAACAAGCAGCGAGGCTCATCAATTTGTTCCAATCGAACACTCGCGAATTAGTTAGGAAAAGGTATCATAGGTCATGACTCATGAATATTTTGGTTTAAGAAACCATTCGTATTCTGCAACTAGCCATCTCATCATTAAGAGAAGCACGCATTAGAAATCAGATAGGCCTCCTCTTTTTTGATCATTCGAGAGCGAATAATTTATTCCTCGGGAACTGAAGAGATTGTTAGTGATTGGATCCCAAACACCCACAAATCGGGAAAACTCACTGTCAATCTCGCCAGACTTAACGTCATCGGAGACATCCTTGGGGCTGCGGCCATCGACCTGGCAGCCGACGGAGAAGGCAGTTCCGAGAATCTCGAGAACACCACCGCGGAGCTCCTTGGCCATCGAGCGGGAGCGCATGGTGCGGGCAATCTCGATGATGTCATCCATGGGGATGGACTTGGAGTGCTTGATGTTCTTCTCCTTCTTGCGATCACGGGGAGGCTCCTTGAGGGCCTTGATGACGAGGGAAGAAGCGGAGGGAACAACCGAGACGGCAGCCTGACGGTTCTGGATGGTCAGGCGGACGGTGACACGGAGACCCTTCCAGTCGCCAGTGTTCTTGGCGATATCTTCACCAATCTTCTTGGGAGACAGACCGAGGGGACCGATCTTGGGGGCAAGAGCGGACTGAGCGCCGACTTCACCACCAGTCACACGCAGGTGGCTTAAAAACAAGAATAATTAGTTTTGTTGTTTGGGGGAATCCGGATTGAACCAGAGGATTTATGGGGGAAAATTGACTTACATGATCTTCACCTCACTGGGATCGAACTTGGGAGCTGATCACGAGGGAATGTTAGTCGCCATCTTGCAAGAAGCCAAGTAGATGATACTTACGCATGGCGAGTGCGAAAGGTAGTCGATCTTCCTTGGTTGTCGAAGAGGGTGGTTAGAGAAGAGAAGAAGAAAAGGAGCAAAAAATCGAACTTGAAGGAGACTCACTACTAGCGTGGCCCACAGTTGCTCAGCTAAGCGAAATTACCAAGTTGGGAGTTAGGGCATAGATAAATGGATGAAAATCAAATCACGTGAGATAGCAAAACCCTTATCGAGCTACTTCCCTATTTGGGTATTTTGTTTTTCTACATACCTTAAGGCGCTCCAGGGCTACTTTTAGATATTTCAAGAAATTTTAGAAGAAATCCTCCTGTAATGGTATCATTCCATTCAATCTACTACTATATCGCGTTAAAGGAGTAAAATCACCGCTAAAGATACACAAGACCCGAGGGTCGACGACAGACCGCCCTTGCTCTCATGGCCATTGTCTCATCACACCTAGCTGGTTCCAGATACAGCAAGTCTAGAATAAAGTTAGCACGGAAGGTTCCGAATCAAAAATGGTAGAAAAACTCACTTCATCAGGTGGTCCATGAATGTCTGGAGAGATACGTCGTCAGTGAAGATGGTCTGCGATGAGACACCGCCGCCGTAGCCACCTGTGGTGTGGGTCGTTGACGGGTTCAGCTTGGACAGCAAGAAACGGGCCTGAGAACCACCGGCATCACAGACGATGAAACGGGGCAGGGGGAAGCGGTCGGCAATGAGATCCTATAAGACACGTGTCAGTTAATAAGTTAAAGATACGACAAGAAAGGTGACAACGAACCCTAGCATCTTCCTTAGGCTGCTCAAGAAGCATCTTGAGGTTCTCGTAACCCTCTTGTTCATGGTACCCAGCTTTCCTCCACTCGGCAATGGTCTCACCATTGAAGATGAGGATGTGGAAGAAGGTATCAAGGAGGAGAATGTGGGCGGGTTGGATAGAAGCGGAGTCCAGTAGCACTGGCTGAGCACCCTCTTGCTCCAGAGAGTACGAATCAAGAGTGGGTTGAATCATAACAAGAGAGTCACCGGTATCCTCGTGGTTCAAGACATGGCGGTAGAAAGCAGTTTCATCGGGCGAGTTATTGAAAACCTGCAGGAACTGACTTCGGCGAAGATGGAACATGAACTGGGGGTACAAGGTGAAGTTCTTTTCCAATCGGAATGATGTCGGGTCATCCTTCCGGTAGTCCGCGAATCGAGAGCAGAGTCTAATCAGCATGCGATCAACCCAACGCAGGACATCTGGACCATCATCAACCTCCGCCTTGAATACTGCAATACGGGCCATAAGGACAGCGGCAGCCTCTTGGTCGAAGGACTGTGCCAGGGTTGGGTCACCCGCAGGTCCGCTCAAGGGGCGGGCAGTGGTAGTCACCCGCAGGTGGAAATGCCCAGAGGAGTGCTGGTAGTATGTCAAAAATTGCATCACACCCCGTTGAGGACCAGCCTGGACAGCAGCTGGGCCGCCCTGGTTGGCAATCTCAAAGTAAATACCGTAACTGGAAGATGGGTCCATTCCACACATCTTCCATGCACAGGTGTTACCGATACCGCATTCTGTCTCGCCAACAGAGCTTGACTTCTTGTTCAGCGAGATAGCATGACCAATCAGACCAGTAACCTTAAGTTCCTTGGTCGTAAGCACCTCGAGGGATGCATTGAAGCCCATCAAGAGGTTGTCGTTGGCGTCCTTGTCGAACACGCGCACGAACGATTGCTTGAACTGTGAAGATGTAAAGCTATCTGTGAGCAGCATGTGACCTCCAGTAAAGTTAGAGAGGTTCTTCATTTCCAGCAATCCGACTTGATCAAGACATCCGGCGAAAATATCGACAATGTGACCATTGTTGGCAGCGCGCTTAGCGAGAGCGTCATAGAACTAGGATTAAATTAGCAAAATTCTAACACATCTATACGTTAAGAACCGACCTTGACAGCCTTCTTGTAGTACTTGATGTTGTCGCGGTCGATATCGTGGTGTGAACGAATAGGCTCCTTGAGTTCAGGTGAAACAACGTGGCCAGGGCCTTCAGTGGCTGCACCACTGGTGAAGGTCATAATGCGGCCTCCAGCATTCTGGAAGGAACTTTCAAGCAGACCAACGGCAACGCCTAGGGCAACACCGGTGCAGCGCAGAGGACGCTTGTCATTGGCCACTGGCCAAGGATCGCGCTGCAATTGTTCGAGGACATTGGTAATCTGGAACTCAGCCTGCTGAACAGGCATGAGGAAGCGCGCAGCCGGGCCAAGGGGAGGACGGGCAGGCTGTTGCTGCTGGGGAACACCAGGGCGCACGACACCGGCCAGACCCAGCATCTCTTGAACCTGCTTGGCGCTGTATTCCTTGTTGCCTCTGAACACATATGACTTTGCGCATTCGGTATAGCCGAGCTCGTGAACTTGTGCCTATATATCAAAGTCAATGACATGCCACCTGCCTTGCGAAGATCATTGTTTCCTACCATTGTACCGAAGGTAATCAGACCAACCAGCGCATTGGGTGGCAGAAGAGACAAGCTCATGATGAGGGAATCCTTCACAGCCTGCAAACTGTCATCCTCCTGGCAAGTATCGACGACAAAGACGAAAATCGGGGGAGCGGGGGCTGGTCGTGCCAATTGGTACTCGATCGTTGTGCTCTGGGGGTGGAGCTCTGGGGGTATCGTGTTCTCCGTGATATCCTTGTAATGCGGAGGAAGAGGGTTGCGCGACAGACAGAAGGGACAGATCCATAGTCGTGCGCGGACATCGACAGTACTATCCAAGCGTCAGTCCATCTACTCATCGGGGTATATCAGACCACCACGTCACGTACGCATATGGGTTGAGAACAGCTCGGCAGGGCTGCTTGCAAGTAACAGGCTCATATTGTAGCAGAGGGGCATCGGGTTTTTCCTTCAATGGAGTGTAGACGGCGGCGATGGGAACGACCAAGCGGGACGCTTCCTATATCGAGTATCAGCAGATGATGCGGTGAAGGTCAGAAGGTCACTATCACGAACCATGCGAGTGCTCGGGAAGGTGTTCCAACTGAGTCTGATGCCATCGCGGTCCTCCACATCGCTCCATTGATCCTTCAGCGCTTCGTAATCCATCTTGTCGGTAGATGTTCCTGACTCGGTCTTCTGTCGACCAAGGGAGGGGGTATATGCGGGTAATGAGCAGTCGCGAGGAAAGGGAACCTCGAAATTAATGATCTACTCCAAGAAACTAAGCAAGTGAGCCACCCGGAGCATAATCCAGTCCCAAAAGAAATCAGAGTCCCCGTTAATAGCTAGGGATTGTATGAACGAGATGGACAAGTATGTTGTGTGGAGGTCCGGTCCGCGAGTAAGGCCAGGTTGCAGCACAGTTGGTCTCTATCGCCCCCCGGACCAAAACATCATTAAAACTCGGCTCGTCCGCAGTTTTCTCTTCTTTTCTTTTCTTCTTCATTATCACGCCGACCTACAATGTGTGTAAACATATTATTATCGACAACTTCCGTCATTCCATGGCAAAGTTGTCTACTCGTTGAGCGGAGAATGACTTGACCCGTTGCTGGGCACCTGGATTTGAGAGGTCATTCTGATCCTTTCGGATTCTCTGGGAATCAGCTGTGGTCACACTCCCATTTTGTATACCATAAATTGTTAGAATAATATATTATCGTGCTTCAATTGAACTTGCTCCAGATGTGCCACAAGCCTATGCTCCCTCTAAACGCCGACTATGGAAGAAAACACGTGAAACCTGCAAAACAGCCCGACATTACATCATGAAAGTTTGACATGTGAAAAGACACCCTAAGCTTCCTTCGGCGCCTTAGCCATCTGCTTCAACAGGAAGCTGCGCTTGAAGTAGGTGTTTGGGTGAACAATCGTGTCAAGGTCAGTCTGACTCCACGATCCATCCTCCTTGACCTTCTTGATCTCGTTCTTGTGCGTTGCCTCGAAAACTCTGTTGCAAGCAATGTGATATCGCATCTTACCAACGTCCTCACGTACGCCCCGCAGGACCTCCTTGTCATTGACGCCAGTGGCTTGGAGGAAGCCCACCAGGTTATCGACGGAGTAATGGCGATAGGGACAGCCGTGAGTCTGGCCAATGCCCGGGTTTGAGTCGCCGAGGATCTTCTGGCACGAGTAGGGAGTATAGCCCTTTCCGCGACGGTTCACATCTCCACCAACCTCGCCATAGGCGTGGCGAATATTGTACTTGTATTGAGAGTTGAACTCGTCGTCGGTCTTGCCCTTGAATCCCTGACGCCAGAACAAAATACACTCCTCCAAGGACAAGCCAATGCCCTTCAGGAATAGGGTATACTGTAGTCGACCGAAGTGCTTCAGGTGGTTATTCTTGCGCAAGTTTACGTGCAAACTCTTCATGCACAATGGGAAATGCTGTTGGGCCAGTTGGTCGATAGAGCTGGCTGTGATTGGAGATCCGTCCACATATCCTTCGCCCTCTGAGTACACTGACTCGGCGCTGCCAAAGTTCTTAGAAAGATGATTAAGAATGGGCGTGAGACGATCATCCTCATCCAGCCGGGGGAGGGCACGACTCGTGAGCTATGATACAATCAGCCACGACATTTCAAGCATCAAGCAACTACTGCAGACATACCTCGAGTGCGCGCTCCAAGCGAGCGGTAAACTCCGCCATAATCATGCTCAGCTGCTCTCGACCAGGAACATAGGCTTTTCCTTTCTTCAGGAAAACCGAGCGTCGTTCGACCAACTCGGGAACCTTGTCCCAGTCTACTTTATACCAGGTCTCATCATCCAGCCGACGCAGCCCTGGCGTGGAGCTGAGGAGACTTTCTGCAATCTCCGTCTTCTCAAAGTCACCTACGGCTTCCCAGTCGAGATTCAAGCTATCGATGAACGCGCGCTTCTCCCTCGAGTCATCCTGCTGGAAACGGAATTTGAACAGCATGGTCTCGGCGCGGGTGAATCGTCGACGGAGGTCCTCCGTGGCCGAGAAGGCCAGTCGAAGGATGAAATGGGAGTAGTGGTCCTTTTGACGCTCATTTCTCAAGCGTGGGTCTGCGGCGCCGGAGGGAGAGGAGGTATTAGAGGAAAGAGGGAGGAATTTCTGCAGAAGAGGTGTAATGTAGGTCGCCGTCTCAGCGGGGGATTTGTTTCGATAAGAGCATGCTTCGATCTCAGCCAAGACTGTTTGGTATTAGTAGGTAGAAAGACAATCTGACCGTTTAAATGTACATACTCTTCAGTCTGTCAATAGCCCATTGCTCGAATTGTTCGAGAGTGATTTCTGCGGTAGGAGGTATTTCATAAATGTTCAGACGGTGCGCATAGTCCTGCTGCTTGTATGTTGGAGTAGCGAATTGTCTTTTTTTCGGGTCAATTACAGCCCGTCGTTTGGGATCGATGCGATGGGCGTCTTGTCGAATCATCGTACAGGTATATTGTGTTTAGTTGTCGAGAAGCAAATGTATGAGATCTCCGCACTAAATTGGTCAACGCGAACGCGTCCCACGCGCATAATCACGTGAAACAAAATCATCGGGCGTATCTTACGTAATAAATTATGTAGCGGGCACACGTCCCCGTACCTACAAAGTATGTAGGTACCGCGGGCTGGAGGTGGATTTCCCCGAACAGACCGTTTCTAAGACCATGTGCCGAGACATGTGAAATTGACTTTTATTAGAATCATATAAACAGTTAACTATATAAGTATAAGATCGATTCTCGAGGGGTAATCTCGCATATATTATAATTTGATCTTTTCACGATTACCTGTATAGACTTGAGTGCTGTGATATACAGAGTACATTGTTTCCCTCGGGGTCTTCACCGACAACCGAAAGGATCGAGCTACTCCCCACAGAATCTCACATTCTCAAAAGTCCCAACCCTGGGGATATGCGATTACATATCCTCTAACCCCAGGATTCAACCTTTTCCCTTCAATCCATTATGCAGTCGTGATCTTGTCCACAATTATTCTCCGTGGTTCCTCCCACATCCCCAACATTTGAACCGTTGAGTTTGCCAGGACTAGAAACCTCAAACTCCTCGGGTTCCTACACAGCCATCGCACATAATGTCGCACGCAACAAAGCAGCTCCGTAAGGCTGCGCGGATCATCTTGATTGGCGCACCGGGAGTAGGAAAAGGAACACAGTCCGAGCGATTGCTAGCCCGATTCCCACAACTAGCTTCAATCAGTTCAGGCGATCTGTTGAGAGAGAATGTGCGCCGACGCACACCCCTCGGTAAGTAGAGCCAGCATAGGTGCAATAATCAATTGCGTACGGACCCGATATCTCTAACTCTAGTAACAGGCCTGGAAGCCGAGGCCACAATGCTGTCTGGCAACCTTGTTCCCGACTCAATGATCCTGGACTTGATCTCCAATGATATGAAATCCAAGGGCTGGCTCCTTCCCCCATCTGCATCCTCAGCATCCTCCCCATCTTCTTCTCTCGCCGGCACTTCCTCTTCGGCCCACTCAATCGATTCCTCGGCCTCTTTTATCCTCGACGGGTTTCCCCGCACCGCGATTCAGGCAACAACATTGGACACATTGGTACCGGTCAACTTTGTCGTCCACCTCATAACCCCACCATCGGTGATCCTTGCCCGAATCGCATCGCGCTGGGTTCACGAGCCCTCAGGACGGGTGTATAACACAGACTTCCACCCGCCAAAGGTGGCAGGCAAAGATGATATCACGGGCGAGCCGCTGACGCAGCGAGAGGACGATTCTCTCGAAACATGGAAGCAGCGTCTACGGAAGTTTGAGGAGACAAGCCAATCCCTCCTGGAGCATTATGACCGTCGGCAATGTCTATTCCGTGCGGAGGGTAATACATCCGACGAAATCACCCCAAAGCTATTTGCCGAGGTTGAGCGGCGATTCTGCTGAGCCAACAATAGCCTGTATACTGAATCATTTCCTTGCATTCTCCCAACCTCTTGGGCGATTACTTGACTTTTAACGCCCATTTAGCCAATTGGGGCCTGATTTGGAGGGAACACCACCCTCCGCGCATGTATAACTTAACGCAACTTCGAACTTGGTGTATCATATTCAACATTCAAAGTCTAGTTTGATCATGATCGTCGCATACCAGCCATAGATGTACAACGCTGTACAGTGGGATTGTAGTCGTGCCGTGTCATCGCATGCAAATGTAAATGCCAGAACATAAGAAAAACAACGCAAAACGCTCATAGCAATAATCGCAAGCCCATCTTACCGCGACTGATTCATCTATTTCCGTCCAGGCTTCCCTTTCCCATTCCCTTTCTCGATTGGAGGAGGATCTCCCATGCCCATCCGATTCTTGTACTCCCTCGGACTCTCCCAATCAGACCCGACACGACGATAATCTTTCCAAAGCCCCTTGCCTCGCTTCTTAGCCCACCACTCAGCCTTGCGGTATTTCTTTTCCATCTTATCGCCGCCAAATTCTGAGCCAACCTTCGCTTCGTAGACCGTCGCTAAGCCACGCTTCAGCATTTCGTAAGAAACATCCCGCCGACGGAATGGCGGGAAATCAAATGCGCGTCGGACAAAGACACTCGCTACCACGCGCGAGTATTGGTCCTGCCGATGAACAAGAGCACGGATTCGTCGGCTGGTCAGGTAGGATGTTAGCCAGGTGTGTGCGTCGCGTGCGAAAGGTTGTTCAGGACGGCCGAAGTGGGCTAGTTCCGGGGCGTCGACGCCAGCGAGGCGGATGTGGATCTGGGTTTGAGTAAATATGTAAGCTAGATAAAGATATAAAGAATGGGAATTCGGTATATAGTATACTGAGGCATAATTATGCCTGTTCCTGGTGATGGTGGGAGGTGACGAACGGTCTTATCCTTCAGGTCCTTCTTCATAGTAGGAACTTTTTTCCACGGTAGCCAGCCCCATCCAGCCATACGGCCACCCGGTGTATGGAAGATCCTGAAATTATCTCCATCGCCGACGCTGGTGACTTGGCCGAAGATGCTCCGCCGTCGGAGATACGAGGAGGAAATACTAGGCGCGTCGGGGATGCGTCGTAAGTAGCGGCGGTGGAAGCGCACTGCGATGAGAATGCCGCTTGTTAAGACTAGGGTTGGGATAATAGTTCTGAGTTCGGTGAACGCTGCCCAGTCGAGGATGGAGCTCGGGTTGTTCGCCGCGGAGGAAAGCCAGGAGCTGGGTGTTTGTTTTTGTTCGTCATTAGTCGACTCGGAGCTCCATGGCGGCCATCGCATCACGACCCATGCCACTTATGTGACAAATTTGTGTGGTGCGGGAACGAGCGTTTGGTGAGGGTGGTTGTTGGGGTAAAAGGTGATCGGCCAAGTGAAGATCATCTCCGCACGGGTCTACAACTAATTCCTCTTACCAAATCTTATACATAGAAAAGCCGTCTACGCAATTTACGCTTTCTACTGCCTTCGTATATAAAAAGACATCAGAGCATTGTTACATATAACGTCCCAAATATCATCTTGGGTCAAATATACCTACATCGTCAAGAGCAGAGGCAGGAGGAGAGGCCGACTATTCTCGTCGGCAAACAATTAATACTATGGATACGTCCTTTACCTACAACCTTAAAATATATTAGGGGAATCATTGTCAAATGATATTCTCCTCCTGGTTTCCTCGCCCTCCTAGGATCACTGGCAACATGAAGAAACTAGAGTATTACTAACTAAGGAATCAGAACGACAACACTGTACTCTGTATGGAGTACTTATTTCTGCGAGCCTTGCACACTCACCATTCCAATCTCTGCAAATAAATCAAGAACTTCATGGCCATGCTGAGTATTTGCTCAACGGGTCGCTTGAGCCAATGCGTACACTCTGGCCGACATCCACTATATCCCCGCGTGCTGGAATGGAAGACTCGATTGAAAACATTTACTCGCAGTAGGCTGGGCTGTTAATGAGAGCAATTCGTCTGAAGGCAGATTGCTTCAAGCGTGATGGCGTAGCGAGTCAACTTCCCCCAAGAGATTATTAATAACACCATGAATGCTATGACAATTTCATGTCATTTCCATTACTCCGGATTTCCCTATACTCAAGTATTTACCAGCCATTACTACCATGGTCCCAGTGACCTAGGAGTTATGACTCAGGATTACTTTAGTCGCAGCAGCATTATCTACTACTATAACTAGAATATAGTTAGCTATATAGTGTGTTGATATCCAAGCACTAGATGTTAAAGCAAGGAAGTCACGACATGACCATGTATAGATCTATAATAGTATTGAAAAGCTAGAAACACAGGGTTATATCATATGTATCAAGTGTTTCCAGCAAGAAAATGCCGAGAAATGTCTAGACTGTTTAAAATCCACCAGAATTGCCAACAGCATACCAACGCGCCAGTGAAACACAATTTGGAATCGAAGGGAAAACCGAATATCCCTCTGTCTGACTATAAGACGATTATTTCAGGGTGGCAGGCATGCTGGTCTTAGCCTTTTCCGCTGCCAGTTCCACTGCCTTGCGCAATCTATCCTTCTTGATGTTCTTGAGGTAGGCGAACAGGACGATGAAAAGGAGCTCCATCCTTTGTGAAAATTAGTACAAGTAGACGCTAATTTGGAAACAGAAAACATACCGCTCCTTGGTCATCATCAGCAGACCCTGGACTAGAAGACCCTTCAGGATCTGAGGGCCAATACCCTTAAAGAGGGAGAACACACCCTCATTATCAACAATGTGCTTCATGACCTCACCGAAAGTCTTGAAGGGCTTGCCATTCCGGCTGGGCGGTGGACGAGACTGCAGTCCAACCTTAGCGACAATCAGAGGCTGGGTTACGATTGTAGCCAAAGCCTTGGACATGGCACCAAGCACTAGAATATTAATTAGCAAGAAGTTCTTGACCCCGAGGATTGCCACCACTCACGGAATGCCTCCCAGGGCTTCAGATTTTTCTTCCCTGGGAACAAAACATCCTTTAGGCGCTGATATGCGCCATAGGTGATGGCCGGGTTAACGACCAGGATCAAGCTGGCCTTCAGGCCGCGCCACAGGCCGGTCCAGCCGTCCTCGCTCTCGACCACCTCCCGACCCGTCTCTATCAATCCCTTCTTATCGCCCTTCGGCTGTGTCTGCTGTCGAGTCGTAATAACAGCTACTGGGATGGTGAAAATCTGAGCTATGGCGCCAGATACGGCACCCAGGGAGAGCTCAATTGCTGTGCCAGGAGCCTTTGAGGACTTGGCGGAAGCCACGTAGAGCGTTCTTACGACGCTGTACCAATAGAAGTATGCGAAGTTTGTTGAGGCGACACCTAGAAGGGCTCCAGCCATTCCAGCGTACAGACCGCTAACGCCCTCCTTCCCCGAGATCTTGGTGATAGCATCCATGGTCGATTTATAATGTTCGTGATCGTCGGCTTGTGCGGCTCCATTCTTCTCCTTGACTTGTACTTGTAGTTTTGTCTTGATTCTAGAGATTGGAAGCTACAGTCAGCGGGTTTTAGTCTGATAATTTGAGTACTGTTTTATCTGGGACCTCACAAGTCAAGTGGATACACCATTGCGTTCGCAAGGACGGCGCCTGTTGCGCCCGCCACGGCGCTGCCCCATGGAGACAGTGCAGGTTTGGATTGACCAGCCATGATATCGGGGAAGGGTATTCGAAATCAAGGGAACGCAACAAATAAGGATAGGATCTAGGGAGAGGGCTCGCTTCACTTGGCGGCCGGGTGACAGGAGAGAAATATTGAGCGGGGCGCTACACTGCTCTGCTCCGAACGACGAAAAAGGTGAAATGGAAGAGAGAATACAAATGAGAAACACACACAGCGACGATCCTACCGAAGTCACCCGAACAATAAAAAAAGAGACCGAGCCTATGAGCCGGAATTCACAACACCTCGGCGCTATCACCTTAAACTGAGCCGAGGTCCACTTCAGTGCAGCTTATGTCATGGCTTCCATTACATCATGTGTGTTTACTTTTTTACCTGTGTTCCTACATAATCTTTGGTTTCTACATAGTATTTTCTAGTATATTGTTCATTTGTTCATAATATTTTTTTCAATCTGATAATTACCAAATAGATTAATCTTTCCAAATGGCAGTCTCGGAATATTCACCGGCATTAATAGCACGCGGGGCCCTCTCTCGGCTCAGCCAAATCCGGTAATTTACTTGTCGTTCGATCTGATTACCTGGGTACTCCACGACTACCGGTCAAGAAACATTGAAGTATGTCTAGACCTACATATACACAATCATATGTCTCTCAAGCATTGGTATTTTTATTTTGCACTTATATCTGAAGAAAGCCAATGACTGATGACTTGATAGAGCGCCGAAGAGGCGGTAGCCGCAGCCACCTCGCAGAAAGCGGCATTGGAGGCAGCCATCAATGCCGCGGAGCATTACATGAAAGCACTGCGCCTAGCGCCCGCCGACGAGAAAAAGCAACTAGACAAAAAATGCAAGGAATTGCTGTCCAAGGCCGAGAAGATCAAGGCTTCTGCTGACTGGCAGTCGGTTGCTCGTGCGGGGCCCCAGAAATCCTTCCCTAGCTTACGGCCGCCGGCATCCACGCGGAAACTCACCACCCGTGAAGAAATCATCATACTCGAGGGCGCCAAACTCAACGGCTATATTTTTCCACCATGGAGTCGCGCACCACTTCAGGATGAATTTGCATATAAAGGACAGCCTTTTACGTACGTGGAGAAATGGCCAAATACTAATATTTTCTGACCGGGTATAGGGACGCGCCTGATTTGCACCTTTCCGAATGCCAGAGGGAGATTTTTGCGGGCTGGAGACGGCCGCATGATCTGCTACAGACGAAGAATGCAGCAAACCAGGCACATGATGCAATTGATCCAGCTATGTCGGCTTCAGGGGAAACAGATCTCGTGCAGGATGTCTTGACAGACTGTTCAGTGGTTGCAAGCCTCTGCGCTACAACATCTCGGTCGGAGCGAGGTCTAGGACAGGTACGGCCTAATTCCGTATCGAGGAGTCCACAAAGTTAATTGAAACAGCATGCATCGCCGACGGTATATCCGTGCGGTGAGGAGAAGAACCCGATACTTTCGCCTTCTGGGAAGTACATATTTCGTTTCTACTTCAACGGATCTTTTCGAAAGGTAGTAATAGATGACCGATTACCATCGTCGAAGACTACACGCTCACTTCATGTGATCGATCGCAACAACTCGAACTTTTTGTGGCCTGCTCTTGTGGAGAAGGCCTATCTGAAGGTCCGTGGAGGCTATGATTTCCCAGGAAGTAACTCAGGGACCGATCTTTGGGTACTGACTGGTTGGATTCCGGAACAAGTCTTTTTACATGACGACGATTCGACCTCCGATGAGATTTGGGGACGTTTATACAGCGCCTTCTGGCATGGCGATGTGGTTTTGACAATCGGCACCGGGAAGTTAACTGAACGGGAACAGCAAGGCTTGGGGCTAGTGGGCGAGCATGATTATGCTATCTTGGACATGAAGGAAGTTCAGGGTCGTCGACAATTCCTTTTGAAGAACCCGTGGGCTGGTGCAGAACCCAATATACAAAGCAATATTACGGCTGATCTCGGCTCACTCAACCTGAGTGATAAATCTCCCCTTTCCCCGGGGAAATCCTGGATGGATTGTGAACAAGTTCTCCAAAATTTCGAGAATCTTTACCTTAACTGGAATCCTGGTTTGTTCAAATACCGCGAGGACATACATTTCACTTGGGATTTGTCACGCGGTAGAGTTATCGCCGGCTGCTTCGTGAAGAATCCCCAGTTCTCTATCTCCAGTGACTCAGGAGGAACAGTCTGGCTGCTTCTCGGGAAGCATTTTAAGACAGACCAACAATTCGGTTCCGGGGAACTAGAAAATGAAATAGGCTTTATCAGCATCTACATATTTCAAGCAGATGGCCGAAGAGTATCTCTCAGTGACGGTGCGCTCCATCGCGGACCATACGTGGACTCCCCCAACACACTTATGAGGCTGGAAATGCCCCCGAAGTCGACCTACACCGCAGTGGTCTCGGAGCAATCGCTCCCATCATCCACCCAGAATTTTACACTCTCTGCATTTTCAACCGCCCCTGTGGCCGTGGCACCATCGCTAGATAAATACCTATGTTTGACTAAGGCAAGTGGTTCCTGGACATCAGTGACAGCGGGCGGAAATGCCGAATCACCTCGATACCACTCGAATCCACAATTCAGTATCCGAATTTCCGAACAGACAGACGTCTCGATATTGTTGGAGACCACTGAAGCAGAGCTAGCGACCCACGTGAAAATCTTCTGGTCAAACGGGCAACGCATATCACGCGTGCGAAGCCGAGACATCATTGCAGATAGTGGCGATTACCGTCGCGGATGCGCACTGGCCGAGACCAAATCCTTGGAAAAGGGCACCTACACCCTCGTCTGCTCCACCTTTGCACCCGACCAGCTTGGTCGCTTCACATTGTGGGTTTCATCTACCATCCCGTGTGTAGTCCAGCCCTTGGTCTCCGAGTCTGCTGGGCGGCGCGCCGTCCGGTCCGAACTAGGTGTTTTGTTTCCGGGCAAGGACCGGATGTTGGCCTCGCTGCAGGCCTCTCGTTTGACACGGATACGACTTATTGCGAGGAATACGCGGTCTATGATCGGCTCTCGCGCTGTTGCTCCGTCTCCTGTGCTGATGACTGTGGAGCTGGGCCAGGGGCCATACAAGGAGATATTGGCTACCTCGGAGGATGGAACTCACAGCGATGCCGCGTCCGGGGTACGAGTTGACGATTTTGATCTACTGCCCAGTGGCAAATCACGCTGTGTATGGATTGTTATTGAGCGCATTGGGGGTCCAGGAGGGCAGGTGGAGGATCATTTTGAAGTCGAGGCATTGGCCGAGGAGAGAGTGGAGATTGGAAAGTGGGTAATTGAAGATTAATGATACCCAGTACAGGTGGACATATATATTTATACTGTTGGCAGTCCAGTCTAAATCGCCCTATCATGAAGTCTACATAATATCCCTTGAGCGATTTGAATAATGCGTTATTTTTGAAACTAAACCATCAAATGCAGTGCTTCCTATCCCTCAATAGAGGTCCCATCAGTGTAGCCACCATTCATGAATCACTCAAGCCCTTTAGGAATATGACTTCCTCCCCAGAAATATATGTATCGCCTTGGCGAGTCGGCAATTTCCTCGATTGACTTGCCCAGAAGAATGTAAACGTGCGTTGCGCATCGATGAATTTCACGGCCATTCGACGGTCTATATCTTAAACGAAGCTAAGACGAGATGATAGATCAGCATCGGTAGTTAGAGTCAGGGAGCATTTAAGATACCTTTCACCCAGGAGGCAAATTTCAATCTTCACCAACACAGATCCACCTCCGATATTTTCGCTACAGCAAAATTGATAGGGGAGTAGTTGACGGAGATGGTTCGACGTCAACTCATATTCGCATCCATCAGCTGTGTACAGGTATTCTCGATCGCGAAAGACATCGACCTGGTTTTTTCCAGATACGTCCTTGTTTTTTTTCGGCTGATTTTGGCGGTTCGACTTGGTTGGTTCAAGAATACCAAGATTGACAGCTTCGCTGCAAAGTGGCATAAGATCATTTGGGCTGATGTCTAGCGCACTATCATCTTCAAGCGCTTTGACCAATATGTCGGTACGATCTCGCGACATGGCCAAATGGATTCCCTCTCAGCCCTCAGGGCTCGGAAGCTCTTTGCCTAAGAGAAGATTCACCCCACCACGTCGGGGGTGTCATCATTAGAAGCTGTAGAAGGACACATCTGCGAAGAAGAGCTCTCCACAACTCCACATAAGCTTTGCGCTTTTCCAGCAATTTCTTCATCCTTTTTCGCAGTAGACTCTTCAGCGATGGATTCAATCTCTCGAGCCTTTGCTATGTCCCAAATTCGCTTGGGTTTCTTTCACGAGCCCAAGGGAGAAACATTTCGTGTAGGTAAAGAGAAGTGCCTCTGTTGCGCGAACCCCGCTAAAAAGACAATGTTTGCATTGCTGTTGTCCAACAACTCCTGGTGGCAATTTTAGACATCTTTGTCATCTCACGGAGGGAGGGAGGAAGGGAGTGAGAGAAGATAGAGAGAGAAAGAGAGAGAGAGAGAGAGCAGGTGGTCGTTTATATAGTCAGACCTATCTACGTAGCAAACAAACATCGTTCCCAATTAATCTTAGTAGTAGAAATGAGCAAACAAAGGAAATAGCAAATGAATGGCATGTGATATCATGCGACAGAGGAAGTGAGACAAATGCGTGATAACTGTCAGAGATAACAAATCGTGACATGTCACGTAGACTCGACGAAATGTTCTTCTTAAGTGGAGAGAATGTTTGGAAATTGAATGTCCCAGCAAGGACGTTGTCACATCAAAATGGCACACGTGAAACATTGTTAATGTCAAATGTGCATCCCAATCGCCCGCTTGGCGCAGTGGTAGTCGCGCATCACTTGTACTTTTTCCTCGATCAAAAGGTCGAGGACTACTCGTATAAAGGTCATGATGAGGTCTCTGGTTCAATCCCGGAAGTGGGCTTTTTTTTCTCCTTCTTTTTTGCCCTCGAATCTTGGCTATTATGAAATCTAATCGTGTACCCGTGGACATACTGAGGTCGCCCGCTTGGCGCATAGTCTACGGAGTACACAATTGGGCTTTTAATGGCCAAATTCTGTCTTCAAAAAGACTGAGTACATAAATCTAGAAGAAGATATCCGAGATAATATCTAAGAAGACTGCTAAAAAGACCGTGTGCAGGCGCATTGATATAGTATCTTAGCTACCAGTCAACGGTTTGGGTCTATAAAAATGGAAACTATTTCATGATATTCACTACTACTGTGTACATATGTATGTATGTAGCAGTGTGGACCGGATCTTGAGTAATAGTGGTGATTTTCCCTATCGGAGTGCCGACGCTTTATAAGGGCGCTTACCCTACTTACTGAGTATTCCACAGGGTGATTATTCGATAACTATGTAGTTATATTCCTGTGAATAAATCTGCATAGCCTGGCTTTGTGGATGAAATCCACTGATCATTGGCTGGTCCTCTGCCGGTGAATCTGGCCGGATACTCTATTCTTTGAGCTCTGGTGCCGTCCACGCGGGGGCGGCCGATGTTCTTGGTTCTGCGGTCTCGAACTGAGTCCACGGATTGGGGTCCAATTAGGGGCAGCTGAGCTGGTTCTGGGGTTCGTTCCCAGAGGTTGTCCCCTAGGGAGTTTAGTTCAAGGTGCTCAATGCTGAATTGCCCATGAGCTTGGTAGGTCTAGTTTGTACGCTAGTCTCCCGACACGCTCTAGGACTTTGAACATGCCGACGAATTCTTGAGCAAGTTTCTTCGGCAATCCCTGGTCCGCTTGTCTAATATAAAGTTGCCTAGATTGGATCATTTGCGTATGTGGGATTTGTAGTAGTAATTTTTCATTGCAGTCGCCGCGTAGGCCAAGCTGTGCTCTGCACCTCCACTTGACACTCCCCACATCAACTCATGTACGACATCTAGTCATATTTCTGACTTCAATGCTAATTAAACGTATAAAAAAAAAGATATGATTGACCTCGGGCCTCACTTACAGTGTAAAAGGGGGGGATTAAAAAAAGGAAAAAAAAGAAGCCCACTTCCGGGATTGAACCAGAGACCTCATCATGACCTTTATACGAGTAGTCCTCGATCTTTTGATCGAGGAAAAGTACAAGTGATGCGCGACTACCACTGCGCCAAGCGGGCGATCTTGTCTAAGGTCCTTTATAAAGATATCATATTCCTGTATTGGAGATAAGAATCACCAGCCGCTTATGCGAGTCCAAACGTCATTCGTTCACCATCTTCTCCTTAACATACTTAACACCCTGAACAATGGCGAGTAATATACCAGCTGGACTGCGGTCGGCAGACATTGGGCGATTTGCCATCAGGGCAGCTCAGATCGAGAAGGCTAAACCTGTGGTTGCCTACTGGTGTGAGTCCCAAGACCCCGCGCAGGTCGCAACTGAACAGTTGAGCTGATTGAACCCCAATTATGCAGGTAATTTCCATATTGTAAACCAGATTATCGAAAGGGGTCTTCACAATTCCGATGAGGAGATCATGCTCTACACGACAAACCTCGTGGACAAGCTGGAGCAGGTGAGTTGGGCTCCCCGCCTTTGTTCCCTTTCTACTAGTCTACACCCCGCATCCAGTGTTTGAGATCTAGCTGCTGATGATATTGGCTTGAAATAGTTCAAAGTAGAGAACCCAGAAAACGATACAGTGACAGACACCGTTGCAGCGAGCGCCTATGTCGAGCAATTCGGATTGGAGGTCTTCGGGCGTGCGGAGGCCGCTATGAATGCCAACAAAGTCACAAAGTGAGCTCTCCAAGTGATGCTTTGAGCTACAAATGGCTAATCGCACAAAAAGGCAAACGGCAGATACTTTCCAGGCAGCGGCCACGTTCCTAGAACTTTGCTCGATCTGGGGGTCCCTAGACCCAGAACTGGCTGGGCGGATCAAATTCGCCAAGTTCCACGCGCTCCGAATTGTTAAAGCTTTAAAAGCCGGTGAAGATCCCAACGCGACAAATCCGGCGCCAAAGCAGGAAGAAGAACTCGTTGAAGATCCCGAAGTGCAGGCATTTGATGAGTCGGTAGCGGAGCAGGCCTCCAAGCCAAAACAACCCTCTATCGAAGAGATCCCAGACGAATCTGACCGTTCTGGACGAGAGCTGGCTCGGAAATCGACTCTTGATGAATCGATTCATCCATCACGCACCTCGTCAGCACCTCGTCCCCCACCCGAGATCCCTTCTGTTCCTCGCAACGCACCTGGTTCTCCCCCACAATCAATGGATGTTGATGATTCCAGCAAAGGCGGATTAGAGCTCCCATCAACTCCAGCGACCATTGGCGGGTCGTCCTCAGTACCTAACCTTCCTGACACCCCAACTGCATTTCATTCCTTCCCTCCGCCATCTGAGGACCCAGCCGTTGACGCTCCAGACCCAGCCGTTGACGCTCCAGACCCAGCTTCTTTCTACGATACCCCAGATACTAGTGCTCCTGTTCAGCCTCCGCCTGCTCCGACATTTGTTCCATCACCACTTGCTAAGGCTCCGGTGCAACCGGCTCCTTATGTCCCGTCCCAGCCATCACATGGTCTAGACGATAGCTCGGTGCAGCTGGCGCAGAAACATGCTCGTTGGGCGGTCTCTGCTTTGACTTTCGACGATGTTGACACCGCTATTAAGGAGCTCAGAAACTCGCTGAAGTGTCTAGGCGCATCATGATTCTATGCATTTGTATGATCTTACCTTTGCTTACTCTTCCGGTTGTTAGAGCACTACGAATATACCTTGCTTTGGCCATTATGAAATGTATTGGATTTGATCGGCGTAACTCTTCCGTGGTCAAGATGCACCTGTCTCATATTTATCTGGAGTTTCCATTCGAGATTTAGTTAGGAAATTCATTCATGCTACACAATCTTATCCCGAGAATATATGTTGAAGGTCTCGATCGACACAATATCACCCAGGCTCGTCTATCCGTCGTTATGCCTTGGGAAATCTAATAGACTGGATATAGTGCTGACGAGGTCTCATCAAATTGTATTGTATTTGACTAGAATACCATTAATATATGTACAACATGACATGTCGGGCGAAAATTGACCATCGTCATCAATTCTTGGCATCAATATATGATTCGATAATCATGACTACTAAGCCATACGACCAACAACAATCTGAGAATACGCTTTCCACATACTCCAAGGTTACATAGTAGACTAGATATAATCTGCATTCCTGTAAAGAAAATCGACTCGTTTTACTCAACCCATGGTGCACCAGCTGCCGCTTTCTTAGGACCATGAAAGTCCCAATATAGAAGAACAGTATCCGACTTCCCTCTACACCCCGAGATTGAATACCATAATGTTATCTCTGGTGTACCCTCGCTTTTGATACCTTTGATTTCGATCAAAGTCAGCCTGGTCATGATAGCGACCTCGAGAAGTTGCTGACCATGAAAGACGTTGCATAGGCTCAGAGCAACCGTGGCAGGACTGCCTTCTGGAATTTCGGAATCGAGGTGCCTGTATTCTTATAACGAGTCTCTGCTATATCAACGAAACTAGAGATCACGAACAGATATCTTGTTATTGGTATAGGGACTCTAACAGCGTGCGGTATGACCGGAAATTCTAGAGACTGTGTTCCCAAGATCCATTTTTGAAGAACAACCGCCTACATCTACCTGACATCGCGACACTCTTCTAATTTTAAGCTATATTTTGTTCCATGTTTTCATCTGCTGGCCCTCGGAGGAGACTCCATCGAGTTGGATGTGGGCTAGCAAGCCCCACACCAACAGGCCATTCACCCTCTTCTGATGGTTTCCTCGCTATTCGATTGTGTGCCGCGCCCACAAATCACACTTTAACCACCAACAAGTGCCTTGCCCTTGTCCCATCATCCCTTCTCGTTTGTATATTTGTAAAGTATGTTGTATGTAGTGTCCGGAGACCCGTTCTCGTGAGGTTTCAACCCAAACTTTTAGAATAGTTTATCTTGAACGGTGTGTACGACGGTAATTTTAAATATAATAATATCCCGAGATTACTTCCAGTGACTTTATGTAGTACCTGTACGTATACTTAATGGCTCAAACCATAACATTCCGGGTATTCATTTAAGCCTAAGATCATGCCCAGCAATGGAAAGTCACTAGTATAATAGTATCGAGTCAAATTAAGCATGGGAGAGGCTTAGCATCTCATCTATGGTTCGGGTGATCGGAAACCCAGTACCATGGGACCGACAGTCACAAGGATTTGTAAGTATTTAGAACTACAATTGTACTCCGTATACAAAATGATATTGATTTAGTATCACACAGTACAACATGTTCTAATGGATCATGTACAAGTAAAATAAGTGGAATTCTAACATCGCACTAATCTCCTTAACACCCACTATCTTCCCCCCGACGTCACAGGTAGATGCTGATGTTTCCACTGTAACCCACTCACTGTGGTCAACGTCGTGGGTTAATCGGCTTGGCAGGGGAGATGCGAATCCCGAATAATAATTTTCTTTTCTTTTTTTCCCTTTTTTCTTTGATTTCGACTAACATTATTTGGTTTTTTAAACTGAGTTTCTGTTTCTTATTAGTTGTTCCCCTTTGCCCGTTTAGTCCGCCCCCTCCTTTCTCCCGTCCTTCGCCTTTCCCCCCCTTTCACTCTTCTGAACCTGCGGGGAGACCTTTTTTTCTATCACATTCAAAATGGCCGACGCCAAAAAACCCGCCGTTCTAATTGTCGGTGGCCTCGGTATGTCCTTCTGTGTCCTAATATGGTTCCATCCCGACTGACATTCCCCGTCTTCAGGCTTCATCGGTCGACACCTCGCGCTATACATCCACGAGAACAACTTAGCCTCGGAAGTCCGTTTGGTAGACAAAGTCCTCCCACAATTGGCCTGGTTAGCCCCAGAATTCGAAGAGGCTTGCTCCAAGGACAAGTTCGTCCAGGCAGATGCCAGCCGTGAACGTGAGTGGCCTGACAAATCCCCTCCACTCAAAGCAAATTCTTACCTAAAACCCGGTTCCCCCACAGAACACTTCCCGCGCATCTTCGACCGAGCCAATGGCGAACAATTCGACTATGTGATTAACTGCGGCGGCGAAACACGCCACTCCCAACCCGACGATGTCTACGAAGTGCGCAGCTACGGTCTCACAGTCGCGCTCGGCAAGGAAATTGCCCGACGCGGTATCCCCGCCTTCGTCGAGACCTCAACCGCGCATGTCTACAAGGGCAGCTCAACGCCACGCAAGGAGACAGACAAGCTCGTCCCGTGGCACAAGCTAGCCGCGTGGAAGATCAAGGCCGCGGACGAACTGCGTAAAATCCCAAACCTGCAGTACTGCGCACTACGCCTGCCCCACGTCTACGGCGCCTACGACCCGGGCTACTTTGCCACGGGCATCTGTTTGTCCGCCGTCCACGTCGATCTCAAGCAGGACCTGATCCTCCTGCACACCAAGGACTTGAAAATTAACACCTTGCACGTCAAGGATGCTGCTAGCGCACTGTTCGAGGCTGCCAAGTGGCGCGCCGCGCAGGGCTTCATTGACCCCAAAGACGGGATTGTTACCTTCAATGTTGTGGATAGCAACGATACGAAACAGGAAGACATCGCCAACGCCTTTTCGGAGGTGTTTGACCTCAAGGTCACATTCGTCGGGTCGCTTGCTTCACAGTTCGCTAAACTGAACCTCGACGACGTCCTTGATGATATGAATGAGGTTGGTCTGCAGACTTGGGCTGAGCTCGTCGAGAGGGCCAATATCACACGGCCTGGACCTATTAGCCCGTTCCTCGAGCGTGACATTCTTAAGGACCAGGATATGTGCATTGATGGGTCGAAGTTCGAGAATGAGACTGGCTGGAAGCCAGCGTACCCGAAATTCGGGGCTGATAGCGTCCGCGAAATTGTGGACAGCTATAAGCGCATGGGCTGGTGGCCATGAGAGACAATTTCACTAGATTTTGAAGCTTTCGTCTTTTTTTTTTTCTTTCTTTTTTTTCTTGAAGATATCCTGTCTGTCGGTTATTTTACCCTTTCTATCTTTCTACTTTTTTTTATCACCATGATTCATTAACGGTCTATCCTACCCGATGAGGAAAATCGGACATCGCCTCGCATTATGTCTGAAAAGGATGCATTGAACCCCCCACGACACGACTCTTTCATGATATGCATCTCCATACACTCTCCTGCCCGCCTCTCGCCTCACTCCGACTACCTCTGAAGCTATTTATCCAGACAGACCTGTCTAGCATCGCTAGATGTGAATCGATCTTGTACTGTAATTGATAATCGCTGCTATATGGGGGGTTTTCTCTTTTTGTTTCCTGCATATATGTTTCTCTTCCGGTTTCTTCCCTCATTTTTTACCTTTTGCATGGCCCTGCATTGGCAGCATACTCAGCCCTTCCCCTGCTTCTTTGATATTCCGTTTCCATCTCAAATCAACGTTCTCTTACGTACTTTTGATCTGTATGTATTAGACATCATTGATCGCATACAACTTCGTGGGTTGTGTCTCCGGGCTAGAAATATAGCGCTAGTCCCATTCGTGTCATGCATTATGTATGCATAGACCCTGCAGATATGTTGTGCAGGTCCCACAGAGGACATACATACCCACAACCAGCACGAGAGCTAGGTATATAGGCCTACGTGTCACCGCGCAACAAGTACTACGTTGGAATAGTGGAGGGAGACCACGACTGATGTCAAATTTGAAGAGAAACGATGGAATGAATAATTCGAGACTTCTAACCCCATGACCGAAACGACGAAGAGCAGCGGAACAGAAGCTGTCCAAGGTGTCCGGCTGCTATGCATGAGCATGTATGCATTTAAACAAGTCACCCAGCGAACTGAATCAATGGGTCTTTTGTGATGTGATTTTTTTTGGTTTTTCCTCTTTTTCCCCCTCGTGTATACTGAAGTATACCGATCATATCGTACCTACGGCCGCCACTAATACAGGCTTGCACTCTGAGCCAAGCCTCCCCCATAACGAAAACCATGAAAATGCCAATGGTAACATCAATTCTTTCTCAAGCATGCAAATGCAACCAACGATCCGAATAGGTCAATGGCTAGATCTGAAAGAATTGTTTGACAAACAAAAGAAAGTCATCTCGTCTTGCCCCAAGGTAGACTGAGTGGAACCGAAAATATTGTACGAAGAAAGTAATGTGCGCAAAAGACGGAGATCACAACGGTGTAATCAAGACGATGGGTGGTAGATTAAAATTCCCAGTCCTCCTCAACGGACTTGATGGCCCACTCGAACTTTTCACGCAGCGCCTTGGAGAAGAACTTTTCGATAGGGACGTCGAACTTCTTGCTGAAGACGACAGTGAGGCGAGGATCAATGTAGTTCTAATGAGAATAATTAGCTGGTGATATCGAAGGGATGAGACTGGAGCAAAACTCACAATCTTCGAGGTACCTAGGGCAACCTCCTTGTTGTCTTCCTTGTCCTGGGCCTGGACCGACATCGTTTCGACTCGCTGGTCGATCTTGGTGATGGAATTCTCGAGCTTTTCAACTGTTGCGCCTTTGGACTCGACCTCGACCTTGCCGGTTTTGTTCTCTTTCTTGAACTTCTTCTCCATCTCCTTTACGACCTGCAGACGCTCCTCAAGCTCGGAAGCCTTCATTTCCTTCTCGCCATCAGCAACGCGCTTTTCGTTATCCTTCTCGAA